CCCCTCTTTTCCCCCACTTTTCCCCCACTTCTAGGCACCCCCTGCCACCTTCTCCTACCACGCGGACAGGACCTCGCACGGGCATCCATAGGCGCCCGCGCGGAAAAAATTGTTTGCCCCCGCATCTCCTACCAACGCTATCCTAACCTGATTAGAACAAGTTACCACGGGTTAGGATGTTACCCGTCCGTTCAGGTACAGGATGTTGGGACCCAGGAGGATCGACGACGGACATCGTTTGGAAGCGAAACTTCCTTTTCCGTTTTCTCCTACGCCGCATAGTTTCCGAGTTACGCCCCTCCAAAGAACCGACCAATCAGAGCACAGCATTCTTATTTCCGCTGTATCTCCGAAACCACGGGTCGTAGAAAAAAACGGTAAAGGAAGTTTCGCCGTGGAATCCGGTCCCCTATCCATCGCGCCGGTCGCGAACGCCCCCTACCTGAACCGAATCTGTCCGTTCGGGTACCGGAAGTTGGGATCCATGGGGATCGACGGCGGACGTCATTTGGATTCGGAAGTTCTGTTACCGTTTTCTCGCGCGGGGCGTCGTTTCCTAGTTATATGCTTCTCATGGGATTCTCGATTTTGAATCGTCTAACAGAAGTGATATAGAAACCTAACCTGCATCCTTGCCCGCCAGAATGAGATAAGATTCGCTGAGTTCATTCGAAACGCTGCTTCGCTACGCAACACGACCCCTTTAATGAAGATATCTTCAGCGTCAATTGTTGGCTGTTTCGTTATTTATTAGCGGCGACAGCCTCCAACGTGATCACGAAAGAATGGAAAGATTGATTTACGTCCCAAACACATTTGCCGATATTGATTTCACACGATTCGCGAAACTTCGAGTACTCTTCGAGATCGTCGACAGATTATTTCGATAGACCTAATTGTGTTTTGTGGTACTTTTTGCGTAATCAGATAACACCTGGAAGATAAGAATTCACAAGATCAAACACCTTCCTACGCATTTATATTTCAATGACGTCAATCCATATCACGTAATCGGACTCGTCACTAATATGTATCGTTCCGACAAACCGATTTATATTAAGAACCATTCCATCGTAATCAAATAAGCCCCAAAAGAAAATGAGACGAAGTATAATAGCGTTCAGTCAATTAGCATTTTCGACTGCTTCGCGATACAAGGCAACTTTATTTTTATGGTATGCTATGGTTTATGGCGAGCATGTACAAAATATTTCTCGGGAAGTAACGGACACGTGAAATGTCAGGGTTGTGCAAACGATGTTCTTTATTATGCTTTTATGGCAAGACCTCCTATTACGGTTGTCTACACTTTTATATAAATATTTACGCAAATTTGTAATATTTTATTTCCTAACGTGGATACCACGCACGGGAACCCAATTTCTGATTGCCATGTTCAAACAATCGACCTAGTCGAATTTAAACAAGCTCGGAGCAGGTCAGAAAGAGACCCGTTTAGCGAACAATTAGGTTCGTTACGCGTTCACGGATATGATCCGAAATCGCCGCGGACCGTCGATGGATCGATGTCAAGATTCAAACGTACCGCGAACTCGCCGCAGACCTTTATATTTTGACTCGAGAGGAAAACACTCCCAAAGCTTTAACGAACGCAAATTGAATGGATTACAAACTTTTATCTCGATTCACCGAAAGGTGTAATTCAGCTTTACGTACTGCAAACGGATAGATAAACATAACTATATAACCCGCACCCTAAGGAGCCTGAAGCAATGATTTTCTTCAATTTCAACTCGATTCGTTGACAGATTTGAAGATGGTTGATACGTAAGGCCTTACTCGGTCACCAGAGCGATTAAAAACTCGTTGGTGGAAAATTGCAGGATCAAAACCTAAGTTGCACGGTGTACAACGTTTTCATTCAAGTATCGCTCTTTCCAATTATGACTACAACTGCGATTATACAACGGTAAGTGATTCGATTGTACGATAGTAGATATCTATGTGGATGAATTCCAGTATCGATTAGTCAAGGTTACGTGTCAACGTCAAACGATAAGAATCGACATGTCCGGTTCTTATTCGACGCGATACCACCGAACCAACCATCCCACGCGAATGTTGCGATTACGACTTAATTGTCGTTTATTCGTCGCCGTTATCGGTCGGTGTGCGGTGCATCCGGAACGAGAATAACGCGAATCTACCCAGTCCCCGCAGAATCATCGCACTATTTTGGTCTAGGCTTAAATAAGTACAAGGAGCTCGATCGTTTGCAGGAGAAGCAACCTTGAGAAGTGCCTCTCGTTACAACGTGGCGCTTTAGAATTGAACGAGCATCGCATAAGAGTACACGGAATATTGAGAATTCTGCAATTACGAGGACGGCCGCGATGCCTTCCCCTATCCGGCGGAAACACGCGGTGGGAAGCCTTTCGTGATCGCCACTCTCTAAGGTATCTTCTTTGGAACAGTTAACGTCGGTCGATCCGACTCGGTATTCCACCGGAAAATTCACTGATTGAAACGCGACTCGGCGAATGCTTGCACGTAACGACCCCCGTTTTATTTTAGCGGGTTGCTTTCGCGCACGAGCCCACATAGTTGCTTTCTTCTCACTTTTCCGCCTCCCTTCGGGATTGCAGATCTTTCTTTGTCGTCAAATTGCTCAACTTACGATAAAGGTGTGTCATACGCATACGACCCTGCATTACTTGACAATTTCGTTTCAACGTTACGGAAGGCTCCATCGGAGGGCGGTTTCTGTACCATCGTGGCGACGTTGCGTAATACTTTACAAGGTAATACTTTACCAATACCAGCGAATAGTTTCGTGGCCGGTGTTCATTCCAACTTTTCTAACGATAAATGCTCGTGTTGACATTTACGATGAAATTAATAGCATTGAATTTCACCGATACGACCGTAATGGTCATGCGATGGAATATTTAGAAACTGCAATTTAATTATTACCGTTTCCTCGTGTTCCTCGGACTCTTTATTACGTTTCTCCCATTGCGGTTCTTCTGCAAAAATACAAGTTGTGTCGACCTGGCATAGACACCGCGTTCATCACTTTATAACCGAATTGGTAAGCTCTGATTGGCTATCGACGCTGTTACGCGTTATGCTAACTTCGCACAGGCGCGAGTAGCCAATAATGGTGCACCAATTATATTTTAAGATAATGGGCGCGGTTTCCCCCGTGTTCGTCATCGGCTACTGAGATTGCGGGTTACACGTGTTCTCCGCCCATGTCGAGCTAGAATTACGCATTTAACGGATTCCAAGTCGATCCGCAATCGCCACGATGCGATCGTCTTCGCAAATTATACACCTAGAGTTCGTAACTGACCGTCTTACCTCTCCCTAACATTTCGACGCTCGATCGTAACTCTGCAAGTACAGATCTACTTATCGCCCGCACTCGATTATAATAATACTGGACCGCTCGCCCGGGGTAGCCAACGGTGAAGCAATTCTCACTCCTCGGTGCACAGTCCTGTTACGCATCTTACTAATCAATTAAAAGTAACCTTGGTGCTGCACCGCGAATGTCAAGAAAAGCAACTTTTTCTCATAGAGTAGGCGGAACGCGCATGGGCCGAATAGACGAGCATAAACATATTTCTTGCACTAGTAGATGAGGGTCGGAACGCCCGCCGCTCCTTGCCTCGTGATAACACCCGGAATGGATTGCTCCCAGACTCGGATCGAAAATGACGGAGCGTCTCCATTCCCCGTTTCCCGTTTCCCGTTTCCCGTTTCCCGTTTCCCGTTTCCCTCGACTAACGGTAAGTCTCACTTGCCGCGGGCGAAAAGTCGCGGCGAGCGTTCCAGGTGGTACATTTGAGTGTTTGCACGGTTAACCAAAGAGTTGACCGCATTCGGGGTGAGCGAGCTCCAGCCCCGCGCTTTCTCGTTTTAGAGAATAAAGCGAATGTTCGAGGTTCGGCCTACGTCCTAGGAAATAGGTCTACGAGTTCAAAGTTCATCATCCCATCTCATCGAACTCCTCTTCCCGGCTAACCGTTAGCTCCAGGATATCCCCGGAAGTCGGCGCTAGCAGTAGAGACCGTTGCCCTGGTTCTCGATGACGTACTTGGTCAGGTACTGGACAGCTTTTTCGCTCAGGCCCAAACTAGGCAAGACCTCCTCGAACTGCTCGTACGTGCCGGCCCCGGCGATATAGCCGTTCAGCTTCGCCGCCAACGGCGAGTTTCGCAGAACCTCTCCTGTTGTCAGGCCCACGGTCTCGATCAGCCATGGATGACTCTGCAGCCGGTACTTTTGGTGGTAGCTGCGATCAAAATTTATACTCTTTACGTCCCTGCATTTGCACACGTCTCGATGTTGTCCGAGTTACGAGTGCCGCGCACGGGAAAACAAAATGTTCGTGACATTAATCGGCTTCTCATCGGCACCGCTTATCTTTCCCCTCATTTGGATGGGGGAAAAACGCGCAGACTTGATACATGGCGCGAAAAAGGCATCTCTTCTCTTTCCGCGTCGTTTTTTTTCTTTTCTCCGTTCGATCGTTAATTCTCTCATCGACGTCGGTAGAAATTTCGGACCTTTCGTCGAGTCGCGCAATCTCGAAAAGAAGAAGTGGCGAATAAATTCGGGCCTCTCGAAAGAGCTCTTGGTTCCCGGGAGATACCAGGAGAGGGGAGGATGTCGGAGGAATACCGGGGAAGCGAGAGTCCCGATTAGCAACGTGGCCTTCGGGCCCGGAGGCCGAGTCAGTAGTTTATCATCCGGCCCGATAAACCGTCGGTTTCGTCCCGTGACCACCGCCAATTTTCGGTCCGACAGCGCCGCGAACTCGACAACCTCCCATCCGTAACTTCCGGTCGATTAAACCTCGTCGAAAGACTCTGGCGGAGATAACTGGTCTGCGACTGATTATACGATTGGCTTATCGGGCGTCGATACAATTTATCAAAGATCCAACGGACGCTGGGGGCCGCTCTTATCGACCCGTCGGCATTTACCTCGGCTTCGGAGCAGCCTGCTCCAAAATCGTCTCCCAGTTTTCCCGGAGAGGTGACGGCCACCAAAATCTGCCGTTTCTTTATCCGAAATGTATAAAGTCCCGACAGAGGTTGACGAGCGACTCTAAATTGACGTAGACCGCGACGCGAAGAGGTCGCGATCGGCGCCTCTCGCACCTTCCGCAGAGTCCCGAGTCGACGTGAGCTAATCGACCAGGAGAGGAGAGAGGGAGAGAGGGAGAGAGGGGGAGAGGGGAAGAGAACCGAGACTTCGGCTCGCGCGGGCCACGCTAATAAAAGATTCGGTATCTCACGTTTCAAGAGTCACGAAGGGTCAATCGGCGGATGAGCCTCCCGACTTATCTGACGAGCAACGTCTCGCCATCTTCGGAATATCGCTTCTCGTTCGAGTGCAACCCAAAGCGTCGATATTGCTTATGCATCGCCATGTACTTACTCTTCGGCGGGGTAGAATTTCTTGAACTGCTTGATCGTCGTGACCAAGCGTTGTCCTTGTTCGCGCTCCATGTTCCCTCTCGACTTCTCGGCGATGCCGCGCTGCTCCTCGTCGTGATACAGAACGAGGGACATGTACTGCAACGTCAAAAGCAATCCTTCAAAACTCGTCGTCGAATCTTTCTACTTTTGATCGTAAACATCGTGCCGGATCGACTTCAACTAGGGTATATCGATTTCCTTTATCGCTCACGACTTACGAAAAAATGGATTTTCAAACGGAATTACAAACAAGGATCTTTGGTTACTAAACTTTCTCGGAAGCACGTCGCGTGGGCGCTTTAGGAGATTTCTGACAAACCAGATTTTCGCGACAGGGCGCATATATTTCCGATACATTTTATGCTCAAGCGAGAAGAACTTTCGAAAAAGCTTAGAAGCAGAAGATTAGTTTTCAGTGAGTTATATTACACGGATAATATATAACCGATGATTAAATTCTCTGCGAATTTATCAGAATTGATTTTTAACGACATTCAAGTTTTCTTCAATAATTATAATAAACTGAGTGAGTATAATATCGACAACAAAACTCGTTCCCATATTGTTTCACGTAACCAGTGTGCCACTTTTTCCTCCCGTGCACAATTAAAACTGAAATGTTACGTTCACTTCAACGACATCAAACCCTATGTATAATTTTAACTCGAAGGAAATAATTGATTATTGGTTAGTTCGTCGTCAATGGTCCTCCTCTTCGTTCCTTTTTTTATTAATTACATGAATAACGTGGTCACAGCGATTACTAACTTCAATTACGAGGGTCAAAGACCCATCTCGATCGGGACAAAGGAACGAGATTCGAAATTCTCACCTGACGTTTGATCTTAGTTGTAAGTCCGTATTCGTGGTTGTTCCAAAACAAATGGAGCAGCTGTGAATAAGATATCACTTCGGGATCGTATTCGAGATGAATCACCTCCGTATGATCGCCTCTACGATGAAAAGGAAAAAAAGCCATTGGAAAATTATTTGGAATTCGTTATCGATAAACGTTAATCTATCGGTCAACCATTTCCAAGCAAATTAGTTCAATCACTATCTCTATTACCGAAATTGTGACGTCAATAAACCGAACGGAAAAATTGATTTTTTTTTTCACAAGAGATTTCAGCCTTAAATATCGGTGGTTATTGGCGAACCGTATTGCGCACACTTTGACCGGCCGAACGACAGCGCCTCCCCGATTCCGTACGATTGTGCGATGACCCCTGCTACCCGGGCGACGAACGTTGCCGTTGCCGTTGCCGTTGCCGTTGCCGTTGCCGTTGACGTTGCGGTGGTCGCCACGGTCGCACCGCGAGAACGGAATTAGCCGAATTTCGAGTCGTGGAGCAACGTAACGAAACCTATACCGTCGCGATAGGAAATGTCCAAGCGAAAGTGGGACGAAAGGCTTACATCTCCTTGTAAGTGGGCGATTCCTTTTCCCCGCCGGCGTATCCCACGCAGGTCCTGATGACGCCCGGCGTCACCCCGAAGAGGGAGTCTCCGGCCCAGAAGCAGCCCATTCCGAAGGTGGCGCGCTTACCCCTCACCTCCTCCAGTTGTCCCGGCATTTCCTTTTGACGGAAGTAAGTCGACATTAGTTCGCGGAGTCCCTTAAGACAAGCCGACCCCGGACCGGACCGTGGATCTTAACCGACGATAAGCAAGCGAGCTCCAAGGGTCTATGGTACGCCACGGTCTTGAGACGACGGTAGATCCTACGCGAATTCATACGTTAGATAATGTAACGGATCTCGACGCCGTAATCGACGTGGTCAATGTCGAGCGAGCATTTATCGCTTCGACGAAGAACGCGTTAAATCGATACACGCGAGAACGTGCACGCAGTAAATAAATCTCGACGATCGATCGAGGCGGATGGCCGTGGCATTACTTAAAAGGTAGCTTTTTTTGACCCAAATGAGTAACCGAATACAAACCGCGTATACCCGATGTCCAAGTGTGGCCAAGTGCGACTCGGCATTTCAATTGCGACTCGTGGAGAACGAACGTCCACCGACACTCGACGCGATCGATCTTCTCTCGCGCTCATCGCAACGATGCATCTCCGAGGCACCTCGGTGGACCGAAACCGTACCTCGACCCGCTCGAAAAGCCCGCCAAATCGAGGACGGCGGAGGGAACGCTACGGTGGCGGATCGCCCTACCGTTGTCTGGCATAATTGTACGACCGCAGGAATAGGAAATAACGCGAAATAAAGCTAACCAAATAGAAATTGTCGTCGAGGGTTGCGTCGACGTGACTCGAGTTAACGCCAACCGTCGATATCGAGCTCCGAAGTATGGAAGAGGAAACTGATCGAGGGCGAAGGAGAATCAAAGACGGGGAAATCTATATACTTATCCAAATGAAAGAACGCGCCAAGTCGAAGTTAACTTTGAAGATCGCAACGACGGTACAGGGAACAAAGAAACGAAATCCGATCGGTGAAAATCGACCCTACGGAACTTGAAATTGACGTACACTCTACGCGATCCGCTTTGCACCGGAAATAAAAAAAAATACTTGAAATCAATCGTCTTTTGGCAAAGCGATTTCTCGTCCCCCCGCATTACGCAACGGGCGCGACTCTTCGTTATGAAACGAGAACGAGCCGGCGGCCAAGACACGTGGCGTCGGATGCCGAGTTACGCTCGATTTCGGTTTGACAGCGGGAGTCACTGTAAACGGACGAATCGAGGTTAGAACTACCTGAGCGTTGCGAGATGCGTCGTCTCGTGCGATCCACGGCGCGCGGACCTCGAGTCAGAGGAGGTGCGGGGACGCGTCCTCGCTCACCCGTCGCTCGCGATCGACTGGCGCGTGCCGTCACTCCGCTCGACCTTTAAGCGACGCGCCGCCAGACGCTCCCTCCACCCCGTCAGGCCTGCTCCTGCAGCCATCTTGCGTTGCGCACCCTCGACTTGCTCCTTCCGCTCTGGACTCTACCGACTTCTTTTCGGAATCGCCGGAAGTTTCCTTATCGATCTTTTTCGCCCGTTTCCCTTTACGGAACATGTCTAAATTAGCGGCTCGCATCTCGGCAACGGATCGCGCATCGCCCCGTGGCCCGGCCAGGTGCTACTTTGTTACGAACGTGGGAAAATTCGCGGGACCCGTGGAATGATGCGAATGCAAAAAGAATATGGATGCTAATCACCGGAAACCATGATTTGCAAGTTTTTCGTAATTGCAGGACTCTTACGAAGAACTCCATTTTTCGAAAACTTTTCACGAATTATTGAAATCTCTGCAGTTGTCGTACAATTTAAAATGGTCCGCCATTCTCCACATTTTATTTCGTCAATTTTCCTTTCCTCCGTTGCATCGTTGCATCGTTCCCCGCGTTCTAAACCCTCTGTCGGTCGTCTCTTTAGTCTGAAGTTCGCGATTCGGCAATTGTACGTTCGTGTACGTACGTGTAAATTGTGCATGCACAAAACGTACAAGAGTTAGTCTTCTCGCCATTCGCACCGCTGCACCGAGGTTACTTCTTCGTAGAGAAAAAAGACAGTGTGACAGGACTGTAAATGTAATCGAGGAGTGGGGACTAGTAGAAGGTCGACAATCCTGACGAATATTGCAGTACTATCGTATACATATTTCGGTGCATCATGCACGCGCAGTTATACAATCTCGTTGCGTTACGTCCCCTTAACGCGAATTCGGTCATCCCGCCCTGTCGGTCAGACTTTCCCTGAAAGAATCGACGTGATTTAAATGCAGCGACGCCTTTTCACTTGATCAAATTCTACATCTTGGAATAAAAGTCTACAGTTAATCCAGCCGACTCCTTCGTACTCGTCCGGACTCTCGGCGCGAATTCGGTTCTATCGAAGGGCAAAACCGAGAGCGTAAACTCGTTCGGCGAGTTTTTTGCCATTTTCTCAAGCCTCCGATTATCGTGCTCCTCTTTCTACATGCTTCGTCGGCCTGAAAGTAAGATTTACGATTCAAACTCATCTTCGAACGGAAACGGAACGCACTCCAAGGGGAATAGTCGCCAACTATCCGCGAGCGTCGGAAGCTCCGCCAGTGGAGAGACCCCCCTCGAAGCGATCGATCGCGCGGCCTTCCTTATCGACCGAGGCGAACTACTTTCCGCTTCCGCGATTACTCTGGCGATTGGCTCTCTGGTCACGTGATCGTACTTCGACGCGCGTTCGTTACAACGTGGGAGTCGACTGCATACCGAAACCGATATCGCTATCGGTTCTTCAGATAACGCGCTACATTTAGAGGCTGCGTAACGCCAAACGAAAGGATCTCCTCCGAGAATATTTCGTATTCGGTCTGTTGCGTAGTGCGACATTCGAAAGGAATTATTCCGCGACCTTACCGAAACATTTTGAACGGTCCCGTGAAGCCACGTGGAGCACGGTCGGGTTACGAATAATTGAACAAAAGGTAAGAATATCTCAATTTCAGTGACTCGTGAGGAGAACGAAGGCGCTCGCAAAGACGAGAAAACGGAGTCTTCGACGCGGCGTCGGTATCGCTCTCCCGGACAACGCCCGACGTTTACGAGTTGCTCCAGGATAGCGTCCGTGTCGACTGGAACGAATCATCCCCAGGGAGCGCAAGGGTGCGATATCGGGGACGCTCCCGGCACGGATTGCTCGCAGGCGATCGCTCTCGATGATCGAAATCGGCCACGCTTATTTGCCGTCACCGTGACCCTTTTTCTTTCGTGGGGAAAGTGCCTATGCACAGCCCCGCTCCCGGCAAGGGGCAGTAAAAACCCCACGGTGGCCGCACCTCACTCGGCTACCGGGCCCTATCCCGGGGTGGAGTGGCGGGGATCGCAGCTCCCCTCCTATCCCCACCCCCTCGTGTCGCCATCTACCGGCCAAGGGAGCGCGGACCCTACGTGACCCTAGAAACGGGCCCCACCTATGGAAGCTGGTGGTCAAGTACTCGATACGGGGCCAAGGACCGAGGCCCCCTCCGGTCCATTTATTTCGCTATTGATCTTCGACTCTGGACCGCGGCGTCGCAGGGTACAGGGTGTCCCGGTATCGGCCCGACTTGGCTTCGTCAAACGATCCGTAGAACGACGCCAATGTCAATTTCCTTCATTCCGACGATGTAACCGTCGATACATGCGGGGGGGGGGGGTACGAGATTCAACCGAAATTGGTTACGCGTTTCTAATCCGCACTGAACGTTGTCGCGGAGGTTGCACGATCGAGAGTCTCCTGGATTATCTTTGAACTTTGATGTACAATTTGTTACGGCAGCGCGGATGACCGCTCCCACGCGAAAGCGATACGCAGGCGTCGTTTACGGGCAATTTTACAACGGGATCAATGTTCATCGTGGAAAGCCACACCGACTAAGCCCGAGTACCAGATACGAGGGCATTTCCTCGTACAGATTATAGGGCGATCTTTCTTATCGATCGGAAATGGTCACGCTTCGTTTGTCATCGTCCACTCCATATGACGTGCGATAACTCCCGCGTTGTCCGGCTAAAACGCAGTTTTTACCAGCGGTTCCACGACAAGGCCAATCGTCGTTCTCCCAAACCTTATCTACCGAGCACATAAGTCTCGGTATCGAAAGCGTTTCTCCGAAACGGTTAACGGTGCGCCTCGCAAAATGCGCATACCGAAAATGGAACGCTCGTCAGTTATACGTCCCCGACCAATGCGCGACCACCCGCGTGACAGAAATAGGAGGGTAAATGGAACGGCGAACGTAAAGGCTGGAAAAGGTTGAATCGCGAAACGAAGAGCGCCATCACCGATTCCCTCGATCGAAAGAAAAAATATAGATCGTCGAAGTCCCTTGGTCGAACTCGGCCGGCGCGTTCGAATCGACTCGATGACCGGTTCAACGACTGCCTTCTTGATTTTTCTTTGGCGCGAACTCGCGTGCCCGCGCCGGAGATCGACTCGATTTATCTTCCCGTCAGATTGCATCAGCTGGAATTACTCCCGATTCGATCGAGCAATGATCGAGCGATTCGACGCGGCCGCCTGATGTAATCACTCTCGCCGGCACCGCAACGCTCGTCTGCCACGCTCAATTTCGCCAATCGGGGTTATCACCCGACAAGGAAGATTCCGCCGACAATCGTCCCTCGTCCTTGGATTCGTTCATTCGTTCATTAAGGACGCACGCGGTACGCGAGTCTTCGGTTCCATTTTTAAGGATCGAATCGAAATTACTTCGCAAGGTCAGTTACTCGGTGGCGCCCTCCGCGGTCCGGTCGGCGACGTGTCTTTCCTCTTTCGCATTATCGCATTTTCGCATTATCGCATTTTCTCATTGTCGCATTTTCGCATTTTCGCATTTTCGCATTTTCGCGGTTTCGCGTTCTCGCGCCCCACTCCCCGCGCTCGACTCTCTTCCTCCGACGCGGCAACCGCGACTGACGTTCCCGCGCAAAGGTCTGCCTCGTGCGTCGCTTTTTACTCCTTTCCGGGGATCTTGGCCGATCCTTTCGATACGAGTGGGGGTCTACCTGCCCCCCGGATTCACTCGATGTGTTCCGTTTATTTTCGACGACTTATTTCGACTTAACGCGAAGGTCGAGACGAAAACGGTGACGCCAGACTGCTGGGATAATGGAGTCGTATCGTGCATATTATTGTTGCCAACAATATTATCGTTGAACAATAAGCCACGGAGCCGAGGTTTAAAAAATACGATATCGGGATTACCGTAGGAACGGTGGCATCGCAAACCGAAGGATACAAATGTCTTGGGCGATAACTCCTTTTTACGGCTGTCAGAGGCCTGCTACTTATCGGTCGAGTTGTGTGCATCGTCGATATTTACAAGACTCGATAGAAAAGAGGAAAAAAAAAAGAATAATTGTCCGAAAATATCTGACCGTTCGCTAATGGGGCCAAGATCGCAAAATCGATCCGCACGAGGCAAAGAAATCACGTAAAATTCCCGCCGACCTTTGTTTGCATTAAACGTAACTTCTGCACGAGGTTATCGATCGGAGCAATTCAAATACGGACCTCCTTCGCGCACGTGCTGGCACCTGGCCGAAATGGCAGTCGATCGATTCGTCCTTGAGCGAGTACCGCGAGAGACGGCTCCAATCATCTATCCCTATCCAACCGTTCACGCCCCCCAATGTACGAAGCGGAATTATCGTCCGACGGAACAACGAATGTCAACATTGACGTCAGGAATCTTCAAATACGCGAAATTGTCGAGTCATTGCAAAACGGCAGGATATTTCGGTCGGTTCGATAAACGCATTTGGGGCACTTACCAGAAAAACCGTGAAAATTTCTCGCCGGATCAATATTGTAAGCTTTTGGGAAATTGTGAATGCACGACACGTCTCTTTCAATGGATCGAGAGGATCGAACGATAACTCGTGCCCGACATTATCGTGACGTCTGCGATTGTCGACGCGTTCAAATTGATTTAGCTTGTGAAATTGGTTGGCTGAGAATCATTCGAATCGTTACAAAATTTGACACGTAGGTTTCGTCACGTGAGCGATCAGTGGACGCGCATTCGGTATATTCGTGTATTCGCAAATTAGTACATTCGTGCACTCGTCTCTACCCGTTCTAGGTCAATGGCAAAAGTTATGCGGTATGCCCTACATTCGGATAGGTATAAATAGCAGAAGGAACGATTTCACTTCCACCTCGGATCACGGGCAATTTCTCGAGGTCTTCCTTTCCGAGGGCCATTCGGAGGGACAACGCGAAGAAACGGACAGTTGTCATTTGAACGCGTATCCGATCGAGCCAATGACACTCCACGTAGTCGCCATACCTTCTCACGGTTTTCTCCGAAATCAAATACCCTCGACACGGTAATACCACAGCCTTAAACGTAGAGGTCCGGGAACTCCGCCAAATTTTCTTGGGGGAGGTGCTCACGTTTTGACGTCATCTTTCATTTCTCTAAATCTTTCTACGCTCCGTTTCGGAGTTCCTCGCTTTGTCGCGGCAATTGCGGAAGGGGTAAAAGCTACATGAAAGTCCGCTACGAAAAAGAATCACCTCCACCGACGGAGTTTCCGGTCCCGTGTCGATGCGATCGCGCCACTACCAGACGTTGCTCGAAATTTAGGGTCGAAACATTAGCAAAAGAATATGCCCTTACCTTTTACGTTGAGCCATCTCGCGTACCTCACCATGGATCTAATAAAATATCAAATCGGATTACTTCAAAATAACTGTTTTTAATAATCAATATTTGCGAATATCTTTATCGTATGGTTAAAAAAAGAATCCAGGTAATTTTCGGAATGTACAATTGTCGAGGTCGTAGCCTGTACGATCCTACGCGTTTCGCGGCACGTAACAATAAATATAAATAAAGTATATTGGATGCGCACCCACGTAGGGTGCCCACTGTAAATAACGTCCCCGCAGAATCGACGAATAGTCGAGGGAAATCGGGGGCTCGATCCAATTGACCGTCACTCGTTAAATACGACGAGGGTACGACTCCGCTCGCGATTTAATTAATTCATCTATTTACTTGAAACGAGAAAAAGTTAACTTCGTCCGCGGAAGACTATCGCAATCGAGGCGACTCCTCTCGATCGCGGAGCACGTTTCTTCCGTATCGGAGTAAACCCGCGTTATCGAGTGCACGTTTGTAAAAGGAAGGAACACTTTACATTGGGCAACCCGTACACCCTGACGCTCCCTTATGCGTGAATATATGTATAAATAACCTGCTGTACCTACTGTAAATTATCGGAAATCGATAAACGACGGCTCGGGAAATCACAATTCTACGTACAAACTAATGCGCGATGTAACCACCAATTATGATTTACGCCCAGCAAACACCCCGGGTCCCGGTTGGTCCCGGTTATACGTCTCGACGGTAGCGGCTCCGGAACGATCTCGAGTTGGCGCAGAAATAAACGTTACATGGTAAGTAGGCGGCCTCGGAGTAGAGGGCGACTTAACGAAATCCATTTCATGGAAATGTACGAGTCGGTGACGTCACGCAAATACCTCCGTTTGTACGAAATCGACATGAAACGACGACGCGCACGGAGTTCTGGCATTTCTCTCGTTTCGTTCTCGCGTCGTGTTTGAAAAGCATCGCGAAACTACCGGTAAGCTCGCACGGTCAAAGGATGGCTTTCCGAATCCCCCCCCTCGGCTATATTACATTTTCATTCCGGGCGCCACTCCACCTCGACGCTTTACAAAATAATATTTACAAACCAGCGGAACGAAAGCGAGAAAAGTACCGCCGGAAGACAACGACACGCGCCGCGCTGCCTTCGTCACGAATAACGCTCGCTTCCGGAGGGGAAGTCGATACCTGCTTCCGATTTGCGCACAAAATCGGCACATCTCGGCGCTTATTAACGATGACGCTATATAACCGCGTTTGCTGGGCAGGGGGGACGCTTCGCGTTTTGGCCTGCAGAATGCACCGTTGTCGGATCGACGCTTAACGAGCTACAAGACTTGACTATTGCCGCTAACCTCAAGTACGATTCGTCCATCACAACCTAGTCGAAAGGTCGAAGGTAGTACTTTTCCCTTTTACGCGCATAAATGCATATACGGCACTTACGTTTACGCGCGCACTGTATAATCTTCGAGAACCATCGCGCCTACCTACCGACCTACCTACAGTCGGGTTCGAAAGCCACCGTCGCCGAACGTCGGTATACACGGGCCAGCAACGTTTATTCGGGACTTTCCCGAGGTCTTTTTCGAGGTCACGTCGAACGAAACCTTCTCGCGAGCGGCGATATCCAGCTTCGAAAGAGAACCACTGATAGGAACGCGCGAAAAGGTGATCGCCCCCGATCACGGTAATTTCCTGAAGCTTCCAGACCCGTGTACGAGACCGTGGTTAGACGTAACCTCGAAAGACCATCGCGAGCACGACGAGGTGCTCGAAGCAAACGAAACTCTTCCAGACGCCACGGGTGACGAGAAACGTAGGCCATTTGTAGTCGTAACGAGAAAGGACCAATCGGCGATCGGTCGTCTCCGGGAGAAAAATAGGCCACTTCTAACGTCTACGGAGAGCAGCGACCTCGTAGGATCCCAAAATGGCGTGGCTGCGTACCTTGTACTCGTTTAACCGGACGCCCGACCGCCACCGGCCCAAATCGGCCCGCCGTGGAAGAGAGCCCTCGGCGCCTCACATGAGGGAGCAACAGTTCTTTTCCGAGTGGGTGTCTCCCACGGTGTCGCTGGTGTTGCCCGTGAACCGCTGGAAGTCTCCGACGGTGAGGTCGGCGTCGGAGACGGAGGCGGTGACGGGGACGGGGACGTGGACGGGGACGGGGAGTCCGTTCCCGTTGGCGTCGACGCTGTTGGTGGGCGTGTGTCGGTTCTGGGCCCTCTGCTTCTTCAGGTCCGACAAGGACTTGACGAACACTACAGACACGTGTATGTTGATCTTGCCGTTAACATCGGTGTCTGCCGTGCAAATCGGCTGCTGGCTACCGATAGGAGGGTCGGGCCCTGCGACTGCCGGAGGCAAACACGTTATAGTCCAACGATAGCTCCGACCGGTGGTTCGTCGCAACGAGGACAGAGAGATTGCACCGCGCTTTCTGCCGTGCGAGGACGCTTGGCGATTTCTTGCTCCGTTGCAACGGTCCCTGCAACCCGTCACCTCTCTCTACCATGCGGAGTCGCTCTCTCGTCTACTTTGCGCAAGCCGGGGATTCCAGGGGTGCTACCAACAACCGTGCTTCGACGGGGAACTTGGGATCCGGCGAGGGGGAGCGGAAGAGCGGGCGGGACCAGGTTTCCGGTGGGATGAGACGTGCCACTGGGATGGAAACCTCGAACCCTTTCGATACGGAGGATCGCGCGTCCGTCTTTTGGCTGTTCGAGCTCGGAAATCGTTTCGCGTTGATCGCTCCGGGTAGCAAAAGGGTTAACGAGGAGCTTCGATGGTCGTCTTTTCGTTTTGTGACCGGACACCGGGGAACGGTTCCAGAGCCGAAATGTACCAATGTGCGTCATTGAAAGAGATCGACCGAGAGATCGGATGACTGGCAATCGAGTGCAATTCTTCGAGTGTCTCGTAGTGTTCCTTCGTATGAGTGGAGTTAGGTCGGCGGACGTTTGGAAAACGTTGGTTTTTCGATTTTCGATTTTCGCTGCCGCCGCTATGGGCTATCGAATACCTATCCACTAAATTCGGAGCATTTCCGAAAACGTAGGTTTAGGAAAAAGAGAACAGTAATGTAGTGTTACAGTCCCCCTTCTTAGTTTTCAAATTTTCATCCGAAAGTGACTTTAAGTCGGATGCTCCGATCTGATATTTTCATTAAAACGGTCCACTATATTTTGTGTATTCGCGCGATCTCTCATCGTTTTACGCTTTTAAGGATACTTTTTTTTCCTGAACCGCTCTCTTGGATTCTTAGAATTCATAAATGAATGACCAATGTGATATAACGTGTTCACAAGTAAGCAATGAGCGCGCAAACGTAGAATCGGTAAATAGGTATTCACTCATTTTATAACATTTCAATCATTACGGACTCATTCGAAGATTCGTCCAAGAGGAAGCCGATAACTTTTCGATGCCGCGCTCCAATTTGGGACTCGATTTGATTCATCGATGAGACTTTCCAAATTACGTTCGACTGCGACAACAAATTCTTACTTGTAACGAAGATATTGTAATACCTCTATTCGTACACTCTCACTTTTCGCTCGTTGCTATTTTTCAATTCACTACTGTTCGTTACTGTTTCGGTAAATGCAAAAATGTGTATAAAACATTGGCAAGTGTAAAAATTCTTTGAAAGTGCGAATAATACCGTTTACCGTGAATGTGTTTCGAATTATCTGTACACGTTGTCAATGTTGCGAGAGAATACTTCATCTACATAAGTGAAGCTATGGAGAATAAAATGAAGACACTGACAAATGCGAAAATGCGTTTACAGAGAAACAAGCACATTTCATCGAGTAAATAGAAATCGTTACATTTTTCAAGATCGAGCCAGGTCAAAAAGCCCACTTTACGTTTTTTCGCACATCGATTTCTCGAGACAAGAAAAATAATTCGAAAGTCATTACAAGTACGTCCCATAAAAACCGTCGGTTAACGTAAAATACTGCAATCGTTTCGCTGATATTCAAGGCATTAGGATGCAACGCGTGCAGGTTGAATTGCGTTCCATGGAATGATTACTAGGAGCAAACTTAACGAGAGTGCACCTCGCCGACATAATTTTTAAGTTCAATAGCAACGTTAAAGGCACTTGTTCAGTAAAGAGTAAAGTGGGTAGTACTCGTAACATTCTTCGCGGGTCCATGGTTCCTGTGATCGTTTCCCTTTCTTTTTAAGCGCAAGTGCGATATGAGAGAACTGCGAAATGCATTTGCGAAAAACATCGAAATCTGCATTATGGTGCAGATTTCAATCCAAAGTGCAAAATACGTAACGATACGACCCGGTCGAATTCGACTTCCCATTTTCAAAGGGAACGATTCGGGATTTTCCGTGCGTTAAATTGAAAAACAATATCCACGATAGAAACGTAGTTGACACTTTGTCAAAAGCTTAATCGGGCATCCTTTTTACATGCTTACGAAACGTATCGACGAAAGTGGACTACGAATTAAATATTCATAACTCATATTTTAAGTAGGTTTTAAGTAGACCTTAAGTAGACTTTTAGTTGGTCCCCGGAAGTCCATGCTAATTATGATAAAGAGAGACCAATGTAACGTCCAATCGGCTAATCGAGAGGCATGTCACCACGGCGGTATCGTTTTACAGGTTAATCGGTTGTTCCCCCTTTGTAATGTGAAACTTCTTATTTGGTATTAAAACGTACAACGATACAAAGCTAACGGACGAAGGTGTGTTTTGTATGTTTTATATTCATGATTGAGGGCAACAAATGTCGATCAATCAACTTCAAACTTGTGGAAACGAAGCTCAGCCGTTCAAACATATACTTTACAACATTACCGCGTATAAAATGACGACTTAACGTCGACGTTCGTAAACAAAAATTACAGATTCCGAATAAATGGCAGTGTATGAATGTCAGGTGCTACATCGATGGTCCAGTGGTGATACAGATTTATTTTAAAAAATTTATAAAAAGATGAGAGCATGCCATCAAAATAATTACCCACTCGGTAATGCGTTACAGTTTTCCAATGGTTAACTATTCAACAAATAACCAATCCATTGGATAACAAACTGCAATTACAAGTTAATCCTTAACCCCTTGCCATACTTTGGCGAGTCTAACTCGTGATAAAAATGTGGGGCTGAACATGAATATCACGAGTCAAACTCGTGATCTCAATTTCGGATAAAAGACATTTTCCTGATTTGCTGGCATCTTTCCTCGCCATTTCGGCTCGTTTTCTGAACATTTTTGTGGATCACTTTGGCCCGGATTCTGCCGAGTTAATTTGTACGGCAAAGGGTTAACGTAGAATCGACAGATGTCGCTTAATTAGGCATCGCTTTACTACAAGTATTAAATTATCACTATTTATACAATACTGTTTTTTAACACTTGTGGCTTCGTTTATTTGTAATAATAAATAAGTCCATCTAACTTCCGATTCGGTTCAATTAGGATAGGTTCACGAATACTTGACATTATCCAATGGGTGGGTATTTAATTTCCATTTTAATGACGAAATCCGTCCCTTAAATGCCCATAAAATACAATTCGTACGTTTCAAAGGATCGTTAATGACTAGCTTCGATCAAGTCTGCTCGTTTCGTACACTCGATTGCAAAAAAAAAATCGCCCGTTTTATGAGCGACTTCTCTTCGCAACTTTCGGTAATCGTTGACGTATGGAATTAACAAAAAGGTCGTTAATTTTCGCGTTCGTACAATGTATATAAAAAGTTCCTAATATAGCGAAGTTTTACCGTTTTCGCCTGCGGTAGTACTTATTATCCGAGAGATATTTAGTAATGGTAGTATATACTAGAGGGGAAGATCGAGAAAGAGTGTGCGTGTATCGTGTATGACAAAGAGAGATATAATGAGAAAAAAGGGATGCACTTGACATTCACATAACACATACCGTTCGGGCTCCTTACATCGTGCTTAGGGCACGAGCTACATCGTTACAAAGAATAATTAAGAGCGTGTAATTAAAGGTAACGAATGCGTGACGGATTAAAGGAATAAGAATGTCACGTAGAAAACTGACCTCGGAATTGTTTTTAGATCAGGAGCGTTCGGAAAGAGAGAAACAAAGAAAACACACAGCAGATAAATGATCGGTGGCCAAACAAAATTGCGTCCAACATTGTATTTACAATATCGAGTGGTACTCTGGCTACAATATGCAAGGTGGGTTAGTCGATACACTTTACTCTCGACCGGCCGGCCGGCTGGAGGGGCAGGGAAATCGATCGAGATTTCGAGCGCGATTCGCCGGATGTGCCCGAGACGCCGACGACTCTTTGTCGGGCCCCTATTCCGCGCGGAATCGAACTTTGGAGAGCACCCAACGAGACTCGGTAACCGATGTCGAAATTCTTCAACTTTTAGAATTACCAAGAGGCTTGGATTCCAACGAGCCTCTCGACACGCGCATCGACAACGTTTTATTAGAAGTAAGTCAAAAAGAAACCTACGACGACAGCTCTCAATTGGTGATGGCGTTATTGCAAAACCGAGGACGATTCCCGCGTTCGGTACACACCGGCGATCGCGTTCGTAGTTTCCCGACCGAAGCAAACATTTCAGGCAAACATCGACATATATATGTGTATATATATATATATATATGTATGTATATATGTATCGGCGCCTCCACCGTAGTTCCATCGACGGAGAGCCACCGTTCACCATAGTAATCTACCGTACCACAACCAGTGCAAGCAGGGAAAGCTTCGAAAGGTACCTGAGTCCTTGTCGACGTCCTCGGGCATAAAGGAGTCGTTGTCCTTCCCCTCGGGGCCTCTGCGCACCGCCGGGGTCAGAGCCGCGGAATCCGTTTCCTCCGTCGCTCCGTCGCGGACGTTCGTCGTGTTTTCCGACACGGCGATGCTTCCGATGTACGTCTGTCGAGACAAACGTCGTAAATGTTAACCGATCGCAACTCGCTCCTTGGGGGGAGGACGGCGGCGTATCTTGGGGACGCTCGTATATTCATTGACGTATTCCATCCAGTACGTGGACACTTTACCTGTTGAGCCTGTAACCTCAGCCGGGCTTCCTCTTGTGCGTCCTTCTTCGTAGTGAGTACCTTGTCGCGAATCGAGGTACGCCGGACGCTCTGCGTACGCGTGTTTATGCTTTGTGATCTGCGTACTCTCCTGCCTTGGGCTTCTCTCAGTCGTTTGCTCTCCTGCTCCGTCTTCAATTCCACTATGCGTTCCCTGATTTCGGGATCCTCGCAGATATCTGCAAGCGGGAAACTTTTTCATGAGCTAGAGTTATGGAATATAACACGGATCCTTGGCCGGAAAGAATCAAAGGTTTGACATAAATCGTAAAATATTATTCCAGTTATTACGATTAAGTTATAATTCGAGTACGCCGGAAACTGGAAGAACATCGTAATTCAAAGAATATGACAGAATTGTGAAAGTAAGCAACTGTGCGCCGCTTTGCGGAGATTAAGTATTAGAATTTTACCGGAAACTTGACCGAAACGTTTCCGGTAATGTTGCGTGAATTGCGGACTTTCCTGCAAAGGGCGATCCCTGCGGAGATCTTTATATTTCTACTAATTTAATCTGCATGTCGACTGACGGTAAATTAATTATCGCAAAATGGATACATCTTACCGGCCGGAGTTTCGTCGTGTTTATTCTTCGCGTTAAGATCAGCACCATTTTGCACCAGTAGCTCGAGAACCTCCAACTGAAATAGAAAATTATTTATGTTAATTGCCGACGCCGAATGGAAACGTTCACTTCCGATTACTCGATGTTGCGTTCTTATTAAATTGTAGATTAACTTACGTGGCCCCAACAAGCAGCCGCATGAACCGGCTGCCACTTGTCGTTGTCTTCGACGTCTATCGAGACATGTTGGTCCAGAAGGAACTCTACTACCCTTAAGTAACCATTTGCCGCAGCTATGTGTAACTGAAACAAGTATTTCCAAGTATTCCGACTCGACTCAACCGATCATCGTATACGAGACGAAACGCTTACTACGTTACGTTATTAGATGAGACAAAAGTGTCTCCAACGAGCTTTCTCGTGTCAACCGGCCTCTTCGGTAAACGCGATCTCCGCGTTGCAAGGTAACGGAAATTCTGATAGTTACCGGTGTAGCACCTTGATGATCCTTGTACTCGAGATCTTCACCCACAGAGGCCATTTTTTGGAGGTCCCGCAACATCTGAACCTCCGTGGAAGCCCTCGTCTCGTCTATCAATTCTTGGGTGACCCCTCGCCGCGCCATTTCACCTAAAAGGCATCGACGCCAATCGTAAGGACGAAGGTAACGAACATCGCGACGCGGGACGACCGGTCCCCTCCTTACCCTCGATGCAGTCCAGGGTTTTCTCGTCGTCGCAGATGTCGTAGGGCATGTTCCCATCGGCGTTGACGGCCAGGAGGTTGGCTCCCCGGGCTATGAGGTACCGCACCAGATGCAGATGCCCGCAGGTGGCAGCGGCATGCAGCGGCGTCCACTTCTCGCTGTCCTCCGCGTTGACGTCGGCTCCGAATTCCACCAGCAACTTCATCATCTCCTCGTTGTCGTCGATGCAGCACTGGTGCAACGCGGTCAGCCCGTCTTCGTTCGTGGAGTCCGGATTGACGCCCTTCTTCAGAAGTCTCCGAACTGCGAACGGGCAACGATTCGGGGAAGTCGATTCGGTCCGAAACCTTCCCGCCCCGCGACGCGGGTCGATCCCCGAGGACTCACCCTCGTCGATGTCGTCCCTGGCGGCCGCCTCGAGCAGCATGACGCTGTCGCTGAAGTAGATGTGCCGCTTGTTGCTGGAGTGCCTGGTCTGGTGGCGCAGCCATTCCTTCTCGCGGTGCCGCCAGACCTTGAGCTGCTGCAGCCTCCGGTGCCGAGCCAGGTGCAGTCTGTCCTGCGTGGCCAGCCGCTCGACCTGCGCCATCTCCGCCACCAGGTCCGCGTGCTCCATCGCGACGCGTTTGTGGTTCTTGCAGCTGTACTTGCCTGCTTGGGAAACGCGACCGAATTATGGGATCGCCGTTTCCTGCATCTTATACATTTTTACGCCCGAGACCGCTACATGGTAGGTAGCGTTTGACTCGAAGTTCAAAATGCCGGGGCACTCGTCTTTCTCGCGGCGTTCTCTGCCGCCGGCAGGTCTCCGCGCGTGACCGTTCATTTTCAATACAATTATTTCTGGGCGAGATCAAACTCTAACTCCCGTACGGGGCAAGACCCGATCTCCGGCATCGCCTCGAGGTGAGAAGCATAAAACGGGACCTCCAACTCCCCCGACTTCAATGCTGGGAACTTCCGGTCTGCTCGTTAAGGACCCGTGAAATAATAAGTTTAGGCGACGGCGCGCACGAACCTCTCGACGTTCCAGTGGCTCGAGCGAGACTGTACCAACGTACGCAATTTAATCCGGCACAAATACGCGATGCACGTGAAAATACTAAAACGGTACCAGATGCTTTGCGGAAACTTCAATTTTCAGGATGATACTCTACCGATGTTTGGTTATAAGGCAATCGGCAACAACGCATCGGATATATCTTACGAATGTTTGCTTATCGTCCGTCTTCCTCGTCTTTCCATTTCCGTTTATTCCGGTTTGTTCGGAAGCCACCGAAACACAGGTCGATTTAAAGGTTATATAATCCGACCGGGTCGAATCAATGCTTTTCGAGAGGTTTTGCGTTAAAACCAGCTCGAAAGAGCCCGAAGCGACCGATCGAGACAAAAGCCAAAGCCAAAGGGTAGAACGTGCCGGCGCACACGGGAAGCCAGCCGTCAATTTTTAATGCCCGAGAACGCGTAAATTATGCAGCCGACATAATGGCTCTCAACCTGCGAGATACGAACCTTTCGAATTGAAAACCACGCGAAAGATGGAAGCAAAATGACGGCGACGAGACCCGCGAAAAGGGCGGAAGGGCGGAAAGAATCCAAGGGACCATGCGTTGCATCGATCCAGAAATCGTTTCAATCCGTCGCCCAACGAGGGTACCGCGAGCCGTTTTAAAACGGCACCCGTAATTCACGATATGCGGTGCTCGAATATCATTGGACAAGGTGGGGCACTTGACGTTACGACCTAGATTATCTCCCTGGTGTAGACAAGAGGCACGCCGAAGCGAACGAACTGTGAGAACGAAATCATTTTCCCTTTTCCTCCTCGCCGCCTCGCGTCGCGGTTCTCCCTATTTTCCGAGGTTAACGTCCCGGACCGAAATTCTCGTCCGTTTACGCGCCCTGGAACCGTCACGGAGGCTTTCTCGCCGACAAGCCACCCAGGTGTCAAAGTTGGGCCTCAACCTCGAAAATGTCGAAAAACGCCCGATCTAGGTTTCTCGTGAAAAGAGCGGTAACTCCCTCCGGGGAAGATATGCCTCCAAGAAAATTCTTACCACTCGCGTGCCCCGAAGAATCGAACCTTCGGCGCCCCGTTTAGGGCGGAGTCGACTTTGAAATTCGTTTACAGCGCGATACTCACTTCGGAAAACCATGAGAAGATGAAGCGTCGACACTACGAGTCCCGAAACCGGCGTAATTCGCGGGGCAGGCTTTTCCGATGAAAGCTCCTCGGGGTGAATTCCCGCGAACGGGACAATTCCGCCGCGTACTGGATATTTTTTCAAACCGGAGGGAATATCGACGTCATCGAGACTCTTTGCCAATATGGCGCCGGCTACCCTCTCTCTCTCGGGGCCGCTCCACTCGACTTATCTGCCGACTTGGATTTAAGTCCTCGGACAATATTTGCACAAATGGCCTTTTTATAGATACCGCGGCCGAGACGCGTATGCAAAATCGGATGAAACCGACGCGCCTTCTACGTACTCGTTACAAAAGAGTCGTCCGTCGCGTAATCGGATCCCCGAAATAACGGCGGGTCGTTAACGATTTCTCGTGAAAATCGGGAGTAATTCGTCCAAGTCGCTCCTCGAGAGAGGCTCGAGGTATCGCGTAACCGCGAAGGAGCACGGGGAGCTCCCGCTTCCATTTAAAACTGGCCCTATATTTCGTTGCCGAGTTAGCCCGTGTCGACGCTAGCGACCCTTGTGGAAAAATTCAACACTTTCGAACGTTCACAGTGACCGATGCGATACCGTCCCGAGAATACTTCCACGACGATCACGGGACATTTATCGCTCAGCCTCTCACAAATTTAATGTACAAAAACGACAAGACCGGTTACACGAGCCGACCGTGTTTACATATTCACGTACAACGTAACAGCACCCCCGACTCGTATGCCGAGCGTCGCCAACAATTTGCGCAAGGATCTCTCCCGTCTCCGTCGTCCAACTCGGCAGGGAACCTGGGATCAAAACTTCCCCAAGAGGCCCACAAAGTAGGAGCTCCTTGTGCTCCTTTATGGACGAGACCCGCGTTCAACTTTGACGTCTCGAGGAACCCTCGACACCGGCATCGCGGTTACTCGTCGGGTTTAGAGGTTAAGTTTGCCGACTCCCGACTTCGGGGGCGAGAGAACCATTTCGCCTTTGCGAGCGCCGAACTTTTGGACAATTCGGAGCCTCGACGACGAGGAAAGAGCCGGAAAGAGCCGGAAAGAGCCGGAAAACCGTAAGGCAGGTCCAGGCGAGAAAAGGCGGAAAAGCGGGCTCCGCCTTCGCCCTCTCCGGCCGTGCGCGGTCGGCAATCCAGTTCTTTGCTCTTTTCCTTTCTCTTTCGGCCCGCTTAACGTCTCGAACGAGAGCAAACGGTAAACGGCTGGCTGGAAAATAGAAATTTCGCGTCCCGGCGAGTAAATGTATAGTAATGTAATAATTCGCGAGGCATGGAAAGGGAAGGGGAGGGAGGAGCTCGCCAAGGTAGAGGAAAGGACGGTTTTCCGTCCCGAGGAGAAAGAGTCTCTCGACGGCGAAATCCTCCAAGGAGGCTCGAAATGCTTACGTCGTTCCGACTAGAGAAAAATCTTTTCAAAAGTGCTCGCTAACCGAGGAGCACCGAGGAGCAAAACAGTCGCGAAATAGGCGCGTTTCTCGAGGGAATGCAATTCACAAAATTATTCTTTCTTTCCTCAGGGGCTCGTCACGTCGCTCGCAGGGGCTGGCGCCTATTTTCCAACAAAACAGTGGCAAGGTATACAACTATTTTATTTTCCCAAGGTGACGCTCGGGCCCGCAATTTCCGCTGGAAGATGGGAGCCGCGGGTCCCCGAAGCGAGCCCCGTTAAAGTGATAAAAGTGCCATCTGAAAACGAGTTGCAGCCTGGAGAACGCGTTTCCCGGTATCCCCGCGGCGATTGCTCGGCGATCGCTCGGCTTGCCTGACCTTTTCCGAGCCGGGCCGAGCCGGGCCGAGCCGGGCCGAGCCGAGTCCATTGCGTACCGGCTATAATCGCCCAACGATCGAGATCCTTCCACCCGGAACTAAGGACGAGACGTCCTTTACGTCTCTCCGTTGAAACGCGATGACACTCGCCGAGGTAGACGAGGAACGGCGCTGTTAACCGTCCAGTCTGAGACCAAAACGAGAATGCATACGTTACGGTATGCATAACAACACAGCGCGGAACCCGTAAGCGCGATTAGCATAAGAATTATGCGTAATGGAGATTAAAAAAGGCAATAATCACCCCCCGGCTTCGAACAACCGGAATCGGTACGCGATCGTTCATTCTGGTTACGGTCGGGTCGAGCAACGATTCGCGATTCCACGTCGTGGGTGTACGACTTTTTAATTAACGTTAAGGGGAGTCCTTTAATTTCCGGTAATCCTCGAAAACGCGGTCACCCACGATCGATCCGATTCCGGTCCCTCAGCGAACGTTTTCGTCTTGCGGATTCCGCTTTGGACGATTCGCCGATTCCGCGACGAATTTCTCGCGGAGCCCGAGGGCCGACTAATTTCTACTCCGACTTCCTAGATAAAAGCGTTTTGCCGTTACTTTCTGCTCTCGGGGAGGAGTTACGATTCACGGAGACGTGCCAAATGTTTCCAATATGTTTTCGTGACTTACAATATAATAGGAATTTCACGCATAGGCGCAGAATTTGAGGCGCGGCTTTTACCCCGCCACAGGGAATGGACTCGACACTTTGAACAAACGTGTTAATACGGTAGAGTAGAGTAGAGATACTACGACATTGGAAATAAAGACAGACTTATATTTATTTTCTGTCGATTTTTAACATCTAGGAACGATGCTGTATTTTAGTCGTTTCGAGCCTTTTGTTACTTCTTCCATTGGACATCTCCAAATATTTTCCAACATAAATAAAAGAGTATAAATTGTACTCGCGTTCACGAAATAAATATGACTTTGTGAATAGACTAGAAAGTAACATCCTAACCAACGAGTCCCCCGAAGGGCATACCACGACCCTGGGCAATATAAATTTCATTAGAAACTCCCGTAGCTCGATGATCATAAAAATGTCAAACATTATGATATAGAGGAAGCGATCCACGTGTCAAGAATCGAGAGAAAAGTTGCTTAGCAATCGGAGCGGTGCTACCCTGACCAAGAAACACAAAAAGGAATGCTTACTTAATGCAGCGATCACGGATATGGCAAACGTTGAAAGCAATGAAGAATTGAATAATCATTTTCCTGTGCACGGCATTACACGCGTTCGCAGACGATCCCGTTAACGGCTCGATGCAAAACTGTCCGTCTCTTCTGCTTCCAGCGATCGAACGACCCCTTCCCACTTTATTGACATAACCGCGCGAATCTCGACTGGTTTTCTAGTAAAAATAAAGCCAGTTCGAGTTCATTACGCTCTGGCTCCAGCGCTCGAAGGAAATCGACAGATACCGTTTAATTTCCTCGAACGTTCCTTGCAGAGGGAAAAAAAAGGATCACACGGGAAATCGAACGGACCTAGCCGAAGAGAGCGGCCTAGTCGAGGAGAGCGACCTTTGCAAGAAACGCAAAGGTACATACCACGAGTCTCGGGTGTGCGTGGCCCGGCGCGTGCCCCGGCGTCCCGTGGCCTCGCCACTTTTCCTCCCGGCGATGCTTTCCTCTCGTTCCGGAACTCCCGACCTCGGGTCCCGCGCACCTCTACGAGGGCGAAGCGCGGCCGACCGCGCGGCCGCGCGCCATCTCCGCCGTGCGGGAGGACTCGCCGACCCGAGGGGATCGTCTTCTTCCGAGGTCGGCCGCGAACTCAGGTCGGTACGCCGCGAGAGCCGAGCACTGCACACGTAAACGACCGAGGGACAGCCGCCATTTTTTCAACTACCTGTAGGAACTGACGCCCTCGGCCATTGGTCGAGGCTTACGCAGACGGGGGACCGAGACGGCGGGCGGTCGCGGCCCACCCCGCCTCTTGTGGCTCCCCCACTCCGCCTCCCGGGAGACCGGTAACGCTGCGCGCGTCCACGCGCCTTTCCCTTCACCAGTTTTACAACTACTGTGATTAAATGTGACGTAAACGACGTTGTTCCCTGGTTTAACTGTAAAATGGCGTTTATACCTCACTTAAACTCAGTGCTTACAAAACTGACGTAGAGCAGGACGGGTAAAGCCCGGTTAACCGAAGTTTAGCTGGTTTCTACCTGCTGTGACCCGATTAAACTCCGGTTAACTCGAGTTGGGGAACCGGGGGTTAAATGTACGTTGCTAATCTTCTCTCTGCGGTCCGTGGATTCGAACCGAATCGAAGATGCGGTCGATCGGGTATAACGCTCGTTCGAATACATTTTCAAGTTCGATGTGAGTAACCAACGATCCAGTCCGCATTGAAACAAATGGCATCTTATAAAAGAGGTGCCCAAATGGCGGTCGTTGCCGGAATGTTTGCGACGACCGGCAGCACGATTGGCAAAATGGCAGGCGAAGTTGCCATGACGTCATCGGTAAGTGGCGAGAAATTTGAATCGACTACGACGAAACGAGACTTTTTCTTGAATGCTCGTATTATAAAAGAAGATAAAAATGTATAAACGTATTACAACTGTGAGTAAATGGTTCTCAGTTATCGCAACATCTTAGAAATGTAAATTTGATAGGTACAATGGTTCTTTTTAATATAATACAATGTTCCATGCTTCATATTTTGATTCAAATTGTTTAGTATCGCAGGGACTACTTGTCATTAATTTTGTTATGCACTAATTTACGTTATCATTGTTTTGCAGTTGTTTGTCCTACTGAAAGTATTTCTCTTGGGGCTTATGGTAACGAGCAACACCGCAGGATGCATGCTTTTTGTTAAGGCGCTTCAACAAAGCGAATCGTCTTTACCGATGACGTTAATAACCTCTGCTACCAGTTATTTCTGCTCGGTTAGTGAAAATGTGTTTATTTGTTCTACAAATGTAGATTTTAAAAAGTATGTAATACCAAAGACATTAAGAAAAGAGCTTCTAACCATTTTGCGCAAAAAGTAGTACTTCTGTGTCTTAAAAGACTAAAGTATGAATTAAAAGTACAAATTCTACCTAACTTAAATGGCCAATTATTTCTACATTTTTTTAGGCTCTGGTTGGTTTTTTGGTTTTTGGTGAATCGACATCGTTAACCTGGTGGGGTGGAACCACGCTCGTACTGTTGGGTCTTCTTCTCGTCTGTCACTCACCCGTCAAAGATTTCAAGGAAAAATCAAAGAAGGAATAATCCAGAGTACTGCGTTATCTCAAAGTCAACTTACCCCTGGCTTCCAAAAGTGACTGGAAATAAATCTGTATTTTATGTCAATTTACGTAATTTAATAAATGTATTTTTATATCAAATACGTTATTCAAACAATTCATTTGATCACAAGCAATACTGTAACAAACAACTATGCTTGAATGCGTCGATAACGTGCCTCCAACATAAAATAACAAGTTGACGATCCATGTTTGGTCTAACAAAATTGCTTATCAAAATTCGTGCAATTAAAAAAAAAAAAAACTGTATAGGCAGCTCCCGTTCCTTCTTAACGATACGATAACGTCGATGCTTACATAAGTAAGAATAGACTAATTACTTCAATTATATAATTAAAAGGGAATGTATCTTCTTGTTATTATCATTTCAAATTGTCACCCGTGTCGCTGCACCAATTAAAATTAACGAGTCAACGAGTTACACCGTCTCGATAAAAGTAAAAGGTGTAATTTCAGTGGGCGAGAGAAAGAGCACGGAGTTCCCTTTCGTTCGATCGGGTGTCTGCGCCCAATTGGTTGTGACGACATCGTTGTTTACGTGAGAAGTCAGTTATTTTATTAATTGGTCCCCGCGCAATTTGCATACCTCATTATGCACGCACGTATGCAGCGCGGGTGTCCGTGGTGCATGCATTCGTAAGCGCATTTTCCTCGATCGCGTGCAGGGAGAGCTAGGGAAAGCGTTAACGAGGGTATAGTCCCTGCATGCGAAGAGCCAACCGCCACTCGTCGCCTATCAAATCCAGGTATACCTCGCTAAATCTTCTCATAAAACGAATGTCACGGATTTCTTCATTTCGAACGGAATAATCATTAACTGTTAACCTTAAAAACCAGGGTTTCGAGGTTTAACCAAAGATCCGGACGAGGTTAATTAATCGACGTGTATTTGTCGAGGGCGTATGTACTCAGGAAATCATGGATTTAAGTGCTCAAAGTTACGTGGGAATCACCGAAATATTGTCAACATTTTAAAGCCGAACGTCCCTAACGAATCGTATTGCCGTTTATCATACGAAATCAGAGGAAATCGATTTTCAAAGGAGAAAATAGTTTTCGCGGATTTCCAGGTGAGTAGCCCCTCGATACTTGTACCGTTGGCGGTTTCGAGAAAAAATTGATTAAACGGAGTTTCCAGGCTGAATATGCGAAGGAAAACAGTTCCGATGAAGCGAAATAAAAAAATGGACTCAGCGAGTCGTTCGTTCGTCCGTCCGACCGCTTCCAGTCGGCGCCTCGCGGGTATCGAGAGTCTCTAGGACGGGAACTAGCTCGAGGGTTCTCCGGGGACTCGACAAGCGGCGCGCCGTCCCCGCTCCCGTCCCCGCTACCGTCCCGCGTGCGGGAGTGGAGTTCCTCGCGCCTTGGAGGACACGGAAGCGGAAGAACGAGAGAGGGGAGAGACAGCGAAATGGAGAAGAGAAAAATACCAGGGGACGCAAAAAACTCGAGAGCTGCTTGTTTTAGCGCCAAGAAGTGCTTCTACGTGCTGGAACGCTGCCGGGGATTCGACAAAAAAAGAAAGATAACATTCCAGTTTCTTTGGGAGCTTTATCTTCGCCTCGTTTCGAGGAAAGAGAAGCACGAAACATTGTAGGCGCCTTTCTAGCGGCTCCGTGTCCTTATTTACTCCTTTCTTCGTTCCATCGTTTTCGATTTTTCTTTGCCCTTTATCGTTATTTCATCGTTTGGGTTCATTCGGCTTGAACGCGAATGGCAATTATCTAGCTCGCGTTTAGGGGATGCGAACGTTCCGACATATCCACAAAAAAAATGAGTCTTTCCATGTACATTCTATGTATATCAAAACGTTAAAATATTGATAAAACCGAATCATTTGAAATTTCGGGACATAATTTCGGAGGCCCTAAGGAAAAACGCGATGCTCGTGAAATATTGTTAGAGGAAAAAGAAATAGATCCTCGGTTCCAGTCCGGAATAAATAAAAGGACTTTTTCAATAAAATTTCCCGAGCGTCGCGCTCTTCCTCGGGGCCTCCACGGTCACGTGCCGATTCGTGCCGGACAACACAACAAACGTGCCGGCTAACGACTTCGGCCGGCACCAAAGGGCCCCCCCCCCCCCCCGAGTCCGGAGGAGCTTAGTTCGGGCCCCTGTACGGGCGGGGAGTCGGCTTCGCGTACGCATCCATTCAAGGTGGCGGCAGGTCGAAAACGGAACCTTCGACCGTCGCCGATCGCCTCGGACCTGGCAGACCAGATTCCCGTATTTCTCTTCTTTCCGGAGCACGGCTGGAGGGGCGGCGTTCTATCGAGCGGCGCCTGCGCCCTGCCGACCCCCCGGCAGAGGGGCCGCCCACCTGTCCGCCCGATTCCTGGCCGGACGGAACAGTTCTCGCACGGCGCGCCCTTGTGCCACGCGACCGATCTCCCCCTTGTGCGGGTCAGGGTGCGTCTCCTTCCGCAGCGAACTCGGATGCCGCGTATCTTCCCTCTCCTTCTCCTCGGGCTCCCCTCGAGTGCGTCCTCGAGTGCGTCCTCGAGTGTCGCCGGCTCGCGGGCGAAATTCGAAATCGGCCGTCGTTATTTGTAACGCGCGACGGACGACGAGTCGCCCCTCTCCTTCGTTTCGCTTCTTTCCGTCATGGTTTTCGACTTCCTCCTCCTCCTCGCGCTGCGGGGGGCGTCGGGCAACGGGAGCGGGGGTGGAACCGTGGTCGAATTCGCCGGCAGTCGAAACAGTGACCTGGAAGAAATTTAGAAAATTATGCAATGCCGTAAACTTAAGTTTTGCCGAGATAACGAGAGGCGCGATCGAATTAGCGGAGCGCTGCATGGGAATGGAAAATGAGGAGCACGTGACCGCAATCGACCAGTCGGTGAGACGTCATCGATTCGGATCCATTGACGACGATGCATGTTCGACCAATCGCTTAGGGTCGCCAGGAGCGACTGTATCGTGTGCCTGGACCACTGTCCGATCGCGACACGTGGAGGATACCATTGCGTCTTTCTAACGCTTTTCTCCCGCCCTTGCATCTCGCTTCTACTTTGCTCTATCTCGTTTGCTCTCGTCCGGACATTCGTCTCTTTGGTACTATTCAAAGAAACGTTTCTTTGGTTCGATGAATTTTTCTTCTCGGGGGAATTTGCGAGTACTTTCAAGAGAAATAGCGTACTTCGATGGACGAATGAATTACCTTCGCCACAAGTACTCGACTCGACGATTAAATCGGTCGATTCGTCCGTGCGGAAATCGACTATCGATTTCGACCACGGTCGGGCACGAGTCGTTTGAAAATGAACCGGGAAGGCGAAACTCTCTTGTCCCAATTTCTGACGCATCAAAGTGCAATTCTTAATCTCTAAAAGCGATCATTAGTGCGGGAAAATTGGTTGCACCTGCTGCTCGTCGACCCTCGCGAGTATCGATAAGCGCTCGAAACCGCTCGAATCCAGGTCGACCCCGAGGAACGTCCAAGTTCCATGCTCGCTATTTTACTCCGCCACCCTTGCGTCCCGAGAGAGGAAGCTGCGTGCCAAAAATATGCCGCGCATAAATAGGGAACATATTTACAAAGTAACCTTGGCCGCAAAGGATCTTAAATCAAAGTTTTACTTTTGCTAAACGGGTAATGTTCGCGTCGACATTCCGCGGGGCAACCGTAACGGAGGTTCAATGGCGACCTTTTGTCCCTCCGATCGTTTTATATTTTTTCCCAAAGCGTCCCTTGAGGAACGGTCGCGGTTAATTTGCGATTATTTCTCCAGTCGTTAATGGTCATTTTTGAAATCGGTTCAGAGAGCCAATCGAATCGCGGCGGTAACTCCGGCTATTCGTGGCAACGACGGTCGGTTTTCGATGTCATTTTTTTTTTTGAGCCTGCCAAACGATGCGTTTTGCCGACTCGGGACAAAAATGAAGTAAGCCAATTGACGCCTTGCAAAGCCGAACGTCAAGTATTGCCACGTGCACGAAACCACGCGTAAGAGGGTTTCCTTCGTTTCCACGTTGCGTAATACGCTATATTATGATATAATGCAATAAGGTTAGGATGCATATAAAGACGCATACATTCGGTTCATCCATTAAACGATTGCATAATGCTTTTCTCGCGTTACTTGGGAGAATCACCGACGTGGCACGGTATTCTTAGAAAATGTTCCGAGGCGAGCAGAAAGTGTTTTTCCCAAAAAATATTCCTTTCCAGGGAATCCAATTGCGAGACGCAAAGATGAAAACCCGAGGAAAAGTTGTCGGAACGAGGCCGAACGAATGGATCTCTTTCTCCCTTAATTTCGGATTGTTTCCGAGGCTGTGGTCTGCCGAGCTGAAAATTCTTAAAACGCTTTGACCGGTCCTTTCGTTCGTTTTTACCGTTTCCCGAAATAGACGGTAAATTTATAATACAAGGAGCCCCTTTCGCGAAAAATCTAATTACGGAAACTAAAGGTGAAAATTCAAGAGAAAGGCAGAGGAGAATCGAACGCCGGAAAAGGATGGAAATGAAAAGATTTCTAATTCCTCCGATTTCGGAAATCTAACGAAGTAGACGTCACCGATAACCGCGAGTCCGCCGTTGGTAAAAATTCTCGCCCGCGCGACAATCTTTTCCGCCATATCAGGTCCCGCGACCATTTTCCGGGGAATCTATAAAAGAAAGAAAATGCGAGGTCGAGGGGGGGATAAGGGAAAATAAGGGAAAAGCCGTTTCTTCCGGCCGGCCCTCTGGCGGCGCGCCAGTCGCGGGACAAAGTCTCGAAATTAAAAAGGGACGCGAGGGAAACACTTGCCCCCGAATCGTCGCGCTTCTTCTGCCGAGCCATCGCACCGTCCATCGCTTCCTGCCAATTTCAGCTTGTCCGATCGATGTTTCGTACCATTCGGTGTCGGGAGGCACCGATGCGCGCCTGCAGCTCGCCCGGGACCCGGGACCCGGGACCCGATTTTCGAGCTCGTACGCTCAGCTTTCGCGAGCGAAATTGACAAATTCGTTGACGACTTTCAAACGTTGACCAATGACGGGACTTCGGGACAGTGGGAAATATTTCATGCGAAAAATATCCACACGAACTCGAGAACCGATCCGTGTCCGAACCGTCTCCCGGCTTTCGACGGTTCGATACTTTTGGGAAACTGACTCGCAAAAAAGCGACCGAACTCGTTGTCGGCCATATCGACAACTCGTAACGACGAAACCGATGGAATTATTTGCGGCACCGGCGACGTTACCGCACGGGACCAACTGCAGATTGGTCGAAATCGGAGACACAACCAGAGAGACGGGCACTCGACACCGGCGGTGTTTGCGGAACTCTCGAGCACAAAGGATCGATCCGCGAGTCAAAGGACTGGGTCGAAACTCGTCCACGGGTCGTCTACGCGTTTAACATCGATTTCGCGCTCGGGCTCTCGCGACCGATAACAACGGAAAACGGCGTTGTCGGGTTTTGCAAAAATGGCGGCAAATGGGCTCGAGAGATTTCCGGGTTTCGAAGAGCCGATCCTCGAAGATCCCTCGGTCCTGCCAAGTTTCCCGCTCGATATGCATCTTTGATATGGCCCACATCTCGCCTAATGACGATCGATCTTGTCTAGATGAGGGGAGCCTAAGAATAGCCAAGTGGGTAACGACAGCCGGCAGACAAAGGAGACGAGCAACGACCCGTCGTCCTTGCTTCCGAGAAGGAGCCTCGGCGGACAATGTGGCCCGTCCGAGAACGAATTCAAGAGGCGCGCCCCCCGAATTAACGGGTCGATCCCCTAAGCCCTCTTCCGCCATGGGCAACGGCATGAACAAGGTACGACTCGCGGATATCCGAGGACGAAGGGCCGAGCCGGACCAAACACTGGATTCCATAGTTCGGACCGAGTTTTATGAAACTGCGCCTTCTTTCGTTGCGAATTTTATTCGAGTACTCCCGTAGCGAGCGTGCCAAAAGGTATAAAGATCGTGAAATCGTCTCGGACAAACGATTGCAAACGACGATACCGGACTACCGTGGACGACGCGTCGTCGCTTTTACGTCCCAAAGGTGGCCGCCGCCATCTTGGACGGCTCCCGACATGCCTTTCTTCTAGGATCCATTGTCCTATTTACCTTCTTCGCGGGGGAGGTTACGAAAGAAGGTACGGAAAGGGTTTCCATCTCTCTTGGTTTAGGGTACGTCGAGGACGAGCGATCCCATATTTTGGCGATCCGGGAGCGTTCCGCGTAAATCCGCCGGAACGGCGGATTCACCCCGTGCGAGAATACGAAATGACCTCGGTCGCGTGAATTTTCTCGCGCGGCGGAAAAACGAGGCTCGAGCAGCCAATTGAAAATTCAAAGTCGAAGGGCCCCGATTGATATCGAAGCCGTGTTCCCTTTCAACGGTCGAGGGCCGCGGAAGAATGTGGGATTTAACGTGGAAATTACCGCCATCTATTCTTTCGGCTCGTCTGGCGAGGAAATATCGATCAGAGTTGGGCATTCGGGTTGCTGCACTCAACTTCGGTTACCGATCGGGTGCACAGATACGGGGGCGCCAATATCATTAGCGTTAATTACAGGGGAGACAAATACCTCGAGAGCGGCGCTCTCTTTCTCTCTCGAGTATTAACTCGAAGAGCCAATTCCGAACGTTGCAACGGCACGCCACGGATTTCTGTCCTGCGAGCGGATGGCTAACGTCGTTCGAGGCGGGTTTATCTTCCATTTACCGGTGTACTCGCAAAGTGGCTCGAAGACGGAATTCTATCGATAAAGGAACGATACCGCTCGATTTATGAAATACCAGCTGGAAAACGTGGCAATCCGCGGAAGAACGTAACACGGACTCGCCATCGCGTCGGGGTTACGCGCGTTGAAAATAAATGAAATCTCTTTAAGGAATCCGATCTTAGATACGTTTGTAGTCTTTCTCGGCAACGCTGCATAATTCGTCTCATCCCTGCGATATTAAATATTTTCGTGACGGAGTGGCGCCGGTCCGGAGCGAGTTAGCGAGTTGGCCCTGGCGAGTGGCCAACGATACGTAACGGAGCATTTGCGATTTACTGTCGCCAGACTCGAACCGAAAGTATGTATGTACCGGGTATCCCAAAATGAACGCCCGATAAAAAGTGGACTCGATTCCCAACAAAATATTGAGTACCAAAACCGCTAACGAAATTCCTCCGCGAATCGTTAACGTTCGACAAATCGGATACGAGTGATTTATCACGATTCGACGATGACGAAGCGTTTGCGTATTGCAGTTGAAATAATAAGTGAATAAAGCGTGGTTCAAATAAGAATAAAACGTGGAAGCAACCCGTTATCTCCCGTTGGATAATGGTAAAGCGTCAGGGCGTTCCGGTGCCCAAATAGGTCGGATTGCGGTAAACGTGCGAAGAAGTTGATTACACCCGATAACCAAGAAAAGGTTGTTAAATCGATAAGTGGTCTAAAGACCGGTGTAGTTTTAACCTTGACATTATGGATTCCTTAAGGAGTCGGAGACACGGGTCTGCCGATGCGGAATGTACTCCAATTCCCAAGACCGGATTGCCCGCCACGGCCGACCCGAGATTTAAAGAAAAATTCTTTTCCACCCCGTTCCCATTCGCGGGAAATCTCCGGGAAATCTCCGGGAAATCTCCGGGAAATATCGGGCGCCTTTGAAAAGTCCAAAGGCTCGAATAGCCCGGGTCGAAGTCTCGAAAATCTCGCTTTTAATCCGCGGAGGAAACGCGAGAAAGCGGAAACAAAGAAAGGGGAACGGGGCAGAGCGTTTAGAGCCCGAGATTCGAGGGCCAAGGGTCTCTCGACTCGGAATCCATTGACTTCGGCCTCCGAGTGGATTTTATGCGCGAACCACCCTCCGGCGGATTCAATTGCATCGAAACGGAGAAGAATAAGCGGGAAGACGATGAATTCGTTCCCTCCACCCGGATATACGTCGCATCCGCGTCCATTCCCGGCCTTAACCTTTATTACGAAATAATGAACCCGGAGGGAACTCGATGCCTCGTTATTCGCCTCGGCGTCAAGCGCGCTTCCTGCCCGTAGAATTTCATCCGCTGCATTTTCGCGTCCCAGGTCGTTACTCGAAACTGGCCAAAAGTTAAATTAGGAATTGCCGTCGCGGACGAAACCGCGGGACCTCCGTTCGGGTTAATCGAGGAACGTTTCAAAATGGCCTTCGAAATGGAATCGAGTCTCGCTCCTGGTCGGTAATATAAATGGTTTCCGTTCGAAGGTCCTGCCGGGCCTTTACGTGGGCAATTATCGAGACAGCAAGGATGCCGTCCAATTGGAGCGCTTCGAGATAACCCATATCCTGGCCATTCACGATGCGGCTCGTCGTTTGCATTCCGTAAGTGTTTTTCTCCTCAAACGTTAACGTAAAACGAACCGTTTCCGTCGCCGATTCCGCTTCTTTCTTTCCCCGCCTTTCCCGCCTTTCCCGCCTTTCCCGCCTTGCCCGTCTTTCGTGGCCGTCGCGATCACCGATTAACGGGCTTGCAGGACAAACATTATCTGTGCATCCTGGCCGCCGACACGCCGGATCAGAATTTGTCGCAGTACTTCTCGCTCTGCAACGACTTCATCCACGCGGCTCGGCTTCGAGGAGGCAACGTCCTTATCCACTGGTGAGCGAAATCGCGGACGCTCCCGAGGTGGCAACGAAAAACGGTCCAAAGAGAGACGTCTCTCCCCCGCGGAAATTTGCCGGGTTTTCCAGACCCGTTTTCTTCCCCTCTCGCCCCTCACGTTAAAAAGTTGGACCTGGAGGGTTCCTTTGTGCGAGCCGGAATACGAGAGAGGCGCTCGAAACGGTGTCTCAAATGTATATTACGTACCGTTTCAAAGCGGAGCCCCCGGCCTCGATATCAAAGATGGCGTCTCGTTTCCCCGTCCGCTCGAAAGGTTCGCTTCTTCGTACGACGTCGAAGTAAAGGGGACGCGCCGGCTCGTTCCACAAAGCCCGGTCACGGCCGCGCGGTTCACCGGATACGCCACCCGATACGAGGGCTTTTCCACCTACATTTTTCCCACCGATCGCGAGCTCGATGCCCCGCTGACCCGCTCGCGAGAGCCGCGAATCCCCCTATTCGCCCTACCCGAGTCCCGAGTTCGTACGGATTTTTTCTCCTCCTTACTCTCGAGCATCGTTGCGAACATCGCGGCCGCTTCCCGCGAAAAGGGGGATGACGAGACCGTTCCGTTGGCAGCCTCGCGGGAATGTCGCGCAGCGTCACCGTGGCGGTGGCGTACATCATGAGCACCACCAACTTGTCCTGGAAGGAGGCCCTCAAAGTGGTCAGGGTCGGTCGAGCGGTCGCCAATCCAAACGTGGGATTCCAACAGCAACTCCAGGACTTTGAATCTTCGCGGTTGCAGGAGGTAAACGGGTCGCTTCGCTAGGAGTGGGCCGGGATGGCCGGGAGGCACGTATTTCCTTCCTATGTGGATCCGTTCGATTGACTTCAGGAGAGAAGGAGATTGAAGGAACGCTTCCCGAGTCTCGCCCTGGCCGCGTCCGACGCGGAGATCTGCCGAGTGACCTTAAGAAACTACGAGACCCTGGCCCTTGCTCGCGAGGTCTGCGAAGGGAAGTGCGCCATGGGTCGCCAGTGTCCCACGGGGCTCTGTCGGCAGCCCTCGAAAAGGTGCGTCTCTCGAACCCTCGAGGGGGTGACTCTTCTCCAAACGGGGGGTACCGAATCGGTAGAAAGATGCAAGGTATAAGGTCCCGACCCCCGTGAAATTTCTAAAACGTCTATAAAACCGTTTAAAGACACCGAGTCCTTCCTTGTAGCCTCCAACCTCCCCCGTCGTCAATTTTGTAACGATTCGGTACCCTCGGGTCGGAGAAACGTTTCGTAAACGAGACCTCTTCGCCTCTCTTTAAAAAACGATGGTCGGGGATCTGAATTCGCGCTTTGGACGTTTCCAGGGCCCTCAGGAGGAAGTCGTCGTCCAGCAGCGCGGGGAACCTGAGCACCGGAAGGACGCCGCCCCAGACGCCGAGGATGTTGCCTTCCGCTCCGCCCTCGCCGGCCATGCCTAGGTCGGCGAGCACGATGTCCGCGGCCAGGCCCCGAAGCGGTCCCGCGGGACTTCACTCGTACACGGGTTCGGCGCCACCCTCTAGGTACTTATTTTCCCGGCGCTCTTGCCGAGAATCTCTCCCGACGCAAGGACAAATATTTCGTCAATTTCGTTCGTTGACCAAATATTCTCTAGAATTATGAAAACGATTCAACCAAAACCAAATTTCCCCTCCTCGTTGGTCCTAACGAGAGCGTTTCCTTCTTCAGGGTCATGTCCAGGGTGGACCTCTCGGCAGCGGTGGCCTGCAGCAGCAGTAGCACCAACCTGGCGACCTCCCTGGGCGGCAGCACCTGGAGGATGAGGACGGGCTCGGCTCCGGTCACCCCCAGGACGACCCCGCCGGTCTCCCCCCAGCACTGGCCCAGGCGCGTCTCCACCAGGCAGACGCCGCAGCTTCCGGTCCCCTCGGAATCGCAACCGCCCTGCAACGCGAGGATGACGTAACAGAGCGACAATCCGGATCCCCTCGTCTCGTCCCGGCAAAGTCGGAGTTACTTCCAACACCGGTGGTATTCGGGGGCTTACGGGGGGAGGTGAGCCATCGGGGGCGGGGGCGGGGGCCGATAGGTAAGTTAAGGATAACCGATGGTCCCGGACGAAGCTGGCTAGGAACGAGGCCGATTTACGGGCAGCTGGGGAAGAAGGAAACGGAGTCCCCTAGATGGAAGTGCCGTTTTCTCGTCCGGGAAAAGTTTGTGGAAAAATTTATTCTAAATTGATCTCCATTGTCCAGCCAGTGCTTTAAAATCAAAATGTGTTTGGAGCGACTGCCAGAGCCGTGGAAAAAGAGAGAAAGAGAGAGAAACGAGAATGCTGATATTTTAAGAGGAAATTAAAAGAAGTCATGTGATATCGTGGTAATCGAAGGAAGAGGTTTCTAGTCAGAAGCGATGCGTTTCCTCGACTTGTCTGTAAAGAATTAATTCTAGATGAAAATTAGTCGTCGATGGCTCGAAGTCAAGGCGCTAAGTCGAAAGCAATAGGTGAGAGAAGGGTCAATAAAGAAGAAACGAGAGTGTAAATATTTTAAGAAGTGGAGGGAGCTCGGAAAGAAAGTCTTTTTACGCCGAGGAACGGTATTAAGCAAAAGTGTAAGAAGATTAAATTCTCCCCATTGCGTCCGATGGAAATACCGGAAATGAACGGAAACGTCGACTCTCTGACAAAACTAAGATGAATAAGACAAATGACGCTGGAAAATTATACAATAGTCGTCCTAAGTGTAAACGCACTTCGATCGTAGGGGAAAAGGGAATAAACGTCCGTGCGAAGATTTTGAAACGATTTGGAAGAAAAGGAAAAAAAGGGGGGTGGGAAAAATCGAAACGATGTCAGAAAATGAATCGAATCGTCGATGACATCTCCAAATTGTAAAGTTGGCAATCGGGAACCGTTCGACGAAACGGCAAGGGAATCGACCGTCGTGTTTGGAAGTTAAACAAGCGCACCAGGAAAAACGGTTCATTTTCGCTTTGGTAACGACTTTGCGTCACCGTTGTTTCCAGTTATTTGCAATCATCTTCTGTCTAACCTCGACAATCCACGATAAGTTTTTTCGGGAAAAACTTACCGCGCGTGTTCCACGTACATAAACCTGGAACTTTCGATTCGGAAATTCGAGCCACCACTTTTGGCGCAACCACGAAGACGAAGGCCCTGGATGAGCAACGTCGAAACATTTCTAAATTCGATAAACACCCTAAATGTAAACGCCCTGCTAGTCGAGACAACAAAACCCGTAAAGGAAATGTCTACCCAGCGAATTAAATGTTCAAGGTAAAGTCACGTTTAACCCTGGGAAAAATTGCTGCGGAACTTTACATGGCTTACTTGGGTATGCTATCTTGGCGGTTTTAGTAAAAAAAAAAATCAGCACGCCGAAGCGCGAAACGAGAGGAAAAGGAATCGCGAGAAATCCAACGCCAGTGGAATACGAGTCTGCTGAAAAGTACCCTGGGCTGCGTAAAATCTATCGACAGGGAGACGGAATTTGGAATAAACGTATTAACCCATAACAGATGAAGTTCTTCTCGTTTTTCGTTATTTAATTTAATAATTTTCGGTATATGTGCAGAAGCTTCAGATTTTTTTAAACTGGCCCTTCCAAGCCCATTGTACTTTCGGTATACTCGTATTTCAGCAGCCAAAGGTCTATCGGGTTTTCCGTTCCGTTTTCCGCGCAACCGTCCAGAAAGGGAGAGACAGAAAGAAGGGCGAGACGCGCAGCCCCTTCCCCGAGCCGCCATTTTGCTTCGGGCGGCGACGTTGTTGAGAGTGGTTATACACAGAGAATTTTATAAACTGTTGGCAAGAATAGCGTCTAACCGCGCTGTAGGTGTTAAGCGTTGTTGTTGTTGTTTGTTGTTTATCGAGGCGAGGCCGGCAGGACGGCGAGAGGGAACGACCGAAACCCGGAAGCCCACTTCGTCCTTCTCAAAGTGGATCAAAGGCAGTCTCTTCGATCCCGATCCGAGGCGTTAACGCACTTTTCTAACTACTTCCGTGGTTTAACCGACGCGAACGATCCGTTAACGTAATACTCGCGCGTTTATCGTTAGTTGGCCATCCGAGGCGATTTAAGATTACACGAAAGGAACATTCTATATATCAAAATCGTTGAAATATTTAGAAAACTTTTCTTCAAACTGGGTGTATCGAATTATCATTTGAAACTTCAACGCGTGATTATGGAGGCCCTAAGGAAGAACGCGATGCTCGTAAAATTTCACTTTTCACCGCAAAAAAAAAAGTGATCGTGGTTCTCGTCTAAATGTCATTTCACGAGTATCGCGTTCTTTCTTAGGGTCTTCGTAATGGCGCGCCGAAGTTTCAAATGATTCGGTGTACTCAGCTTGGAGAAAATTTGTACAAATATGTTTTTACATTCTCATACATAGAATGACCCTTTCCTGTCGTCTTAAGGTCGATTTACGCGCAATCGCTCCGTGGACTATTAATCGAACCGATTAATCGAACCCGTTGGAACCATATGGACGCGGAATCGATACGAAACGGATGTGCGGAAATAGACTTTAATCGTTACACGTTTTAAGTACCTTCTGCGTATGCACCGATGTTGTCCTCACTGCGTCGCAGGCGACGCCATCATACAAGACCTGAAAAGTATGGAATCAAAAGTGTTATATGGCATATTTATACGTATGTATATAAATAAAAAAGGATAATTAGTTTTGTAACAGGTATACATGTAAATTGTACATATACTCCAACGGTTATATATGAACTTAGCCTAAATAATATATCTTTGCTATCGAAACATTTCGACTTTTACGTTTGCGAACCGCAGCGAAACCCTGTAAACGATAAATTCAGTTTTTTAGGATCTCGTGGTTACGCCATTTCCGTTTCCAGAAAGTGGCATTAAAAAAATGGCATGCGCAGAAGGTACTCGAAACATTGTCCGCCTCTTTATCCTGGCTCTGGAATTTCCTTTATTCTTCTGCTCAATTAGGAAATTAGGAGTATTACGCGTGTGGAAAGACCGGGTACTGCCACATACGAGAGGTAATCAGTTGGAAATGTACGATTCGGGAGGAAGAACGTTAAATAAGTCCCTAGACTCGACACGTGACCGTCATCACAAAATGGAGTAATCATCCTGAAATGTACTCATACCGCGGGAACGCTCGACACAGCCACTGGCCAAGAGCTGGGATTTAAAGTCATCGTCATTCCATTTTCAGTAATTGTCATCGATCCAACTTTCGGTAGATTTATTCGGGCGCTTCCTCCGGAAATCGTGGATTTTCGTATCTCGTTCGGTTTACATTATTCACCCTACGTAGTGAACACCCGCTGATACGCTAAATAGCTCGCAAACATTAGAAAGTTAATGTAGAGGTTATTGACCCTGCTTGGAATGTCAATGCCAATAACCCCTATGTCTTTATGTAATGATTAATATAATGTAAGCGTTATTGCGAATATCTTGCGATATATATTTTTTGTTAATTATTCACTAGTAGGCATTTGCATTCTTTCAAACGTGAGAAAAGTAGTTAAAACCGGCATACGTCGGACTTGAGCCCCCGCTTTGTAGGAAAAGAAGCGGAAAATTCAAAGGTAGTCGAAAAACGTCGTTATCAAATATGAGGAAATTGGGAGTCTAAGTATTAGAATTGTAGGAAACGTACGATTCACGCTCGTTAAGTTTCACGAAAACGTCCTCCAAAACGGCAGAATAGTTTTAGTCAAATTGTATTCCGCAAAAGTTGCGTAGAATCGTCCGTTACGCTTTACGTTTATCCCCCTATGCAAGTGCTGTGCTCTTTTGCCTGTGAAAATGTTAAAACGTTACTCTTTTACCCGCGAGGTCCACAGAGGACTTTCGACTCGCCGGAAGGTGACCCTGCGAGAAAACTCGTTTCCGTATTTTTACGATAAAATTGTTTCTACGACGTCGCGAAAACCAAACTCGTGATTACGTTACGCCTCCGATCTTCGTTGGGAAGCAACGTTGTAAGTTGCGTACGTAAAATATCTTGAAAACGGCCAAAAACGCGTGTAATGAGCGTTACACTCGTTACTTAATATCGAAACGTACAATGATCTTAGGGACGGCGCATAAATTACATCCGAGAGCGAATATTCCCTCGAAGATAGATCGGGTACATGTTATACATGTAAGGAATATTTTTTGCAAATGCTGCATTTTTTTTCGAAAGCTCTACGATTCCTACGCGGGGTACACGGAGAAAAAAATTCATTAAATCAAAGAAATATTTTGTTAATTCCAAGAATAATTAATTAACTCAAATAAATTGTCACAATTCCGAATAAATGTTGCATTGAATTTATTCGAGGTAATATTTCTTTGGTTCGATGAAATGTTTTTTCTCAGGGCATGGGGCAAACTCTTGGCACACCCTAAAGGAAACGCCTACGATAAAAAGTCATGTACTAGATCGAGCGAGTAGGATCATTGACTCGACTATTATCATTACGTAGAGGTACGTAAGCGTGTAGGGAGGCATTCTCGCAATTGCTGCCCCGCTGCGTGCAATTTACGCGATGCAACGATGCAACTCGTTGCAGCAGCGCAACGCGCCAAGAAACACCTTATAAATCTAGCGAGAATTATCATTATTGTGCGTGTTTTAATATGTAAGCTTTGAATAGAAATTAGGAGAGCGCAAATGCACTAATCGAGTCCACGTGGTCCGAGCGTAATCAGTATTTTTGATACATCCGTACTGATCTGTGATGCGTTAGCGTAAATTCGACCCGCTGTGAATCCTTCGGGGCTTTTCCCGTCGATCGACCGGCGCGCGTCGAAAAATCTCCATTTAATTTTCTCATTTTGTCACTTTGACTATCCACGAAAAATGACTCGCGCCGAGCGAATCGCCGGATCCTCGAAGGAATAGCTCATATCATCGTTGCTTTATTCCTTAGGAAAGTTTCGCCCGCGTGAAATTTGCGACACAGGACGCATTCGGTCGATGCGTTGGGAATCGACCCGTAGTATCGGTAGAGATAAATCGTACGCGAAATAGGGTTAGAGCGATGCATAGTCGATAAGAGGTAAAAGCGAGGAAGAGGCGAAGCGTTCGTACCTAAGAGAAGGATAAAAAGTAACCACGATACAGCTTGAATTGCCTTAGAACAGAGCACGTTCGCACACACCTACACATATCCGCTTAAAGTAGAAAACGGCGCCGCTGCGGTCGGAACTACGTCGCGAATCTCGTCCATTTTGTGTTTCGTTCGCTTGCCGTTTGCTCGCCGTTTGCTCGCCGTTTGCTCGCCGTTCGGAAGACACCCTCGAGCTGGACAAGAAACACGGAAAATCGAAACGTAGTTCTCGAATGGGATCCGACGGCTCTCGAAACGTCGGAAGAAAACGCTTCGCCGCTGTTTTGTAGGAGCTGCATCGATATCTCGCTTTTCCTTACTTTCCGTCGATTCGACCCCGAATTACTCACTTTTCGGATCCATACGCGCAAACCAAACTCGAAATCGCTCTAAACTTCAAAGCAAATTTCTTATTTTGTAACGTCATATTGGAAGTTTGTGAAATCTTGAAGAATGAGCAACGCGTGTTATACAATTTCAATATTTTTTTTTTTTAACAGGGTAGATCAAGGTACGCGATGAGAGAAATGATCCAACGAACCGTTGATTCGGTCTTGATTATTTATAACCATTGAAAGGTGAGTATCGATGCAAATCCGAAACGCGACGAAAAATATATCAGAAACGCAACGGAGTTAGACTCGGCGTGTTAATAATAATCCGGGGAAAGGGGGGGAATCGCCGAAACGACAATGAATATCGCGCGCGAAGAATCGAAATGCACGTAATCGGATTAAGGATACTTTTAAGTAGCTTAAGACAACAGAACGAGCGCTCGCGGCATGTAATATTTTTTCACTATGTGTAGATGGATGACTCAAGCTCAACGTGAGAGGCATAAAGCTTGATATTTATTAAGATCTAAGAGATCGCCGGAGTTTCCGAAAGTCTGCATCCAATTACGGCATCCGATCGTCGAGGTCGTCCCTTTGTTCGTTTTCACGATGCGAACCCCAACAAGAATTCCGACTCGAATCGATTGCAGAAATGACATGGAATCGCTTCGTTTGTCCATTGTACCGCGATTTGAGACATATTCAAGCCGAGTCCTTTAACTCGTCAAAAGGACTCCTCTTCTTGCAATTAATCCATCCCGGGTTCGTCCCTATTGGCGATCGTTCAGGAAATCGATTCTTTAAGTCGGAAATCTTAAAGGGGACGTTCTCCTTCTACGATCTTCAATTATATTCGCGACAGCAGACTCCTAATAATTAGAAGTTCGCGTTCCTTTTCATTTCTAATCAGCCACGTCGACCATCGTTTAACCGATTTAACCGACTAAGGTTACGTCGCCCCAGGCCAGGTTGTGGAAATGAATAAAAACACGTTCCCTGAGCTTATGGCGTATGCCGCTTGTTAACCTTACCTCTTCGGTCCTTTGTCCACGCGTCCTTGATGCGTTGCGTCGCCTCACTCTGCCTCACTCTGCCCCACTCGGCCCCACTCGGCCCCGGGCCTCGGGGGGTGTTGTCCGCGCGACCTACCACGCGACCTTCCGCGCGAACGCCCGAATCGCAACTAAAATTTCAGATCAGATCTTGACCGAGTGAAACGGTCGTTTCAGTCGCTTTGTGTATCCCGTCAAGGTGACATCCTCCGGCTACTAAGACGCGAAGGCCCGATCGGGACGAGACTCGAGAGACGGTACGTTCTTTTTGTTAAGGCACATGTTCATTGTTTTTTTAAAGATTAATGGAACGAGGATGGAGAAGAGCTTAAGATAATCAGCGGGAAAAATACTCTAATGAATGAAAACAATCCTAATGGAATTGCAAAATGTGAAATTTATTATCGGTTCGGTATTTATTCCCCTTTTAGGGCACATGTTCTAATTAGGGTGAAATTATAACAATTAATATTTAATGCAGCTGCAATCAATTGACACATTTTGCATGTTACAAAGAAAATGTCATTTATAACAAAAAGTAGTTTTTTTACTTTTGTATACATTGAAATGTGAAAGTCGTTAAGGTACTTAACCGATATATTATCCAATTGTATACGACGTATGTACTTCTGCTGCAAAATATTCCTATGTCACAGGTTTCATTGAAAGTAAAAAGGTTAACCTATATAAATACATATATGTACATACACGTGTCGAGTCGAATGCGGGTCTAGATATTTCAAGTACAAGAGATGACGTCGAATGATCCGCCAAACTTTTTTTGTACAAATTTTAAAACCTTTATCATTTCTTGCACGGTAAACAAAAGGATCATTTGACCATCAAAGTTAAAGAGATGACTTATTCCTTGTTCCTTAAAAAAAAAAATGATTAAAAATATGAAAATTAGTAGAAACGTGTATTTCTTAACCGATGTATTTTATTTATGAACTTTTTAAAATAATGGTTTAAAGTTACCAACCGTTTGATTTTATATTAGATCAGTGATCTCTAATTTCCAAACTTTGTTCACTTTGTGTACGCAAGTTTGGTTCTTATTTTATTTACACTCTGCATTCGCATCATTATGAAAAACACTACCAAGTGTTGAATAATCCACTACCTGTTCTTTTAACCCTTTCAGAGCCAAAACGTATATTGTGTACGTATTAAACTCCCTTATACAAATCACGTGATGTGCCATTGGCTACGAATGGATTAAAAAATCGTGAGTAGTAAATATATTGTTTTACATACTAACAAAAGAAATAATTATCGTAGGATTTACATCCTCCATTTAAGATACAATAAAAGAAACATGTAGAGCTGCAACAACTTCCAAATTACTAACGTTTCATCATTTGTAACCTAGAATTTTGTAACCTCACTCATTTACACAATGATATTTTATATACATTTTTGTTCTTCTCTGGAAAGATAACCCATTCGTTCAAAAATGTATGCAAATCTTAGTAATCATCCTTATATAACTGTTATAATAATGATAAATCCTAGAAGAAAAAAAAATTGCTAGAAACGCTAGTGACACTTTTTCTTAATTAATGATGCGTGCCTTTTTTTCAACGCCTTTAGAGTAACAGCGAGACTATTGATCTTTCTTTTCTGCTTCCAACTAATGACTTGTAACCTCCTGATCTTTCGCATTTTGAGATTATCCAGTAATTTGAGTTCGCTTACTTCGTCTCTGAGACGAGTCCTTTCTAAGATTTCATCCCGAGGAAGATCTTGTTCTTCGGTAGTTGACTTAGAAGGTTCGCAAAAACTCAGGCTCAGTGACCGAGGCCCTTTAAGGGAGTTTGATTCCTTTTTTGAGTCTGTCACCAATTTTATGGGGTTTTGGCTTCCTTCATTTTGGTCACTGTCACCTTCCTGCAGAGGTTCGAATGTATTTTGAAATCTTGTTATGTAAAAGCAAGTGCTATTAATTAAAAGTGTTACATAATGTGTGATGGCATCATATGAATAGTAAAACCTGTTTCATATTCACGATTTAATAGAAGTATTATTTTAAAATGTATTTCATAAACCCTTGAGAAAAATATATACATGACAGAAAATTAATTATTAAACTTACACACTTTAATTTGCTCGTATCGCTTGTAGTAGAGGGTTTTGGAGAGTTGTTGCATTCTGTTTTAACGCAATCTGCCATCAAAGATTCATTCAAAACTTGTATAGGATTCTTAAAAGGCTTGCTGCTTATTTCGCTGACATCATTAGACAACAAAAGCCCTTCCTTTTCCTCTTTAGCAGTCCTATAACCACAATGAAGATTGCTATCAATTCTTTTCAATATAAAAATAATATGCCAATATCATAATATTAATTTTGTAAATGTTCGTAGTAAATTTCAGTTATACCAATTTTGACACAACTATATAGAAGGTATCCCATTTGGAGAATTCCAGTTATACATAGTTTTAATGTAGTGGAAAAGTAATTTTTATAATTATTCTGGTCCTAAAAACATCTCGTTGCAAATCAATATTTATTTAAAACCTTCTCGAAACGTTTGACTTGGTGTTTTAACATGAATTACCCTATATAGTGGTATCCATCGCTTATTTAAGAAATAGAGATGGACCAAACCTTTTTGTGTCTAAGAACTTCTTCTCCACTCGGAGACCATTAACAGTTTTGAGAATTTTTCCAACATCCGACTCTGATTTTAGAAAATTTATCCCGTTTACTTTGATGGGAAATTTGTCCAAAAGAACTTGAACCGACAAGTCTGAGTAAATCTTGACATGTCGTAAGACGTCTTCATTTTGCACTGACATAAATTGCACAAATTTGCCTTGTTTATTAACTGCCACGGCCCACTCTTCGCTTGGTAATTCAATATTGTTGTATAACTTCATTAGTGCCTTGAAATCCCACATTTGCACTTCGGTTTCATTGCTTGAGTCACGTGTTCTGCACTTTTTCACTTGCAAATTAGTATTCACTACTTTTTCACCTGTCACTCGTTTTAAATTAGAGGTTTTTTCAAAGTTAGTGTTCCCACTTGGTTCTGTTTCTTTCAAAGCACTTGCATCGGTGAAGCGATCCTTTGTCAGAGGATCATTGGAGAACTCTGCGCTACCCTCTAATCTTTTTAGCACTTTGCAATCATTGACGGGCGTTTCCTTTTGATTGCTGCCAGTTGCATTGGATTCTTTAGATGAATTAGTCTCGACGATAACTTCATTAATTGCCTCTCTTGTTGTATTAAGATGATGGAAACGTTTAATTTGGTTATTTAAAGTATTTAAGGAATTTGATCTCGATTGTCTTGGTAAATCGGTATTCTCTTTTGATCGTTGTTTGTCACTAGTATTCGCTTCTGGCACACGATGCTTTAGCAAAGAAATATTATTATAACCATTGGTATTACCATTTCTTTTAACTGAGAAAATTGAAATATCTTGGTCACTTGCACCAACATGAGGAGCACACTTTTTTTCCTGTAAATCTGTATTCGCATTTTCTAACGACTCTGAATGTTTAACACTAGTACTTGTAGCGAGTACCGAGGAATTCTTCTGGAAATGGGCTACATATTTCTTTTTGATCATGTTAGGGGTCTTGCAGCCAAGATCATTTTTGTCGTTAGAAGAATTAGATTGAAAACTTGCAGCGATTCGCAGAGAATTTGTGTTTTTTCTCACAGCTGCACTCAAACGCTTTTCTGTATTTTTTGAAGCTAGTATGGAGACATTCGGAGAAAATTCATTGGCTCTACTACATTTTTGTGCCACGAATTTTCGCAAAAATTGTGCTCTTAATAGTTTCGGTAAACTGCATTTTGAATTCATGTTTGCATTTAAATGTTTCCGTTTACTAGCGTCGAATATCACTGCTATTTCTGATGAATCTTTGTCACTCCTTAGGGTCGGTCGATCACTTTCTTTGATACGAGCACTAGAATGTAATGCTTGAGTAATGTCTGCAAGATTAATAGTTTCTTTTGCAGCTGCATTTGAATGTTTTTCTACATTCTCCCGAACCTTTCGAATGTCATTCAATGGATGTTTATCGTTTTCACAGTTCACCGTTTCAGTCTTTTTATCAAGCTTGGTGCGAGTCCTTAAAAAATTCACTTGCGATAGATTTTTATTTTTGTTCACACGTGTGCTCGAACATGTTTTTATGACCTTACAAGGTACTACATTATCATTCAACAAAGGTTTGTTGCATTTCTCATTCACTGGTGTAGTCTCGATACTTTGTTTATCCCGGAGATATGAGCGAATCATTCTAAACACTTTTTGTGCATCGGTAACTTCTGTTGAGGGTGAATTCGATTTAATTTCTGTATTAGTTACTGGTACTGCAAATTGATTCGATGACCGAACACCGTTTTTATGGTCTGTTAATGAAATTCTTTTACTTGATTCACTACGCGCCCCATTAATTAATACGCGAAATTTCTGCAAACTAGTATTGCCAATTGCAGCTGAATTTGTACTCTTGTTCGCCTCCATCCTGCTTAACACTGAATTGTCCGAAGAAACTTTTCCGCCTTTGCGTCCGACTTTTCTACTCAGAGATTTGTTGCAAGTTACTTGCGATCCCTTAGGTAGATTAGACTTTGCACCTACAGATGTAATCGGGATTATTTCCTTACTCGTTTCATGTGAAACCGAGTCATTTGATACTAGATCGCCGTTGTTTTTTTTCCCTAATTGTAACATTTTCTTGCGCACGTTGAGAGTGCTTACTTCGAGTACTTCAAGTATATCAGGTATTTCAGGTATTTTTATTAAAGTGGCATTGGCGTCTAAACTACCAAATTTTGATGATCTTGTATGGAGTGACATTGAATTTGTTGACGAACCGTTACCGTGTGCTACCGCTTTGTTTCTCTCACTGTTCAACAGCGTTGTTAGTGGATTATTATTGTTTGTAACTGTATTTATGTGGTTTTTCGATTTCACATTCTGCAGGTTCGAGACTTTCAGCAAACTAGCACTATTTTTTTTATTCATTAACGTCGATATGCCATTTTTTCCACTAGAAGTATTCCAAGAAAATATTTTAGGTTGATTTTCTGGCCGCTCCGTTGTTTTCGATTTGTCACCCTGTCCGGAATTGATGCAAAGTATTTCTGGTATCGATAATGAATCAGCACTGCTCCGAACAGATTTATTAGAAATCTCTGCGCAAGATTCTGTAACTCCTGAGGTCAAAACCTTTGTCGTATGATCGTTTTTTCTACTGTGTATTAGTAGCGGGTTTGAATCTTGTCCAGTATTCGAACAAAGCGTTTTCGATACCAACGAAGAGTTATTACCATCACCAATAACTGCGTTAGGAGGCCTTTCCGTACGAACACTTGGACTACATTGTGGTTGCTGTAGGTAACCATTATCGGCGGATTTTTTAATCCTCTTGTTAAAAACGGTTGAATCAACAATTTCAGAAATCTTCGGTAAATGAGTACTTACACTTGCAGCTGCTTCTGAATATTTTTCTATTGAAGAATTTTCAGTGTGCAAGCGCTGATCGTTTGCTACAGAACCACCAGTTACTGCAGTTATTAATATAGGTTTTGCATCCTCATTTTCCTTTCTCCAAAATTCCTTTTGGAAATTAATATTATGTTTCACGTTTAAGTCATTTCTTGCAAAAGTATTCATATCGTGCAGCGAAAAATCATTTGTTACGTAACTGCCATCTGCACAACTCATTAACACAGGTTTGACATGTTCGTTGCCACGACTATTTAAATATGGAACATTAATATCTGGCAGAATGGAATCATTAACTGCCATCATTTGCGAGTAATTGTACTCATTTTCGTTAGATACCATTGAATCTTTTAACGACAGCTGAATATTATCGTCATTGATTACTTCTTCTTTTATCTCCATTTGAATTCCATTGACTGTTATCGAGGTACAATCATCATAAAATTGCTCCTTTGTGTTGCCAAAGCAGGATTCTGTTTTTATTGCTTCATCGATGGACAGTGATTCAATATTTTCAGGCAAGATACAGTCAGAACCTGATGTCTCCTTCACATATATTTTTGCAAAAGATATTCCCAAATGGCTCGCTCTATTATTACTCACTGCCACGGGCTCTTCTTTAATTTTCATATTTGCCGTTTCAATCCAATTAATTGGAATTGAGTTATAATTTTCGTTAGGTTGTCTCAAGGTAGTAACAATATGCGGTACAGCTCCTAAGGTTGGTAACACCGCTTCTAGCTTCATTTGAGATATCGAGCCAGAGCACGTCATTGTTATTTTTCTGAATAAGTCCTTTTCTATGATATGATTTTTCCATATGTAACATGACGTCAGTTGTTACCATTTAATACATGGTATCGCTTTCTCTCACCGTTTTCAAAGTGTGAAGTCCTTAAAAGAACAAAAACATAATTAAATTAAAGTAATTTCAAATATAAATCATCATATTTTCCTAAACCATTAACTACGGTATTCCATAATAATTTTAAAGTATTTCGTCGTAAGAGAAAAACCATTACCATCAAACTTCTTAGATATAAATTTACAAGAATATTTTGGAAAATAGTATATCAATCGCTCCATGAAATAAAAACATTATTTACCTTTGCATTTAATGATTGGCAGTGGAAGCAAAGACTCCCCTGAAAGTATCGCCAAATGCTAACGTATCTCAACTGAATAATCTGTAAATGTTTACATTAACATTAGTATTTCACGATTGGCGCTTTCTTTATAAATCAAGCTATGTTTTATGAAATCATTTTAGGTTAAATTTTGTGAGGTTATAAAGTATCTGTGAACGTAAATAACATAGAACGTAGAGTTAATCGATTATAACCTACAAATTGTTAAACATCCTATGCAAACAAGTCCACAAATACGTAATAAAAATCAGTGCAAAGTAGAAGCGTCATGGAACACGAATTAAAAGATTTTACGAATGATTGACTAATGTGAAAATTAGTTCGAATGTGTCTACCGGTGGCACTTTGCAGAAAGTTTGATTTTAAAACCCTTTACTTTGTTTTCCTTCCTGATTTAAACTGATTTAAGCACACTGTCAGTTTGACAACCGAGCCCTGCACAAATCATTCCCACTTGAGCATTTCTTTTTTGTGGTGTTCCTCACTAGACGTATACGTATGCGCGGGTGTAGACAATTGGAAATGTGTACACAAAAGTGCATCGTCTCACTTCCCTTCGTGGATAAATTTTACCCAATCACCGTGGAATAGGCAACGCTCGGGCATGTATCTCGTCAGTGGTAGATTCATGAAAAGTGTGGCCAATCGGTTGCAACCAGTGTTGCCAGAAATCCCACGATGGAGGAGAAAAAATCACCTCCCCCCCCCCTCACGGGCGTAGCAGAGGCAAGGGGGTTTGGCAATGAAGGGAGGGGGAGCTGGAGACGTCATGGTGGGGACATCGGGAGTGTAGGGGAAAATCCCGTACGCGAATTTTTATCCCTTCTGGCAACACTGGTTGCAACCACCTTGTAGGTGGCTACCATGGCTGAGTTGTGGAACACATGGTATTTTCCCCCTAGTCAATGGTGAATCCGAAGGTGAGGCACGTAGAACAGTTTTCTTATTGGCTACCGAGTGCCCTTTTTATTTCCTCGCGACATCGTCTTCTTTATTAAAAGTCATTGCAATATTCAACTGTTCTTATGCATCAAAAGTCACCGATTGTGGAACATTTTTTTTTTCTTTTTAAACAGAAGGAAAAATCACCGATTTGTGAATTTCTGCTGGACGACGTTTTCATCGTTCAGCTTCGTTTTTTAATATCGTAACAATGTTTGAAAAAATGAACTGTGGGGGATAAAAATAAAATGCATGATTCTATATAGGAGTAGTTTAATTTAATACTTGATAAAGTTAATAACAAGGAAAATTGCCTTCGTTATAAATCTACCTCACTCGCTCTCGCGCGCGATTGTTCCGTTTAACGAGTACATACAAATGCAATAAGTAATGAATATGTTGCACGAAAACTCGACTCGTGCGACGCTATCTCGAAAGTCTTGACCGATCTCGAGGAAAGGCGATGAAAGCTCGAACGGGGAAAGTCGACTTCTGACATGAAGGTGATTAAAAGTAACGTAGTAACAATTTGTTGGTCAAGACGTTTCCGCGGATAGTTTGCGAATGTCGAGTGGCTGATCGTGTACTGGACAAGTAATTGTACACGCTTGCCGTATCACTTTGTTATCACCGATCATTATTTACAGATACAGTAGGGGCAATGATTGGTGCCTGTTAATTTTGCAAAATCTCTCCTGCATAAAATACATCCAACCTCTTTTTCCTGTAAACCGTGCACATTATATAACGTACATATAATACAGGTATCCGATATAATGTAATAATAAATAATTAAAATAATTCCAGGGCATACACGAGTTGTTTCAGTTAGTCCATGAAAAAGAATTGATTGTATAACACACCTGTATTATATAAGCGTACGATTTGTACCAATTTACTGCACTTTTTCGTTTCGTTCTTCTTCCTTCGACGCGGGTTGATTAAACTCGGATGAACCGTATAAATTAGTAGGGATGGATCTACGTTAAACAGTAGTTGGCAGTAGGTACAGTTCGAACACCACAAATTGCTCTTACTGTACATCTTTCTCGAAGCACTCGAGGTCATTCGGTCCGAGTGGTCCCCTAAATGCTGGAACCATTTTTCTTCGTCGGGGAGAAGAATTTGACGACCGATGACCAGTTCTTCTTTAACTTTGGAACGATCCTGGGGATTCGTTGCTTTGTTCCTGGACTTTTCGATAATATTCGAGGGCTTCCTCGAGGTTCGAGTTAATGCGTCAAGTACCAATATGGATTGGAGCAAACGATAACGTGTAAATGCAATTAGAAGATTCAGGTAATTAACTCGTTAGGAGGTATGTGTTACTTCGGATGCTACCGATTAAATGATGTAAAATTTCAGCTCGGAAAGGGTTAAACGGATTTAGCCTCGAGCACTAAGGTGTCTTCCTATGGGATCGCATAAATTCAAAGTGGATGTAAACAAGGTCAAATAAGTTGAAAATTAACATTGGTAATAAGCCCAGGTAAAGTCAGGGTCAAGTTCGTAGTTCCACGTCGAGTCGGGTACATTTAGGGTACAACAGGGTACAACAGGGTACAACAGGGTGAAGTTAAGAAATTGTAATGTCGGGTCTCATAAAATTTCGGTCGAAATTACGACGTGGAACGCCGTGGAATCGGTTAAGTCTGGGCTAGATCGGTACTTAACGCATTGAAGACACAGAGAGAAGCCCGCCAAGACGGAATTCTGCCCCTTCGATTGGAATTTGACGGGAACAAAGCACGACAAGGACCGCCGAAAGAGTTGTACTCGCAGAGTTTATTCGTAGTCCTCCTCGTCCGGTCGGACTTGGGGGTATCTTCGCAGCAACTGTTGCTGGGGCTGGGGTCGTCGTTGCTGAAGGGGGATGTTGACTTCCTCGGGGCTGCGGAATACTTGATTCACCGGAACTCGGTATTGGGGAACGATCTGAGATTGAGGACGACTCGCAGCGAGTCCATTGAGGGCGGATTGCTGTCCGAGGTAGACCTGAATAAAAAGAGGTCGTTCAAGTGGGTGGAATATTTTTCTTCTTCCGAACGAGAATGTAATAGAAATGCTCACCTGTTGGACAGGTCGACGAATGGTTGCCGAATTAGGGGTTTGGACTTGATAGTCTCCGGAATCGCGCTCGTCCGTGTAGATATCGGCAGGATAATATCTCTCGCTGTATCTCAAAGTGACGTTGGGTTTGCTATCGGCTTCGGCCTGGTTGAGGGGTTTGTACAGATACTCGTTGACGAAGTGATACTGGGAGCTCTTCTTGCAGGAAATGTCTCCGCTAGGAGGCATGCAGATCAGGTGTACCTAAAAACGTATCGTCATTTTTAGTCACGGTAGAGTTTCGACGCGTGCTTTGCTTCGTCAACGAAAATCCGTCGATCGTTCGTTGTCTTGCCTGATGGAAGGTGAATCCCTCGGGGCAGATCCAAGAATGCTTGGCGTTGTCTTGGCAGTAGTGGAATACTTCGCAGTTGAGTTCTTCGTCGGCATAATATCCGGTTTGTTTGTTCACGCAGTCGAATTTACTTTGCGGCAAAAGAAGGCTCAGTCGGTCGGGCTCCTCCTTTTCTTCCTCCAGCTCTTCCGGATCTACTTGCTGTTAAATTAGATGTGCACGTTGATGAAAAGAATTTTATCAATTAATTAATAAGCTTCCGGTCTCGATATCGATAACATCGAAATGCAGCATTATTGGTATTTCAGGAGAAAACGTTAAGTGGTAACGTCATTTCCTATTTATTTTTTTTTTTATTCGAATTCCGTTTTACCCACGCCGAGAAGGGAAGTGCTGGAAACATCGATCGCTACCCGATCCAATTTAGCGTTACCGATATTGGGACGGGAAGCGTTATGAAATACTCGGACGGTAACGTCGATCTCCTCCTGTTCGCCTTATGTAACGTAATACGGGAAGTAATACGAATTGCTCGGATGATAACGTCAGTTCGTACCTGTCCATTTTGCGTGAATTGTTGCGGCGCCCCTCGTTGAGGTCCTCTCTGAGGCTGGGAAACGATTCTGACCGGAACTTGATGTTGGTACTCCCGGGAAGGATCCTGGGGTTTGCGATACACCTGCACCGGGAAATGGAAAGGAAGGAAACGTCAGATTTGAAACTCGAGATTAAGGAGAATCACGAGGGCGGGCTTTAATCGATGCCGTCGGTCCGGAACATTTCGGGTCGTCACCTGTTGCTGGGCAGCGGAATTCCTGTAGATGGGCGTCGGGGACGGCGTGGGCGTCACCGCGTTGTCCTCGTAGCTGTTGTCGCGATAACTCTGGGAGGAGCTGAGGCCCGTGCTGTACAGAGGTCCCAGACTGGTCGGCTTCCCGGAATAGGAGCCGGATCTGGGGTCCAGCTCGAAGGGACTCTGGGCAGCCGCGGCTGCCACGCACAATACCAAGCACGCTCTGTACATTCTGCGAGCAAAGGAACAAGGAAATTTTTACGTCGGACATATCTCGAGGATCTCTCCATAAATTGCGGAGCTTGTCATTTTCGTTGCATGGAACGGTAATGGGTCAAATTTCATTTATTCGCTTGAGAGCTAACTCGATACGCGAAATTCGTACGCGTTAGTAAGAATTAACTCCCAAAAACTTGTTCCGGTTCCTCAGAGTCGGAAGGGAAGAAATTATTTCCGATGATCTAGAACGGGAAGAACGAGAAGAACGAGGTCAAGAGAGACTTCCCGATTTGGCTCGGAGAAAATGCAGAGAAATAACGTAATCGTTTTGCCTTACGTCGCGCATGGTAACGAGAGAGTTACGATCAAAAGAGAGAGGACGAATATGGGACGGTGTGCTCGTTTCCTTCGAATTTCGCGTTGACGCGTGCGCCACCTGTCGTTTGTGTTTCTTTGTACTTCGAGGAACGACCGCGAGAGGACACTTACTCGATTCGACGTATTCATGGAAAGCGACTTACTTTCTACGTACGGAAACCTCGGACACCGCTCGCTTTTACGATTCGTTAAGGTAGTTTCGGAAGCGTCTCTCGGGAAGTTTTAACGGAATCTCTGGAAAAAAGAAAAGCTCATTTTGCGGCGCGGCGGGAGGAACGAAGCGAATTTTGAATGGCGACACGGGGCAAAGCGGGACAAAACGGGACAAAGAAATACGGAGGCTCCATGACCGTTCCTTCTAGAACTTTCCTCGGTGGATTCCTCGTTACCGCTTTCGGTTAGTGCACAAAAGACCGTGGAAGGACAATTATATAAGCCTTTCGCATTCGTGACGGAAAGGAGAAAAGGCCATAGGTCCTCGATGAGGTCGCGTCTAATGGCGTCATTCCGTTGCAACATGGCGACGTCTTTGAGTAGTTTAGTGGCCGAGGTTTGTTCCTCGCAGTTTTCATCCTCTTTGGATAAAGCAGGGAGAAGGTCCTCGAGCTTAAGGAAAACCGGTCGACGGACCCGACTTGGCATTGTCATTTTCATAATAAACGTCTCGTACAAGATTTGCCGATAATAACGCCGAATGTTGCAACTATGGAGAAAATAAAAATGATATCGTTTATCGAAGGAAGGGGCACGAAACGCGTAGCGATGTAAACGCTTAAAGATTAGATATCGGGGTGATCGCCGTACGCGCGATATGAGCAATTTGCTTCGAGATACATGGTCTCGAGTTATGCAAAATGGCGTCGGCCGGGGGGCACGCGTCGACAAAAAATTGGAACCGTTATCCGTATCGTAACGTCGGTGACGCATTCGAGGTCGAAATCGAGCGTACGGCTGGGTGGACGATCGAGGAATGGGTTAGGTTGCATCGATGGCCGAGAAGTAGGCTGCAACTTGGCCCTGCCCGGCTCGCCGGAGTCCGAGTGAAAGTGAGAGGGCGTGCGTAATGAAAAGAAGTATCCGTATCGGACCGCGAACCCCCCAGCTCTCGCGATCCGATGATCAATGGAGCGATCCTAAGGCGCGTTCGCATCAAGGCTGTAGCGTCGCGGACATGCCGGAACGATCGCCGCTCGCGACGTCCAAACACCCATTCCTTGGTATCATTGGGAAGTGGCGGAGAATTTTCAAAATGGCGACGCTCGCGTTCGGCAGGTCGGACCTCGAGAAAACCCATCGAAGCGATCGGCCGATTTCTCCGCGGCTATTACCGAGAGCAATGACTAAAACTACTTTTGCATCGCCATAAAGCGGGACATTTCGATCGATTTCTCGAGAAAAAGGGAGGGCAAGAAACCGTGATCTCGATGGAGGATCCGGGAAGGGGGGAAATTCAAGATGGTGGCGCCCACGTTGACCGGACGGCGGCGCGGGATGGAAGTCGGTCCGATCGCGGACTTCGAGAAAAGCCGTCGAATCGATTGGCGATTTCTCCGCGGCAATTACCGGAGAGCAACGAGTAAAATTACGAAAACTTTCACGCGACGCCGCGCGGAGAAACGGCCGCCTCCGATTTTCTCGAGCCGCATCTCTCCGCTCGGCTCGGCGATTATCGGCGATTATCGGCGATAGTTGGCGGCGTATTAATCGGTTCGTTAAAAGTAATACGAGCGGCCGGCCTTTTTCCTTTCCTTCTCGGTCTCCGTTTCTCCCCCTTCTCGGCGAGTTCCCGTTTAACGACGCCGCGACCGACCCCGCCTCGTCCGTTGCGCAAGCGCGTTACGCGACGATCGGTACCACCTGATGGCCGGCAAAAACCAACATTTTTTTACCCCTTTCCTCCGAAAAGGATCCGTTCTACCATTTTGCGCAATTCCAGTGCTCGCGTGCCCGGCTGCATTAAGGTACAGGGCGAATCCTAAACGTATAAACGTGTCATAAAGGGGAGTAACGATGATCGCAAGACAAAAGTCCACGAAATTGTGCAGTACGGGCCCAAAATGCGGAGAGTCGATCGTTACGTTAATTCCGATGGATGAGCACGCGATTAGAATTCGACAAGATTTGACGGATCGTAGGGAAATCGCGGTAATCATCCGGAAGGTTCCGGAATCGAGGAGGGCATTCGGGGCGCGAGAGATGCAACGAAAGTGCGTTGCGCAACTCGCTCCGGGAGGTGGTCGACCGCCCGGCGACGACAGCGACCGGGTTCCGACATCCATATTCATAAGGCCGGTCTTTGGCGAGCGTCTAACACATGTGGAGCAGATTTTATTACCGGTCGAGCATTTCATCCCCACCGCGCGCTGCGGCCCCGCCGGAATGCGAGCTCGCGAGGGGAAACTCTTTACTCTCTGTACTCGCTCCGGACCGACCGACGCGGCAACGCCGCTGGGTTTACCCCGAGAGAAAAAATCACTTTCTAGGAAAAAAAACGAAAGAAATTCTTGGCCCGAATGGATACTTTCCTGGGTACGACGAAATCGATTAAAGGGCCGATCGATCGAAATTAAGAGATATTCTCCGAACTTCTCCGAGTTCGTTTGACTCGTCAGTTTTGCTCGTCAGTTTTACTCGAGCCAAGAAATTTCTTCGACGAGAAACGTTTCGATGGTCGCAAATAATTCCTCTCACCTAGAAAGTCATTTCTTCGCTCGCATTTCCCGGAAATGCCGTCGGGTGATTACGCTCGCGTGACCTCGCTCACCGAAACACGGTCGCGAGTCGCGTGAATTTCTTCGCACTTGAACTCCGGTTCCGGAACGCTTTTTGCGATCTCTCGGGCTATAAATAAACTAAGCGACGGTTACTTCCTATGTGAAAGTTGACCAGAGGTGTACGCCGATGTAAATGCACCTCGTTCGATAGGTCTTGAGATCCTGGAAATATCCGATGATCGGTAACATGGGTAACGACGTGGTATTTAACGGTATTGCCTGGGGTGCCGAGAAACGTCGGGCGACCACACCGGAAGTTTTTCCTTGAATCGGTTAAACCAGACGGGGAAACGCCTACCGAAATCTTTTGGGATTACCAGGAAGTACTGTAAAAACTGTGATCCACTTATTAGGTCATCGGCGGGGCGAAAAGGGTACGCGATCGTAGCAGGCGGCAAACGGCTTCTAAATTCGGACTTTCTGTCCATTTTTGGGTTAGGTCGAGTGCTCGTTAGCGTCCGACGAGAACCATAACCAGTCGCCGACCACGTAGCCTTTTATGCAACTTTGTTCCACGTGCAGGTCGCACGTAACCTGCACCAAAGAATGTAAATGTAGGGATTTGGTTTTTTCTTTTCGTTCATCTAGAGTTTCAGGAATTTCTTGACGAAAAAAGGTTTCTGGTTTGCTTCGGTAAAAGTGCCACCAGAAAGACAAGTCCGGGGCACTCGACACAGCCAGTCAACCGTCAATCGCATAACAAATTACGCAATCGCGACTTTACTTGCAAGCTCCACGTAACCCGAGACGTCGGAAGAATGCAAACGATAGAGTTTCGTCTTTCGGATAAAGTTCGTGGAATTCCACAAGAAGAAAAGGCTGGGGAAAAATGGAGCCCGACACGATCGGTCGACCGTTAATCGTTTAACATGTTATAGAATCTCGGCTTTACCGGCTCCACGTAATCTTATACTTCCTCCTGAAATGCATAACGCTCGGGGTGCATTTCTCTTGTCACGCCTCGTGCAATAGTTTTCTGTAACGATAATTGGCCGACGCTCCTGGAGAAATTGTTATCCTTGCCAGTGATCTCGATTCGAAGTTCGCGCCGATCTCGGTCACGTGGTTCCTCCCGATCAATGTCAGCTTTGCTCTTGGGGAGTGGTGGAGGAAGCCGCAGGTCACAGGGCACCGCGAGGGTATAAAAGACGCGCCGCTCATCGCGGAGTGTCAGAAGCGCGCGGGAAGCGGAATAGGAAGGACGCGGAAGAGGAATCAATGAAAAAGTAATTTAAGGCAATTATATACGCTTGCGATTGTATAATTAAATATATATTAAGAAGCGCGTGTACCTTTAAGTTTATCGATACTATTTGTCATGGGGTTTGTCAATTCGTATCGAGGCTCGATGTCTTGTATGGATACGAACATTCTAAGGGGGAGAGTTGATTACCATGCCGAACGAGATATACGCTTTATGTAACGTGATCCCGTTTTAATCTTTTCTCTAATATTCTGAGTCGAATTATAACACACCCTGCGTAACAAGTTTTGTGTATTTTTTACAAGTGACGCAATGTAATTTATGTGTAATATTATCAGGTGATGGAAGTCTGGTATTTGGAGGTAGGTTTCTTTTAACTTTTAATTTAAAATTTAAAGGTTTAGAACATTGAGCGTCGTTTTCAGAATTTAACGGTATGAAAACGGTTTTTGTTGACTCCGGCAAAAACGGCGAGAGAAAGAAGATAGCATCGCCGGCACTTGAAACGGTTCGTTAGGTTAAGTTAACCTACCGATAGTTAAGCGGAACAAGTTGAAGTTATGTTTTAGAGAGTAACCGTTGGGCCTAATAGTGACTAACTTCATTATAGCGCTCGTGAATTTTATGGAGGTAATAACCTCGTCATTTTATTCAGGAGTGCTCGAACGCCGGCGGAGACACGAAATCCTGGAAGGAGGAGAGGACGAAATATAAAAAGGCTTCCCTTTTTACCCAATAAATGTGTTGTAGTAACAGCCGATAATTTTGTAAGTAGTTAAATCATTAAGGTTGCACGTGGCACATTGTAACGCCATGTTGGAATTGCAGAACGATGAGAACACAGGAATGTGACAATTAATATTTTTCTTGTATAGATGAAACGACTAGATTCGATCATTTTAAACGTCTGTAATAACAAAATTGGTACATGTTAATGTCTTGATACATTATTTTCGGAGAATTACGCACAAAGTGTGTATAATTTTCAACAAGTCACGATGCCACATTGCAAGCATTAAATAATAAGTGGGGTAATGGAAGTATCGTTTGCAATGAAATGAATCGCTCGAAGTGTTCAACAGGTGTTACAAAATGACATGAAATGCAGGAAGTTTTACACGTATACATTCCAGAGTTCTTTACGCATTTGTAGGGAAAAATTGCAGTTTAGTCGACAGCAGTCAGTAAAACTATACTTTCACGTCGCCTTGAGAACAGTTATTCTAGCCCCAGGAGTCGTTTAAGTAATTCCTGCCAACTTTAGCGGAAAATTGTCCATTTAATCGTAAGGAACAATAACGCTGGAAATATGGACGTCGCGCGAAAAAACTCATTATTATTGAAAACACCAAGAAGTTTCGGAACGTCACCGGTCAAATTATTAATTTAATCTCAACTGGTGTAGCATTAATTACGTAAACGCCCTGTAGAGCACTTGTACGATAAAGTTTCATCGATTAATATCTCTTGTTGGATATTGATATTAAAAAAATTTAACTTTTAAAAACTCTGGTTGTTTAAAGTTAAGATTCGCTTATAATGCTGTAAGAAGGGATCGTAAAAATTCCTAGGGTTTTAGTGCTCTTGGGAAACAGACTAGTTGGATAGAAAAAAGAAAATTCGCTTTATAGGTAATAAATCTTAAAACCCAGAAAATAGGTTTAGTTTCTATATAATTCGAAACACTTAACGTGAATGTCCGTAAAAACGTTTTAATGAGCCGAATGATTACCCGGACTCAAATTAAAGATTCATGCACTGCGCCGTAAAAAACGAATCGTAAAGAGTCACTGGAATTACAGTGCCTTCGGGAAAAAGAAGTTAAACAAAGAATTTTCCTTTGACGCGTCAATTTTGTCGGACTTTAGTACCCATAAAGCACTTTTATTTTCGAGGTTATTCGAAAGACTTGGATTAAAGATTCACGTACCGCCCCATAAGGGGTGCTCGTAAAAATCCCTAGGATTTACTGCCGGGGAACGTGCATCAGCTATGAGAAGAATTTGCTCTCCGCGTATTTTACAGCTCATCCGTGGCGTTTTGCCATGCAAATAGGAAAATCCGCGAGTAGCCGGTAATAACTGACGCGTTTTGCATAATTTCTAAGTACTCCCAAAGTGCTAAGAACCCTACTAACTTTGACGAGCCTTTTCTTGCCACGCTATCGAATAGCGTCGATAATCTCATCCCGCGAGATCGTTGCGTTACGCCTTTTGTCCTGGCACCGGCACCTGTAGAACCGAACCCGTAATCCGGTCCGGTCGCCGGTCCGGTCGCCGGTCCGGTCGCCGGTCCGGTCGCCGGTCCGGTCGCCGGTCCGGTCGCCGGTCTTACGGCCTTACGGCTCGTCACCCCCGGCTAACGCGAAAGCGACCCGCTTTGCCGCCTATTTTCACAAACTGCCGTTTTTCACTTTATTCGATAATTATCGCTCGGAATTATTCGAGACTTTGTTGCGGGAACGTTCGTCGTTTGCCATGTAAGGGGGCACGAGGGAAAAACCTATACCATGTCGCGATTAGACACCTCTGAACCACGCAGGAATGCGTAGTTTTTTACTTTACTCGGTGATTGGCATTCGGAGTCCCTTTTTTCTTTCCCCGGATAAGGGCGCTCGGAGGCAAAACTTGAATGTACATAAATAGATCGGAAAGAAATCTGCAGGAATAAAAAATGGGTCGCGGGACTAGTCCGGACGCCATATCTTGGCATAGCTTGGCACGATATCTCGCACGGAGAGAGACAATTTGATTTTTGTTTCTGAAAATCGCGAGTCAAAAATCCAGAGTCACTTTTTCACGGATCTCTTTGGAAGGGGTTAACGACGTTACGATTAATCGATCGACCGTAGAGAGTCAGTCACCGGTTGCAGGGATCGGCAAACTCAACGACTCGCGTTATAAATTCTACAATCGTCACTGAAGTTCACTTCACGAAGCAAATCACGTATCGAAAAGCGTTAAGCTTCCCTGGGGGTCCCCACTTGATCACTTTGTCACCAAAAGCGCGTCGCGAGAAGGATTCGGGACCTCCAGGAAACTCTCTCCGTTAATTCTCCGCCAATTCTCCGTCTTTCGACTTACCTGCCGGCGATGAAGCTCCGAGAAAGGACTAAAACCACCGACACTGGACGGACAACACACGCGGGATTTATCGGGCGAGCAGCGAGCCATTCTCTTATATAGCTTGGCCCGCTGAAAGTTGCCTCTCCACCGGCCGAGGCTCCGTTTTACCGATGGTGGGGCTCCCAAAGCCCCATCGGTTGGGTCGGTCCATGGGGTGGTCCATTCGGAAGAGGAATCGATTGGGACGCGATTTCGATGTCAAAGACTTTTGGCAAAAGCTTGCCGCTGGAAGGTGCGCATCCATTAGAAATGATCATCTCGTCTTATGGAGGGCACGAGGGGAATGGGATTTAAGTTAACGAGGATTTTGGAAAACGTAGATCGCTAGAAGTTGCACGACGTCGGAGGTTTCGCGGGACTCATCCTGTCTCCGGGATGAATCTCATGCCCTGAGAAAAAATATGTCATCGAATCGAAGAAACGTTTCTTTCGCTCGAATACAGTCGAATAAATTGGACGCGACGTTTCTTCGGAATTATGACAATTTATATGAGTTCATTTGAGTGAAATAATTATTTTTTGAATTATCAAAGTTTCATGCCATTCAAAGAAATGTTCTTCTCGGTATACCGTCGCGGCTCATCGAACAACGGTCGTGCCTTCTCACCTAATCGTAACGCCCCGTTTTATCAAAATAATTGTCGAAATGCTTCCGCTAGCAGTCCCTAGGCAAAATTGTGGAGGAAATGGCGTCTCTTGTGCTCTTACTTGTGTTCTACGTTGACATCGACTGGACGTATTTACGAATGTATTTACGGGCCGTTTATGTAACACCGATCGGAGGGGTGGAGCGTAATTTAATTTGGTTTTATCTCTCGCGCGATTTTCTTTAACGCGTCAGTTTTCATTGGCTTTTGCAAATTCTCGCCAGTGTTCGCATTCGAGACGCCTTGGGCGGGCATTTTGTACATCCCTGCAATTGCGCGCAGGTATTCCAAATGGAATATCGACAAGTATGGTTACGCCCTGGCGCATTGTTACGCAATTGCCCGGTGGAAAGGCTTTCTTCTCGGCCGGCCAGATCTTTTCTTCGACAGAAATCTCAACGGAAACCGGCGCGAAATTGCTTTCTATCCTCCGTAACCTTCCTCGTTCTTTTTTTTTTTTTCTTTTCCACGGCTAATTTGTTTTCCAACGGTGGAGGCACGTAGGAAGCCAGGAAATCGAAAAACCTCGGAATAACTTCTTCGCCGGTGTTTTTGGGAATTTAGGTTATGCCGCTCGGGGTTACGTTGGTCTCGTTTTCTTTGGAGAGGAAATTATGTTTTCGGTCGCGGTATGCAAACGAGAGAGGGCAAAGAAGGTGTCGTTTCATTTCGCGTTAACGCTTTTCGCTCGAATTTTGGGCGCGGCTTTTTCGAGGTGGTCGAACTCGCGGCTCGATTTTCTGCAATTAGAGTAAATTGTGATAAATATCTCGGGAAACTGTATTTCTTTCCAGAGTTTCGAGGGTAAAGTGGATAATGTGTCATGTTTAATACAGGATTTTGAAACGAATATGGTGTTTTTTACAAGCGTCTTTAAATTTTAACGCGTTTAATGATTGGGTAACTTAAATGCGGAGTGACAGAAATCGCAGCTATTATTACACTTTGAAATGTCTGGAAAGCATGTAACGAGATGCACGATATGCATCGGGAATTTCACTTTACGGCCTTATTAACGTCTCGTTAAATCGACAAGTGGCTCTTTTTCAAGATGGTTGAATTCGCGTCCCGACCCGCTATAACGAGCAAAAAAATCAAAACGATGCAGAAAATTACCCTATTCCGTCGGCATGGAATCCGAATTTATTAACGCTCCTTGAAATCGGGAGAAATTAAAGGCGATTACGTCGTTAATAATTACATCCGATCTAAACGTGAAAAATTGAAAATGGAGACAAAGTTTATCTCGAGACATTGTTACAAGAACATATATCTATAGAAAACACGGCGTACATTGTCGAATCAATTAAATCATAGGAGGACCACGCTTTGAATGGTTACACGCAACAATAGTTTCTTTCTTTTTCTCTTTCGCTCGCGAGACCATTTAGCTTCGTCTTACGTGACGTCCAGCAGTTAATCCCTTTCGAATCGGACGCACTGAATAGCACGGGCAGCCGGCAATTTATTGAAATGTATGAAACCAGATCGTACTTTCTTTCGGGCAACCGAAAGCCGAGGAAAGGTCATTGTTTTCACCGGCGCGGCCGAGCTCGTCGGTTTCCAGCCGGTCGAGACGCGAACTCGGCCATCTTGAAAAACGGGGCCGTCCAGGGTAATTCCCATTTTTCGCTGTTTCCTTTCAAGCGACTTCAAGAGTAATGATAATTTAGCCATTTGTATCGTGTATTTTTCCTTCCTTCCTATCTGCGAGGCATCGACGCGTCTCAGCACTTACAGGAACTCGTTCAATTCGAAAATAGTGATCGATGAATTTTTGTTGAAAACTTTTGCTGAATATTCCTTACATCTCGTTTATTGTAAACTTCGGGTTCTTTGCTGCTTTCAATTTTTTTTTCGTTCGGTGCTTAAATTCAGTGGAACGAAGAGTTGGATAAAATGAAGAAATACGGTAAACGCGATAAGTTGACAGATCGAAGAAATTGAAACCCCGAGTGTCTCTTCTCGTCAGCTGAACCGGGTAATGAGAGATACGCGGCATCATAAATTCAATCGCTGCATCCTGTCCCAGTTTTCTTCGCGCTGGTATCTTCAAACGGTTGCAAGTACCTGTAAAAGAAACATGGAAAGTTAACGACGTTTATTCCTTCGACTCTCCTTAAATGCCTTTTAACGACGACAATTGGACTTGGAATCTTCGAGTAAACTCGAATTAATTAACCAGCTTCGACGTGCCAAACGCGCATTCGACGCGATCAAGAAACTTAACGAATAAAATAAGGAAATCCAATAAATTCATTGATCTTGATCAGCGAATCGACACTTTGAATGATTTGAATAAATTTAGTAGACTCGAATGACTCAATGAATACGCGGATTCGATCGAAAATCCGAATCTCCCGGTCTCGGACGGAGGTGCGAGAGGTTAGGAACGATCGTAAATCCAGGAGCTATCTTCTGTCCCAGTTACCCTGACATTGAAATCCTCCGGTGCAGGTGCAGGCGCAAGAAAAGAAAGTTGATCGTCTTCATCTCGCCGGTTTCCCTCGGCCGAGTCTCGACGGAGACGCGTCCATCTCTTTCTCTCTCTATTGGGATCCATCAACGTCTTTCCACTCTTTTCGCGCCTCAACCTCAACCTCAGCTCGACCTTCTGAAAAGAGTCGAATGGCGTCCAGGTGAAACCTCGTCGCGATGGACTGGTTGGAAAACGTCGACTTACCTTCGCGCCATTTTTCTTCGGCCTGCCGCGCTCCCGTAAGATCGACCTGTAATCGATATTTACAGTTGTTAACCCGTTATCGGATATGCCGGGTCAAGCGAAGTCACGACAGTCGTAATCATTGCTAATGGATTTGGTAATTCACCTTCTACCGGTCGTTCTTCCCTCGGGGATGGTCGATACGAGTTTAAATTAACGTTGTCGCGATTCCTGGCAAAAAATTAGGTGACAAAGGTGGAAACGAAAATTTGCCGCGGTGGCACGTCTTTCAAAGGAGCCATTTCCTTCCCTCTTCCTCGATCTTGCCGTCAGGGTGATCTTCGTTCGAAATTGAAGTACCCGTTCCGCGCCAATTATCGAGGTAATCGATGAATTCCGCTTCCGGTAATGTCGCATAATCGTGCAGGTACGATGGATGACACAAAGATCGAGGAGCTCGTCTATATTCCGGGCGACGGTACTCTAGGGTAATTAAGTAAAAGGACGAATTGTAGACAGGATGTCTCGTTTGCCTTGCCTCGATTGACCGACGGTATGAGTTTTTTTCGTAACGTCACTTCCACCCGTTTATCCGCAAACTTAATCGCGAACGATTAAGGAAGTAATTATCGTACGCGTATGTATTAATGACGTAACATTCCTGCGTGGTAAATGAAAATGACCGATGCCCCATCGGGGGTAGGGGTACGTTTAGGATGCATAGGAAGTTTTGACGCGAGTGACATTTACGGCGTCCTCGAAGGTCCTCGGGCCGAAGAAGACGCTCGTTTCGGGGCATTTTCGTTCGGTTTCACCTGCGATTTTCTCGAAAGAGACGAATCGGAGGGAAGGGAGTATCCCGATCGGGACTTTCTCCTCGACCGGCGACGGTGAAAGCGTTCCTTACGCGCTGCGTGCGGAGAACGCCCCCGTCTCTTTCTCCGGCCGATTTTCAGAAGGGGACCACACCCGCGGAATGTCGATGCCAACTCGATCGGCTCCGCGGAAACCCATTTCTCGCTATTTATTGCCTCCGCGATTCGCCATTATTGGCCAATCGAGACATTGCGCAACTCGAAGACTAATTTCTTGACGCTTACTCCCAATGAGGGCAACGAAAAACGGCGAAATTATAAACAATTATAAACCGATTGCAAAATGCCGATTTTTACGGCGGGCATAAAATGATCGCTCAACGCGAGATACTTTCCACTATTTTACTAAAAAATCTCTTATTGTTTCTCAGCCAGAAATTACGCAGTTTGTTAACGTTTTTTATGAATTATTTCCCGTTAGCGTGTAATTAGATCCTTCGATAAGAGCGAAACCCTAGAGAATGATAAGCTGGTCGTAAATTGATTTCGCGGTTTGAATAATTTCGTAACGAGGAATTGAAAGAATCGGAAGCCCAATTTTCGGTGGCCCGTTGCGAATACGCGGGAGGAAAAAGACGGCGATAAACCGATTATAAGTCGATTGCAAAACGATCGGTGAGCACTAAAGAGTCGACTTTTATCACTCGAGGAAGACGGGATTCGCGAATGAGTCGTTCTTCTCGCGACAATGGCCGGGCACAAAAAGTACTCGGTCGGAGGAAAGTTAAGTGGCGGGAGCATGGATGGCGAAACGATAGGGAAATCACGGGAAATTAATAATCCATCCCGGATCAAGGACTTCTTTCTCCTCCGATCCTTGGTTTCTTCCTTTGTATCGAGTGCATTTCAACGGATACCAACACCGAAACGCTCGCCACAACTATTTGCTCGTAGACGACTCGTAGACGACTCGTAGACGACTCGTAGCTTATGTACGGAGTGGAACAAAATTCGACAAGACCTATGCTACTTTTTCCTGCGGTGCATAATTTAGCTGGCAAGAATTAATTGAAAAATAGTCCAGAGCGAACCGAACATCCGCCTGTTTGACTATTTTTCTATCAATTATTACAGCTAAACTAAGCACCGTAAAAAGAAAATGGAACGAGACTTCTATTCCATTTTCAACTCTCTTACGTAATTTTGCTCGCGTTCCACGTGTATTATTTAACTCTTTAATCGAGCGTGACGAATTAGCTTGTCGTTAAAAAGTCTTTTGCGATCTAACGCTGTCGATTTAGGGCTCGTAGAGGAGGCACGCCTTGTTCCTAACCGCAAAAAAAAAACGGTTTTTCGAGGTCATGTTCGACAATGCCACATTGCCATCCATCGTGACTCTAAAGTTCGTAAAAAATAAAATTCGTGTCGGTAAGCGATTGACCCCCACTGCGGAAATTCGACCAAGTTTCCAGAGCCGTTTGCAAGCGGTCGAACGGACTCGTATTTTACGTCCGAAAGTGCTCGGGTCGTTTACCGGTACCGATCGAATTACCAACGCCGCATATATCTATATACACCGAACAGGAAATGCGAGTACCTCGTAACGAGGCGCAATGATTTTTCTCGGGAAAAAGATCGCTCGAAATCGACAGTGGCAGTTTTCTCATTTTTATTACGATCGACCGTTAAATTCGAAACGGCGAAACCAACGAGGAGGAATTTCACGTTTTAATCATTTTCCACCCTGAGGAAAAAAAATTCATAGATTCAAAGAAATATATTTTTTAAATTCAATGTTTTCGATTTTATTTCACTCAAATAATTACTCCTCGTATTAACAAAATATTTCGACAGTACTCAAAGAAATAATTCTCCGATTTGATGAGATTTTTTCCCTAGGGCATTATTCTTATTTCCAAGTAACCATAATTGTCGTTTTTGCATAAGCTACGCGCGATATTCGGAAAATTGTTTCGGAAGAAAGTTTTAGCCGACGTCGATTCCGAGAACTTTCTTTTAAGAAGTTTTTCCGTTTTCTCATCGGTTGACCTGGGAAACTGGAACAATAAATGTCTTTTCGAAACCCGGAGGATGTGTAACTCGTGAATTTCTAGGTTTACGTCGCTTTCGGTCTGAAATTGTAATCGGTGGAGGAATTAATACGTACTTTTAATCCCTTTTTTACGCAATGTGCACTTATTTTCCACTTTCTCGGTTCCCAGAGAGCATGGTTTAGAAATGGAACTCTTGATTGTTTTGACCCTGCTTCCGGAACGCGTTAACTCTTTTCCTCTTCTGTTAAACATATATCTTACCGTCTTTCTCGAGATTACGAAATTCATTTTCTTCTCCGTTTCACTTTCTCACAACCTTAGAATAATTTAAACGATGCGCTCTTTTTGCTTCCTATTAATGACGGATAAAAAATTTGAAACCTCGTTCTACTCCGAAACCACGGTCAACAATTAGCGATCCGGTTATATCGTATTGTCCAATAAGTAATATCGGACTTTGTAAAAAAATTCCGACAATACTTTGCGCAATTCTAATAATAAAAAGAAAATATTTATAAAGCATGATAACGCGAATGTAGTCGAAAGCGCCGAAAGTGGTGACGGTGCTGCCATCGTACAGCAGGCGGTCAATTCAAAAACCGGGCTAACATCGTTGCCTCGATATCGCACCATCAGGTGATAACTTACCAGTGACGGATAACTGTTCGGATATAACCCAGAAGATGGCAGCACAGGTTTGAATATTTGAGATTTCGTTCCCAGAAAGTATGTAACCCGACTTACGGTGAAACAAGGCACGAAACCCGCTCCAGGCGTTCTCTTGAATTGGTTAAACATTCTTTACTCCAATAGTAGGCAGACAAGGCTGCAAATCTTACTTCGTATCAATGAACATTTTTATAAACAAGAGGAAATCAACGGCATCTTTTAATTTATCATCCTCTTGACTTCGGGGAAATATTAACGCGGGCAGAGTACGCGAATTTCGGCAGATCGGAGATCGTTGCATAATGGACCGTCTCGATCGCCAAATTAAGAAATGTCGTGAAAAATGATCGAGGACGACCCACGGGTCACGTTTCATTCCACGTATGTACATTCGCGGATTGTATCGTGACAACCTTTTAAGGTATCTCTTTCGAGTACAAAAACCCCGGCAGATTTTCATTTTTCATCCCGTTGTCATTTTCTGAGCCTGCCATCTTTCCGCGACGTGGAAAGGAAAAGTCAAAATGGCCTTTGTCACGAAAGTTTGTGCAGTTTTCCCAGATATTTACGTGTGACACTTTTGTAACGCTTTTGTATCGATCGTCAGGGCGATCCCGCGGTCACGAATTCGGGATTTCAAAATGGCCGTAATGACCGCGAGAGTAGCCGAACGCGTGGAACGCTTTCACTGGGCGGGGGTCAGCCTGTAGAAAACTGGGCCACATTGTCGTAACGATTCGATCCACATGCGTGGACGAGGGGAAGAAAGGATCGGCCGCAAAGTTCCTGCGAACCTCGGCGAGCTTGCGTCACTTCTTCTCCGGCCGAATCCGACCCACCTCTTCGATTTCTGGATCGAGTTTGCGAAATTCCTTTCTTCCTTCCTTTTCCCTCGGGGTTCCATTCGTAACATTGTCCGCGTAATAAAAGAATGGGCCGTGACCGCCACTAGCGGTGGAAGCGAAACCTTTTCCTTTTTTAGTTCGCTATAAAAGTTAACGATCAACCGAGAAAATAACGCGCTAACCCCGAGGACGAGAATCGTTGAATTGCAATTTTTCTATCATTTTACTGATCACGGTTCAGGGGAATTCTGGTCATTTTTTGTTCCCTCTTCTGAATTTTTCTTTCCCTCTTGACTCGATGGCCACTTTTTTCTCCTCTTCGCGAGGGCCCTCGTGGCAAGAATACGTATCGATTCGCGTTTGGGCACCGAGCTAAGGGAAAGATCGATTACTTGATCCAGCAAGGTGGACGCGGTTGCGTCACTCCGTCGTTCCGAGACCCGCGAAGCAACTTTTCAATGTCTCGCTTCGTTTTTTCGCTCGATTTTTCGATATTACTTACGACGCCTTTATTATCCTCGTATTCAAGGTGTGGCGAAAGCGAGAGATCTGCAGGACGAAAAAAGACGGGCACCCCCTCCTAGCATTTTTAAATTCTAGCCCAATATTTTATCATCGTTGAGTTTAAGGTGATACGAATCAAGGAAGCCTCGTTTACAAAATTTTTCTTCGAACCGAGTGTATCGATTCGTTCCCAACTTTACAACGCGAATACGAAGGGCATAAGGAAGGTCCCGACCTCCACAAAACTTAAATTTAAAAAAATTTCTATATAGATGTTTAAATTTTGTTATAAAACATGTTTCCCGAACGACCGATCTCGGAGGCCGCTTCGTATCTCATTAAACGAGTGACTTTCGATTTGATAGGCGAAATTGCAAATTATCGTCTTCATTCCCATTACCTGCGATCGTTATTTTCTTTCCGTTGAAATTCGGTTCACGAAGCGAAATTATAAATTATCGCCGTCGTTGCCATTATATCCGATCGTTATTTCCCTTCTGTCGAAATTCGGTTCGCGAAGCGAAATTCTTAGCCGTCCGGCTCGATCTCGTCGCTTTTTTTAAGTTGATTTCGCTCTTTATCCCCCGAGGGAAATTTCGAGGGTCCGGGAGACTCTCGGGAGACTCCCGGGAGACCGGGGTACCCCGAGGCGGACTGGTCCCGAACACGTCCGCACGTTATGGCATAACGTCCGTTATGCTCTGCGTTATTACAGGATCCGTATCAAGGACGACCGGGCAGGTTTTGGGTCGGCATTCGCGTTACGGGAGCGAAAGGACCCACCCTGGCCAACGACTCTCTCCCCGGCGCGCCATAGAAAGTGGGCCATATTCTGCTTCTCCCTCTCCTCTGCTCGTTATCGCGTTCTTCCTTTTCTCGTTTCGTGGCAATTCATGGGCGTATCCGTGCAGGCGACAGGGTGACCATCGAAACGAAGAAACGGATCCATCCGCTGAGAAGAAAATTTTATTCTCAGGGGAGAGATTTCGCTTTTCTTGGAGTTTTGACGGCAGAGGCCAGAGGTGCATCGGGTGCATCGGGTACATCGGGTGCATCGACGCGGATGCGGTTCTAGTTTCATTAGCACGGATCGGGGCAACCCCTCCAAAACGGGACTTCCAGGATAAAAATCTTGCCATTCGTCAGAAAATTTATCTATTTGGAGACACCTAACATCTCGGAAGCCTAAATTACCTTTCTTAATTCTACCAGTCTAATGATCCGCAAGTCAAGAGTAATCGAGAATCGTATCGAAGAATCTCGTAAATAAATAGTCTAATCTAGGGAGCTTCCTTAGCGGTGGTTGGCGAGGGGGACAGCTTTGTCGGCAACGGATGCAGGTTCCTTGTGTATTACGGCGTTGAATCCGTTCTCGGGGTCGGCGGTGTACTCGACGATGCGCCGAGTTCCGTCGGCCTCGACGAGCGAGTAGCTGCCCTGGACGACGTCGCCGTCGCGGGACTCCTGTTGGGTCTTCGTGTCCCCGGTTAGGTCGTCCTGCACGTCGTAGGCGTAGTTGTACCGGGGGTGGGGGTCGAAGTCGGGGTCGGCGGTTTTGGCGATGGGGGCCGCCGGGACGATGCCGGCCCTGGCCACCGCCAGGATGCACATGCAGCTTGCCAAGACCTGGAAGGAACGATTTTATACGTTAGACCGCGAATCGATCCGATCGAAGTAACGTCGTTCGGCGATACGGTCGAATCGAGGGGCGAGGGGCAGGGAAAATGTCGGGTGGGAAGCTAATCTTGCAAGGGAGGTCGTCATCCTATTTTGGCTAATTTGACCATCGCGATGTTGCAAGGAATTTATTCTCTCTTTCGGATTTACAGTTTTCGGAGATGGGTTAACTTTGGTGCGGAATGATCGCGAAAAATCTCAACGAGGTAGGAACTTCGCGCGGGAGTTTCCACGTGGTTTCAAAGAAGACTCGAGTCATTCCGGAGAGTTAAAGTCTGTCGCCAGATGCTGGGGATATCCGAACGGAAGTTGAAAGAGACCACGAAAGCGTCCCCTAGAAGTATCGAGGGTTTCGCGGCGAAGTTTGGTCGAGCTTTCGAGGATAGGACCGTTCCGTCACCTTAAAGACCATTTTGACCGGTATCCTCGAGACCGAAACGCGGCGCAGTGACGCCATCTCGAAGGCTCGGAATTCGCTTTTATATTCGTGGATCCCCATCCACGAGAAGAGGGCCCGCTCGGCCCCTTTGGGCCCCTTCGGACCCCTTCGGACCCCTTCGGACTTTCGGCGGCCCGATCTTTCGATCCATTTTTGCACACGCGTAACCCCGACTCCGCGATTCCATAACTCCTTCGCGTTACGTCACTTTCGTCCTCACTCGGGGACTCGGTTTCCCCCCGTCGCGGCTTTTTATAGGTTACGATCGTTCTTCATTTAGGAAAATGTGCGGCAATAAATGTTAATAGACGGTAACGGTTGGGATGGATCTTGAAAACCGACGGAAAGGAATCGCGGCGAAAAATGTCGATTGATCTCCGTTTCGGAATTTCTTCAACTTTTACGTTACACCGAACCGAGATGTTTAGCTCATTTTCCTTTTTCCTCTGAACCGAGATACTTTAACCCCGGTTAAAGCCTCGCCGGTTGTTCCGTGACGTGTTTTATTGCTCTTTGAATGCATCGCCCGAGTAAATAATCGGGACGATTGCACATCCCGTGATTGCACTTTACGACTGATTTTTCTCTCGTATTCGGAGATTTCGACATTTTTGGTCGATCGAGTGGATTATCGTCTTTTCATTTTTTGTATCGAAACGTCTCATTGCAATCGGAAATTGTATCGTTTCCGTTGCGTAAATCGTCATTACTACGAGCTACGGTTAAACAATGGGGTACGCGCACAAATACGATCGAAGTAAACTGCAGTTTACGAAACACGGAACAGTATATTATTAACTGCATCGAACGAAACGGTTAATTCACATGCAAATTGCACTTCGTTTCGTTTTGACTTTTTTCAGCGGAAGGTTATGGACCGCCGGGGCTTTTACATTTTTTATTGCGAGTGTCAATACCTCGAGTCAATTGAGCCGAAAGTAAGAGTAAAAGCGTGGTGTGATTTTGACTGATTTACGGAGTCTCGCCATTACCATTTGTAATTAATCCGAGTTAACGAGTAATCTCGAGCGAAGGATTACGAATGTATCCGTCGAATCTCTTGATGTCTTCGTCCTGCAAAATCGTGATCGGAAATTCGCAGATCTGGGATTAATATTTATTTGTATTACCGATGTAACCGAGAAAACATCGAAATGCACGAGTACGCGCAACAACAATTTTTCGTTCTTTCGACGCGTAAACGTGATCGATGCACTATCGAGGAACGTGTCCATCGCAAACAGTGAAATGTACGCTGAGGAAAACGATGCATCTAAGCAAAGAAATATTTCTTTGGTTTCATAAATTTCTTTTTCCCAGGGTACGTGCACAAAATGGTACCGTTCGCACTATTCGGGTTGACTAGGTAATCGGATCATCGCGACTGCAAATGTTACTCGAAACGTCAAGATTAACGAGATGCCCGAAGTCGTGTGCATTTCCAAAGACAGGTGAACGGCGTTCGGGTTTCGGAATCAATCGACTTTTCGTGCATACCGAACCGGGCGATCGGGTTGCGCAACTGCACATCGGTAACCGACAGTTGCACGCCAACCGAGATGCGCCGAATTACGAGCCATTAACGAAATGCACCGGTTTGGTATCGAAGGGTGGAGGGGATCCGGGTATATATATAGGTCGAGGGATGCGCCAGGATGAGATCAGTCTTGGCCAGAGTTGCGGATACCCACAGCTGACAACATGGTGTTTAAGGTGAACGGTCTCGAAGATTGCACTTCGTAATACCCACAAGAGGGAAAGTGCTCTCTTCTTCGAACTTTCTATTACCTTCGTTTTTTACGGTGTCGCCGATTCCATCCCGGGAGTTTTATATTTCTCGCGACGGTCATCTCGGAATTTTGGTTCGCCCTTCATGGTATACCTTCGATTTGATTGCAATGTGTCCCGACCATTTTGGATCGCCACAATTTTTATTTTGGGACGGAATGCTGGATTGGTTTTTTTCTTGCTACGAGTACCGTTGGTACGTTAATTTCTTTGCGATTATTTTATGAATCGCGCGTTTCCGTTTCAGTTCGTTCTCCTGGTGGCTCTGTTGGCGTCCGCCAATGCCGGATTGCTTCCCACGGCGACCTATGCGGCACCTGCAGTTGCGAAGCTCGCCCCTCAGTTGGCCTACGCTGCCCCCGCAGCTTACGCGGCGCCTGTAGCTTACGCGGCACCTGCAGCTTACGCGGCGCCTACAGCGATCGCAGCTCCTGCGGCATATGCGGCTCATGCGACTCATGCGGCTCCTGCAGCTTATGCAGGTTATGCAGCTTACGCCGCGCCTGCGGCATACGCCGCGGCTGTTGCTCCAGTCGCCAAGGTGGCGGAACCTGTACCCCTGGCCAAGACTGACGCCGACTTCGACCCCCACCCTCAGTATACGTACGCCTACGACGTGCAGGATTCCATCACCGGGGACTACAAACAGCAACAGGAAACCAGGGATGGCGACAACGTGCAGGGTAGCTACTCCCTGATCGAAGCCGATGGATCTCGTCGCACCGTCGACTACACCGCCGATTCGGTCAACGGATTCAACGCGGTCGTTCATCGCGAACCTGCAGCCGTGGCCGTGAAGGCTGCCATCCCCGCCATTCCTGCAGCTCCAGCCGTCATCGCTGCCAAGGCATCGCCTGTGGCCTATGCCCCTGCAGCTCCGACTCAGCTCACGTACGCCGCTCCCGCAGCTCCGGCTCACCTCACCTACGCCGCTCCTGCAGCTCCGGCTCGGTTCACCTACGCCGCTCCTGCTGCCCCGGCACATTTCACCTATGCTGCCCCTGCAGCTCCGGCGCACTATTCTTACGCTGCCCCTGCAGCTCCAGCGCATATTTCTTACGCTGCCCCTGCAGCCCCGGCGCATTTTACCTATGCCGCTCCTGCAGCTCCAGCGCATTTCTCTTATGCCGCGCCTGCAGCGCCAGCGCAACTGGCCTACGCTGCCCCTGCAACTCCGGCTCATTTCTCTTATGCCGCTCCTGCAGCTCCCGCTCATCACGTCTCTTATGCCGCACCTGCCCTCGCTAAGTACGCCCCCCTGTACCATTAGACTGACTTCGAAGTGGCCGTTGGGAACCGATCCCGGCGTCCTCGTATCTACGCTTTTACGAGTTTATGTGATTCTTTCTGGCTCGTTAACGATTCCGTTTTACGAGTCTGCCGGTAGACGCGTCTTTAAGAATTAGAAGGTCGTTCCGTCACGAGAATCGAGATTGGCTCTCGATTATGTAAATATGGGAAACGCTACCTGCTTTTCATTGTACCTCCATTTTCGTACTCCAATTGTTACCGTAACGACATAGCGTGTACCAATAGTTACCAATCTGCCGTTGCAGCGATCATCCGGCTCCCTTGCTCAAGCTTGCCAGTGATGACATTCGTAATAATAAACGTATCGTATTTTGTAATATCGAATTCAATTTATTAAGTAGAACAATAATCATCGCGTGCCTTAACTTACTTTACGCACATATCGCGATCCTTTAGTGCAAGAAGGAATTTATATTCCAAAATACTTCCGCAACGGTCAATCTTTTCTACTTGGGGTTTTTAAACTTGACGTTAACGTCTAAATATTTGAACCTGGGGCATTTATCGGGAACTGATTTTTATTACAAAAAAGTAACGTGGCCCTATTTCATATTTTCGAGTTTCATCGATCGAAAGTCTATAAAAATAGGATGATTGACGTATGGTAATTATTCGAGAGTGGTTTTCGATGACATGAATAATAGAAACGCCAACTCCGTCTTTTGTTGTACTTTTTAGTGACTGAATGATCCCACCGACTTCCTGCCGAAATTCACCGAACGCGTGGTCTCTGCGATACCGAAATGACGGCGACACGATCGGTGAAAGTTCTTCCCGCCCACTCGACGTCTCGTAACGAAAAAGCTTCTATTAAACTCCATTATACCGTGAAACCGTCCCTTTAATTAATTATTAATTAATACAGAATGCGGGGTAATCGGATGCTCCAAAATTAACGTCATAATGAATTTTTTATACTTCTCCAACCCAATTTGAAAGAGTTATCTCACGACATGAAAGCGTGATTATTCTCAGGGTTAACGGATGAAGTAAACACAGCAAGTAAAGTTAGAGACTTTGGGCCGAACGACACGAGTAACGTCATAAATATACATGAAATGCATTATACGTCGTATTCATATACATGGAGAACGCAATTCTTAATACGATTTCAGGCGGCGAAATTTCTGCGGGTCCAAAATGGCGGCGGGACAATCGGTGAAAGTGTCCGACGCCCACCGAATCTGCGGTGAAAAAAAAGCGCCTATTATATTTCCCGTGTACCCGCGTAACTCGATACTCCATCTGATTAATTATTAATCGAACTCTCGAGCAGCCCGAGGGCTCGCGTTCCATGACCTTTTCCTCCCGATCGAGACATTGCCAAGTGGAGCAACGCGATCCTTCTCTCTTTCTCTCCTAGGTTTGCTCTCCTCGTAACGCACACATTCTCCTCTACTCCATCGTATACTTACGATCGAACCAGTTACCAAAATCTGCCCGCGTGTATCGGTGTTCGAGGTCCAGACTCGACTATAAAAGCTTGGAGTTGCGAGTCCGGACATCATTCGATCCCTACCGATCACCCATCGATCACCCATCGATCCACCATGGCCTTCAAGGTTTGTACCCTACCTGCGAGAAGCGACCCTAAGTCGTTTAAAAATTAGAGAATTCGAGATAACTGATACGTGCATTTTGCATACCTCGTATGCCTAAACGTACATCATATTTCCTTTCTTCGTGAGTTCATAGGTATCGTTACGGTTGACAGGGGCTTTTATAGAATTTTCCGAGCAGTATATTTGTATGGAAATTATTTGAAACCCATTTTAAAAATGGAACGTATTCTCGTTGTTCCGTAACCACCGTTTACGTTGCAGTTCGTCCTCGTCGCCGCCTGTTTGGTAGTCGCCAGGGCAGGAGTCGTGCCTGCAGCTCAGCTGGCCTATTCCGCCCCTGCCGTGGCGTACTCTGCGCCCGCGGTAGCCCATGCCCCGGTAGCCTATTCCGCTCCCCTGAGCTACGCTGCCCCTGCGGTTGCTCGTAGCGCACATTTGGCCTACGCCGCCCCTGCAGTTGCGCACAGCGCCCCCTTGGCTTACACCGCCCATGCGGCTCCAGTGGCCTATTCCGCACATGCGGCCCCGGTCGCCTATTCCGCACATGCGGCCCCGGTCGCCTACGCCGCACCTGTCGCCAAAGCCGTCGTCAAGACCGTGGACGCCGACTACGACCCGAACCCCCAGTACAGCTACGCCTACGACGTCCAGGACGGTCTGACCGGAGACTCCAAGAGCCAGCAGGAGACCCGCAACGGCGACGTCGTCGAAGGCAGCTACTCCCTGGTCGAGGCCGACGGCACCCGTCGCGTCGTCCACTACACCGCCGACCCCGTTAACGGATTCAACGCCGTCGTTAACAAGGAACCCGCAACCGTCGCGGTCAAGACCATCACCAAGGTTGCTGCCCATGCCGCCCCCGTGTCCTACGCTGCGTACCACTAGACCGATTTGAGACTCTCGTTGACGCTAAGTGACGTTAGGTGTAAATAAACGAACCGCGATTCTCTCTTACGATGGTCTACCTACGCATCCTTGATCCCGCGTCCGCATCTAGCCGTCGAGGTCTTAATCGAGATCATCGATCTCGGCCGTGGCGGACCGAGGTTCTCTCCGGGGACGAGATGTTGCAAGATTATTGACTAAGAACGCGTCAAAGGAACGAATCGGGGGGAAATACCTTGAACTTCGCGATCTACGCGGAATCGGTCGTTTCACCTGGGAATAGTAGTAGCCGTTGAATGGACCGCTACTCGTGCGGGTCTAATTGCCATGTCGGGTTTAACGCGCCGTAAACGAAACAACCTCGGCCAGTCAATTGCCCGTTAACCTTCGGTCAGGAATCTGGGTTGCAACATTTTTGGGAACCGTGATCGCGAAAGGTTAGGCGTGGCTATTTCGAAGGTCTCTCCGGGGAGCAATTTTCGATCGAGGCGTTTTATTCGTTCAAAAGTGTACAATTATGACAATGGCATTTCCTATATCTAGAAATTCGTGGCCGAGGAGAAGAGTTAGGAGTAGTTAAAAAACCGTACAATCCATCTCTCGTCGAAATCTTAAGTCGTGGAACTATCTTATACTTAAATCGAACCGTTACGAGGATCCGGGGTATCCGGATTTAGTGATAGGCCAGGCCGAAGGGGGTCCTGACGAGTCCGTATCCGAAGTGCGTCCTGGCGAAAGCCAGCGGGCCGGCAAAGGCAACGGGTGCATGTGCAAGGGCAACTGCAGGTAGGGGCGCCCACGAATGCAGCCCGTGGACCGCGACAGGTGCGTGGGCGACCTTGACCTCGGCGTGCTCGGACGTCACCGTTGCAGCTGCGGCCACGGGTGCAGGTGCAACGACCGCGGCATCGACCAGAACGGGCTCTTTGCGAACGACGGCGTTGAATCCGTTGAGCGAATCCGCGGTGTAGTCGACGACCCTGCGAGTTCCGTCAGCCTCGACGAAGGAGTAGGTTCCCCTGACCAGGTCGCCGTCTCGAGTCTCGTGCTGCGTCTTCGAGTCGCCGGTTAACGCGTCCTGCACGTCGTATCCGTAGCTGTACTGCGGGTGGGGGTCGAACGTCTCCCCGTCTTTGCCCACTGTAACTGCGGGCAAGGCCACCGGGGGACTCAGGATGGCCGCGCGTGCAGCTGCAGCCAACGCCATCAGGGTGACGATCTGCAACCGAAGGCGAAACGTCCCATTGTCCGTTTGCAATTTCCTCTCAAATTTTCAGCGAGTTTCGGACGACTTTGGGGAAAAAGCATCGTCTTGAAATTCGCGGAAATTCTTTCCGAATACGGGAGAAATAATTGAGTCTTCTGAATGCCGTTTACTACCAACTTAAAAATCTTTCTCCTTTCGTTAACGGTCATATATGGTTCGTGCGCGTCTTTATCGGTTGTTTTCCGACGAAGCGGAAGCAACTCGTCTTGGGAAGTTCAGGTTCGACCACGCTTCGTAGATGGGATGCCATATTGGGCGCGATTTATGGCATCGAGCCCGGAATGAAACGGTGCGGCCCTCCGTGGTTACGTTTGCGGAAACGTAAGTGTATTTGCACGTGGGTAGGTGTACATTGCGCGAGTGCGTCCATTTCCGTGCAAATAAAGCAAGGAGCTGTTTCTACTTTGCGTTATCGCGGATGTTAGCTCTCCTTCGGGACGACGCAAAATCGCTGCGCAATGGCGGACGCGAATATTCTTCTTGCCGATTTTGGCGTCAACTTCGATCTCGATGTCGTCAAAAAGGGAAAAAACGAACAAACTCGCAGTAGTCTACAATTTATTTAAGCAAAGAGCTCGACCAATGGCCGATTCCGCCAACCTCGATTAAATCATTGATTACCTTCCCGTAGGTTAAAGTTAACGTCCGAGGTAATCGTGGATTAAACGCGTGAACGTTCCAGCCAAGTTGCACGGACAGATCCTAGTCTCCGGAAGTAAAGTTCTTTGGTTAAGAATTAATATAAAATATTTTCAAGCGTACGTTACGAAATTATAAATGAAATAAAAACGTCCGCATCCGCTTCGTCGTAAGATATCGATACAACTTCTGGATAGAAGCTCGATTAATCGAAGCTAAACGATCGAATTTGGCCGATTAATCTAAACGGCGGTTAATGGAAATTAACCCGTCGTTAAAATGTGGTGGGGCGCGCAAGCGTGCATCCACGATAACCCACGAATAAAAAAAAAATTACCCCCACGATGGGTTTTTCCAGAGATGCGCCCACTTGGATCGACGATAACCCCCGAATAAAGGAAACCACGCCCTCGAAGGATCTTACCAATGACGAGCACATGTCGATCAGCGAGAAAAACGTGAAAAGCCGTCAGTCGGAGTCGGTCGTGGCGGCGTGCGGAGGTCCCTGGGAGGTAAGTCGAAGAACCCGGAGCGTTTGTCCTGGGAATGTCCAGTCAGGGTTTATATAGCTGGCGATACTCTGCCCGTTTTCACCCCGCGGCGCCCACGTTGTCATTACGCCCCTGGGCCGTTCCTTTGGATTTTTGTTGCCGGGACCACTGCGGGCCGCGACGCCCCGTCTAGGGACCTCCGCGCTCCCTCGGTTGCCGTACCTTAACTCACCTTCGACTCCCCATCGACTTCCCATCGGTTCACCTTTGGTTCGCCTCACCTTCGTGCCGAGGATGGCGCGAACTGGTTGGGGATAAGCCCGGTAATCTCCGCGTTACGAGCCGGACCACCCGGCATCCCTGTAGCCCGGGATCGGCGGCCATCTTGGATTCCCTGGAAATCGACTCGAGTATTGACGTCCTAGGGGTGTTTGACAACAGTTTACGACGCGGGGCGTCAGTTTGTGGAGTGCGATCGAACGCGATGGATCTTTGAGAAATCCTCGAAATTTTGGCACGGATTGAATGGGACGTTTGGGGTGACGACCGGTAAGTAGGACGCTATGCAAAATGTTTAGGGCGGAGGGCGACCACGTATTCATGTAATCGTTCCTTTCTAAAACCGACGCCGCGATCCGGCAAAGTTATATCAAATCTAACCTCAAAAAACGGCTTCCGCGTTTAGTGTAAACGAGAATCTGGAATTTCCAGAACTGCATAAACATCCTTGCCGATGATATTAATTTATTTCATAGGCGAAGAAATTTTCTTTGCGGTTAATTTTTTAGAGATAATTGCGTGCGGAAATAATACCGCCAGGGAGGTGGCAAGAAGCGACGAACGATCAATTGATATCCTTCGGAAAAGAGATACGTTGAGATACGGAAAGGAGGAATTTTCGCGTCCGGCGAGGCAACCCTCGAACGTGGAGCTCGTTCGTTGACAAGTTCTTGCGGCTAAAGGGGCGGCGAGTGCTCGAAAACACGCCATTTAATAAACTCCGGTGAACCTGCCGCGATGTGTTCGCATCTCGCATAAATTATCGACGCGGGAAGAACTCGCTCTTATCGGGGCGGCGTTCGCGGCCGATTCTCCCGAAGCGCGGAATGGGACGGAAAGTGGTGGGATTTTCTTCAACGTATTCATGGAAAACGTCACTCCCTGGGAGTTTATGAACTTGACCGTGACTCTTACGTATCGCGAGGACAACTCACATAAATTATCGGGCCGACGCGAGTATGCTAACGTGGGCGGCGAGTTACTATACCTCACTCCTCCGTACAGTTATGTCGAACCGTGTCTAATGTCCGGGATAAACGGTTCCCATTATTATCGGTAACTTCTGGATTCTCTCAAACTTATTCAATGGAACGTTCTTCCCCGTTGAAACATTTTGAGACTCGTTTTTCGATGCAAAAGAGGGACGTCACTCTTATGTGCGGGATAGATATTTCTAAACTCCCAATGTTTTTTTAATATTCTTTGGGTTGTTTTTAATCGAGTCCGTGCACTTTCTATATACAAAAATTGTAAACGTGAAATCTTTATGCTCCGAGCGTTTCAATTATATCGAATTCCGTAACGATCACTTTTATATCGTAGTAAATACTTTACCGCTCGAAAAGTGAAAAACTTTTCAGGATTATTAAAAAAACCTTACAATGCATCGTAGATGCTTCAGGTAATATTTTTCAAAACACTTTTACGGTACGAGTATTCAAAGTAGATGTAACTCGAGTGGTCAATAAATAGCTGCGTTCGTATCTCAATCATCATTACTTATTAAAGTAACGTCGGTCATTGCGGTAACGTATCATAAATATCGAGGTCCATTAGCATGAATTAGCATAATTGGATTTGCCGTTGATGGGTCGGTATGCACTTTCCTCGTAATGGACGCTCGCTAGGAACAATGGCCGATGCAGTAAATAAGCGAAAAGTAATTTATGGAGCACCGGCGTATAACCTAAGTAATAATGTGCGTTAACCAATGAAAATAAATGTCTGGGGGGGCCCGTAAAACAAAGTGAAGTCGTCGTATCGAGGGCAGACGGTCGTATCGGGCGTAGGTGGTCTTACTCGAGGGGCGCCGCCATCTCGGGTTGTTCTTATCGGCCCGAGAGGCGAGAAATTATCAATTCGAGCCTTTCTGAAACGAGACGGACGAATTAATGCCCCGTGCGCGGACAAAAATACGCGCGAAAGTTCCGTAAAATTACAAAGTTTAAAATTTGATTTTACGCTCCAACGCTTAATTTAAAATAAGACTCGAATTAAATGTAAGGGCCGCTACATTTTACTTGTCCGATGGATTCGTAAAATTTGAACGAAAGAATTTCTATGAGAGAAAGGAAGGGAAACCTGTTTCGGAATTTGCGGTATTCGGTTTATTCGTGTCTGGTTTCGAGTCGCTAAGCTCGAATGAGAATTTTTCCCGAATAAAGGGCGGGAATCTAAACGTTTTATGCGCTCGAAATAATCGTCGGAGCGCGTAAAACCTGCGGTGTAAACGCACAAGCTCGGAGGAGGAATTTCTATTTTGATGCGAAAGGGAAACCTGTTTTCAAAACGCGCGCCATTCGGCTTATCCGTATCCGATTTCGCGATGTTAAATATGAATCCCAACATTTTATTGCTTATCTTTATATCTTGTTGCGGTAAAATGCGAGAGTATTCGAGAATATTTATTCGCTCCAAATAAAGGGGCAAAATTGCGAAGGAAAGGGTTTTTCTTTTCAATTTGTTAGTCATTTGGACGTTATCCACATCCGATCTGATTATTACGTTCAACATTTTAACGTCAATTAATGTACATTAGGTTTGGTCTGTCTTTAACGACATTGGAGAAAAGGATGTTTGATGTCAAATTAGAGTTAGAAAAATTCATTGATTTAGGGTGAAAGTTGAATCGAGGAAAATGTTCCGAAAGACGTAGGATTCTAATTAAAGTCGGGTTCGCATAACCTCGATATAAGTTCGCACCTCAGGTGGGTGGATTTTTGGACGGTTGCAAAATTGCATCCGGGTAGAATTTGAAAAATGCGTCGCGATTTTAGTTAGCTTCGGGTTGGGTCCACTTAAGACGGAGGTCGGTCTTAAAGAAGTCTTGCGAACTTGGCCCTGACTCTTGCGTATCGTATGTACAACTCGCATAAATTATCCGGCTGACGCGAGAACGTTCGCGTGGGCGGATAAGACCTGTACATCGTCGAACGAGAACGCCTTCTCTTCGGAGTTACGTGTACTTCGTTCGTCGTATGCCCGGAAAGGACACCCATGTTCCTCGCTGTACCTAGTTGAAGATTCTAGACTTTCGGCCCAAACCAAAAACTGTACACGGTTTAACGTAAATTTCGTTTTTTACGCAGCCCTGCAAAATAGCCTACACGCGAAATACCCCGATAGATATATTTAGGAAATTCCCGCATGTACGGTATGTAACATTTTTTAACGGAGTAAGCCATAATTATTTAACTCGAACAAATCGGATGCAACGTTTACTTGGAATTATGACAGGTTATCCGAGTAAAATAATTATTTTCGTGGTTGTCTTTTGCGATTGCTTTTGCAAACTCGACCGCCGTGCCCTTCCTTGAGTTCGCGACATTATCCCCCGGAGGGGAAAATAAAATGGCGACTGGGTGAGTTCCGTTATTTATTTCCGTTACTTCGGAGGATTCCCCTAGGCGGGGAATCCTCCGGTTCCGAGTTTCGCGGTCGAGGACCTCTCTAGATATCTCTTATACGGCTCGGGTCGCGAGGAAGCGCGGTCGACCTCGAGAGTGACGCAACCGGGCTCTTTAGATCGAGAATCGAGATCCAGTCTCCGGCCGGAGGCCGTTCACTGTCAAGGTTACTCCTGCTCATCTTCCGAACGACTCGGGCTGATTCACAGGAGGCAGATGACGCGCGGTGACTCCGGCCGGACGTTGACCGCAACGTCGAAGTAATCATTCTTTATAGTTTCGCGACGCGATGACTCCGCCGGTCCATTGGCATTTGCCAAGATCGCGTAGAAATAATCTCAATATATTCGGCCCTTGCTTGAACGATCGCGCGTCAAAATCGTTTCTTTACGGCACAATTTCAAGTCCCGAATCGCATCATCGATGTCAAAATTGACACCGCTCGTCTTTGGAGCGACTCGATAATTTTAATAAACGACGATCCGCGAATATTGAGATTTTTTCCTTCTCTTTCCGGAACCTAACCTGCAATTCCTCGTTTGAGTTTCGCTTTCGATGCGCGCGGGTCTCGTTCGCCGTTTACGAGAGAGTAGTCGAAAGCTTCGGGCGGGTTTCGAAAGGGGAACTTTCGACTCGTTGGAAGCGTACCTACCTTCGAGTCAAAAAGAAGTCATCGTTGCCGCTCGACATTTGCATACGATAGCTCAAACTTGAAACGATAAATCCGCGTCAAAGAAATTCGTTCCGGTGACTGGGAAAATGGCGGACACCATAGAAAGCGAGGACGTTAATATCCGCCGCGTACTTATTCGGTAATACAACGTTCCGACGAAGATGACATTTTTCCAGGTACTCGATGACGATTAAAACTAACTTACGAAACTTCAATTGTTATGGTAATATCGCAGTCCCCGTTACGTCACCGTATTATATCGCTTTCACCGATCGATCAGGGTGGGAATCATAACGCGGGACAAATTGTCAAATGATCTTTTCAATAGAGATCGAGGAGAAAAATGTTTGAACTATGTCGAAAGTGGTACCTCGCTCGACGACCAAGGAATGTCGAGGATGGACTGAAACGACTTCACGACGCAGTCATTAAGACGAAGAAAAGTGTTTGAAGGAACACTTGGTACTCGGGACACGTCACGTGACGGAAGTGTTACACTTACTCCAAAGGCCAAAACTTTCTTACGCAACGGTGAAAGCACGCCTTCGGTTGGAACAACTATTGACCGGCTCGAAAATTCCCCGAAAAACTCGATCGAACTACTTCCGCTCCGCATCTTTGGCTGATTTCACTTTCGTCGGGGTTTCTCGTTGACGTGCACGTAATAATAAATTTAAAGAAGCCCATGATATAATAGTTTGATACGGAGATCATTCCCCATGGTTAGCCTCGTATAGGCTGTTTTTTTTTTTTTCACAGAAATGCCAAGTAGGGTACGTAAGAAAAATTGGAAATATTTCTTCCTGGTTTCCCGGGTTGGAAATTCCCACGGTGCGGGGTCGGTCGCTTACGATAACGATTTTCGTGCAATTTTTACGTATTAAACACGTATACTATTACATATTGCCCCTTCTCAATTTTTATCCGTGATAGTCTTAATTAAGGGTAGGTTCGAGAGCCTTTTTTCGTTTTAAACGATTACGTTTAACGCGACGGCGGCACTCTCGAAAAGAGTCAACGGACATTTTGAGAGGCACGTCCGAGGAAGAGGTTAGGTGCAAAACTTTTCCCGGGCGTTGAGGACGGTCACGTCCGCGTTCGGAACTGTTTGCGATGCTCGAGGGGTGCGATCGCTCCGCGTCTGTTCCTGGGAACCAAAATGGCGGCCGCCGGCGTCCCTATAAATGCTTCTGGGTCCCGATGGTCGGACATCAGTCTCTTTCGACACGTTTACCGACCACCGGTTCTCAGACCCAAGAAAAATGGCCGCCAAGGTGAGATCGAAAGGGCAAGTTCGACATTTAGGGCATTTCGAGTCAAGGACTTTCTGCGAATATCGGTGTTAACATTTTCCGGGAATCAAAAGTTCCACGACCGATCGACGACGTTTCGAAAATTGGATTCTCGCGATTCGATCGTCTTTGATAAAACGGGGGGAAAGATTCAAAGCAACGCGAAAGTTCTTAAACTTCGGAGGGATCCTTGTCTTTGTTGGGTGCACTCGTTTTGAATGAGAAACATGATGGAACCGAAATGGTAATATTGGTCCGCATTGAAAAGTGGGGACGACTCGAAGGACGACCACCTTTGCACTATTATATTCCAGGGTCACTTGTAGTCCCCGAATCGTAAATTAATCGGTAATTCGCGTTCCGATGAGGACGGAGCATCTGGACAGAAGTCCAGATCTTATTAATGGAAACTTCTCGATAACGAGGGCGGACTTCCCGCGCAAAACGACAATTACGCTGGACAAAGAGAGCCGCGAAACCCCTCACCTTGCGGACAGGATGCGGCCCCGTCGACCTTCCGATCTTAAAATGTTCTTGGTCAACGGTGTCGTTCAACGTCCAGCAATTTGTCGAGCTCGAAATCATTTGAGATACTCACCGCGAATACCACTTTGGTATCACCTTGAAGGTTAACCCTTTGAACACGGAGCCATTTTATACATATGGGGGAAATTCGTCCGAACGTCGAGCGCCTTTAGGCGCTGTTAGCAGCCAAAGGGTTAAAGGCAATACGAGTTACCGTCGTTCTTTCCAGTTCGTGGTGCTGGCGACGGTGGTGATGGCCTTGGCCAGGGCAGGAGTGGTTCCAGTTGGACCCTCGGCACCCGTGGCGGTAGGACCCTTCGTTAAAACCGCCGACGATTACGACCCACACCCCCAGTACGCCTACGCGTACGACGTCCAGGACAGCCTGACAGGGGACGCCAAGAGTCAGCACGAGACCAGGAACGGGGACGTCGTCACCGGAAGCTACAGCCTCATCGAAGCCGATGGCACCCGCCGGGTCGTCGAGTACACCGCGGATCCGGTCAACGGATTCAACGCCGTCGTCCACAGGGAACCGGCCGTCGTCAGGGCTGCACCTGTCGTGAACCACGCCGCACCCTTCTTTGCACCTGCGGTCGCATACCAGCACTGACCTAGCTCACCTGCGCATCCGTAGACGTATCCTAGTCATACCAATTGTACATATCGCTAACATCGTTACCACTCTTTTTTCTATGTAATCCTAGTTGTGTTCTGTATCTTGATTCTTTCCCATTCGTCCTGGAAACGGTGATATCGAGATGAGGGTATTCACTCTGGAAATCGGGGAATTTGGTGCTCGAAATCACGCGGAAATCGGCTGAAAATCGCCGAAACGTCGCCACGATTTTAAGACCGACTGGCACTTGTTCCCGAATCGCATCGTTGTTTATCATATGAAATCGAAGAAAATAGTTTTCACTGATTTTCGAGTGAATAGCCCTTGGTTGTCGAGGGGATGCCGGCCGTTGTCTTTGGGACAAGCATGTGATAAATGGGAAGCAGGCACGATTTTAACCCGATGTCCATTTTCATTTCTCCGATCGGACAATCCTGTAGTTTTCTTCCCGTAGGTTAAATCGAAATGGCAATCGAGGTGCGGCGCCTGCAATGACAATTGAATAAAAAACAAAACAGAACTGCCGTTCGTTCCCAAGATCTCATTTATTGGAATCGCGTTCACAGTGGCGGTGGTAATGCATTTACGTTAATGCGCAACGATTCAACGACCCAGACATGAATTTCAGAGTAACGTAACCTTAATTCAATCCAGTTTCCACGTTGGCAGGAAACGATGCAAAAATGCTAAAGAATTTTATAGAAATTTGCAACGTATTCTTCATCCAAAATATTTGCATAAAAAATAATTTAACGTTAGAAAAATATCAATATTTAGCTTATTTACCGCCGCCATCTTAGATTTGTCCGCATCGCGGTTTCAAAACTCGCGCTAGATAGCGTCCCATAGAATCAAGCAATTCAAAAACGTGACCAGCATTTCCTTGACAAACCAGTAATTCGAAACCACGGACTGCAAATCAATCAACTCGAACGAGAATGGCATCTCTATCTCTGTCACGAATCGGCTCGTTGGATTCGTCCGCCATATTGATTTGGGTAACGCCACGATTCTTCAAAGTTAATTAAACGCGTTCTCAAACTCGGTTAAGCATCTCATGCTGATTTATAAACTCCGAAAATTAAGTCACGCCGTCAGGTGGGAACAATGAGGGTAAAAAGACTGGTATATTTAAAAGATATCGGAAGATATTGCAGGTAGACTCGTAGCGGCCTTTCGGGCTGTAATTTCCGTTATTCCGCTGTATGTAGAATTTAATCGCAATTCCCTGGCACGAGGGAAGATCCGGCGACAAACGATGCCGATCGATTCGCGAAATACGCGGAAAGTGCGAGCGAAAACGCCCACGCTTGGCTCTTTTATTGCCGGTCGCCATCTTGGTTCGCATCGGGAGGGGACGCCGCGAAGAGGCGCGCCAAGAATTACCACACCGACAATCGTGCCGGGCATTTCGTAGCTTTTCAGAAACTTGAGCAACGGCCGTGGCAAGTGTCTGGAATCGCTATCGATCGTAAAGGGGTCGGTACCGAATTTTTTCCCCAGCCGCGCGTCGATACCCATTGCGATATCAAAAATTCAAACTATCGCATTGGAACCGGTAGTAGCGCTGTTACCGTTACCTTGACATATCGGAGAATCAAAGCCACGGATTTAATGTTAGGTTTCTAATTGATTGGTCTGAAAGTATACGTTGAAAGTTGATTATTCCCGAAGAGAATATTTTACGGCTCGTGGATTTAATCGAAAAAATTCAAAGTGACTCGGAGCATAAACCGAGCGGATACGTAGATCGAGACGGGAGAGCGGATATCAGGTTTCTAGGTGTCTAGGTTTTAATTAAGTAGGGGTTAAGTAAGACCGGTTTCACGTGGTCGCCGGGAATTGGGGCAGGCGCAAGAGAGAAAGAGAAAGGGTTAAGTCACGTCACATTCGAGGCGCAATGGCAAGGACGTAGGAAAAGTAGAGCCGTCTAACTGGCCGAGAACGCGAGACGAATGGATTTCGCGTCGGCCGGTTCGTTGGCTAATCGAGGGACCGAGGAACCAGTTTCTCCTCCGGAGAGGAAGCTTCGAGGCGGATTTAATATTGATATATGCCAGGAATTCTCTTCCGGGGAACGGGTTTTTCTTTTTAACCGCTAATCGCGGCGAATCGAGGCCCGAGGCGATCCGTTCTAAGATCCCGCGACGTTCCGCGAAAAGAAATTCAGGACCTTTAAAAGGGTCGTTCCACATAAATACGTGTTTACGAATCCTTTCTCCAAATTCGTTCCACCGAATCGTTTGACATAAACATTTTGTTATTTATCCCAAACTAGAACCATGGGCACATATTTTTTGTTTTTGAAAAATTAAATTTCACGAGCATCGCGTTCTTTTGATATTTCTTTTTATTACACCGGTTCATTGAAAGTTAATTGGGAGGCGCGAAAAGTTGTCGTTGTAATCGATTGATCCGCGAGGTGGCGGAATTTCGCGCCACCCTGCCACGCCCCTGGCGGCGTCTCGTCGAAACCTGTTTTATGCGCCCGATTAAACTCCTTTTAAAGAGGCCACTTTCTTTTTCAATATTATCGCGTCTTGACCGTATTATTACCGAGCCGATCCCAAAGAAACGAGTTCCCGGCGCGAGTGATTAAAAGAAGACGGACATGGCGATTAAATAATATTCGCGGCATTTATCGGGCGATTGATTCTCGATTCCCGTGATCGATGTCGCCGCCATGTTGGCACATTCAGAACCTTGGCGATTTAAGGTGTCGATTTATTTATTCGATTTCCTCGGGATCGCGTATTATACGTCCCGAACATGGGCGATGAGACGGACTCGCTATAAATAATGGGCGTCGCGCAATTAAAGTAAACGAAAGAGATATACGAGCACTTTGATCGTGCGCCCTGGTTCTCTTTATAGGAGCTCCAGGTGGGACGTGATTCCCGCTCCGTTACGTCCAATCAAGTCCACCTTAACTCGACGTCATAATCGTTGCATAATATCCGAATTAAGTAACGAATTTCGCCTCGCGTCCAAATCGTCCGAGCGTTGCCACGAAAACGTTCTGGGCGTCGCCGACGACAAATTATTATTTTTCATTATAAATAACATTTTAAACGTGAAAGAACGTCAAGTGTACCACAAAATTATTATCGAAGTTTATTTCCGTAGGCAACAAAGGTTGGGAATTGCGAATTGCGAAGGGTGATCCAAAATGGCGGAGTCGTCAAGTTAGCCGACCTCGACCTTCCAATGCGTCCTGGAGATGCGGAACGAAAGCGGACTTCGCGGCATTAAGGCATGAAAGAAGAAGGTCAACTGGACGATTGGATGTCCACTTTAGGATCGAATAAAAGGATTAATAGGATTTTTTGTCTCCGATCCCCTGATCGGGATAAACATGGCGGCCAATACGTCGGAAGGATTTCTTAGCGCCCCATCTGGGAGTTATAAACCGAAGACGAACGTTCGTTAGCTTGGAAGGATCTGCCTCGTTTTTCAAGTTTACGTCGAGTTACCATACAAGAGCTGAAATCGATCATATGGCCATCTAATCCAAAAACATATCCCAAGCGCTGTGATGAACGAAGAGCCAGGGGATGCGACGTTAATTTATATTAAAGAGAAAAACACGTTCGCTTAGGGTTGAACGAGTCTAGTTGGAAGGCATTGAATTACTTTCGCCCGATCGTCATTGAACGAGGAATACAATGGTGGTTCTTTAGCCTTGGAGATGAAATATCGAGCACGTGGAATCAACGCCAGGATCAAGGAGGGATCTCTTCCAGGACATCGAAGTAAAGACCCTTTCTTCGAAGGGCCGTGCGCGTTCACTTGGGTTCAAATGTGGTCCACGTAGAGCCTTCGGAATTCCTCCCAGGATGTTAAAGTAAGGGCCCTTTGGACGAGCGACATTTATGTTCCTGCCAAGCGAGTAGACGTCTGGGCAAGCGGGCTCGAACAACGAGGGAACGGGCCAACTCGACGACGCGTTTCCAAGCCGCAGAATCGGTTGGCGATTTCGGAAGGACGCCTGGAACAAAATGAAATACCCTCCGCGTGCGGGAGATTCCGAGTAATCCGCGTTTATGCGGCGTGGGAATCTCCGGAAGGGTGAAGGCGTTCTCCGAAACGCACCCAAGCATCGCCTGGAAAAGGGAGTGTCCGGAATAAGAAAGGAAAGACCATATCCAAGATGACCAATGCTCATGACCCGGCCAAATGGGTAGAAGCAGGTTGGATCAACGAGCGAATCTACTTAGGTCGATGGCATATCATTGAATTGTGGGAAATAAGTGGGAAGGCTTTTGGGAGATAACCCTTCGTCGGATGTACAAACCGTATACGTGGCTTTCCATGGAATCTACGAAGAATCGGCGTCTTCGCGACGTGGGAGTCAAAAGTATGAACTGGCCGGGATAATCCCTGCGAAATGTACTCGAATCTTTATCGGGATGAGAAAGGAAAGACCATTCGTAGGACAACCGATGTTCGCGATCTGGCCAAATGAGTAGACCTCTGGAGGCAAGCAGGTTCGGCCAACGACTCGGCTCGATGGCGTATCTTTGAATTGTGATAAGTGGCTTGGGATTCTGCAAGAAGACTCCGGCAAGCAACCCTTTATCGGAGAGACGATTCTTTTCCTCTCCGTGTACGGATTCCCAGAACCAGGGTTGACGGAGGAATTCTTACCTGGATGGAAAGGTACCGCGATCTCTGCAAAAGGTGTCGTTTGGGAACGAGAATTACAATCGGGATCATCGTCAGGGGGTCCTATCTCAAACGATCCTTTATATAATATCCACTCTTGATGATTCATCCCCAATGGATGGGTCCCTGAGACGAACGAATTGAGTTACATCCTGGAGCAACTGATTTGCGATTCCTTTGCGAAAGACCTTGGAACGAATAACCCTTCACCAGATATACGATTCCATGCTCTGGGCTGACAGATAATCCAGGCAGAGCGACCGCTTCTGCAGTAATTCCTTCCAGGATGCAACGGCGTGGACCGTTTCAATTCCTGCCAAGGACATCCCAGCGTCGCTTGGGATGATCATCGAGGACCCTACCTCGAATGATCCAGTAAACGAAGAAACTGAAGACACCCGGACGAATTGCTCGTCATAATCCCTATCAAGGGCGGTTCGGCATCGCCGAACGAGAACCTGGATGGAGTTGATCATCGGAAAATCTCATCCTGGGTGATCCTTCCCGCAACGTCCTCCCAAATTGAGACGATTTATCAAAAATGGACGAATATCACGATCCACATCCCGAAGCAAGCGATCCATGATTGCGAAGGAAACCTCGAGTACCCAGGATTTTCCTCCTCTGTGGCAGGCGGTCCATGCAAAGCGAACGCTTCTGCAGGAGTTTCTGCCAGGATGCAAAAGCGCGAACCGTTTCAATCCCAGCCAAGGACTTCCCGGCATGATTTGGGACCCGGAACCTCCGTCGTGCCGATCCCATCTCGACCAATCCTTCGACCGAGACCCAAACCAAAGTGGGGAGATTTCGGAGCTGACAGAAGTCATCGTAGAGCGAGTCGGCGGAGTCGAAGGTATCTCGAAGCTGCAGCGATTGGCTTGCGGGTCGCGTAGGAGGCTCGGGCGATGCGGCGTAATATGAAGAAACATAAGTGCGTTAGTACACGGTACATAGTACATAGTACATAGTACATAGTTATGAGGAGGTCACCGGTCCTGGCTGGTGGGGCGCGGGTGCAAGGAGTCGCCGCTATTGGTTATTGGACCTCGGCGGCGCATCCCGAGTATAAAAGCCCGAGCATCTCACCCCAGGGCATCAGTGTTCTCGCCGATCCTCTCGCTAACGAACATGACTTTCAAGGTAAGCATGTCGGCTTTAAGTTAGGGCCCGAGGAGCGACGTCACCCAAAATGGTCCTAAATCAATCGGTGCAGGGTGGGGTTCAAACGCCACCGTTTGCGGGGCTCTTGAAGGTGACGGCTTCCTTTTTGTGGGTTCCCCTCATTTCTACGGGGTTTGTTGACGATGCACTTGCTCGCAGTCTTGTGAGCTGCCTTTGTGGGGTTTGCGTTCCCGAGTTTGGAAATCTGGGGCAGTTCGGTTCGCCGCGATTCTGGAACTGGTCGGGCCGGCTTAATTCGTTCGCTGCTTGGAACGCTTTCTCTGCCTGACGAATCTCCGGGTCCAGGTAAACGCGAATCCTGGGATGAGTCATATCGCGAAGTTTACTCCGTATTTAATCCAAGATTCCACATCCCAGGAAGTGAAACTGGCCTCCTGGCCCAAGTAGAAACTGGCTCTGTAAATTGCTCCGTAAATCTCCAAAATCATGTTACACTTTTCTTGCATGAAAAATGTTTAAATTCAAATAAGCTGCAGCCGAAACTTAGCCGAAGACAAATTTATTCCCGCGCATGAGCATACGCGACTCCGTAGAGATTAAGTTATGATCAATCGTAGCGATTTGCGACCCGCGCAAGTAAATCTAGTTCCGTCCGTTCAGGGCAAATCAGGGAACCCTAACCCCCTTGTCGAGCCATAAAACTACGCCTAGCATTTAATAATTTCCAGTTGATCGCGATTTTGGGCCTGGTGGCCTTGGCCCACGGAGCGGTGGTCCCAGTGGCCCCGGCAGCAATCTCAGCAATCGCCGCCCCCGCGGTCGCAATTCCCGCCAAAGTGGAAGACTTCGACGCAGCCCCCCAGTACAGTTTCGCCTATGACGTCCAGGACGCCCTTACGGGAGACTCGAAGGCCCAGTACGAGACCAGGAACGGCGACTTGGTCCAGGGCAGCTACAGTCTGATCGAGGCCGACGGGACCAGAAGGATCGTCGACTACACCGCGGATCCCATCAACGGCTTCAACGCGGTGGTGAGCCGGGAGCCCGTCCTGGCAGCTATCGCGGCTCCTGCGGTTCCAGTCGCACCCGCGGCCGCAGTCCCGGCTGCACCCGCCGGAACCGTTCCAGCGATTCCTTCCAGTGGACCCGACTCGGACGTGGAGGTGGTCGAGGCCAGGTCCGGACCCTTGACCTCCCAGGCGCAGGGGCAGGCTCAGAACCAAGCCCAGGCTAGGTACCAGGCTCAGAATCAGGCGCAGAGCCAGGCTCAATCTCAAGCTCAGAGCCAGAGCAGATTCGGCTCCCCTGCACCTGCACCTGCCAGGAGTGGAAACTTCGCCGCCTCGTCGCAACCTGCGGTCCCTGCTGCGGAATTCCGCCAAGCGGCGCCCGTCGGCGGTCTCGCCGCTGCCCCTGCTCCTGCCGCCCTGACCTACCCTGCCTACCCTGGCTACCCTGCTTACCCTGCCTATAGCGCCGCCTACTCCTCGCCCTTCGCATATGCCGCTCCCGTTGGCGGTCTCACCTATGCAAATGCCATTTTTTAAACCTTCCCTCGAAACTTCTTCGGAATACCTTTGTAAAATACCAATAAACGTTTTGTAAGCCCATGTTAATGCAGGAGTCGATGGAGGCTTCTTGTTACTTACCGTTAAGCCGAAATTTAGGGCACTGTTGATTTTTATCGTTTATGTTTTTGAAAAAGGGAATCATGGGGAAACTGCATACGTCTTTGTTAAAAGTTGTGAATGCGGAATGTTCTGAAATTTCAATTTATAGGGTATGAAATCGGGTGATAGAAGCGGCAGCGTATGTTCTCGTTTTAAAAGCTGTTTGATTAGCTCCTCTTTGAGATTCGACTTCGCCCGATTGATTTACCTTGTTATTTGCAGTTAGTTATATCGCCCAAGCTTTATTCGAATGAGTCAACAATGTAGGTTTGTACAAAACATACATATCCTTTCGCGATGTACAGAAATATAGACAAGCAAAAAGGACGATCGTCATCTAAGCATATTTCTTTACATTTACAAAAATAAATTGGACGTTATAATTCGTTATGCACGACTTTATAAAAATCACCCAGAATACCTTAAATACTAATCTAATCGTTGTTGGGTCCATCGACTACCTGCACTTACATATACAAACGTAAGATTGCATTTTTTCATGTTCGCAAAAATCTCGACATCCCCTGGACCGATTTTTACGTGTATTTTATACATGCATTCCTTATGATCTCGCGAGAGAGACTTGGTTTTTTTTCAATTCGTCACATAAGAAAAACTCATTGACGAATTGAAATGTAAATTAATTCTGTAATTTCTCTCGTCGTCCCGCGGAAAAGTCCACATTTTCTTATGACATGTAAGAAAAGGCGAGCATCATTTATATCCTTGCCCTCTACAAGGAAAACATCGAATCGAATACATCTAGAATTATTAAGTTAAAAGAAGTGCTATAAGGTATCGTTTGGTAGTAATCAATTCTCAGATGTAAACGTTTACTCGTTTCGGAGTGAATATGACGCAAAACTGATTGCAAACTGCGTCGCAAACCGCGCCGGCGCCATTTTGAGGTTAACGGAGTCTAGAATTGCGCAGCCCATTGGTCCTAATCTGAATTCCATTCGCGCGGCGATGTGTCTTTACCTTTTGGCAAACTTATGCAACTCGTCAAAGGTATTACGCTGCACGAATGTTACGAAGTCGATTATTGGGTGGGGCTCGTCAAAACAATGGAAAAAGACCGTTATATCAGTGGAATAACAAATTAACGACGCGACTCTGGGAACGGCTGAAATACTTTCTTTTTGGTTTGAGTCGGGTTTCGAGCTGACATTACATTAACGTACACTGGCGGTCATGAATGACTTACAGGTGTACATGGTGGGACATCTAAATCCACGAAAACGTTGGGCGGGTACGCGCTAATTATCTCATTCAAAATTCTACCTTGCAGGTAGTTCGCGGATCGGTGCCATCATTAGGGGATGGCACCGTTACAAACGTTATGTAACGGTTATATTAATGTCACGTATTTGGTGGATTGTTGCCGTTGAAGAGGGATGTCTCACGGAATTTCCAGCGAGTAGCAGGAGAATCCTTACCTTGGATTTTGCATGGAGCAACCAGGTGATGGCCGGATACTCTACGAGGTCTCAACATGAAGAAACGAGAGAAGGAGCCGACGACAAGACTGGACAATTTGTTAATATTCTTTTAAACGAGCTCAAAAATGTATGTAATTGCGGTACCTGAGGTATAATAAACTGTAAAATAATTAATGTAATAAAGGAACATTAAGCGATAACAATGAGTACGTTTAATTAGAAGAGTGTGTCTAGCAAACCCTCTAATCGCCTATTCCTGATCCTTGAAATTCACTCGTTGATCTAAGGCACGAAACTCGGTGCACCCTTCTCGGTTGTCCTATGATCCTGTTAGAAATCGGAAATTTCAACCCCTAAAGTTTTTGCCCTGGAGAATTCTATACCACCTCCTCGATTGTTCTATGTTCCTGTTACAAATCGCCAGAGGTGGAATAGGATCATAGGACAACCGAAGAGGGTGTATCAAATCGCTTCAAATTAATAAGCATTTTTAAAATTCGATATAAAAAGTGAACTTTCAAAGGGGTGAGGAGCTTCCTTAAAGTCCCCGTATTCCCGTGGTAAAGTTTGAAACGACTCGGAAACGAAAGGGAATTCCACGATTTGAAATTTCGCGAAACGCGAGGACGCCATGTCGAATGTCGCGAAATCGGCACGAAGCACTCGATATTCCGCAAATGCTCGACGTAAATCGTGGCGGGATTGCAATTTTCTTCGGAAAACATCGTAACGGGTCACGCCTTGAGTGACATAAGTCAGGGTCTCCTCGATTGGAAAAGCGTCGAGCGATTTGCATTCGCGGGTTGCGAAAATTTCCCTTCCTTCGAATCGGGTCTTTCCTCACCTCTCTAATGGCATTTTTATTTACGAAGAGCTTCGATTTTCCCGTATCGTGGTAAATCTTCGAGTTCGGGATTTCTGCAAACGTGAAGAAAATGGCGCCGTAGAGGAGCGAAAGTCACCCCAAAGGGTCAACGACAACGGCGCCGAGGTTTCGTCAACAAAGTCGAGGGTGGCAAACTCGAGAGCGATTAATCGAGTTCTAAGGCCTCGACGTGACGCAACTCTCGGGCGTATTACGTGAAAAAAGTCGGAGAAGGTGACACGCCTAGACCTTCTCGGGTTACGATATCGCGCGATTGGAAGTCCAAGACAAGTCGATTGCAAAGGTCGACCTCACTCCCAAAAAAGGCCGACTTTTTCCTTTCCCACCGATCGACGCCGAGTTCTAGATCATTCGCCGGTTAAGGTCAAGTAGAGACCGAGTTTTCACGGTCGCGCTTGTTTATGCGCAACGCCGCGCCCCGGCGTTTCACTCTCGACCGGAGTTGCAGAAATCGAAGCCAAATGCCAGGAATTCCCGTCTAGATGCTGGAAAGGTATCCCGGGTTAAGGGGACGTCTCCTTCGTCATGCCTTTCTTCGAACTGGGTGTACCGAATCACTTCAAACCTCGCGATATGAGTGTAGAGGCTATCAAAAATTCCAGCTTTTAAAAAATTAAATTCTAGGAGGGTCAGGACCTTCTTTGGAGTCTCCATATTCCCGTGGGAAAATTTGAAACGATTCGGTATCTCCGAGAGAAAAGTTTGACGAAGGGATGCCACTTTCGCGTCCCCTTATAACCCTTTCGGCGCTAAGCGCTTTTGGCGTACGGGCGAATTTCATCAGGGCGTGCAAGCGATATCGGGCCAAAAGTCGGACGTACTTATGGCTCCATCCCGTTGATAGGGTTAAAAAATCGGCGATTACTGCGCCGTATTCGCGACCGGGCAATGCGTACATTGTCCATCCAAGCAAGACGGTCGATTTGAGCCGTCTCGCAAGGAAAGGGCCGATCGCGATAATCCCTCGATGAGAAAATACCGAGAAAGCTCATCCCGTTGCTGGTATTCCAGTCAGCGAGAGCAACAATCAATCGCGGCCGCTCCGGATTGAATTTCGGGGCATTGGTATGCGAACTCCTCGACTCGTCCTACTTGAAATACTAATGTAATTGCTCAACGATCGAGCTACGTCGCGGATCCTCCCGGGCGATGTGCGACTAAACGTCGGGAGTGGGACAATAGTATATAATCCTCATCGAGTCCTGATAGCGACATCAGTTCATCGATAGCGGTTTACTGGCATCAACGATCGCAATGGTTTACAAGGTATCCTTCGTCTACTTCAATAATTGGGTCTATTCGTCTTGGGAAGATTCGCATCGTGGTGAAATTTTCTTTGCATCCGAACGAGTTCGCATGAAAAATTTCGCATCGCTGCGAAGTCCCGTCATTGGTTAACGTAACGTAAAATCAATCGAAATTGTCGATTTCGTATGCGAAAGTTGACGGGACGGACTCCGGTCCTCGACAACGATCTTGTAACGCCCTAACTCTCGAATCGAGCCGTCGAAAAATTGGAAGAGATTCCCGAACGGCGCTTTCCGGGGGCTAGAAGCGTCTTTTCTCTTAACACCGTATCCCCCGACAGGGCATCGTCGTCCTCCTCGGCCTGGCCACCCTGGGGCTCGGCGGCGTGGTGCAGCCGGGAGCTCGGGTCCTCGAGAAGATCGAGGACTTCGACGCAGCTCCGCGGTACAGCTTCGCCTACGACGTCCAGGATTCCATAACCGGCGACTCCAAGGCGCAGTACGAGACGCGAAATGGCGACGTGGTCCAGGGCAGCTACAGCCTGATCGAGGCGGACGGCACCAGGAGGATCGTCGACTACACGGCGGACCCCGTCAACGGGTTCAACGCGGTCGTCAACAGGGAACCCGCCGTGGCCGTGGCTCCGGTGGTCGCCAAAGCCGCGGTCGCGGCTGCTCCCGTGCTCCCCAGGGTCGTCGCCGCAGCTCCCATCGCCTACGCCAGGACCTACGTTGCCGCCCCTGCCCCTCCACCTGCGCTCAGGGCGGTCGCCACTCCGGTTGGCTTCCCGAGGGTCGCCAAAATCGTCAACCCCGTTGTCGCACCTGCACCTGCACCCGCGATCGCCAGACTCGCCGCTCCCCTGACTTACGCCGCTGCTGGATACGCTTTCTGATTTCCTCCTGTATCTCGTTACTTGTGAATTTCTCGCAAATGAAGATGTTTTTCAACGTTGAGTTCGAGTTTAAGGGACCTTTCCTGATTTCTTGAGAGGGTGGAAAGACGTCGGAGAAAATAACGATAATGGAAACGTACATTTGGAACAATGGATACCGCGAACCACCATTTTATCGGTGTTCGTATGAAAAAGAAATTTTAAACGTTTCAAATTTCACGGGATCGTTTTTATAAACGACATGTTCGCGTTCTAACGATTGCAACGATCCGGGACAACTCGGTTCCTCTTTGCCGGCATTTTCGTGCCACCTTACATTAATTAACGTGGTTTTTCGCTCCTTGCGTTAGAATGGCACTTTTCCATCGGGAGCCCCGACCGGTTCTTTTTACCGGGTCGGTTGCACATCGGCTCGAATCGATACATCAAGTTCAATTACGCAGTTGGGTTCTCTTTGCCGGGAGGAGTTACGTCACCGGTTAGGGTCTCGTCCCGTTTACGAAAGAACAATGCTCGCGTACGTAATCGGGACGACCTTCGAGTACGTGCCGAGCCTGGACAATGAGTTCGCAGTCTACTCTGAAATCCACCTACGAGACTCTCGCTTTCTTTCTCGACTGCGCTCTCCTTCTCGGGAATCGACCATTTCCGACTTTACGAACTCGAAAACTTTACAAATTCGCGATTTTGGACAATTTTCAATAGCTTATGAGTTTCCGTAAAACGTTTTACGATGAACGTTCGAGATCTACGGCGAAGAACTACGTTAGAGTTGGCTCAACTTTCTATGCCCAAATATTAAGGTCGCTACGGTGTAGAATATTTTGGGAGGGTGTTGGCTAAGAGCAGAGGGAGTTTAAATTTATTCCGATTTAACGAGTTATCGGAAAAAGATCCCTTGGATTCCATTTTAATCGGACGTGGAAACTCTTCTAATCTGCCGAGCATAGACTCCGTGAACCGCAAGTAGTGAAACTCGTGCTTAGGGCGGACATTCGCGTTCCAGATCATTCCACGGTTGCACTTGCAAGTTAGTCGCGTAATTATTGCCGAAATGATGCGTAAAGTATCCTTGTAGGCGGGTAATATACATATTACGACACCTATTTCAATTATTTAACAATGACGGATACTTTGCTCGTCGGAATCTATGAATCGCAACTAGTAAAAGTCGAGCTTAAGGCGAACCCGTGTTTGGAACGGCTGTTAAAATTCTTTGCACCTTGCGAAGTTCACTGAAATACATAAATTAAAAAATATCTAACAAATGAACAAAATGTTCTCACACGCTTGAATGTTTAAAAAACTTGCGTAGAGATATTTTCAAGATTGTTTCTAAAAAATAAAATTTCCCGGGTGTCGGGACCTTCCTTACGGTCTACGCATTTACGTGATAAATTTTGAAACGATTCGGGGCACCAGGTTGGAAAAAAGTCCTCTTTGACGGCACTTTCACGTCACCTTAAGCCCGCCGCTTAGCGGAAAGTCGAAAAGGCAAATGGCAAATTTGGCGGAGTTAAAACGTAAATCGGGCCTGACATAACTCGAGACCCGTTTCGTCAGATCTCTCGGCTTCTCCCGATGCAGGCCAGGAATAAGTGGAGCAACCAAGAGGTCCTCTCCTCGTCGGTGGCGCGGAAGGCGATCTCGAGCGCCGCCACCGGAGGAGAGGGAAAACCGCGGATCCGGGTTTTCGGCACTCGGCCGAACGTTGTGAAATTCTCCTCGCTAACGCCTCGCTCTGGCCCTATATAAGTCTAGCCCCGGCCACGACCGGCATCAGTCAACTTCCAGACACGACATGGCATTCAAGGTGAGTGCATTCTGCCCACGGATTCGCTTCCCGAATTCGTTAAGGCGAGCTCGTAACGCCGTGACGTCCGCGCTTCCTCTCTCTCTCGTTTTATTGCCTTATTATACCGGATTTTTCGACGCGGAAAAGAATCAAATAACCCAAAAGAAATTCTCTCCGCGTCTTTATAGTTTCTAACCGTTGCATTTGCTTGCCAAGATCAAATTCTCGAATTCTTATGTTGGATTTTTCAACGCGGAGTGGAGTCACATAATCCAAAAGGATTTTCGTTCGGGATTTAACGTTCTTTTTAACATTTCGTTTGGCTTTCAAGATCGAATTCCCACATTTTTTAAGGCGAGGTCGTAACGCCGTGATTCCGTAAAGAAGCGAGGGAAAGTCCAATTGCACGGGATTCCGATTTTTTTACACAATTTTTACGCGCTCTTCGAAATTGATGTTTGAATTTATTGGAAAGCCTGGAAAATACCGAGACGTAAAGTATCTGCTTTTTGCGACCTCTTGTTAATTATTAACTTTCGCTGCAAACCGTGGCGTCAAACGCGGTGCCTGGGTCAATTGTTCTTATCCGGTGAAGCGGGGAACTCGTTTCAGGACGAATTCTAAATTCTCTCGTAACTTTGCAATACCTCGGCCAGTCGCATGTAATAACCTATTCGGATGCGAACGAACCATTTTACCGACCAATACCGATAATTCGCAATTATTCCCCACCGCATATGAAAATTAAGGGGACGCAAAAGTGGCATCCGGGGACTCGATCGTTTTAAACTTAACAACACTAACGTGGAGACTGTAAGGAAGGTCTCGACACCTATGAAATTTCTTTTAAAAAATTTTTTTATACATATTTTAAGAATTGCTTATAAAAATGAAACGTCACGAGTGTCAGGACCTTCCTTGTAGCCTCCACGTTCGCATTGTCTAGGACAAAACGATTCGGTGCCCCCGGCCCGGAGAAAAGTTGGACGATTAATCTCCCGGATGGCACTTTCGCATCCCCTTAATGAAATTCATAAAACTTATAAAAAAACCTCGAAGAAGCTAGAGAAAAAAAAAATCTACAAACCCCACGTTCTCCAGTTCGTAGCCCTCTGCGCCCTGGTGGCAGCTGCAAGTGCAGGAATCATCCCTACGGCTCCATTGGCGTACCACGCCCAGGCTCCATTGGCGTACGCCGTCCCCGCCGCGAAAGCCGTGGACGCGGACTACGACCCCCATCCGCAGTACAGCTACGCCTATGACGTGCACGACAGCCTGACCGGCGACGTCAAGAACCAGCACGAGACGCGCGACGGCGACGTCGTCCAGGGCAGCTACTCCCTGATCGAGGCCGACGGCACCAGACGCACCGTCGACTACACCGCCGACTCCGTCAACGGATTCAACGCCGTCGTCCACAAGGAGCCGGCGACGGTCGCCGTCAAGACCCTGGCCGCCCCCATTGCTCACGCCGAGCCGGTGCACTACGTGGCCAACGCCGCCCCCGTGGCGCATCATCTTGCCTATGCGGCCCCCGCTGCGGCCCACTACTACGAAGCGCAGCCGGCGCAGCACTACTCCTACGCTTCGCCCGTCTACGCCTACCATCATTAAGTGCAAAACCGTTGCACCTGCGATAAGGAGGAACCGATACAGATGCAGGGTACAGGACCCTTTCAACATATGGCCGAAATTCATCAAAGCGTGCAGGCGACATTGGACCAAACGTCGGACACCTTTCGGCGCCTCCAGGAGCCGAAGGGTTAAGGGGATGTGAAAGTGACATTCGAAAGATAAATCGTTCGTGAAACTTCTCTAGGAACCGGGGGTACCGAATCGTTTTAAACTATAGGAAGTGAATATGGAGACCGTAAGGAAGGTCCTGACCCGCGTAAAATTTCATTCTTCAGAATAAATATCGAAGATATAAAGAAATTTTTAAACAACTTGACATTTCATGGAGGTCGGAACCTTTCTTGGAGTTCTTATATTTATATCGTGAAGTTTGAAACGATTCGGTACCTCCAGTTTGGGGAAAAGTTTCATAAACGAGGTCGCTGTTCCGTCACCTCGAAGATGACGATAGCGTGAGCTGTCGAAGCTCTTCGGGGCGTCGGGAGGCTTGGATCGGCACCCTGCAGTTCCACATCATGCGGTTCAGGGGAAAGCTGGGATACCCAAGAAAAATGCAGCCCGATGGGTGTCAATGGGTCCTGGGGCACCGTTGATCGTTTTCGACCCTACCGATGCATCTCGACCTATCGAAGACCGAGGGACAGCTCTTGCGAGACCGCAGCTGCATCCACGTGTGATATCACCCCGATCTTCGGTGCACCCGACGCAGGACGTCATCCCCAGGCAAAATATACCCTTCTTCGACTTGAAAATTAACCAGGGACGCCAAGATCTAGTGCCGGTGACCCTAGCAACAGCCAAGACTAAAGATGGGACAAGTGCACGGTAACTGATTTTTTTTTTTTTTTTGTAACGGTGCCGATGGATCCAACCACTCTCCTCGGAAATTCTGAATCTCGGCAACCCATCGGATACCACGTCCACGTCAACGTGCACCTGCCGTTACCAATTGTGTCCAAACTAGTCTCAATAATTCCTGCGTCACTGTTATCATATACGTCGTATACTTTCCTATGTGTAATCGTCAACCATGTTGAAAGATCATTGTCAGCTACGAGAATTCCGTTCTACGTACATGTTATAATCCTTGCAACTTTAACCATCAACTGCAGCTGCTGTATCTGTACCGCGATTGATTTATTGAGACTCGTTGACGCCATCTTGATGTCCCTGGTTATTGTTGATATCGAATTTTTAAAATAGAGCATCTTGTTGTCGCAGGTGTAAGGTCTGTCGTATTGTTCATATCGATTTTTTATACGCGTTGCATAGCTGTTGGATATGTATCTAACAATATGTACATTAAAAGTGTAGGGAAATATGCACATTGCTACGTCTTCTTTTTACAGAGATGTCCGGATAGGAAAATGTACTTATCCATCATTTAATGAGAAGTTATGCAATTTTTTATAGTAAATGTTTGCATGCTATCGTAGCTCGCACGATTCAATTAAAAAATGGTGTAATGTCGGTAGATTCCATAGTTGACGAAACTGGACTGAAAATATCGCTAACGAAAATGTGAAATGGTTTACGGATTATTGCGTTTGTACATGTTTTTTCTACGACTGAAATGATTACTCTGTAAATAATAATAATATAAATGTATGAAATGACTTTTCTTCCAAACAACGGTCAACGATCAATGCCCTCCACTTTTTTCTCTAAACAATTTATTCGGCTCTGCTTTATGAAAACATGAAATTAGGTTAAAAAGAACTATAGACACCTTGAATAAATATCGCGTTGAATAAATTAGAGAACAAAGTATTGTTCATTAATTGTTCGACGACTGGCTTTGCAAATTACAACCGTGGGTGTATTTTCAAAATGATGTTCGGTTTGTTATTACCATATTGGGGAGTGCTGATATTATGACTTTTTCGATCGGTGATATATTCTCCATAATCAATATTTCCTTATTGATAAGAAAATTAACGCAGCGAGAATCAACAATGGCGAAGTGCAAGTAGACATTCCGGTGTTACAATAATCCGTATCGCAAATGAAAAGGTTGAAAGTCGAAGCTTGTCCTTTTGGTGCCATACAGCCACGTCGAATGATACTTGTTCCATTTCCTGTTAAACAATTGGAATCGTTGTTACCATTTTTCGAATCGCCAAATTTAACCTCCCAAAAAGAAGTAACCGTTGAGTAATCGGAATATCGATCACGTATTGTAATGGTATCACCTCTAATCTGTATTAACGTCATTTTACACATTCTTAAACTCGTCTAATCGGGCTCTTTAACCAATTATTGTTTGATTTTCAAATCGAATCCTTACTGAGATAAAATATTTCCTTGGAGCAGTCGAAAAATACGTCAGTTTTATGATAGAGAAGATACAATTCGTGGCTACAGACAAGGTGTGGATTTTCCGGATCGAAGGGTTCTATACATTTTGGTGTTCCATGTGCGCCACATAAATAACACGATAATGCAATTCCTGGGAAAAAAAATTAATTAAATTAAATTCGTCATGCGTTGAAAATCAGAGGGCAGTGCATACTAAATCTAATTAATCTAAGTAACGATTACTTGGCGGTGAAATTTCGATAATATTATATATATTACGAAGATCGAGAATATTAGAAGTCGACTACCTAAACAATTAAGAATTAATTTAACGTAAAAGTTAATGGCTCGTTCATTTTAGACTCATTTCTCTTACCGTGTACAACCAACCCCGTAAGAACTAATAGAACTTTCATAATTAATGTGAAAGTAGTCTTATAATTAGTTAACCTCTTCGTTTAGTTGTGAGAAATTATTATAGAGCCACTCCGGTATAACAATTAAAAATATCATGTGATGGTAAACCACTGCGCACCGTTAAGCGGTATATTTTTACAAAGTCTGCTTCGTTGCGATTTTAGTTTATTAATTTAACGAATCTTCCGAGACTGTCGAAAGGGACAAACATAACCTCCATTGTCTTAAAACAAAAGTGTATCTCCGCGATTCGTCAAAATGTTTTTTTACAATTTAAGGACTGATGATAGTTTCGACTAAGTTTGGTCAATTATTATTATCTGCCATTATGGATCATTTTTTAAAGAAGCGCTTAAACAATTTTACCACATACTAAGGATGCATTATTTTACAAAAGAATATTAATTGATCCGTCATTTGCAATGGCTAATTCTAAAATGAAATGGGCGAACATAAAAAAACCTGAAATTTTACTTTCAATACAACATTATGCAAAGCAACTCCAACGTCGGTAACCATTATCGGCAATAATTTAAGCTTTATTATAATTACCACCACTAATTAAGATACATTAAACTGATCGTTCATAACTTTCTATTTTTACTGAAATATTGAAAAGTTGGAAGAAAAAGGTATAAACAAATTGGCGGTTTTTCCAATTTTCACTGGTCAATGAACAAAGTTATTGTCGCTGTTATCATGAAACCTTTCTGTTAATGAAATAATTAAACTTGAAATAACTGACGTCTAGTCTGGAGTTAACTATTCCGGTAGAAAGTATACATTACTATTGAAATTACAAGGGAGGAAATAAGAACCGCTATTTTGACAAGGTGAGTGGAAGAATTGTTGCAAAAATCTTCCATGCAACCATGACTGTCACCATAAAGCATCACTTCCTCCCACTCGCATCCTCGATAAACCGACACGCGTCCGTCGACTGTAAAAAAGAGTTTTGGCAAACGTCATTTACAAAGGAAACTGCAAACTTTAGGACAAATTCTCATTACGGTTTCACCCAACAATGAGAGAAGATCATTTTAGCGGAATTAAGGTGATACGAAGGGGGCAATCGTTCTTCTTTAGTTTAGTAAACGTGAGAGGTCTCACCGTAATGTACCAGTTCTTTGTGACAATAGATGCTTTTGCTTCCACGAGATAAATGAGTACTATGCGAGCAGGTTTTAATTCCGCCTTTTTCAGGGTCGAAGGGGTCGCTGCAATTATTTATCATGCACATGTAGCACTTTAGGGATGCAACTGGAAAGCGATAGGAAAATTAAATTAATTGCTCCTTATTGTACTTTATCTAAACCTTAAAAGTAATCGAGTCTAAGTCAAAATTATTTTATGCTTTAATTAAATTCATCGATGCCGACGAAACATTCAGTACGCGTAGACGAGTCTCATGAAAAATTTAAAATGGGACAACATTAAAAACAAGGGAATCATTTTTCTCTCCGTTGTTTAGCATGTTTCATGTTAATTATTTATTTAAAACGTTACCATAATCAATGAATACTAAATTGATGAGGAGCAGCATCGGGTATTTCATTTTTGCTTTTCGAAATTTTGCCAAATTAATGGCATCCAAAAATTCTACACCTTAGAACAGGTTATGTTCGTTCATTTAAATCGCGATCAGCAAGACTTAATGATTACAACATGATAATTTTGAGGGTTCTTCTTATATAATTATCCCAGTGATTCAATCATCACATTTAATTCCGTTTTGAGATATAATTATAAACGTTAATGGAAACCTAAGTTTGGTTTTATCGTTACGTCAATCTCGAGGATGCTCGAGGAAAGGAGAGAAAAACAGAAGAAGAGACGAAAATGTAGAAAATGTCCATTCCACTGAAATTCCATTGGTAGAATACTTCCGGTCTTTCGTTGAAATAGCATATTAAGTTTCAATAACGTTTCGTGGTGAATATGAAACATTCTCTTAGGACGCCATTTTTTTTTACCATTCTCAGTTGAAATAAACATTCCGTGACCAGTGAAGACAGAGAGTGCAAATACATATCCAAATTTTCTGTATTTACTCATACTTAAGATATCGAATACCCTTAATTATCCGTGCATGTCACGCGATGCCTCGCATAACCTCAAACGATCGAAGAGAGAGAAAGAAAGAAAGAAAAGACCGTCCAGTCTTGTCGGACGCCATTTAGTGATCGGTTGATAAATAAATCACGAGGCACGCGATTTCTCGGAGGTTAATTTCGTATGGAAAGCCACGGGTTTCTTTTTCTTCCCGAGAGGAGCGGTAACTCAATGGCGGACCCGACGGTCAGAAATTCATAATTTCGGGAGAGGGAAGAGAGGCCAATGACGAAACTGGGCGTTTGGCAATGCGTACTTTCCTTCTCGCGACAAGTATTACGAGTATTACGAGTATTGCCAGTATTACGAGTATCTGGAGTAACTCGAGTGTCCCGGCAAAGGGACGAGAAATGCTCCATCTGGAGCAGCTCTCGAAAAACCGTCGTAATGATCTTTCCGCACGGTCAATGGGCCCCGTGTATCGAGGTTATGTAACGCGGAGGTAAACACTACCGAGGGAAAAAAAGACGGGGGGATAAAAGTCGAAATTCGGGCTCCGCGCGCGCCGTTGCGCAAGATGGCGGCGCGGCCGGCGCGGCGTCCTTCCGCCGTTGCTTAGGCTTACTTATTCGACTTCCTAATCCGAAGGTTTCGTTCAATTGCCCCTCTCAAACGTGACTCGTTACGTTACCGGGCCCGTTTCATAATTTCCTGGTTTTGGGCGACCGAATAGTTTAGTTAAAAGCGTTTTCAGGAAGAAGAGAGAACATCGAAATCGAAACAACGTTTATCTTGGGTTCGTATTAAAATTGTCTGCAGTGTACCCTGCACGAGGCGTGAAATTTACGATATTAAAAACGTACGAGAGAGGTTAAGCATTACGTAAAATGAATTCCGACAAATGATTTTTTCTCGAGTTAATCGCGGATTAAACGAGGAAGGAGAAAGAGTATCGAAATTGAAAGGACATTTATCTCGGTTTCGTATTGAAGGTGTCTGCACTTTCCAGAGGCGTCGATCTTGCGATTTTAAAGACGGACGAGCGCGTCGAGAATTACGTAATCCCGACAGACGGCGCGCAATGAAAGTGAATATTAATCCGTAATGTACGCCCACCCTTCTTGTTCCAGAGTTTAATCCCATATCGGGATTAAACTCGTTTCTTCGCGACGATGTATATCTCCAGGGATATGACAATATATCCACGGGTAGCCATAAGACGCGCCTACTTCTTCATTTATTATTCTTCCATCTCATCTTCATATATTTTGCAACAATTCCCGTTGTCACCGTATACATCTGCATGGGGTGCATGTACCCTGGCGGTCATGTATGACCTGAAGCAACCAAGTGATGGCCGGATCATCTACGAGGTCTCAACCTGAAGAAACGAGAGAAGGAGCCGACGACAAGACTGAACAATTTGTTAATATTCTTTTAAACGAGCTCAAAAATGTATGTAATTGAGGTACCTGAGGTATAATAAACTGTAAAATAATTATTGTAATAAAGGAACTTATTGAGCGATAACAATGAGTACGTTTAATTAGAAGAGCGTGTCTAGCAAACCCTCTAATCGCCTATTCCTGATCCTTGAAAATCACTCGTAGATCTAAGATACGAAACTCGGTGCCACCTCCTCGGTTGTCCTATAATCCTGTTAGAAATCAGAAATTTCAACCCCTAAAATTTTTGCCCAGGAGAACTCCGTGCCACCTCCTCGGTTGTCCTATGATCCTGTTAGAAATCGCCAGAGATGGAATAGGATCATAGGACAACCGAGGAGGTGGTATAGAGTTTCTCCCGGGCAAACATTTAAGGGTTGAAATTTCCGATTTCTAACAGGAACATAGGACAACCGAGGAGGTGGCACGGAGTTTCTCCCGAGCAACAATTTTAGGGGTCGAAATTTCTCATTTGTAACAGGATCATAGGACAACCGAGGAGGTGGCACAGATTTTCTCCCGAGCAAAAATTTTAGGGGAGATTTTCTATTTCTAACAGGAACATAGGATAACCGAGGAGGTGGCACGAAACTCGATGCCACCTCCTCGGTTGTCCTATGATCCTGTTCCACCTCTGGCGATTTGTAACAGGAACATAGAACAACCGAGGAGGTGGCACGGAATTATCCCGGGCAAAAATTTTAGGGGTTGAAAATTCCGATTTCTAACAGGATCATAGGACAACCGAGGAGGTGGCACCTTATATCTACAGGTGATTTTCAAGGATCAGGAATAGGCGATTAGAGGGTTTGCTGGACATGCTGGTCTAATTAAACGTACTCATTGTTATCGTTCAATAACTTGCTTTATTACATTAATTATTTTACAGTTGATTATACATCAGGTACCGCAAGTACATAAATTTTCGAGCTCGTTTTTTACGTTACGTTTACGTTACCGCCCCCAGGCTGCGTCATGTGCACGAGGAAGTCGTTCATGACTGCCAGTTTACACGTAATAAGCTACTTGTATTTATTATCGAACCCGTTGAATTCATTGCTTCCCATAAAAGTCTCGGTTTCAGATTATTTAACGGAAAAGAGCGAGCCGCCATCTTGAAATTCTCGGATAAAAGAGGAGACACCTAATTAAAATGTCTTCGTTAATTCTATTCGAACAAAATGAGATTTCCCGATCAAAGTTCAGAAATGCGTTTATTTCGCTTTCTAAGAGACTTCTGTTTTAATCTCGAAAATCGTTGGGAATCTACGTCGATGAATCGAATAAAAAAAACTCGAGATTCCGTAAATCCCCCAACAGGTTTCTCACCATCTCCGGTAATCTCCCTAGAATCTCCCTAGAATCTCCTGGAATTATCTCTCCATCCGGGCTGGCTTTGGATATCCCACTTTACATCTCGCTTCCCCGTAATTCCGACTTTGGATGTGCATTCCAAAGTGGGATCCGATCCCGGGACATACACGGAAGCGTTCGCCATTTTTATCCACTCTGTTGGGCCTCTTGGAAATGCGCAAACCACGATTATGTACCCTATTCTTAAACTTCCAAAACTTAAATAACATTGTACATATATTTAGCAAATTACGTTCATTGCCCACAAGAAATTGTTTGGAATAAATTTCTTCCGAGTGGATAAAATTCGTCAAGTGTGTTTTTTACCTCTTCCTTAAGCAATCCATTTTATTGGATTTTATTTGATTGAAATAATTACTCTTTGAATGAAGAAAATATCTCTCCGGTCCCATGAAAATGTCTTATCTCGTAGGGTTTTGTCGTGACTTGGGGCGATTCTCTCGGTATCCGGTTTTGCACCTCCCTTTCCCGTAACGTGCATTCCTCCGCAGGATTCGATCTCGGGACACACGCGGAAGCGAGGTGCGATATTTATCGGCGGAATCCTCGGAAAATATACGGACGTTGCCGGGAACACGGTATCGCCATTTCCGAGTTCTGCGAACCTGGCCGGTACTTGCAACTAGTCGGTGATAAATCTCGCGATTATCAGGAAACTCGGTAGAGTTTCGCGCCAAATACGTTTAAAAAAGCATCGAATACTTATCGCCAAAATTCGGCACATCAATTCGATAAATGTTTATTTCTCTATTAAGAGAACTTATCACGGACTCGTTTACTTTACTCGAGAAATTGCCCAAAGGGCCGAAATGTAATAAAAGCGAAGGACTAATTAAGGAGATGTGAAAGTGGCATTCGAGGAGTCAATTCTTCATGAAACTTTTTTACGAACTGGGGGTACCAATTCGTTTCAAACTTTAAGCCGCCCGAATATAAGGGCTTTAAAGAAGGTCCTGACACTCATGAAATTTCATTTTTTATACAAAATGTTCTGAACTATAAACAAATTGAAATTCCGTGAGGATCGGAACCTTCCTTAAGATCTACATATTCACGTTAGGAAGTTTGAAACGATTCGATACATCCGGTTCGGAGAAAAGTGTCATAAACGAGGCCTCTTTCGCATCACCTTAACGTGTAAGTGCGATCTCTCCCATTTTTTACCTTAAAAATATATAAAATGTACTCGTAGATTTTCCTATTCGCGGTAGAGGTTACGTTTGAACTATACGGAGTATTAACGGGAAGGAAATAACGGTAAGAGGCTTATTAAATACACGTTTATAAAAATTCGAGGTACGACCGCGTCACACCGTCGAGAACTATGATACAGTCTAGCCAAAGTATGGGTGAAGAGACGCAATGGCGTCTCCACCCGTTCGTGTCATGGTTGTACCCGGAAGATGATTTTTTCAGAATTTAGTGAGAGTAGGAGAACAGTGGCGTGGAGTAGCTGACGTGGGCGACGTAAGACAGAGGGCCTCCGATTTTGGCGACGGGTTCCGCGTAGTGCAGTGGCGTCGCAATCTTGGCCGCGGGGGCGGCGTAGGCGAGGGGCGCGGCAAACTTGGCAACAGGGGCGGCATAAGTCACTGGCGTCGCAATCTTCGTCACGGGGGCAGCATAAGCGACGGGAGCGGCGTATTTTGCAACGGGGGCGGCGTAGCTCAATGGCGCCGCATACTTCGCGACGGGGGCTGCGTACGCCACTGGGGCGGCGATCTTCGTGGCTTCCTTACGGATCACGGCGTTGAATCCGTTTTGGGGATCGGCGGTGTAGTCGACGATTCTGGAAAAGAGAAACGGAGAGTGTGAGGAACATCGTATAGTTTTTGGAACGGCCGCGAGGGGCGCGCCGGTCCAGAGATGTGGAAACGTTACTTAACGTTCGGGAAGTGTTTCCTTTTTCTCGTGTATCGACGTGGCAATTATTTCAACTTTACGACTATTCGTGAATTCGACGATGGCACCATTTTTCGTAGAGTTCGGTAACGATCACACGGAAAACAATGACAAGTTCTTTTAAAACGTCCTATTGTCTACACTTACGCAACAAGAGTCAAAACGAACACGAGGACACGTAATGGCAACCTACGAATCGCTGTCTGCACCATTTTCTCAACTCGATTCCGTAACAAAAGGTTCCACTTCGGGGTTTTAGGGTACTTTAGGCGGTCCTAACCTGCGAGAGCCGTCGGGCTCGACCAGCGAATAGGATCCCTCGACGACGTCGCCGTTGCGGCTCTCATGCTGGCTCTTGAAGTCGCCGGTCAGAGAATCCTGCACGTCATAGGCGTAGCTGTACTGGGGGTTCGGGTCGTAGTCCGGGTCCACGCTCTTGGTCAACACTGCCTTCGCTACCGGCGCCGCTGCGTACGCCAGTGGCGTAGGGTAGGCCTGCTGGTACGTTGGCTGGTACGTTGCCTGGTACGCCGGCAGAAGCCCGGCGTTCGCGGCTGTTACCACGGCGGCGAAGACTACGAACTGTACAAACGCGAACTTAGCATTTAAAAACTGTCGGAATTATAATTTTACCGCGATTCAAATAATGCAATAGAATTAATGTTTAGAAGTTTACACCACCTCTCGGTAAACGTCAAATAGGAATATCAACGTATTGAAAAAAACGTATGAAATTTACGCGCAATACCAAATCGAGGTAAATATCCCAGAACGTGGTCAGAAATATAAAGTAAGAGAAAGGACGATCAAAACGAGCAGAAGAGCATCCGGGGCATAAATGAAAACCAAGGAGGAGAAGAAGAGAAATAAACGTTATGCGAGAAGAGTAGAGTTTCGGAAAATAAAATCGTGGAGATTACCTTGGACACCATTTTGTGAGGTTAAGTTCTCGCGGTGGTTTGGTCGAGGTTTGGTCGAGGTACTGAATACTGAACAAGGGTGGAGCCGATATTTATACTTGGCGAGCGCATCGCGTCGCGTCGCGTCGCATCGAATTCAATCGGATGGCGGTCGCTCGTGACGTAACACGGGGCGCCCCTCCGCGGCGTCTCCGAAATGCACTCCTTCGGTCCCCGTGCACTTTCGGTGCAGACTCCACCTTTCGGTGTTACCGGTATCTGGAAGATACGGCTCGCTTTCACCGAATAAACTGGGGCTGCTTCGACCGGCCGGGCCCACGCCGGCTTTTTCGAAACAACGTCCTCCGCTCTTAATGGCCATCTCGACATGGGTGATATCGAACGGCATACAAAACCTATCCAAACTAGGTGCACCGAATTCTTGAAAACTTCGACGCGCGATCGCGGGTCCCAAAATACGATGCTTTTGCAATTTCAATTTAAACTAATTTTTCTTTACTTATCCCAGACCAGGACCGGGGCTAGTATTTCGTTTGTTTAGGGAGCGAAATCTACGTTGTTCGTTCTCCGTTGAATTCTCAGATATCTGGAACGCGTAATGCACTTTCACCCAAAAACTGGAGCCGTCCGAGCCGGGCTCAATTTGCATCGTTTCGCTCTTTCGGATACATTATACGTACTTGGCTCGGGACTCTACCGCGTATCTCCGGCATTAAGATGCTCTTGCGAAATAGCGTTCCCGGCATTTCGATCCATTATTCGGATTCCGACTTTTATCATAGCGATACCGATCTTTCGTAGAACTCCGAGAAAAATGTACTTGGCGCGAGACGCTGCCAGACCTTGGGCGTTGGATGGCCGACTTATATTATAGGGCCAAAGATCCAATTATTCCGACGTTACAAAAAAGACTACCGAATGTCCCTGAAGGTGCTCCTCGCTTTCGCTTAAAAAATTGGAATCGTTATAATTGGACGCCCTGAAATTGTTCCAACGTTAAGAAAAAGAACTCTACGTTGCAACGACCACTGCCGAATGTCCCGAAGGTGTTCCCTACTTTCACTTATAAAATTGGGGTTGTTTTAATTGGAAGAACCTGCATCGCCCCGGGTCTTTCCGAATTCGGTGCACTTTGTCTTGCACCGCCCTGCATGTAACGCTCTTAATTGCAGACTTTTATCACCTTCGTTCATTTATCGTACGTGTTTTATTACATTTCTAGGAGTTTTTCGATTCAATTACTCGTGACGCTATCGTTTTTGGTTTCCGTCTCCGAAGCTGATTGTGGACCTCCCATTTGTATCAGAAGTACCAGATAAGTCGTTACAGTTGCAACGAACTGAAATAGAAAATTATTCGTTAGGAAAATATGATTAAAAGTTAAGTAAACGAGTAAATGTTTCTTCTACATCGCTGAAATAAACACCGATTACAATTCTTTCCGTTCTTCCTCGTAATTTCTCACTTTTGCAATTCACCTGTTGAACGAGTTGAAAATCCACCGTGAAAAAACCACCAGCGGTGAAGACCAACGGATTTTGTCTCAATTGAAGTGAAAATTGCTCGACCTGCATTGCCAAATTGTGATACAATTTGTTGATCGCTTTCTAGGCAAATTAATAAATCGAGTTTATCGATAAACCTTACTTTACCTCCTCTTTTACGGCGGAGTCCTCCACGGAGCTGCTAATTGCGAAAATTAACATACTTGCTTTTCTCGCCTGAAATTATTGCCAACAATTAAATTCACGTACAACTTCCGTTTATGATGTAAAAATGATCAGGGACTAAGTGACGGTTCAACAAATTTATCTACGGTATAAAGACATAAGATCGGCACACGCTTAATCTTTTAACCGGTCATTGATTCCGAAGAAACGATACAATAATACAAAACATTGCAGTTTTGAGGACAATGCTCACCTCGGAAGTGACCGTTGCACACTCGCGGCAAATCAGGAAGAATTTTGTTCCAAAATACAAAGCCCAAGATATGTACAGAATGGCTTGCTCGACGAAGTCTCTTATGCCGATATTCCTCGATATTAGCAATGTAAATATACTGTACAACAATGTTGTCAAGATAACAAAGTGACCCGTCATCGATATCGCGAGTTGCAGGCCAAAAATGGAACACAGAGCCCGCGAGATTCTACACAATTCCAAATGAAGATGTCTGAAAGAGATACATAGTTTCGTACATCCGACAGGTTAGACAACACGGAAACGTCTACCTGATAATCGGCAAGAGATGTCTCACTCTCGCCACTTCTGCACCGTGCGTCGTTTCTACCCTGATTATGGAAATTCTCATCCCCGAGTCCCTCAAAATCCTCCAGGACCTTTTCGGCTGTTCGTTCAATTTGCTCAGTTCAAGTAACAAATTGTTCAATCGGGTGAATCGAGTCCCTATAATGCTATAAAACGGTATCGAAGAATAAGTAGGGCGTTGTTGAAAATATTCACCAACTTCCCTCACATTTAAGGAGTATCAAACGTCAGAATATTTATACAATTTCCCTACAAACTGGGTACACCGAATTATTTGAAACTTCAGCACGCGAATGTGGAGGCCCTAGAGAAGACCGTATTGCTCGTGAAATTTCATTTTTATAGACAATTTTTTAATTTTTCATTTAAAAATGGAATTTCACGATGGAATGGGAGGACATTTGATAATACGCGTAAGAATTTGTATATAAGGTATAAAACGGTACAAGTGCATATTTTTGAACTTACCGAACGAAGGTCGTGAAGTGGAGATCCGCAGCCCCCAGTACGTGACTGGGATGATGGAGGATGAATATTAATATCCACGCGTCCAGCAAGCTGACGTTGAACAGGGTCCAGGATATCTCGCAGAATATCAGGAAAACGATGGCGAAGATGCCTATGAGCACTCTTGCCAGGCACATGACAAAAATGCGTCGCCAGTCTTCCTCCATTCCCAGCTGCTCGATCGTCTCGTCCACCAAAACGAGTCTGATGAAGCACTTCCTGAATTTCTGCAAAAAAGATTAGAGCATTCCCAAGATAACTGGTCCCAAAAATGCCTTTGTCAATTTCAAGTCCAGGGGAAAACGGCTGTACCGAGAAAAAGAAATTAATCGCACCTTTGAACAATACCAAAGAAATATTTTCACTATTTGAAGAATTTTACTGGAATAAATTGGATGCAACATCTCTTCGGAATTATGACGATTTATTTCAGCTTATTCGAGTCGAAAAATTATTCTTTTAATTAAGAAACAATGAATTTTCTTTTCTCGGCGTGATACGTTTAGCTTCCGCAAGAATAATCGCACCGGTGGCGAAAATGTTTGCGATTGTATCGTTAAAATTGTCATGGAATTAAAGATACGTGAAAAACAGACTTTTTGCTAACTTTTACGTACTCTGGTTCCATATAACCCGAGTAAGGTAGCGACCACTGCTATGGCGACGTTGATGACGTTGACGATGAGGAAGAACCGCCCTTCCGGGTTCAACATCAGCTGAGAGTGATACACCGGCATCCAGAAGTAGAGGATGAGGAAATAGATGAGCCAAAGAGCAAGCGCATAAAAAATGCTGAAAATCTTCCAGGGTCGACCGAAGGGGTACTCGAAAATCCCCACGCCGAAAACCCATATGCAAATAGCGGCCGGAAGCACGGCGCCTCTCAAGGTTTTTGGACTCCAGTTTAGGATCCTTTTGTATCCCGTGGTGATTCGCCTTCCGGCATGCCTCCAAGATTTTGGCATTGGCTTCGACTTTTTCTACAAAATATAACCGCATGAAAATGTAAAATTCGTTTGCTATCTGCGATCGAATACGTCAAAATGTCAGATTCGGCAAACAAAACTTATTTAAACCAACGAAACAATTGTTTCTTGCAATTATATATAATTTAGGCAACTATATACGTGTGTTTCGGTGAAGCAATCTTTTTTCTCAGTGTAGGAAAAATTCTAATATGTAAACTTTCAATTGAAAATGAGGTGGAACGAATATGTCGAGACTTCATGAGAATTTGCACGAGTCTCGCGCCAAATTCATGGCCGCAGCGACCGAGTTTATTTACGCGCGACGAAAGACTACAAATTTCTGAAAACTAGAATCGTTGATTGGTCTTAATTTATACGTAGTTCCGTATGCACGATTCATTTTTTGATCAAACTTACCGATTCCGTCATCGTTTGTCGAGAAATGTGGTCCGAACCGAACAAGGTTCCGAAATGTCGCAATTTCTCGTTACATGAGGCCGAATGAATTGTCCCCCAAGGTTCATAATTATTGCCCGTCTCTTGCGGTCTGAAATTTTAATACGTCGTCCAAAATTTACAACCGCGAGTTAAATTTGTACGCGCAATAAAACTCGAGTGCAGAAAGTCACGGAAGCACTGAGAGCGTTCGTGTTTCCGACAAGTACTTTCGTTAATGGGTTCATTTTTTCCCCAGGGGATCACGTGTACCTCCTACGACACTCGCATGTACAAAACGTCATTCCCTGTGATATTCCTAGTGTTAAACATTAAAAACAAATACCTATTCCCTAAATAAGTGCGCCGAATGGATCGAAATGACGTTCGCTTGCGAAATTGAACTCGCTTTGTCCTGCCAAACAAATTTATTTGCGGAATTAAGTACTTTACGGCCCGGTCTTTTTATTGGATAATTATGCGAGGGAAATGTGAAGCAATTGTTTTTTCAGGATGGAAATTACTGGCGAGTATATGGGGAGCTAAAAAAAAATCCTCAGATGGAATTTCGGCGCCTTTCTCCCACAATTGGGCCACTTTACTCGAACGAATTCGAGGATCGATCTTATGTCATCGTACCTTTATACAGGCTGATTCAACGCTCACTTTTCACATTTTATTTCCCGACAATAATCCGAAAAAATTTTTTGCCTTAACGTTTAAATATATTCAACCCTAACCGCGTCACTTCCTTCTTTAATTCTCATTTCGACTGCGATTTTGTACAAAAAGTTGAACGTGAAAAATTTAACATTCGAGAATGTTACCAAAGATTCGAGTATCCAGTGCTCAAGAATGAAAAATAGAATTTTGAAAATTATTGCGATCTTTCCCTCGCTTTACCTCAATTCCAAGATGGCCGACTTCTAAGGAAACGCTAAAACGTGAGTTTATTGGATAATAATTTGACTAACAATAAACTCAAATAAATCGTCATAATCCCGAAGAAATCTTACATCTTATTTATTCAAGTTTATTCGACGCAAACAATTCAATGAAATTTCTTCCCAGCGCGTATTTATTTAATTTAATTTTCCATTAACGTTTCCTCACATTTCGGAGGGAGTGGCTGTTGACTTTGACATGGAGTATATAGAAAAGGAAGGAAGAACAGTGGAATTCGCATTCGGCAGAACTTGGCACAGTAATTGCACACGCGAGTAAGTAAAAGTGGACGCGATCACGATTTACGCCAATTGCGCCGGCTGAATTATGTATAATGTCGGGGGAAAAAAAGAGGCTTAAAGGTCGTTTTATCCGGACGGTTCTACAGGTAATTACAATTTCAGATTAACCCATTCGGTGAATAAGACGGATAGGTGTCGCCTCCGGAATACAAATCGACGACGCCATTAACGGAATGGCGGAAGATACCCAAAAACGTTATTAATTATCCCGATAGGAGGACAATCGATTCCGTATGACGATATTTTCCACGACAAAAAATGACTGCAAATAATTCCCTCCCTTTTCATTAAGCCACATGGATAAACGTCGCAACATTTTAAATAGATGCAATTAAATCCTCATTTTTATTCGAACGGAAAAATATTGTTAAAAAGGTGTGCAATATATTACGATATATTTCAGTATTAATAACATGTTTATTATTATTAATTTATTACATGTTTATTAATAACAATTTATTAATAACATAACGCATTATTTTTTACCCCACTTAACGTACGTCTTCTATGAGACGCCATTTTGTTTTCTACGTTTGTGAGCATTTTGGCTCGATGTGAATATTATTTACGACGCCGGTAATAAGTATCGATACTTTGGTGAACTGCCGTGATTCGACTTTTTATGTTTCTATACTAATCGAGGGAATTTTCGTAGGACGAAGTTGGAACTCGGTCTACTTTATGGAGGCGCGTAGGTGGCGAAAAAAGTCGAGCAAGATGGAGGGCAGAGATTCTCGAATTGACGTGTGGAAACAATGTAGTTTCGTAAGCCGTAAGTGGGATAATCAATTAACTGGGAGCACCGGTGGCGATAATCTAGGAATCACATCGCGTAATCGATGGAGCGGATTGCGCGATAGGCGGTCCTGCCACGCGGGGGAGGATATCTCCAGATCGCAGCTTTCCTTTGTCGTTTCCATAATAACCCCACGCTATTACAGATACCGTTCATTTCGCCGATAAAAATACAGCGATCTTGCGATCGATTTTGTAATCCCGGTAAAAAGGAAACGATATCTTTCGTATTTTTCGAACCGACATCAATCAAGGGTAATGGAAAAATCGTATCGTGTCATTAATTCCACCGATTAGGCAAAGATATCTTCAAATCGGAGCTTTCCTTCGTCGTTCCCATGATAACCCCATGCTATTATAGAAACTGATTATTACGCCGATAAAAATGCAGGGAGCTTACGATCGTTTTCATAATCCCGGTAACATGGGAAAGATCGAGGATCTGGAGTAAAAAATCGTAGAAAAAATCGTACCGTGTAATAACTTTCATCGATTAGGCGAAGATATCTTCGGGACGGAGCTCTTCTTCTCGTAACCCCATGCTATTGTAGAAACTGTTCGTTTTTCCATATCTTACCGTCGAAAGCAGGGCGGTGCAGAAACATCCCGACATCGGCGACGAGGGACCGAGCTGCCCCTTCGAATGAACAAAGCAAGATGGCGGGGCGAGGGGAGGGTAATAACACGGTGACACGGTCCGGCACGTCCGAAGATCCGGGCCGGCCATGGAGGAAAGAATCTCGCTCCCGGATGTCTCCGAGCACGAAAAACCGATGCGAAGGTCGCCCTCTCGCGCCCTTCGCGGGAACTAAACGCCGCGCCATCGGCGTCGCCGTTCCGGGGCTGTCCCACATGGACAAGGGTACACCCAATTAATGACCATGGTTTACCCCGCGCTATCATAGTTGGAAATACGGTAGAAAAGTCCCGTATGATATTTATCCCTGGAAAAAAATATTTCCGAAAAGTAGCGCTCCGAATCAATGCACCGTTCCGCGCAACGCAATACGGTGACGTTCTAACATCAAGAGAGGAAGAAGGTCCCTCCGTTTTCCTTCTCCCCTTTCAAGCGAACCATCCAAAATCTATGTACCAGGGAAAAAGACTCAAAACCAGACCTTACATTAATTTTGCGTGTATTTATATCAGACCGGAATAAATAGGGAGGGTAGAGATTCAGTGGTAGTATGCGGGGGCGGCGTAAGACAGAGGGGCGGCGAACTTAGCGACGGGGGCGGCGGCGTATGCGAAGGGCGCATGCGCGACCGGTGCGGCGTACTTGGTGTAGGCCACTGCCGGGGCGGCGGCATAGTGCGCTACTGCCGGGGCGGCGGCGTAGTGCGCCACTGCCGGGGCGGCGGCGTAGTGCGCCACCGGAGCTGCAGCGGAGTAAGCCACAGGAGCGACGGTCTTCACAACCGGAGCAGCGGCGTAGGTAACTGGAGAGACGGTTTTCACGACGGGAGCAGCGGCTACGGCGGGCTCTTTGTGGACGACGGCGTTGAATCCGTTGACGGGGTCGGCGGTGTAGTCGACGGTGCGGCGGGTGCCGTCGGCCTCCAGGAGGGAGTAGCTGCCCTGGACGACGTCGCCGTCGCGCGTCTCGTGTTGGTTCTTCGAGTCTCCGGTGAGGGCGTCCTGCACGTCATAGGCGTAGCTGTACTGCGGATGGGGGTCGTACTCGTCGTCGATGGTCTTCGCCACCGGGGCGGTGTAAGCCACTGGGGCTGTCAGGAGTCCCGCGTTCGCGGCTGCCACCAGGGCGAAGAGGGCTACCATCTGCAATTCAAATGAAATTTATAGTATACTTAGTTGGACTTATTTCACTATGACCATGATTTGTAAACTTGACAATTGTAAGGAAGTAACAATAATAATCTGGGAATTTTGCGTTTCCGATGTAAACCCCTCTTTGGATTAAAGGAGGCATTAAGGTGACACGAAAGTGAGCTCATTTGTGAAACTTGAGATATCACTTTCGTGTCACCTTAAATGGCCAGATGATATAAATTAGTAGATAAAAGGTTGATAAATAAAAAATAACCGTAATCACGATAATTTTAGGAACAGTGATAATTATGTTAGTTAAACAGATAATAACAATGAAAAAATTAGGAAGTGAAATTATTCACGAAATTAATAGCAGTAATGATTATTATAATTAAAGAAGTAACAATAATAGCGGGGATGCCGACGAAAATATAATTAAATGAATGAGACCCATGAAGGGTGTAGAAGAAAAAAATGGCCGAAGCGTTGCCCACCTTGAAGACCATTGTTGAAGAGGTTTGGTTGGATCGACTAGGCTCAGTGATGACTGTCGATGATCATGGCCGTCTTTTATATGCCTCCACTGTCGGAATCCCCCACCAGGCGACAATCCTGGACGCTGAAAGTTCGATTGACGGAAGTCGCTCTTGAACTTGGCCGCAAGTTCCTTTCAATGGATTTTCAAGGCACTAGGTGGCACCAGCGGCCTTTCGCATTACCTTAAAAGGGAGTGTCAAGTCTAATGGACATCGAAGTCCAACACGCCTAAATTGTAATTCGAAGTAAAACCCGGTAACGACGAAAAAATTAACTTTTGGAGCGAAGAAAATAAGCCAATTAACAATGAAATCTAAAGATTACATCGATAAAAGTTCCACTTGAAGTTGACTACATATATATCCCGCTAATTTTAATGCATTTAGATAGCAGGATGTATTCTATGATGTCACTATAAGACGGAAAATGAATTCTAACGAAAATCAAAAACCGCGTCGCCTAAGAAACAATAATAATTCTATTCAAAGAGAAGGAGAATAATCTTCAAAATAAATAACGTTCATTATCGTCCATTTTTGTTTCGATAAGCACCAAATCTCAATTTTGAATACCCCGTCAATTGTAATAAACCATTATTTCTTGAAGCAACTGACAACGGTATTTGTAAATCTCTGAAAATCTATATCGTCGATAAGGTATGCGTCGTACATGCGTAAGGACGTTATCGTGCAACCGAATTCCTTCGTTACGCAATCGAAAACCGATCTAGTACGGCTCGGGCGACATGGAAAGGAAAGAAGTGGAACACTTTCGCAAATTAGGCTGTCCCGGTAACAGTCGATGCTTCGATTTAACGTCCGACGTGTGAGAGGGAGAAGGACACAGGCTTGCACCAGAAAAATTTATCGTAGAAATCGACCTTGAGCTCCGATTCGCATTCCGCGGTGGAAATGCAATTCGAGTTTTCACTCAGGAGATATAAAACCAGGTTTCATAAGACGTATAAACTGTCATGTGTAACGTTTACATTTTGAAGTATTAAATATTCCAAAGCTTATGTCAACGTTCAAACCACGTTTAATCCACTGGTTCTCGTCCGATCACCAAAGTTAAGCAACGTTGGGCGCGGTCAGTACTTGGATGGGTGACCGCTTGGGAACACCGCGTAACGTTGACTCCGTTTTTCTTTTTTCGATCCTCCTTCTATTGTCATTGCCGAAATCATCGTCATCCTCCCTTCGTTTCTATTTTAGAATCTGTTACGCAAATATTTATCGACCCTATCCGATTTAAACATTTTATTTTCTAAAAACTCAGTCGCAACAGGTTCCCCAATTCGAGTTAACCGAAGTTTAACACATTTATACCCGGTTTAAGCATGCTGTAAACTAGCCAAACATCGGTTAATTCAAGTAGGGGAACCGGACGTAAATAAGTTGCAGAGATAAACGAAAAATCGGTCGACCGACTCGCGAAATATTCTCGAACGAGATCGATTCCACCTGTTGCCAACTTCGCTTCGTCCCTCTCCCTCCGGAGGAATATTTTTCGCCCAGGAGCCAGTTTTCGAGATTTTTATCGAGAGGAACCTCGATCCAGGATCCCGGATGGCCTTAGGTGGACCTTCGTTCTCTCGGATTTCCGTGTCCGGCGTCCTTCCAGACATAATCGAATGTCCGAAAGCGGGTTTAAGCGCGGGGGACCTCGAGCGGATTTTCGCCATCTTGGAGATTCTGGACGGACAAAGGAACTTTAGTTACTTAAAAGAACACGGAATTGTCCAGACATGGATTATGAATGTCTAAACCTCGAGAAAGATGCGTTAGATCTTATGAAATTGATTTTTTCATTCTACTTGCTGCTCGAAAGAAAAACAAGATGGCGGAGAAATACGAGATGACTTTAGGGGTGCAATAAAGTGTGTATTTATGGATTTCATCCTCATTTCTGACTTTTTAGTTCACTCTACTCTACGATCTGCCACTATCCTTTCTTTCATATCCCTTTTCCTTTTTTCTCGAAATTCGTCGCAACAATGAGTCGAATCTTTTCTCGAGGCCCATCGGCGACGCAGATCGGACTTTCTTTTCGGAAGGGAACACTTCCCACAAGGTCGTTCCCGAGAATTTGCGAGATCACGTTCCAAGTGGGTCGACTCGCGTTCGTGAAACTTTATCCCAGACGGTCACCTGCTTTGATTGACTATATCGAGACAGGTCGGCCGAAAAATTCGGGAAAATTCCTGAGGGTTCGTGAAATAAAAAATTCACATGTTACTACCTTAAACAGAATTAACGGGTAAAAACCGACCGAATCCCGTCTGGAATTTATAAGCAGCTCGACGAGGCGGTGATTTCACATCCCTCGGTGCAAAAACAGAAATAAGCCGTAAAAAGGAACGATCTTTACGACTCATTTCTTCCTCTGTAAGGTAAGTGGAAAGGTGTAAACGTTCACATTTATTCGTAATAAACAAACGTTTTGTGACCGAACGTTAGTAGATATTGGTATAATTCTATAAATTTTGAGTAAAAACGTGCCTTTCGGAGCCTCTTTACGTGGGAATAAATGCAGCGTTGAAAGATGGCGTTTAAAAGGTGGCATTAAAAGACCCACGTTTCATAACCTTAAATAACGATAACAGTAGAAGGGGTTAAGCGAAATTTTTTCGGAGATAAACGATTCGCCAAGGTCGTAATTTCACATTACAGGACAGATCCCCGCGTATCTATAAAGTAGCGCGAAAAATGGATCGTAAAAAGGAATCTTTGTAATTTTTACGACTCATCTTTTACGCTGTCGTTACTTATGCTCTTTCGTAAGGATCGTAAAGGAATGACGATGATTTCGCTCTCATTGTCAGCAATAAAGGATAAACCCTTCCTAAATCATTGTCATCTGATAAAAAAAGAAGGGGTTTATTTATTTATTTACCCGGAATACTGTAATTATTTCCCATTTATCCCGTAAATCCAACACCGAAGCCAGATTCAAAGAGACGTAGGTGGCGGTCTTCGCTCACATTTCGGTATTTCGTTCTCTTTTCTTTTTTTGTATCACTTCCAACGTGATTTATTAGCTCATTCTCGTTTTATCGCTCGAATATCGCCTTTCGTTCCTTTTCCTCGGTCGAAATTCGTCAAAATTTCAACCTCGCGTCTCCTTTATGCAAATTAACACTTTCGCCGTGGCTTGACGAGCGTGTCTTTTTTTTTTACGGTTCATAAAACTAGCCTCGTGTATTTAATTAAGTCGGCGAAGAACGCGTTAACGCCATTTATCACTGTATGAATAAGTAAATTAGTGTACCGATAAGGTGCCAACAGTTTTCCGAAACAGTTCCCACGATTTACGTCAAATTTCAATTAATCCTTATCGCGCGAAAAATCAGCCTCAACGAACATTTCTGACAATTCTTAAACAAACTTCAAAAATACAATTCAATAAAAAATATAACATTTCATTTTAACGCCATTAAATAGATTATGCCTTTCAAACTAAAGAGTTTTCTAAAAATCTAATCTAATTGAAATTTCAAGTACAAGGAATTATTCAACTTGAAAATAATTAACATTGTTGAGTACCGAACATTTAAACTTGCAATGTTGTTAACGTTGGCATTTGATTCCGCTTCAAACAATTTCTACGGAATTCTCGCGTTCTATTTTCCCTCTTGATCAAATGACCGTATATCCGCCTTTCGTATAATTTATGCAAATCTTACAGCCGAGAACTTGAAATCTGGATTCATTAACTCTTCCGATTGCGCCAACTGAATATCTTTACAGTTTCCACATTTTCAAGGATAATTCACATCGACTATTGTACCCATCCTTTAAATTCTCTTAGGTTAGGTTACGTTATCGATATAAAATACCTTGTAATTAGTACATTAACACATGCCAAAATTATAATTAAGCTCATGCACGTCTTCGCTATTCGAGACCGATGCAATTGTCATTATCGAGCGTTATGAGCGGAATAATTGATCGAGCGACGAATCGATGAGGTCACCGCCGCCATTTTGAACGTAACGTCCGATTCCTGTGAAACAATTTAATTCCGCACGTTTCCCGGTTGCGGAAACGACTCCTCTGAATATTTATCAGGAGAAATGGAACGCAGTTGGCTCGTCAAGCTAAAAACGTGCGAAAACTAGACTGGTCTGCAAAAGTGCAGGTGTCGCCCTCTGGAAGCTCTGCCGCGCATCGAGTGCATTTTCCTTCCATTCCAGAGAACTAAATTTGTAAATTCTTAAAGGACAAAATCCTGCCTTGTAAAAAATTTTAATCCGCACGAGTTTTGCAGAAATATTGACGCTACCTTCAAAACGCCTAAAAGAGATTCAAATCAATTTTAAACATTAAGAAGATGATATTTTCCTTCTTTAGAAAACGTTACACAGTTTCTAGACCAGCTCCTTTAAATATGTCCGTTAATATGCAAATTTTCGAGAACTTCTCTGGGCTATATTATAATTAAGTTCTGGTCTGATTTTCATCCATTGGACGTTTTCAGGCCCACCTAACCTGTCCGCTCACTTAATTTTACATAACTCGTGGTCGGGTAAATCTTATCGAATTCTAATATCATACATTATGTTTGAAATGTAGATTAAGCAGATACAAGGGACGTTTCGATGGATTCTCGTACGGCCGCAATTAATCATCTCCTATCACCGATACTCTGTCGCTCGCAACAATTAATTATTTACTTTCAAGAAGTACCGAAATTCGCCGCTGAACGTGTCGCAAATCATTCATCCTACTTTGAATAATGAAGAAAAGTCATTGTATTCCAATCGACGGGATCGAAATTGACAATAAATGAGAAAAGACTTGAAAACCGTTCGCGCATGCTTCTTTATGCATTTGGCGCGAAACTCTCCCGAGTTTCCTTTGTTGGCAATTCCATTCACCCCGGTATACCAATTTTATAGCATAACCTCAAATAAGTTGAAAATTTCTTTATAGGAATAAAATAAGCGTATACTAATCTCCTCGAGGCATAAAATGTATTATTATCCCTTTCATATCACGTTAAAGACTTAAATTCAAATTCTGATGCAATCGACCCTTATCGTCGATTATGCGCGACCGACGATCGACAAGGAGTCGTTCCCCGGAGAGAAAAGCTGGCCCTCGGTCGAAAGTATCCCGAAAGGGAATCGGCCGGTTCGACATTGAAACGATCGGTAAGTAGATCGGGATTAGGTAACCTCTGGCAAGGCCGCGGCCTAGCCGGTCCACCGAGATGGCCGAAGGGGCGGCCATCTTGGGTGTGGTCCGATTTCTTGCCCAATTCCGCGCCGATTTACCCGCCGGGCTGACCGCCGACCCGATTGCGTTTCTTCGCCGTCCAGCCACGCCAACTATAAAAGTCGAAATTCCCTCTCGATCCTCATCATTCGCGTCTTGCCCATAGACCGTCACTCCTCTACAATGGCATTCAAGGTACCGTTCTACTATCGTTAATTAACGTACCCATTTATCGCTCTACAGTTGTCGAAACTGCCCGTAGAAAAAAAAAATAGCGTTCGCATAACAAAACTGCATTTCGTTCCATCATTATAATTAATGTAGCTTTCGAACTTTAGTTCGTTTGCTTCGATCGATTAAAGTCATTTGGTTAAATCGTTTGATTAATTTTAGAAAACATTTTAGTCAACAAAGTTCCCAGAGGAACGTTTGTCTCTGAAAATTCATTATGTATGTATTTCTCTAAAAATATGCAGAGAATAATGCTAGAAACGCCGTAACAAAGCGAGCTTCCAGTTTAAATTCGTTCGCCTCTGATTCTGTTAACGGTAAAATTGAAAATATCGTTTTTTGTGTAAATTAAGTTATCAACGACGATATCTTTGAAAAGGGAATATTTTCTGGGTTTATACGCGAGTTTTCCCTCCATAAATAACTAATTGCGACAAACCATTCTCGCTAAATAAGTCGATACGGGAATTTTGATCGGTCTCCAAAATGGCCGCCGTCTGGCCTGGCAGCCATCTTGATTTGCAGGCGACTCGATCGTATTCGTTAATCATTCCCTTTTTAAGAAACAGCAGTCGGTAAAAGTAGCGAAAGACGAACAAAAACAATTAATATCTAGTTTGACGCGATAAGTAACCAACGTTATCGCATACAATACGCAGTGGCTGCAGTTAATTTACGAACCGAGTGATAAATGGACGAGCCTGTATAAAACAGCTTGGGAGAGGGTCCATAAATCACCGCCTCTTGGTCATCTTTCGACGCGTCATTATCCCGGCTACTTAACCTAACAAAACCACTATCGTCGCGTGTTTAACGTGTAATGCTAACAAGCGGGCAATAGGACGCCATTCCCACTTGCGTGCAAGAACGAGCGAGCTTTATGACATCAAATTAGCGAGCATCCTTGCAAATTACTGCCCCCGACACAGGCGTAGACCGGGATTAACCACAAGGGACGCGTCATTTTTTTAAAGAGTTAAGGTGATTTGAAAGCGGCGACACATAGGTCTCGTTTGTGAAACTTTTCTCCGACCTGGGTATATCGAATCGATTCAAAGTTTACAACGTGAATATGTAGGCTATAAGGAAGGTCCCGACCGCCATAAAATTTCAATTTTTTAAACTTTGTTTACTGACGTTCTCCAAATTTTTCATACAAAAACGAAACTTCTCGAGGGTCAGGACCTCCCTTATAGTCTCCATGTTCACGTTGTAAAGTTCGAAACGACACGGTGCACCCAGTTTGTAGAATAGTTCGATGAACGACCGACCTTCCAAATGCCACTTTCACCATAATAGCATTTTAAAGATAGTCAAATAAAGCGTTCTCTAATATAATCTAAATAAATAATTCTCGTTTCAGTTCGTCGCCCTGTGCGCCCTCGTGGCAGCAGCCAGCGCGGGAGTGATCCCGGCGGCGCCTTTGGCGTACCACGCCGCGGGCCCAGTGGCGTACCACGCCGCGGGCCCAGTAGCGTACCACGCCGCAGCCCCGGTGGCGTACGGCGCGCCCCTGGCGTACGCCGCGCCAGTCGCGAAGACGGTCGACGCCGACTACGACCCGCATCCACAGTACAGCTACGCCTATGACGTGCAGGACAGCCTCACCGGGGACTCGAAAAGCCAGCACGAGACGCGCGACGGCGACGTCGTCCAGGGCAGCTACTCCCTCCTGGAGGCCGACGGCACCCGCCGCATCGTCGACTACACCGCCGACTCCGTCAACGGATTCAACGCCGTCGTCCACAAGGAGCCCGCCGCCGTCGCCGTTAAGGCTGTCGCCCCGGTCGCCAAGGTCCACGCTCCCCTTGCCTACGCCGCTGCGCCCGCCTACGCCGCCTATGCCGCCCCTGCCGTCGCCAAGTTCGCCGCTCCCCTCTCCTACGCCGCCCCCGCATACTACCATTAAACCGTTCAACCTTATTTATTGAATAAACATACTCTAGCAAATCTAACACCGACAGTTCTCATTTTACGGCCCTTCGTATTTGTGAACCCTTTTCCTGGAAATGTTCCCTTAAGATGACGCGACACAAACGTCAAGGAGGTCTCGTTTATGAAACTTTTCTCCGAACTGGGGGTACAAAATCGTTTCAAGCTCAAAAAATGAAATAAAGAATTGAATCTCACGAGGGTCGCGTCCTTCTTTGAGGCCTTTACATGCAGATGATAAAATCTCGAACGATTCGATACCCCCGGTTCGAAAAACGTTGCATAAACGAAACCCCTCGAATATCCCATTGGAGTCGCCGTAACGAGGCTGCACCGTAAAGGACGAGGTTCAAATTAAATTTGTTATAAGAAAACGAAAAAATAACAGAAGAATGAAATTTCCCGAGGGTCGCAACCTTCCTCCGCGTTCGCGTTACAAAATGTCGAACGATTCGGTGCACGCGGTTGGAGAAAAAGTTGCATAAACGAGAGCCCCCGAACACCCCATTGGCGTCACCGTAACGAGCGCCCATACCGCAGAAGGCGAGGTCCAGTTTATCGCGGTCCGATCTCCGACTTCCCGGTGTACCTTTTTCCGTCTCGGCGATTAGTTGTCAAGGCCGCGGAGGGAAGAGCCCCGATTGGTCGAGCCGTCGAGGGGCGGAGGAAAGGGGGACACAGCCAGACGGTGACGGTCCGGGTGTGTCCAGAAGCGTCGTAATGATCGCACTTTCTCCGCGGACCCCGAGGAGAAGGTTACCCAATTCGACCACGCCCCTGGCGCCCCTGGCGCCCCTGACGGGAGGCCGCGGCACCGCGACTAAGGACGCGGCTCGGTTTTTACGTAACCTCCAATCGCGACCAGATTTCTGCCCGATTCCCTTACCTTGACGAGGCTACCCAGGGCGCCCAAGGGAACAACTCTTCGGTGACATTTCCTTTCCAAAGCCGTTAAAAAGTAATTGCGATTCCGACTTTTATTCTCTTCTCTCCGTGATCATTCCACGGACTTAAATAATGGAGGAGAGGAACGCGAGAGGGGATTGTATCGTTAAGGTGATACGAAACTGGCATCCGAGAGGTCAATCGTTTCCGAGACTTTTTTCCAAAAGCCGGTGGACCGAATCTTATCAAACTTCACAACGTGAATATGGAGGCTGGAAGAAAGCTTGAAATTCGAGACTACGAATGACGTGTTTCGTGTCGGCGGTTTCCCTGTACCGACGTTCCCCGAAATAAGGAGTTATCCTTTTGTATTTCGTCGCCCACTTATTTGACGGTATTATCCGTATACAACGTATGTAGGTGTATGTTTGACGTGAAACTCCACCGAGTTTCCTGATTATACCCTGACGGTGTATTCGGAACTTCTTTAAGGTTACTCCCGCCACGCCCCCGAAAGATCAAACGAGAGAACGCCACCTGCGCTTACCCAACTTGAATTACAACGAGAAAAAATTACCGCGACAATGAGGATCCCAGTTAATTACCAGAAGTTCCGAAATAAAGAAGCCCGGACGCGTTTCAGCCTCTTACGCAACTCGTCGGTTCGCGACCTTTTGGGGAAAAAAAGTTTCGCGTTAGCCGAGAAATGACGTCGAGTTGCAATTAGGTTATATGGGCCAAACTCGTTCGACGGATTAAATTCGGCTCGAATTATAACCCGCAGCCGCTTTATAGGTCCACATTTTTAAATTGCTCGCATTACGCGTCCTCTCGTTAACGGTTATCCGCATTATTTTCTTAATCCGGAACATTTTACTCCTTTTTGGCGGTCGTAATGCGTTTTTTACGCATTGTCGCGAAACGTTGGGAAAAATTTCACTCTTTCGATCGAGAGTAATCAGAAAATCAGGACTAATCATATCTCGGAAAATTCAAGAAGTTTCCTGAGAGTCGATTCCGTATCTTTGGCGAGAGTACTCGTTTCTCGCCCTGCCATCTCTGAGTTTCTGATCGAGTGGTCTTACGCGAAGTAGTTTACATTTTTACTATAATGAAAGTTACAAAATTGAGAGTACTCACTTTTAGAATTTCCACTAGATCGAGTTATAGAATCGACCCTCAGGAGATCGTTTTATCTCCTGAAAAATTTCTAGCTAACGGAATATAGCCGCCACCTTGCGACGAGGGAGTGAGATAACAATTTAAAATCTGTAGATAACATAGAAATTTTTTGATATGCGTTTCTACGTTGGTAATAGCATCTCTGCTTTTCGCAGTTTGATTTTACCGGGTGAAATATCGATCGAATCATTCTTAACACCTAAATTAATTCACCTCCTCGACGCAAGATGGCGGAGCAGTCGCAGAATTTACCACCTGTCGATAATTTACCGTATACATAACTTACCAACAGTACTTAATATTATTTAGGCACTGTTAATGTATGCAGATTCAAAAACTAAAATGTAGTTATACCGCTTTGAAGAATATATAAATAAACGCTTTTCAATTGCGTATTCATCGAGAAACTGTGAATGAATCAAGAAATCTAAAAAATGTTATACCAAAAATTATTAACGTCGGTAGTTAAATTTTTTTTCACTAAATCGCATTATCAATGAATACTAAAAATAGAATAATCGGAAAGTTACTAACTGATATAGCTAATATAAGTTAGAGATCAAATTGCTAAAATAACATTTATCGTTCCATTACCATTGCATTAATGTCGCTATCCTTTCTCAATGAGAGCCATTGAGAGTAAAAACTGGAAATTATCCTACGAATTAGGTTCCCATTGCAATGAATCGTCCATACATTAACTCCTCGTTTCACTTCCTACATTCTTTACTTGTTACATTATATATACAAATTGATACCTGATTAAATTACCGATTAACTAATAAGTCACGTCCCACTGGAAGGATGAAGCACGAAAAGGTGAAACCCCTTCGTCTTCGCCATACCTGGAAGGGACAAAGGACCCAAAGGGAGCCGGAATTTATTCATCTCTATATTTATATAGTTACTTCATGTACAATTGGGCGAATTTAATTTTACAGACCAGCATATAACGAACCGAATCTTACTAGGAGGCAGGCCGGTAACGACTAACCTTTAAATCCTCCCCGGGAACCTGTTCTCCGCGATTTGAGTGTCCCACTTCTCGACCCAAGCGTTCGGGCACAGAGTACTGTATGCTCTCTTGAAATATTGGCACACATCATAGTCCTTTCCATGTTTCTTCGAGCACCGATGGAAATCCAGGTAATTTTGGTAGCAGTTTCTACAGGTGAAATGTTTTTAAGTAACCTCAAACCACGAAGTAGTATAAGAACTACTTCTCCATTGTACTTCTAAATCCCGTGTCTCCATCGTACTTGAAATTCAGGATTTATCAGATCCAAACCAAGTAAATCCGAATTTAAGTATCGATCGAGACGCTGACGATCGAATCTGCGTATTTATTAACGCGATTTACTAGATCCAGACCCGATAAATACCAGATTTAGGAGTACGGTAGAAATGTAATTATTAATAAATACGTAAATTCTATCTCGAGCGTCTCGATCGACATTTAAATTTGGATTTACTGGGTTTAACCTGATAAATCCTGGATTTCGTGTACGAGTCATAGACGGCATCTCCATCATACTCCTAAATCTCGGATTTTTCGGAATGACACGTTTATTGTCGAAGTGTGACTTCAGAATAACACCGATTAACAGATTTTCAAAGTACATGTTTTACCGAGTTGTCCATCACGAATGTACCAAAAGAAAATTTTTAATTCCATACGCCAGTCCTTGTTAAAAACTGTCACAATATCTGCCAAAAATTGTCTTTACAACTTGAAATTCTAATGTCACAACATAACATGGCTTTCCTGCCTTCACCGAGCCCTTAAACTGTAATCGATTGAACTGGTTATCTTTAGTTGGAATAATTACCTTGTCTGATTCATGTTGGGGAATCTTGGATCAAAGGGGATGGTGTGAGTCTCGCCCTTAACAGGAACTGCGTTGGTTTTGGACAACTCCTCGACAGCTTTCTCATCCAAGGGTACATACTTCGTGTTAGTGCACACAGGCTCCGGGATCTTTATCTTCATCATGGTTACTGGAGCTTAACAATCATCGAATGGTTACTCGTCAGTTTCATCGATCACATTCACTTAAAAGCTACCTTATCAATTAGTTATCGCGGAGAAGACGTAATTTCGTGAGTTTCGCTCGACCCTTCCCTCCGAATAAAATGATGTCCCTAACACTTGTCCCTTGCTCTGCGTCCACTTGTCTCTTCGCAACTCAGCTTTGAGCCTAAAGAAATCGTACACGTCCATGTAGCACAGTACACTTTGCTACTTGACAAAGTAACCAAGGAATTAAAGGAATGGGCAAGAATCCATCGAGAGCCTTGTTCATCGTCAGAATAAGTCATAAGATAGGAAGTGGGCATGAAGTCGGATATCAAAATGGTTAGCTCTGTCACTTCACTTTCCAACGCTGGTCGATCTACCCTTTATAATGTTACTCCCTTGATAAGATCTTCATCTCTGTAGACTTTTTAATTCTTGAAATTAAACTCTAACAAGGAACGTGGAAACATGCTCCAGATGAGGTTAAGTTGCTTATTCCATCACTTGGCTTGAAATAATAAATATCGGTGTCCTTTGTCCCATCACCCCCAATTGTAATACCATTTGATTGCAGGCTTGATATGGTTTTCGTTTTAGATGTATTGTTGTTTATTCAGTCGTGTTGAAGAAAAAGATGTGTTCCAATTGAGGCTATGTTAATTATTCCATCGCTTTGTTTTACGTTGATAATCGATTCATCACTGGCTGCACTTGTACATCTTCCAGGTAGACATTTCTTGGGTTTACTCGTGTTTCAATTTTACACTTTTGCCACGAAAAAGGAATCTCAACATTAATCAAAGAATGTGGACATCGGATTTCAAGGAGATAACGATATCGTTCGATTCTTCGGTTCACTTTGTATCATCGATTACTTCACCACTGGTCTCGTACTAGCAGACTTTGTTCCACATCTTTGACAGAATAGTCATTGCACGAAAGAAAGCAATGTATACGTACAGCATTTGAATCGATATCTCCATGCAGCAGATTTCAGTGAAATTGAATTAACACTAGTAGAATATGCGTGCAGAATAAAACTCAATGTGTAATGTAATGCTCTTCGACCCAACGATTAATGTATCAGCTGTTCGTTACCCTTTTCCATCATTTCATTACATCCATTACTCCTGACCTAGTACCAAATAAAGTAGTACAGGAAAATCCATCGCGAAGCACCGCACTTTGGATACGAATAAACAAGTTCTAAGAAAAAACTTTTGGAATAACAGCTCCTCGATTTTCTACCATCTTTACATCGTACCATTCCATACACCACCACATCGTCAACCATATTGGAGGAAACCAAAGATTCGCAGCAACAGTTCGGATTGGAATAAAACCCTATTTATAAAAATGAAAGAAGAATGAAGTAACGATAGTTCTCGGTCCACCAAAGGTTCGGCATGAAGTTCCTTTCTCTTCACCCCACCATACCACTACTGAAGCAGAAACGATTTCAAAACCAGTCACTGCACCACTCCAAGTAACTCCGCGCCACTTGCCTGACATCGATCGAACCAAAGGAACGAGCCAAGAATTTCAGCAGAAGCGATGGAGATGATTAAGTCGTTGAACAGGAGTATGCAGAGGGAGACATTGAAGCCCGTCGGTTACTTGACCAGCGGCCTGGTGTTGTCCTCTTCTTGACAGCAAACCTCCCGGTATTTTTTGACCTCCGCCATGTACAGAGACCAGGCGTCCTTCGGGGTCTCCACGGTCTGCTCTGCCTTCGGCTTAGCCACCATTCCAGTCTTCAGAATGCGTCCTCCCCTCCGCTTGCCCACCATCAGCGGAGGAGGAGCCACGGGTTTCTCCTCTAGCACCGATGTGGTGGGCCTCTGTGCAGGTTGCATCTGTTCCTGCATCTTCTTGAACATCTCCATAAAGCTGCCGTCATTCTTGAAGGCATTTGGTTGGGTAGGGAACACTGTCCTATGGGCAACCGCCTCCTGGTTGTCCTCAAAATGGTCCGATTCGTACGAAGGAGCCCGATGGTGTCTGCGGTTTTCCCTGTACCTGGGGTGGCGTTCCCTGCTGCGGTTCCTGCTACGGCTGCGCCTTCTATCCCTGGACCTCGACCTGGCTCTGGACCTTGACCTGGACCGGTCCCTCCTCGAGTACCTCCTGGACCTGTCCTTGTCCCTGTCCCGGTCCCTAGACCTGCTGCGCTGGGAGGACCGGCCCGGGGAGGACCTGGAGTTGCTTCGTCTCCTCCTTCGCCTGTCCTGCGGAGAGTCCACCCTCGAGGACCTTCCTTTGTAATCTACCGGAGAGGTTCTGCCCCTGTGCTCCGTCTGGGCAGGCCTTCCGGGCTTATGGTCAACGGGCGACCCTCTTCCACCCCTGCGGTCCGTCGATGACGACCTGCCCACTCTCCGGTCGACCGAGGGGGATCTGCCTCGACGGTCGCTTGAAGTCTCCCTCGTCACTCGATACTCCATCGGGGGGGATCTGTTTCTGTAATCAACCGGAGAGGATCTACCAGCTCTGTACTCTACCGGAGGAGATCTACCACCTCTGTGCTCAGCAGGGGAGTACCGTCCTCCTCTGTGGTCGACTGGCGACGGTCTGGCTCCAAAGTCCACTGGTGTCGATCTCTGGGTCCGGTCTCTCTGCTCAACCGGTGACTGACCTCTGTTCTTGTAGGTTTCATAGGTCACGTAGCTTGTACTGTACACTGGGGGCGAGGGTGGCTCCGGTGTCGACTCCTGCAGTGGGTGCACCTCCCGTTCCTGCCTCTTCGAGTCCATCCTGGCTGGCAACCGTTGCCTTCGAGGTCACCGGACTCGCAGAGTTACCTATAAGGATAGAAACTGCCTTCTATGAGTACACGAGCCGCGAGGTGCTGCACACTTTACCAATCCTCATCATCTATTTTTGCATTCTGAGACGAGGGGGCTTCAGAGCAAGAGAACTATCGACACTCTTTTACACCTAACTTCTGGTGCGATATAACCTCCCACGTTTCACGAAATTACGCATCGCCTTCCACACCTCCGCCAAAGCAAAACCATGGCGAATTTATTCCTCCTTCGAGGCTTGCACGACCTCAACTCGCTTGGAGACGCTTTCGAGAGAGTCTTTAGTCCTCCGAGTGCATTTTCTGACATCCTCTTATTCCAGAGGAATTTTTTCAACTGACAATCTCAACTCGACAATTCGAAAGAGTCTTCCAAGAGTTCTGGGCTGCTGTTGCATTACCTTTCCGATGTAGCAGCGAGTGGCTGCGAAACGTTATCGAACGAGTTAAGTTCTTCAGAAATCTTATTCGAGTTGTCGAACCAACAGATATAATTGCTCGCACATTTGTAACGAGACGTTTTTATAAATACATTCGCACCGAGTAACCATGTTGAGTGTCAAATGTATACAAATATGTTTGTTTCAATTTGTACCATTTTTACTGATACGGTATCGTGCTAAAGTTAGAAAAGCATCTATACAAATTTTCACAGAAACTCTCTTTGTCTATAAGTTTGTGTACCACTGTCCCACGTTGCTGGCCGAAAACATTAATTCTAACCTAACTTACGACCACATGGCAAATGTAGATTATAGATGATCAGGCATAAATCACTTTTAAAACAAGAAGACAAAATATTTTCTGGTCACGGCGTATGAAATCGTAGTTACCGTGCACAAGGTATCTCATAATTTCATATATTCATGATATTTTAATTCATTGATCGATTTCTAACAATAAATTGTGACCCTTTTAATGGTTCATTAATTCTTGGGTCACCTTGTGCACCTGTAATAAATGATTCAAAATGATATGCATGTCAAATGGCTGGAGAGTATCACATTAAGAACATTCGTACACATTTAAAGGCGACTAAATTTCTTTCCTGAACGCGACTGCAAAAAGTAGAAAATGAAAATTTTCTTTGAAGGATGCAAATGCCAAGACTGATGATGCTGCGAATAAATGAGCAACAAGCCTAATTTTCGACTTTCAGGAACCTCCTTTGTACATGGACAGCCCTTGGCACTAAATTATCCACTAAGTACATATTATACTGAAAATAATATTGCTTCGCTAAATTTTGTCACCTCCCACCTAGAAATACCTGCATTGATAAATGTGTCAAAACTTTAAGTAAATTATTCTTCCGTTACAAACGAATGCCTTGAAATCTACCCAAAACCAAATACATAACCTCCTTACTTTACATTTTCATAGAAGAAAATATACTCTAAAATAACTCACCGATAAAGGCATCATACCTGAAATATCTACATAACAACGAACCCTCTAGTTTATACTACAGTCTTCTCAAGAAAATGACTGAAAAGTGACATTTCTTGATATACCTAACAATAGGAAAATGTTTATACTTGAAATATCTAACGAAATTAAACTAAATCTTATTACATGTACTCTATAGAATCTACATCCGTAGACTGCTTCCAAGGATCATCACAAAAATTTAAAAACTACCTTAAACTATATCGAGTTAAAACATTTCAAGAAACTATTTCCCTAAGCAATTCCGACTTGAAACGAACTCGCTGGACCCTTAACAAAGAAACTTGCACATTCCTATCAACTATATAAACTCTTTATACCAAAGCGGGACTAGATATACTAACCCATTGCCTTATCCATTGTCCACATACAAGTACTGCATATAATATTTAGTATGAGCGATGCACATACTCATAATGCAAAAGACAATACATGCCACACACTTTAAAATTATACATGGGTACATATCTTATCAAGAAAGAAACGAAGCAAAGGAAATTTGCTCTCGGCAAGATCTCCACCCAACAATATAAGTGTATAATGTTATCTATAATGTGATAATTACTTCAGTTTATAGAATTTCCAAGAAACAAGGAAATCGTTAGTGCGACGTTTTTTAAATACTGTACAAATAGTACATCGAAGTGAACCCGTGAATATATTATATATACAATGTAATTGAAAATGACATTATGACGTTACGTTAGTAAAATTTAATAACACTGTCCTAAGAGATGAGGTAAAAGAATCCTTTGTGAGGGGTCGATTCCCTAAGGATGTCCGGGTCGATACGGACTCGTCGAGCCCTCAGGGAAGGAGTGTCGAGGGAATATATGAGTCCCTACGTCTCGAATTAATCCCCAAAAATAGCGAGAAACACGGGCGCGCGTTCTTGGCAATGCGTCGGTCGCGTCGCTCGCCTAATTCCTCCTAAAATTAGCCGAATTATCGCTAGCTTTAATACCTGATTCTGCCTTGTCGTGCAAAACAAAATGGCTACTACGGAAACTATACGAGAAGACCCGTTACGTCACGATCTGCGGCGCCAGCCAAGACTGAGAGGATATGGCTTGTAGAGAGGAAAGTGATATGATGCTTTGGGACACTGGGAGGAAGAGAGTAATTTTTTTCACTGACGTTGAACTTCGGATATAGAGCTGTAAACTGGGGTCGATTCTATAACTCGAATCTAGTGAAGATTCTAAAAATGAGTATCCCCCGCGATTTTGAAACTTTAACTATGGTGTAAATGTGAGCTACTTCGCGTGACATCATTCGACACGGGTTCTCACGTCCATGTATTCCTCGTACTTCTTGGCGTTTAAATATGGCGGGCACCTTATTACAATTCCCGTGGAGAGTTACAAAGAAAATTCACGTCTCTCACTCGAGATTTCTCGCATTTTTCTCCTCAGAACGTCACTTACGGATATTAAATTACAGTTCACCCAATCAGAACAGCCACGTCCACGAAAAGACCGTCCGAAGATTCCTAACCTATGCAGTCGTTTTCGGTACCAGTATTAGCTGGGCCATTTACAAATTCAGGAATGAGCTCCATGAACGATTTGGAAACTCTGTATTATTTCCTACGATTCACGCTTTTACCGGGTCAGTGCCTACCGATGTCAGTCATAACAGAGAACGCTTCAATTTCATCGCAGACGTAGTCGAGATATCTGCTCCCTCGGTTGTGTTCATCGAGATCAAAGATCAGAAGAGGATAGACTTCTTTACAGGGAAGCCTGCAACCACCAGTAATGGATCGGGATTCATCGTCAAGGAGGATGGTCTGATCCTAACGAATGCCCATGTTGTAATTAACAAACCGAATACGATAACGAAGGTTCGTTTGCAGGATGGCAGTACGTACACTGCACAGATAGAGGACGTCGACCTCGTAAGCGATCTGGCGACTATTCGCATCAACAAAACGAACCTGCCAGTGATGAAACTTGGTAGCTCGATGAACATTAGACCCGGAGAATTTGTGGTCGCCATTGGCTCGCCTCTGTCGTTGAGCAACACGATAACCAGTGGAGTCGTTAGCAGCGTTAACAGAGACAGCAAAGAACTTGGTCTGCATAACAAGCGTATGGAGTACATTCAAACGGATGCAGCGATCACGTTTGGGAACTCCGGTGGTCCATTGGTTAATTTGAACGGTGAAGCCATCGGAATTAATGCAATGAAAGTCACTGCCGGGATTTCGTTTGCCATTCCGATAGACTATGCGAAAGACTTTTTAATGAGAGCAGAGCAGCGAAGGAGCAAAGGCTTGCAGAGTGGCATGGAGAGAACGAAGAGAAGATATTTGGGAGTGACGATGCTGACATTAACGAACGAAATACTGTTCGAACTTCAACAGAGGATGGGGAACATCCCGCAGAGTGTGAGACACGGCGTTCTGATCTGGAAAGTCCTTGTGGGGTCGCCTGCGTATATTGGAGGCATCAAAGCAGGGGATATCATCACACACATAAATGGAGATCCTGTTGTTACAGCCCAGAGCATTCACAAGGCTCTGGAGAAATCGGGATCGGTGATTTTAACCGTGGTTAGGGACGGAAGGGTATTGGATATTAAAGTCGACCCTGAAGATAATTAATGACAAAAACTATACTAAGAGGAATAATTTATGCACAGTGAAAGAAGTGAAATCTTTTATAATAACTCCAGGAAATGGAAAAATAATGCTAAGAAGAGAGCCAGCGAAGGAAATGCTATTTTTCACACAATCTAGTTCCCAGTGTTATTTTTATTAGTCTATTGAATTTATTTAAATAGTACAATGAAAGGAAACGATCAAACTCTGTTTCCTCATGCGGAAGTGAAAATAATTATTGCAAACAATTGTTTAATAAATATTGACTGTTTTTCAGGGTGGTTTCAATGCTTTTCGAAACCTCGACGACCTTCATATTGATAATCTTTCAGGAACTTCAAAGAAATGTGATCATTTTTAAAGCTTATCTATTGACGGAAATACATTGTTTTAATGTTTATTTATTTGTTGCGCCTACCGAAAAAAATTCCTCTTTTCACGAAATTCAACGTTTTACTCGTGATACGTTTAAGAACAATTGTTAATTTTCAATTATGAATACTTCAAATCAAGGAATTCGTATTTTATTTAATAGTACGTAGTACGATCATATTTTAAATCTTGTTAAATATGGCGCGTGGTGGACGCCTGATTTCATTGGCTGCTGATTGAGTCACGTGACCAAATCTGCCTGACTGACCAATCAGCGTCAAGTGATAGTTTCTGATTCCAACCTGTCAACAAAACAAATGGCATAACGCGTAGACCAAAGTCAAAATAAGTGTTATCGGCATCGATCTTCGTTATCGCGAGATAGGCAGCCTACGAGATGAAACGGAGGCATTTAATTATCTGTTTACGAGCAACAATGCCAATCCTTCGCCTCTCCGTGTCTCGCATTATGTAAAGTCAAAATACGACGGAGGCATCCCGCGATCCGAAGTCCGCTCCCACCTTGGACGTGCGAAGTTTCTTGGATCGTAGATCGCCAAATTCTCGACTAAATCTTCTGACCCTTTCGATCATTTCGCCTCAGAAAGCAAGAGGATGGCAAGATGAAACGTGTCTCGAAGATGGAAACGTAATTCGAGAAACGACGTCAAAGCGATTTCGTTCCGTTGGTAAATATCGAGCACCCTAACCTCGTTTTTGGAAATGACATTGCTTGCTGGGTGTTCTTGTACAGATTTTGATATTGCGGAGATTTAGTAGGACATGCAGTGATGAAGTGATAGGTTTAGCAAACTTGCAGGTTTTTAATCCGTACTTATGGGAAGAATGTTGCTCGTCACTCGACAAAGTACCTGTTGAAAAATGAACTCGACGAAGCATCTATAGATAGTTCATCATTAAATTAATTTTATTGTTTAAAGTAGAATCATGGAGTGCGATGTCATAGTTTTGCTGACTTTGAATCGTTTGGTGATAAAGTATTTGTAGTTTTAGTATTTATCGTGGAAATTTAATTGTACATGCAATGATATGGTAAATTTAAGAAAATGAGATTTTGTTCATTAATAATGTTGAGAATTCTTACCTTTGCTTATTGTTACAGCCTTAGTCTGTGGATTTAAGTAATGTACTTTTACAATACCGACAATGCAATGTTGTGAAGTGTTTTAATCATTTGATATCGAAGGAGGAAGGAAAAGAGTATGAACACAACTTGAAGATACACATCACGTGTCTCATATTGAGAAAAAATGTTTCGAAGTCGCAGTTGGTTTGGCGGAGGGCTGTGGAAGCCAAAGAATCCGCATTCACTGGAACACCTTAAGTGAGTATTAGAAATTCGTCTGCATGGGAAAAAACCAATTAACAAGTATCGTTCGATACAGGTATTTGTACAATGTCTTGTCGAAGAATCAAACCGTATCAGAGAACAATCGAGGGCTGCTCGTGGAGACGTTGAGATCGATAGCAGAGATTTTGATATGGGGCGATCAAAATGACAGCAGCGTATTTGAGTGAGTAATAATAGTCAAAGGAATTTCTGGAATTCTAGTTTATTTAAGTTTCTTATCACGTTTAAGCTTCAACTAGCAGGAGACAAATTAAAATAATATAGATATATACTTCTCATTGCGTTATTTGACTGTGATACTGCAACACTTCCATATGCTGTAACAGTATCTTTTCTTTTACAGTTTCTTTCTGGAGAAGAACATGCTGTCGTTCTTCCTGCGAATCATGAAGCAGAAGTGTGGCAGTTATGTCTGTGTGCAACTGTTGCAGACATTGAACATCCTTTTCGAGAACATCCGTAACGAAACATCTCTGTGTAAGTATTCGAAAGCATGACGATGGCTGCATCTTTATATTTGGCGAGGAACTCAACATAGTGCTATGTTAAAAATATTCCATAAGCCAGTTTTTTAAAAATTTGGTGCATTGCAGATTACTTGCTGAGTAACAATCATGTCAACAGTATAATAGTGCACAAATTCGACTTCAGTGACGAAGAGGTTATGGCGTACTACATCAGCTTTCTAAAAACGTTGAGCCTGAAGTTGAATGCTCACACGATACATTTTTTCTATAACGAGGTAAACGAGGTACTCAACGACGCTACCCTGTACTTTGAATCATTCACATTTCATGACATATCCACGAAAACACGTACAGTAATGCTCTCCGAGCCAGAAATTGATTTTCGCTGATACTGGACGATGCACTCTCATTGATTTCTAATTTTACAGCATACGAATGACTTTCCACTGTACACAGAAGCTATTAAATTCTTCAACCACACCGAAGGAATGGTACGCATTGCAGTGAGAACATTAACTTTGAATGTCTATCGAGTAGAAGATGCTTCGATGCTTGCCTTCATCAGGGACAAGACAGCGGCCCCTTATTTCAGTAACTTGGTTTGGTTCATCGGTAACCATATTATTGAGCTGGACACCTGTGTTCGAAACGATGCAGAGTAAGTTAGAATGTTACGTCGTAATGGAACAGATTTAAATAACAGTTCTGCACTGCGGTATCATTTCAGTCATCAAAGTCAAAATCGTCTGTCGGATCTGGTTGCGGAGCACCTGGACCATCTACATTATTTGAACGATATTCTATGTTTGAACATTGCCGATCTGAACAAAGTTCTGTCCGAACATCTATTGCACAAGTTGTTAGTGCCACTCTACGTGTACTCATTGACGAAGCACAACAATCTTCCGTGCCAGATCCAGGTACAATATTTATATTGTAATATTTTTTATACTCCAGACGATAAAGCGTTTACGTTCAAAATAGTTTAATAGTTAAAAATCATGGATGTTAATTTTATAAATCCTTTTATATCTGTAAGGTATTTTCATTATTCTTTCTGATCTAAATTTTACTCTATGTGTTTGTAGGTTATACACGTTGAGATAGAGTATACAATAAATTTATAGATATCCAGAAATTGGGTGTGAAAGATACTGTAAGGTTAAATTTTTTTTCTGATTATCGCAGGAGGAAAGAAAACACGTGAGCATTGTCGTGGCGCTTTTTCTGCTGTCTCAAGTCTTCCTAATTGTGTCGCATCGTCCATTAGTGCACGCTTTAGCGGCAATAATCCTAAAAACCGACAGCGATACGATAAAAAACGGAGCGAGTAGAGTGCTCGACGTCTATAGTGAAGAAATCGCCCCGAACAAACCGATCGCATTCTCGCCGCCGAAAGAGAGCCTCGAAAAGTCACTGGAAAACCTCAATGAGTCCTGTGAAGACAGTGATTCGGAGGAAATAAATGAAAAAGAAAGCAATAACGAGGAAACGAAGGAATGTGCAGAGACACCGGTGACCAACGAGCCAAGCACTTCCTTCGATGGAACCTTTGACGAGGAACCCTCCATTTCCAGGCCTGACAGACTTGACGTGAGTGCATCGAATGACACCATCGATGACATCAAGCATCTGAATGTCACTGATGAGGAGAAGGAACAGAGGCTGGCTCTCGAAAGCCCACTTACTCCGCAACAACCTTCCGCAAAATCCAGCAGGGAGTCCCTGGCGAAGAAACCATTCCTCGAAACCATTCTCAACTCTTTGTACTGTGTGGAAAATGACTACGCTGCCTTGTTCGCCCTGTGTCTTTTGTATGCGTTGGCTAATAATCAGGTAATAATTAATATATCTGATTAAATATCTCATTACCTAGTGATTTGATAAAGAGAATGTTTTGTATCGAGGGTATTGTGTGCAGATGAGCTTGTCGATTAGAGGCTATGTTTGGAAATGATTTTATATGTAAACTAGATTATGTTTCAATCGAGATGAGTTTTTGAGAATTTCGTTTTTGTTGTAGGGAGTCAATCTGGAACAGTTGGACTTGACAATGTCTGCTTCGCGACAGGCAGCTGCGAAGAACTGGTACAACGAGATGCTGGTGGACAAGCTGATTCACATCATCACTTTGAGCTGCCAAACGAGTGAGTACCTAACTTGAAATGACTATTTTCCATTATGAAATAAAATGCATAAAATGATGTAATCTTTAAATCTTTAAATCTTTCAGACGCGAAAGTACGACTCGTTACCCTGGAACTCACCATCAGGCTACTGACCCAGCTAGTCATGTCCGAAGGCCAAAGTCTTCTCCATGACTGTCACTTGGCAGCGATCGAACAGGCGAAGGAACAAAGTGCATCGTTGCTGAGGAACTTTTACAAGGTTAGCGAGAATGTTCAATTTGGTGCCATGGAGATGAATACCGATCAAAGTGCAAACATGTTACAGAGCAGAATAAATGGATATTAATTTTGAACGATTGTTTCAGAGCGAAGACATATTCTTGGACATGTTCGAAGACGAATACACCGAAATTCAGAAGAAACCACTGAACGTCGAATGGCTGATGATGGACAGCAACATTTTGTTGCCTCCCACTGGCACGCCGATGACTGGAATAGAGTTTAGCAAGAGACTGCCCTGCGGTGAGGTACGGGAAAAGCTCAAGCTAATGGATTTTGTTCAATAAGCCTCTAAAGAAGCAATGCAATTTAATTTTGTTGCTTTAATCATTGTTTGATCATTACAACTCGTGTATTTTTTTAGGTGGAAAGAGCTCGACGTGCAATAAGAGTCTTCTTTTTAATCCGGGAACTGTCGCTGACATTAAGCATGGAACCAGAAACCCAGTTGCCGTTAACAAATCCAGCTGACTGCGTGCAAGTCAACAATGTCCTCGACCTAAGTAAGTGCTCCTTTTTATTTTACAGAACTGTCACATGCGTTTAGAGAATATTTCACTCTTCGATGTGACATTGCAAAGAATTGGCCATCATTTTTCTTCGCTTTGAACCATATCGAACAGTTTTAAAGAAAGTGCATAATGCTAACTGGCTGTCATAATAATAACCTGAAACTCCTCCGCAAGATCTGCAGTTTTCACCTGTTCGTAGTAATTTTTCTCACTGTTTAATTTACTAAGAGTTGTGTCTTCATTCCAGATAACAGCGACATAATATCCTGCACCGTGGTGTGGAAGGATGGACAGAAAATCCGCCGATTTCTTGTTATCCATGTGATCCAGTTGATCCTCGTTGAACCTGATCCGAGGAAATTGGGCTGGGGTGTGGCGAAGCTTGTCGGTTTCCTGCAAGATATCGATGTGATCGGTGATAAGGACGACTCCAGGTGTCTCCATTTAACGATATACAAGCCACAGAGCAGCGGAGCCAACAATCGAGTCCCTCTGCTCTCTGCCAAGTTCATTTTCGACGACCACATTCGCTGCATGGCAGCGAAACAAAGGTTTTCAATCTATTGAATGCACTCTTAACCTATCATTTTGCTTCGTCAGCTCCTTCCGTAAAATGACCGGGCTTTTAATGTTGTATCGCTCTTGTTTCACAGACTGACGAAGGGAAGAATCAAGGCACGGCAGAAGAAGATGCATCAGATCGCCAGATTATTGGACATTCCGACTATAATGCCTCATTGCTCGACGCCCCCTAATTATGCCTTGCTTGGAGTAAGGAGTGACCGTAAGTGGATAAACTCTTCATCGAAGGAAAGCCTATCTGTTAACGAGGCTGACATTAATTGACACGAGTTGACTCGTTCAGAGTTTTTCAAATTATATATCAGGATCGTTTTTAGAGGTGCCGATCAGGCTGATCTTTAAATATGCAGTAGCCAAGATTGAGTTTAAGTGTCAGAGTTAATCAACTTAGTTGAACTTCTTAACCATCTATATTGAGTTTTTCCCTTGCGGTTTAATAGATAACGTTACTAACAATTGTAGAATTAGTTTTAGTACCTACTTTGAGAGTTATCATGCTATCTATACGGTTATTAAGGATTTTTCATCTCTCTTTGAAGGACCACCCGGACGCGGGAGACCAAAGGAACAGAGACCCATGTTTACGGTGAACAAAGTTCCTGGTTTCGCAGCCCAGATGCGAAGGGAAAGCTCCTCAAGGTCTTCATCCAGCAACTCTATGACACCGAACAGCAGGCGAACCGACTGCAGTCCTAATGGGAAGAGTCGTGAAAACGGCCTGCGGTCTAGGGATAATTCCCCAAAAATGCCCAGGCCACGCAGTGAAGAAATTCCCTTGGAGGACATGTGCCTGCGAAAGGCTTCGATGGCTGCTGGGGGGCCTGTAGTCCCATCGGTACCTGTCGAGAGGAAGGATTCTTCGTTGTCTGGGCCATCGACCAACGGGGAGCCTTCGACGCCCGTCAGGAAACGTTCCGAGGAGACTTCCTTTACCTCTCCTCAGGGCTCGGAGTCTAAACCTCGAAGGAAGGGCCAGGTCGAAACTGTTTGATGGTGGAGGTTGAAGTTCGGGAAACGTCACTGACCTAACCCTGGAGTCGTCTTCTTCAGAAGAGACGCTCTGGGCGATGTCGCTCTTCTTCCAATTTCGTCAAGATTTGGAGATGACATGACTAACTGATGAGCGAGAGATCTGCTTCGGAAAAAGTACTTAGGACCTTTTTTGCAGTGAGACTTTATCGGTGAGGGTAGACGAACGATGGACAGATCTGCGTGGAGTGTTTCTCTTTTTACTTTTAATTTAGCTGAGATGAATGTGATGATTATGAAGAGTTCATTAGATAGGGGAAGTGCCGGGAAAAGTAAGAAGAAAATTTTTGTTTGAGATTCGAAGTGAGAGAAAGAGATAATTATATAGAAGTGTTATTCATCCATAGGTTGTGAAGAAGAATGTGAGGTTAGAGGATTGAAAGATTCAGGGGAAAAAAAAATGAAAAGTGAGACAGATTCGGTCTCGTTCAAAGTTTTTATCAAGTTCAGTGAAGTCAACAATACGGAAATATATACAAAGTGGAATATTTGTACTGCTCAATAGGTTAAGAATCGATGATAAAGGAGAATGGAGAGTACCTTTTAAGGATTGAAAGACGAAAAGAAGAAAAGAGAGAATAAATGGAGGGAAATTCTCAATGAAGTTCCCCTTTCGCAGAGATAGAGTACAACTTGTATTGAAAATGAAGGAATTAAAATGAGATAGGGGAGTGGAGAAGAAATCTAACTTGCTGACCTATTTTGTTGCATCGATGGGATCGAATCGTAGAGAATTCTTCAACTCAAAAGGATCTGGTGTACGAGTAAAAATTCTGCAGTAAATATTTTTTTTGAGGAATTTTTACAACACATGAATTGTAAATTGAAATTCAAGTGTATGAGGCTATTGCAAGAATATAAATTATGAATCTCATTCCAAAAGACAGGAATGAAAAAAAAGAAGAAAATTAAGATCCATGAAACTGTACTTGCCTATTTATCAAACTTTTCTAATTATTGTGCGACTCGATTTGATCAACTTAAGAAACGCATTGATGACGATTTTATGGAATTGAAAAATGTAAACTAGAGAATAATATTCAGCCCGATGAAGAATTCTGCAAACTATAGATCTCAGCTTCAAGAGAATAGAAAATAATAAAATAATGTTAATAAACAATGCGAATTCATGTCAAAGAAAAAGGACAGTAAGAAATATTAGTGGAGCCTTCGTTACTGCGGTGAAACTTTTCTAAGTCGCACTGTCCGATTGTTTAAGAAAATAACGAAATAATCGAAGAATATACAGAAAAGCAAATTCTCACACGAATACAAAAAAAGATCAACCGAGAATTATCAACGAAGCTTTTCTTATCCACTTGATGGGCTTACATAAGATTTGCAGAATTTCATTTGCTTAAAATTCACCTCGCTGGATTTTTGTACATTAAAAAATGGGACCCTTTGCAAAAATTCTGCTTCACATATCAATCACCGACCGCGATTCTTTCTTAAATCTAGGTGAAGAAAAAAAAAATATATATAAAAGTGAGTAAACAAGTGTTTCAGCTCACAACGTCGATGATCTTTGTATTAATTTTTAGCTATTAACTCCGCCTTTTCTGGAAAGCCTTCCGTGTTTATACAATTCAATTTGAATCTTGAAGTTTCGAGATGTTTTCGTTGAAGTTGAAATGCAACTTTAAGAATCATCTTGAATCTGTAGTAACGATATATTTATAGTTGCAGGAGCTCTCTTAAATTAATCGACATTGATTGCTAGGAAAAGAGACGCGACGAAGGTTGGGAATAAAATGAACGAATCAGATTATACTTGACTTTTATCATTCCTTTTTGATTCAAGAATTATTCGTCGATAGCTGTATAAAAATTGCATGCCGGATTATGAAAAGCTATTACTATCCAAAATCCAGATTTAACTGGCGATCAAATCTGCTTGATTATTAATGACAGCTCCATCGTATTTCTAAATCCGAGATTTATCGAGTTCGGATCCAGTAAATCCGTAGTTAAGTGTCGATCGGGACGCTCAAGATCAAATTTGTGCATTTATTAATACGATGAAAACATGCAATTTACTGGATCCGGATTTGATAAATCCCGGATTTGATAAAACCCGGGTTTGATAAATCCCGGATTTACGAGTACGGTAGAGATATAGTCATATACAAAATCGAATCCATAGTAAGGGAATTTTCATGAAAATGCTGTGAAAACTGCTCCCCCTACCATATGGTATATACGGCCGCGTTTTCATTAGGGCTTGATTTCATAATTCAAGTTAACCGAAGTTTAACTGATTCATACTTAGTTTAAACCAGTTGTAACTAGTTAATCTCCGATTAACTTGACTAGTGAATACCAGATCGCAACTTCCCACGTGCAACACTTGGCGCGTAATTTTGCCGCCTTTTCGAACACATTACGAACTCGCAACGCCTTCTAAACAAATAACCGTGTGGCGGGAACACATCGCTTGTGTATGACACAAACTTTGATGGACAAAGGACGAGTGTCAACTTATATTATTGGTAAATAGTTTCTAATTTTAACCCATCTCGTCGTCTATATTCACCGATACTCCTGTTCAGGTTAACCGGGTTACGCGAATGCTAAGGTAACCTCACTTTCTAACTAGGCTCGTCTAGCCTTTCCCTCTTTTTCGCCGATTTCATGAGGACTCTCGATTTCGAAAGTCCCGTCGAAGGATGTCGAATGTCTCGAGGGATCGGAATAAAAGGAAGCAACAGCAATTGGAGGAACATCACAGCAAGCGAAACAGAAGTGAAGATGACAGCGAACTCGATACCACCCAAGATGTGCGTATATGAACTGTCTTGTATTTTCTTTCTAAATAACTAAATTACGTATTTATTAATACGATTATTGAATTTTCAGGATTCAGCAGGAAAGATCATGAGAGTATTCATGCGAAACTTTATGTGTCACGACGCTATGGAGATTGTCTTCAATCCTAATATTAATTTCATAGTAGGGCGTAATGGAAGTGGGAAAAGTGCAGTATTGACGGCATTAACCGTTGGACTCGGAGCCAGAGCTAGTATCACTAGTCGAGGCACATCGATTAAAGGTATTGTTAAATGTTTTATGAGCATTTGATAGAAAATGTATTAATGGCTTAGATTTTTTGTTGAAGGCTGATATTTGTAGCAGAATTTTCAATCTCGTTCTTCATTTCATTTGCAGAATTCATTAAGAAAGGAAAGAACTCAGCGACTGTAGAAATAACATTGTTCAATACAGGACCGTCTGCGTATAAGCAAGAAGAGTATGGAGATTGTATTACGGTTGTTCGAACCATCGGAGCAAGTTCGGTGTACAAATTGAAGAACTGGAGAGGTAAAGAAAATACGAGAACTTTATTCAAATTAGTCAACATAATATAATTTAGTAATGTGTTCAAAGTTATTATTCCTTTGTTTTGTCTTATAGGCGAATCATGATCTGCAAATATAGCATTTTAACTTTGCAGGTGAAGTAATTTCCACAAGAAGAGACGAGTTGGATCGAATCATATGCCGCATGAACATTCAAGTGGACAATCCAATCTCGGTTTTAAATCAAGATATATCGAGAACTTTCCTGGTAACTGCAGATCCTCGTGAAAAGTACAGATTGTTCATGAAGGCGACGCAGTTGGATGTCATTGGTGACAATTACAAACGAGCTTACGATTTAAGTGAAAACGCTCAACGACATCTCAACGATGCCAAAGAGGTATGTAACAAAGAATATTGTAAACAAGTATGTAAAGAATAAAGTTTATCAGGCTTGATTCACCTTTCATAAAGTAAAGCTATGTTCCCCGATTATAAAGAAGATTCGATGATTTTTGGTGGTACTTTATTACAGAGGCTAACAGAGTCGAAGCACCAAGTCGACAACTTGGAGAAGAATTTGAAAGAACTAGAAAGTGTCGATGAATCTATCAAGGAATACGACCGACTGCAACATGAGTTACAGTGGTGTGTGGTAAGCAAATACACAATTTTCAACGTATTTACTCTATATTCATTGTTGTACTTCTTTTTTAAAATTTGTATTGCAAAATTCTATGGTTTTATACAGCAATTGTAGGATAAGACTGTAGTTTCTCAAAATCTCATTCAATTCGCTAATATTTGATCGTGTATAATATTAATTACAGACTGCAGCAGAAGAACGAAAGCTAGAGCAGCTGAAGAAGAACCTCAGGGTCGCTGAAGAAAAAGTGAAAGCTGTGATCGACAAAAAGCAGCATCGAGACTCAAGGATACGAGAGCTGAATAACAAAATTCAGTAAGAATTCTCAGCAAGCTAGAAATTCTCATTTCAATTTAATTTACTTCTACGAGAGATAAAACCCTCCATCTTCCAGGGAACTGAATAAGACAGTGAAAAGTTTGGAGCATAAACTGACAACATCTTTGAAAGAAGTCGATGCTGCGAAGCAACGGCTTACAGAGTCTACAGATATTCATGCAAACAAAACCAGGGATTGGAAAACAGCACGAACCACCTTGGATCGACTTCAAGAGGACATGAAGAAGCTCACCGTTGAGATTCAGCAGCTGGAAGGGTATGGTTTTTCTCTTTATACAAAGCTTTATAATAAATGTTGGACCGCTGGTGGTTACATACTCTATACAACTTTTGTCGAGTCATTTTTGGTGAGGTACAATTCTTTTCGCCCTGTCCTTTGATTCAATTTTTTTTTTGTTACAGGGGTGGAGACCAGCAGGACAAAAGGCAACAAATAAAACAAACCGTTTCCAAATACATGCAACAATTGGACGAGGTCGAGGCAATGTTACGAACGAAACAAACCGATCAAATGCATCTGGAGGCGGATAAAGTGCGACTCCAACAAGACGAACGATCGACTTTCAACGACAGGGAACAATGTCACGCCAGAGCTCGTTAGTAGAACTTTTTTTATGTGTAAAATTCCATTTTCATTTATTAATGGAACAATGTTCAAAGCTATTCCAACGTCATGTTGTAATCGTCTTATTTAATTGATTTCTTCCTTAAACTTTTTATCGTTTAAAAGTGGCATGTTTATAATGGTAATGTTAATTGAAAAATCCTTGCATAGTTGATCGGTTCTTCACTGACACCAAAGTAATCGCTGGAGAAGTAGATTATTTTAAATGCTGTTTTAATACGATAATGTGATTCTTATGTCCTACTGTTTCAGAGAAAATTCAGCGAGAACTGAGCAATTTAAAGCAGGACACCGATAACACTCTGATGATATATGGAGGGAACATGCCGCACTTGGTAAACAGAATTCAACAAGAATTCAGGAAAGGTCGATTCAAAGAAATGCCTCGAGGTCCTATAGGTGCGTACAATAATGTTAACTATCTGAAATGTTGATAAGTATTATCAATTGAAATTAATGATTCTAATTGTCCTGACATGTTCTCACAGTTCACCAAATTTTTATGCGTACCTATTAAGTCGAATTATTAGAATTGCTGGATCGTTTCAGGGTCTTACGTGAAACTGAAGGACCCCACCTGGGCAGCTGCAGTGGAGGATTACATAGGAGCAGGCTCCCTGCGATCCTTCTGTGTCGACAACCAGAACGATGCCAAAACATTAACCAATATAATGAGAGAAGTACTGCGGAACGAGCCCATGCCTCATGTCATTTGCAGCAAGTTCTTTCATCAGGTAGACTTCAAAATTCAGAGTCCTTTAATTTTTAAAGCGATATAAAACTTTTCTTCGAGTTGGGTGTATCGAATTGTTTGAAATCTTGCCACGTACTTTGTATACTGTAATGTTGCGTTTTTTTCTTCAAGGTGCACAACGTCTCTCGGAAGTCCACCGGAGCACCGGAATACAGCAACCTGTTGGACGTGATCGAAGTGTCCGATCCGATTGTCGCGAATTGTCTGATAGACCAACGCGAACCCGAATGCACTTTGTTGATACCCACCAACGAGGAAGCTTGCAATATTATGTCGAATTTTAAGAAGGTGCCACCAAATTGCGCGCGCGCTATCACGAAGAACGCCGACCTTTTCTTTCCCGACCCTAATTATCGGTCTTATGGTGGGAAACCTGGTCTCAGGGCGAAATATCTTCAAGCCTCGACCGCTGAGACGATACGGTTAGTCAGAAATAGATATTTCAATTACGAGTAATTGACTTTTTAAGATTTTTCTTTCTCATAATTCTCAGCTTCTCGGTTTTGACTAGGATCATATTTTCATGTTCAACTGCTTATTATTCAGGGAGAATCTTATTTTACTGGCGTTTTTCTAATTTTTGCTTAGAATGCTCGAAGAGGATCTTGTCGCAGCCCAGGAGGAGCTAAATTCAGCTTTGGATGCGAACAAGGCTGTTCGTGAAAGGCAACAGCGAAATGCAATGGACCTGAAAACTGCAGTCGACCAGGTCACCAAACTGCGTTCGATGCAGACCAAGTTGAGATCCAACATCGAGGCACTCAACGATGAGTGTGAATCCATTCAGCCCCCGGGCTCCCTACAAGTGTTCGTAAGTCTTTCTTCCATTTTATTACAAAGCTACAAAGTCCTACGAGAATCCGATGATTAATGTCTTATGTGTACTGTACTTTGTGAGTAATCTCGTTTTTGGCGGATTCTTACAGAAATCCGAGTTGGAGGAATTGGAGAAAACTGCCGTTGGCGTTAGAGAGAAAGAAAAACGTCTCTTGGAAAAAGTCGAAGAGGCAAAGAAAACCCTCCGAATACAGGAAGTCGATGTCCAGAAACATGAGAGTGCTGCGCAGGAGATTCGCAGCAGAATTGCATCAATCGAGGTAATGAAACTTACTTTCTTATTGGCGATTTATTCCATAATTTACTGGGCTGTTTATTCCATAATTTTATTTTGCTTTGGGTTTTGTTTAAAACAATGTTGAGATGAAGGCTTGTGGTGTTGGTAATTTTTTTTACATCGATAGTCTGCACGCTTAGCTTGTAAATTTAGTTGACGATGCTTTTTTAAAGGGATTACGAAGCTGAGTTTGAGAAAAGCGAAGACCAGTGACGTTAAGGCTGGAATATTCATATCTTGTATTGCGAATAAGGAATTTAAAAAAAAACGTTAAATCCATACTTCTTTCACAATGCTGTAAATTGTTCAAATGAACATTGTTTTTAGGATGAGATAAGGGGACTGAACGCGGAGAAGGGTGAAATCAACACGGATATACGAACAGATCAGGAACTAAAGACTGCGGAAGCAGCTGTCCAGAAATACATTGCTGACGTTGAAGTGCAGAACAGGGTTGTGGAAAAAGCGGTAGATGATGCGAGCAAACGATGCGACAGGATAGAAACTCAAAGGTGAAATGTTTTCTCCTAGAATAATAATAATAGCTAAAAATTGGTCCTCTTTAACCAAGAAATTCCTTTCGAAGCACCTTTTTTATATCATTGATATCATTTACAGCAGTTGAATTTAATTGGAAATATTACGTCGGTACAGAAATCTCTTCGATGAGATTAAGAATTTAGAGAATCTATAAGTGCCCACATGTATCGCTGCTTTTTCAGTACAGAAGGCTTCACACTGCTTCTGGTTAAGAGAAACAGATCTTTTCTAAATTATCGTTTTATTATTGAATCCAGATCGATGGAAACGATCAAGGAGGAAGCTGCCCAGCTGAAGATGTACATTGAATACGCGAAGAAAAATATTGGAACCAAAGAGCAATTGAAACGCGACCTCAAAGTGAAGAAATCGAAGTATTTGGAGGCTATGCAATTTGCCACGAAAGTCGAGAGGACCAACAACGTGAGTTTCGTTAGACCGTTTAATGGTTTACTCGATTTTTGGTGGAGCCTTCGATGCATAAATTGACTTTTTCCGTTCTATGCAGAAACACTTGAGGCGATTGGTCAATCGAAAGAAGATGTACCACGAGATGAAGGAGCTCATCGGAGAGAAGGTCCAGGAGGCCTTCAAGAACGTTCTTTCTCTTAGACAATACAAAGTGTGTGACTCTCTTTGGAGGGAATTTTTTAATCTTTCGTATTTTTTTCGCGTGAAAATTTATTCATCGTGCGTAATCTGCCGTTTTATGCCTTCCATTTTTTTTCACTTCTGCAGAAATTTCAAGTTTTCTCATTTAACGTGTCGATAGAATTATTTAGAATTAAATATTTTGCATACATTTGTGTCATTACGAAGCTTTCTATGTGGACGAATTGTCGTTTCATCGAAACAGCGATTTTTATGCCATCGGTCCAAATGTGCTCCGATGAGTCTTAGAGAATTTCTCGAATTTCTTGAATTTTCTGCACCCTCAAAAGACGATTAGAAACTAATGTCGAGGTGGTATTAAATGTTGATTCTTCAACGGTTCTTGCTTTTAGGGTGGAATCCAAATCGACCATTCCAGTCGAGTACTTCATTTGGAAGTCAGCGCGGAAAATGACGCTCCGAGGCCCACAAATGACGCCAGATGTCTTTCTGGAGGAGAACGCTCCTACTCCACGGTGGCTTTTATTCTCGCCCTCTGGGAATGTACAGGATTGCCATTTTACTTCCTCGATGAGTTCGACGTATTCATGGTACGAGGATCATAAAGAAACTCGGCAGGGTCCCATGCCAAATACATATATCAGCGCAAATCGTTCACCTAATTAATATCTACAAAGCTTAGCTTAATAGAACGAAAAATTTATTTACATATTTTTTCCTAAATTCAAATAGTGAAAACAATAATAAGGTCCTTCACACCGGAGTTAACAGTGTACGATATTTAAAAGTTCTACTTATTGCGAATGAGATTCAAGGGATAAGAAGAGGATTATTTATTTTTCAGGACAAAGTCAATCGGAAAGTAATAATGGACATTCTCATGGACCATGCGAGGTCTCATCAGCGAAGCCAATTCACCTTCCTGACGCCCCTCGACACCTCGAGCATCGTCGGCGACGAGTTAATCACTATTCACAAGTCAGACATGTTTCTTTCCTTTTGTTTTTATTCGTTTTTTATCGGAAGGCATCTTTGCAGGGAGTCGGTTCTAGTGAAAGTTCTAAAAGTGAGCACCTCCCGCGGTCCTGTAACTTTCACTACGGTCGAAATATGAGATGCTTCGCGTGAGACTCTTCGATCAGAAATTCCGAGTTCTTTCGATCTAGAGATCTCACATTTTCGCTTGGAGAATCGAGTTAATAAACTCATGTGAGGTGACAGTGCGAGAAACGAGCACTCTCGCCAAAGATACGGAATCAACACCCTGAATATTGACCACGTCTCCATCGTATTAATCAATACGCAGATTAAATTCTGAGCGTCCACGCTGAAGCTTAAATTCAGATTTACTTGGTTGGGACATGATAAATCCCGGATTTCGAGTACGATGGAGACGGAGTCAATGAAATTCTTTACTGCAGGGATAATCATTGACGAAAAGACGAAAATGTGAAAAAGTGACAAGGCAAATTTCTATATTTGCAGGTTGGCGCCGCCTGAGAGAAGTCGCACCACCGTCGCGGAACAGTGAGATCGAACTCGACTTCATCTAGGAGCCCTGAAAGAGTGTTGACTAGTGTTAAGACCGAAAATAATACATATTATAAATACACAGATACATATTTTCTGCGATTATAAAGACTTGTTACGTACTGTTGAGTTTTATAGAGGCGAGAACCGACGTATACTGGCGGACATGAATGTCTTTCCTGCAAATTTTGTGCCGTCAATGTATTATAAAGCGGCATTCGTGTTCACTAGATACATACAAACGGTCGATGATATATTCGTATGCAGAGTTTCCTTCAGTTTCGTCTTTTGTACGCCTGTAGAGGAATTCGCGTCCAGTAAAAAATATTACGAAACAATTACGGTAATAATAGTTTGTCTCACTTCGATGAGTGGTTCTAAGTTTTCTTTTTTCAAATTTGTAATGAAAGAAAGGTCAACCGTTTTGTTAGGTTTTAGTTTACTTCAACATTCCTCTGTACTTATACTTTTATACATTTTTCTTAACGTTCTATTTGCATTTATACGTGGAATAACGTTTGATACAGGTTTGCCAATTTGAAACGAGTTTTTAAAGTTATCGGGAAATTTTTACTGTCCGCAGCGCCACGCGGTGGCAGCTGTAGAAAAGAAAAATGGCTACGAAAACTCAGTGAAGTTTCGAGACTTATATGTATGTAACCACGGCTGTAAGAAGCGTCAACAATCGTTTTGCTAACCGGCTGTTAAACAATGACCAGCAACACAAAAAGAACAATTTATATAGGTAGGTTTTTGATTGACAATTGTGTACTTGACATTATTAAACCTGATACAGTAATATTGGTTAGTCCCGCATTACATGTATCTCTGGCTTGGAGAGGTTATGTAGGTTATGTTATTCTGCAATGTGTATACACAATTAATATATATTTTTATTTTCTAGGTGGTTTAGCGGAGGAGGTTGATGAGAAGGTACTTCATGCTGCATTCATCCCTTTTGGAGAGATCGTCGACGTGCAAATTCCCTTGGATTATGAATCGGAGAAACACAGAGGTTTCGCGTTCATTGAATTCGAAGCAGCCGAAGATGCTGCTACAGCGATTGATAACATGGTACATTAAAAATCATATTTGATCACTACATGTGTTCTAATTGGTTCTCGACCAAATAATGTTAGTCAAAATTTAAAAGATTGGGTTTAAAGAATGTTTGTTACTAATTTAAGGCTTCTACACACAGAACGATTCTGAACTGTTCGGGAGAACGATAAGGGTGAATATCGCGAAGCCACAGAAAATAAAAGAGGGGTCGTCGAAACCAGTATGGGCTGACGACGTCTGGCTGCAGGAGCACGCAGGTGAAACCCTGAAGGCAAAATCAGGGGACGGTGGTAAGCCAGAGGAATTGGACCAACAGAAAAAAGGGAAGCAGAACCCACAGGTGTACTTTGACATCAGCATCGGTAACCAGGAAATCGGCAGGATCATCATGATGCTCAGAGCTGACATCGTTCCAAAGACGGCTGAGAATTTCCGATGTTTGTGCACGCACGAGAAGGGCTATGGCTACCAGGGCAGCATCTTTCACAGAATAATTCCGGAATTTGTATCCTTTATAAATAATTGCCAATTGTTTCCGCATTATATATTTCTAAAGCTTTTTAAAGTATATTTAATCTCGTTCGTGATATGCTCTGAATGAGGTAACTCGTGATGAGGTGATAGCTCGTGATTCATGGTTGCAAAATGGTTAAAAGATTTTCCTTATAAGATTATCTACCAGATGTGCCAAGGAGGAGACTTCACGAACCACAACGGCACCGGTGGAAAGTCAATTTATGGCAATAAGTTTGAAGACGAAAACTTTGACTTGAGGCACACAGGGCCCGGGACTCTATCGATGGCCAATTCGGGACAGAACACAAATGGGTCACAGTTCTTTATGTGTACGGCACGCACAGAGTGGTTGGATGGAAAGCATGTTGTCTTTGGACACGTCCTCAGTGGTTTGGATGTGCTGAAAAAAATGGAAAAGTGCGGCAGTAAATCTGGCACTCCTTCGCAGAAGGTCACTATAACGGCTTGTGGGGAATTGACATGAGGCATGGAACCTAACCTCGTTGCTGGAGGCAAATAAATCAAAGGGATCTATTTTCCACCCATTTAATCAATCCTCAGGAATGTATACTTAAATTACTCGCACTATTTATTCAATACACAGCCATGGTTTTTTTTATTCTCTAACTCTTAAGAAGGTAGCTCAGAAATCCACTTTCGAGTAGTGATGTGGAGAACGATTGGACGCTCTTTCATTCGACCGAATGATAGTGAAGAAATACACGTTTTCCAGTATTTACTTTCCGACCAGTTGAACGTCGCAGTGTTCTTTGTACATGATCCTTCGTGAGAATTTGAAGGGTAATTCCGTTAGTCCCTCGAGTAAAACACCATCACAAAGAAGTACAACAAAATGACGTAAAGTTTATTATCACCGGGTGCTAGAGTGTCCATTCACCGTTGCACTTGCCTTAAATATATTTTCATATTTATATATATACTTTTAATATACATTTATGTATATTGGTGGTCTTGCAAAACGTATCTCGCCAATAGAAGCAACCAAACACACGAGGGGACTGTTCCCTCGTGCTGAGCAAACAGTGCATACGACTTAGAAAAGTGAAATTAATAATATGTCTGTAAAATCAACGAGTAAATTCCAACGCGTCAACTTGTGCACTCGACATCCTTCTGGAGAAGTTCCTGTGGATGAAACTGCGTACGTCGAAGGGCAACATTTTAAGATAACATGAAAATAACGTCTGGGATTTTATTTGCGGAACTTTCTTCTTAATTAGGTGTAATAATTCATTAAAATTTTACCACATGAATATGGAGGCTCAAAGGAAAGTTCCGATACTCGTGAGATTCCTTTTTTTAATCTTAAACAATGTCTATAGCAAATTAAAAAAAGAGAGCCTGAAATTTCACGGGTGTAAGGACTTTCCTTAGGGTCTTCGTATCTATGTGGTACAGTTTCAAACAATTCGGTACACCCAGCTTGGAGGAAAGTTTCATAAACGAGACTCCTCGGAGGCCACTTTCGTATAACCTCAAACTATGACACATTTGTATCTTCTTCCTTCGACTCTGAACATTTTATTTTGACGTCTGCGGGTCTCTTTTCAAGCTCGAAAAGTGATTCAATGGTACAACAGACACCGACGTCATGACTAGCACATCCCAGTTCAAAAGATCGTATACATTTTCCTTGAATTTGCAGAGTCGGAGAGAAATGACGAATCACCGATAAATATTTTTGCTTTCACTTCAAATCGTACTCCGATACTCGTCTCAAATTCTACACGTACCCAGTGCCACTTCTGCATTACAAAATTCTCAAAAACTTGTGGAACGAGGAAAAATTCATCGTACATAAAAAACGTAGAAAACTATGAGTAGAGTACGAGTAAATTATTTCCATCTACAGTATCCGCGTATTAAAGTCTGTTTTTGTAGTACTTGTCAAGTATTTATCTGCAACCGATGAAACTCCTTCGACAAGAAGGTTTTGCATAACTTCGAGTCCAAATGAAAATACAGTTGTTCACAGGAATTTCTCCGGACACCAAAGTAGACACTTCTAATGGCGAAGAATAAAGTAACGTTGGCACAAAAAATGTAACTACGTGATCTCGGCGGCTTCGCGATAAAAAAAAAGACAAAAAATAGGACAGGGGCGACGAAAACGTGCCCTTGCGGAGTCCTTAAAACACAAGTATCACATAAATTCAACGTTATTGTCGCATTACGCCTCGTGGTCTTCGCTATTGATGCCGATAAGCGATTCTGTCTGCTCTGCCTCCAAGTCCGGCACCCTAAAACTGCGTTTTGAGGGTTTAAAGTATCCAGGAGTACATTAGAATGGAGCCTGTCCATCTTTAAGGTTGGATCAGGACAGGAATGGTTACATAAAGAGACTACGCACCTCATGGACCTGCTCTTTCGACAAATCCAAATGTGCAGCCTATGCATCAGCTCTGTAACAGGGTCCCAGTTGTCGTAGTGCGACAACAGCGATACAGTCAGAAACGCCAGTATCATTGGAATGGTTCCGAAGTAGAAAATGAAGGGATATTCGACTTTCTTCAAGAGGACATCGGCTAGCATTGACATTGGCATCGTTAAACTGACAGCCAGGGTCGCTATGAGGGAGGACGTCAGGAAAGAACCCCTGAAAGTGCAACGGTTAAGTATGTCTTTTAGTGCTAAATGTAAGATTTAACTATGAGCTTTAGAGGTTAAAAGTGTAAATGAGGGGTCAGTATTTTTAATTTACGTCGCAGAAGTGCCCGATGCATTATGGAAAAGTAGGAATTTGTTAGTTAGGAACTCACCAAAGCCAAAGGACTTCGCTTAGTACAGTTCCGATGAATCCGTTGATAATTAAAAAAGTCCATTGGTGAGTGTCGGGCCACTCGAACTCCTCCCACTGGCCGTAATGAAGTACGAAGAATAAAGGCCACAAAAGTGTCAGATTAAAAAGGCCAACGAACCCGAAGAACATCGGTATATCCATTTTGTCCTCGTTATCTACTTTCTTTCTTAAAAATACGACGTAAGATGCGTAGAAAAATGCACTGACTAGAGCTAAAGTTATTCCGGTTGGCACTTTGCTCGTCTCCAGGGTGAGGTCTGAAATACCGACCAGTATCTGAAAGAGAACGATTTCATGGGCTGTTATCTTTGAATTGACAAGTAAAGCGATAATCAACATAAACTTTATTCCTTCATGGATAATGCAGGAGCAAAAATAATCTCCAAAGATTAAACAAAATTTGTGATTAGGCCTTATATACCTGAAAATAAGGAATGTAAACATAACTTACAAGTCCCAAAATGCCAACCGACACAGCAACAAGTTTCGAAAAGGTGAATTTGTCTCCTCCATTGCTGGGAAATATTGCAGCTAGAAATAAGGTGAACAGACTTGACGTCGAAGATAGTATAGTAACGATACTGGCTTCGGTTTGGGACAGCGACAGTTGATACATGTAGTTAGCCATGAACCACTGAAATTTGCAATGTATATTACAACTTCATAGATTAGAAATCACCGATTGTAGAGTGAACGTACCAGTAGACAGAATACTAGAGCGATCTTTGCTACTTTCTGTATAGAAAATTTGTTAGCTTGTCTCTTGGCGTGCTCATCGGCTCTAATACTGGCTTGGTAGCTGAGCCTTGCCAAAAGTGCATCCGTCGCATTGCTCTCCGACATGTGACGGACCTCCGCAAGTTTGCTGAATCTCACGGAGCGAATCGAAGAGTCGTCACTCTCCGTTCCAGAGGAACGATCGCAATGATCCGATGTTTTGACAGGGACAAACATTGGATCGCTCTAAAAAAGATGTTGTTATATACATTAATTAAAACTGCCGAACTCTTGAATTTATGAAATTCAACATAATACTACCGAAAAGATGATTAACTTCTTACCAAGCTCGTGTTAGCTTCCGAATAGAAGTTATCGTTCTCCACATTTGGGTCTATAAACTGAAGCAGTGCTTAATTACGCCACCGATACTTATTACACGAAACAGAGTACTTTAGAATTCGATCGCTTACCATGTAAGTAGCGGGCTTGTTACATTGATCTCGCCACGGTGGCCAAAAGCAAAGTCCAAGCAGGTACACAGTAAACATCGACGTCTTAACGTAGGTACTGAAGAACGGCTTTTCGAATGCTGCTTCTTTGTAGATGTACTGTCGAAAGTATAACTTGAATGATATAAACGGAACAAGACAGAATTATCATCGCATCGCCGTATCATGGTTCAATTATTCCTTACTCTCCGATCTTCTGGACAGTTTTCGAGATCGCAAGAAACAATCTCACCTTAGTAAGTTCGGAGCTGGAGACCCAGATGATATCCACCAGAAGGAGCACCAGGAGACCGAGGACGAGTCTCTGCGACTTATTCATCATAACGGCGAGCCTATGAGGATCCTCCATCATTCCTGATTGCCTGCATTGTCGCAGCTCAACGGAGCAACTCATGGCCCAGTTCGGTTCTGTACCTTCGATCGACTCTATTTAATACCTGTGACGCGACAAGTGCCAGAAATCAACAACCCAATTCTAGACATCCGTATATTAAAATCCTTCCTCTTATCCATCGCAACGAAGTAGAAAATAACACTTCGTGGGTATTAATCGTACCGCAGATGTGTTTAAAAAATATCTCTGGATTCCTGCCTTAACATTACGGGCTGTTCGACTCAGTCGATGGGCTCACCTTGACCACATCCAAGGACTCGTGCCATGACCGAGGCACCATAACTCGAGCCAAAGCAAAGACTACATTTTGCTCGAGCAACAGCCACCGAAGCGTCCCAGAAGTCGTAAACGAGGAAAGATCTATCGAATCGTGACGTTACCCCGTAGAGACAGGTGGAGATGTGTCACGAGCACGACTTGGAAACCTGTTCCTCTCTACATAATGTCATAACAGCGAGCATGCTCCACCGGCCCTTCGTTCGGTACCATCGAAAAGGATTACATGGAGGGCACTTGTCCACTCGGGAATCCGTGTTCGGTTTCTTCAAGGGAGCTAACGAGCGGCAATTTTGTGGTGACAGCGCTGGATGGTACCCTTTCACCGACTTGCGCCTGCTTGCGCCTCCAACAGCTTGGAACAGCTGATCGCAGCTGATAAGAGGTAGACCGGCCTACGGGGGGTGTTTTCCGCCTCCAGCGAGCCGCCCTTTAAACCGCGATTGCGCTGCACGGATTGTAAATCGCGCCGTGTTTTCCGGGCCGCCACAAGATGGCGCCGGTAGAGCGCCGAACGGGTGAAGCCAAGGTTATAGATGTAAAGGGTGTCCGGTATCGATGCCAAAGATGCGAGGGGCGGCCATTTTCGTTCGGTGTTTACGCGTTTTTTTAAATGAATATAAAGCAATTCGAAGTACACGGCAATTGTTTTCATTTGTGATCGTTATATCCTTTAAAACTACGTATGACACAATTTTATAATACCTTTCGACACGCGCTTTTTCATACTCGACTGCCGCTGTGTCGAGTCGCGCAACGAAAGATGGCCGCCACAGCCCTTGGTCTGCATTCTAGCTTCATTTGGGTCTTTATTCCTAAATCTTTATAAATGATCCCTTTATTCTCTCCGTCGCTGTTCTGCATCTTTTATATTTAGAGTTTCGGCTCCATATACTCCACACATAGTTGCCAAGCTAGGGGGGCATTTGGAACGCACTCCACCGCCATCTTGGACGCCATCTTGGGCGCCATGTTGGATACCGGAACGCGCCCGGTCGCCTACGTGCCGCGGAGCGTCGCCGTCGCCCCCGAGCAGCCGATCCCCGAGGTGGCGCGCGCGCGCGTGTGTGGGCAGGCGATAAGTGTGCGGGCAGGGAAGGACGCTGCGGCCGACGTCGTCCCCGAGGCACCCGGGAACCCAGAGCGGAGACCGCGCCTCCTGGGCGAGCCTCGGTCGAGCGGCCGCCATCTTCTCGGCCGCGACTCGGCGCCGACCTTCGGAGGTGAGCGCGCGACCCGCTGGCTCTGTCTCGGATCCTGGGTCGCGCGAGCGCGAGCGCACTCGGCCTCTCGCGCGTGTGTGGCAACTGTTTACAAGCGGGCCACGTGGGTGTGCGTCGCGTCGTGTCGGTCGTGTCCGGTCGTGTCGCCGAGGGCAGCCATTGCCCCCGCGTATATCGGGCGCACGGGCCATGGCGCGAGTGTGTCGATAGGCGAGCGCGTCCGCCGCGGAGTGTGCGCGCGAGGGAGAGGGCCGTCGCCGTCGCGTATCGAGCACCCTGGTGTCCGCGTGCACCGCGGTGTATATAAACAGAGTGAGAGGCGCGTTCGCCGCGGAGCATGTGTCTCGTGAGGTAGCGAGGCGAGGGGCCTCGCAGCAAGGGAGGAATGACAGCGACTCCCGGGGGTTCCGGGGAGGTTAGGACGCGCTACCTGGCCGCCATTACGAGTCGAGGGCACTGGATGTTGACAGCGAGTTCCTGGAGAGGTTGAAAGGTCCGCGAGGGGCCCCAAAGTGACAGCGAGGGCGAGGAGAGGTTAGGTCGCGCACCCTGGCGGCCATTACGCGCGTCGGAGTCGATATTGACAGCGGGTTCCTGAAGAGGTTAGACGCGACCTGGAGCCTGGTGATCGAGAAGGAGAGTGAGAGGTCAGACGCAACCTGGAGCCTGTAGAACGAGAAGGAGAGCGGGAGATTAGACGCGGCCTGGAGCACGAGAAGGGACGGCGAATCCTCGAAGAGGTTAGGAAGCGCACCCTGGCCGCCATTTCACGCGACGGAGAGATCCTCTAGAGGTTAAATCGACCATCCTGGATGGGAAATGTAGCAGGTGACCCAGACTTCTTGAGGAGGTTAAAGTCTGCGATCCGATGAGCACTCACATCCTGAAGAGCTTTAGCGAGTAATTGTCAGGCATAAGGAAGAGTTATAAGTGTGTCAAGAGCGCGCATATGAATCCAAGAGACAATCGAGCAAGGCGCGTCGGAGACACGTGATCGCCGTTACGTCATCAAGGAGAAGAGGGGCCAGCGGATCCACATTGGAGACGTAGACTCGAGGCAAGATGGAGCTACGACTCCATTCTCCTGCTGGAGCGGAGCCCATCGTCTATCAGTGGCCGCTCACCTCTGGCTCGGGATCGGTAAGTTTAGTTTTGCGGTCTTTTGTTGCTCTCGAGTTGAGTGTTTCCAAACTTATCTGAAAATTTTACTTTGTAATCGGATGAGCGTTATCTTATTGGGTAACCTTTGTAGAAGAGGGATCACATAGAATGTGTACATTGTTTGTAATAATGCATGATTTATTCGATTAGGATCGCCACGACGGTGCTCTGGACGTCGTCGAAACCATGAGGTGGGTCTGCGAGGATTTGCCGGATTTGAAATTACCACTGGAGAATAATATACTCTGTAATTACGATACACGGGATTATGAGAGTATGAAGAACCTATGCGATAGATTCAATCGGGCCATCGACAGCTTGGTACAGTTGGTAAGATCGTGTTTCTAATTTAATTACTTTGACAAGGGTAAAATTTCAGTGAAACGTGTATTCACAATTATACGTTTAATCGATGCAGGAGAAGGGAACCAGCCTGCCTTCGCAGCGTCTCAACAAGAGACCAAGTAGAGGCTTGCTTCGCCATATACTGCAGCAAACTTACAATCAGGCAGTCATCGAGCCGGACAAGCTGAACCAGTACGAACCGTTTTCCCCTGAGGTCTATGGAGAAACGAGTTACGAGCTCGTTTGCCAGATGATCGATCAGATCGATGTAACCGAGGACGACATTTTCGTCGACTTGGGCTCTGGAGTGGGTCAGGTGGTGCTACAAATGGCTGCGGCTACGCTTTGCAAAATCTGCATTGGCGTCGAGAGAGCTGACGTACCTTCGAAATATGCCTTGGTAATTGTTACGTTATTTATATTTATACTAATGTGTCATTATAAAACGTTCATATTTATTGCAACAAATTATAAAACGTTTAAATATTCCAACAATTCATAAAACGTGTATATTATAACAAGTTTCTTTTACTCGGTTCCAGAGCATGGAGGTTAACTTCCGTAAATGGCTCAGCTGGTACGGAAAGCGTTGCGGAGATTATCGGCTGATCAAGGGAGACTTCCTGGCGGACGAGCACCGGGAGAGCATCACCGGGGCGACGATAGTCTTCGTGAATAATTTCGCCTTCGGCCCGACCGTGGATCACCAGCTGAAGGAGAGATTCGCCGATCTTCGAGATGGCGCTCGCATAGTTTCCTCCAAGTCCTTCTGTCCCCTCAACTTCCGGATCACGGATCGGAATTTGAGCGGTATGCGGCGTCATCATTATCGAATGATGATATTTCCTTGGAAAATACCGTTTCCTGTACACTGAGCGAAAAATTTACTTTTTAGGCGAAATTAATTACTTGCAGTAATCTAGATATTTCTTGCTGAAGAAATTTTTTGGCAAAGCTGAACTTCAGGAAACAGAATATCGTTTGCAATTTGTCTTAATTTAATTCAATTTTATTTTGTCTCGATCACCTGTGAAGATCTGTTCGACACGAGGATTTCTTTTCTCTAGGAAGTGATTCTTTCGTTCGGTGTAAGAAACGCGCTTCGCGTTGCCTCTCGTTTCCCCCTGAAAAGTGAATCTTTGTGTTAAACTTGTGTTTTAGAAGAAAAATGTTTGATCCTTCCAGACATAGGAACGATAATGCACGTATCGGAGATGTCTCCCTTGAAGGGTTCGGTATCCTGGACCGGGAAGCCAGTGTCCTATTACTTGCATGTCATCGATCGGACCAAGCTGGAGAGATACTTCCATCGGCTGAAGAACAATAAGCAGGGGGGACTGGACGAGAACTCGGACTCCGTGATCAACAATATTCCTGGGAGCAACAATAAGATACCCAGGAACGAGAAGGCGGATAGAGCGAAGAAGGACCTCTCCAGGCAGCTGGACAGTCCTAACCAGTCGGAGCATCTTAACACCAACAGCGAATCAGATGGAGACGATGGGTCTTCCAAGAGACGCAGGCAGACTTCGAAGATCAGAAGGAAGCTGAATAGGAAGCCCTCGAATGGAATGGCCAGGCCTGGAGCCAGGGGAAGGCAGCGAGGCAGGGGCATGAAGAAGTCCAGACCACGGAAGGCTATCAACATCTCTGGATTGGATCTGCTCCACAGTCAAACCCTCCTCAGCACCTCTCCGCAGGCTCTGGGAAAGAAACCACCACCTGCTCCTGGATGCATCGACCAGCAGCTCTCTTCGCTGTCTCTGTCTCTCCAGTCCAATTCCCTTTCGGTGCACGAAGAGCTGTCGATACCTCAGGCTCCTGCTGCCACTCCCTATGCACTCCAAATTCTCCTCGATCTGTACAGGTATGTAGCGATAAACTTATTTTCAAAGTTCTAAGTTGGAGGTTATTTATTTAAAGAAGGATTTGTAGTATCTTGATTTTTAAATAATCGAGGTTTAGTAGTCGTTTGATGGGAAAATATCAAATGGTTGGATCTTAACCTTAAATGTCAACCTCAAGAGTTTCAAATTATTAGGCCATCGAAACTGTCCAATGGCCTAATAATTTGAATTTCTAATATTCTTCGATGCTTGATAACAGAATTTATTTGGGATATATACTACTGTCACTTGCTGTAAAAACCTAGAATGGTTGGATGGGGTCTTCACAGATTCTGATTTTTTGGCCATCGGGCATACTTTCAGAGACCAGTTCATGGCGATGTTGGAGTCGATGAGGACGCCGGCGTACCGGATCACGGTGAACACGAACATCACCCGGGAGCGGGAGAGGAACTCGAAGCTGCAATCGAGGGCGGCGCAGCTGGAGAAGCAGATCAAGGTGCTGATCGACGACAGCGTCGCTCTCTTGAAGGCGCGGATGACGGAGTTGGGGATCAACGCGACGTCCCCGGGGGACCTGCTGGCGAAGGCCAAGGAGATCGTCCTGAGGCACAAGCAGCTCCAGGCGAAGGCGAGCAAGCTGCAGGCCCAGGTCTCGTCGATGGAGGCCGAGCAGTCGAGGCTCACCGCCATCAGGCACCAGGAGCTGCAGGAGAAGTACAACGGCCACGGGGGCATGAACGGGCCCCAGCCGCTCACCCAGGACTACATCCTGAAGGAGATCTCGACTACCCTATCCCAGAGGAAGAAGCTGCACTGCCAGGTAGACCCTCGGCCGAGGCGCCAAGGACCCAAGCAATTGTTCGGTCTTCTAGAGTTGTCGCTGATCGATTCTTTGCTGACTATTTCGAATCTTCCACAGTTTGGCCTACAAATTTCTCAGGATGGGGAGAGGAAATATGGTAGAGCGTCGTGGTCTCCTCCTCGAACATTCGGGATCTCTCGGAGGGTTTCGGACACGGATTTCTTTGCAGCGTTTCCGCGCGGATGCGAATACATAGATAATATTTATGTAATACATAGATAATATTTATAAATCCGTGATCCAGATCAACCTCGGAGAGGTCTCGAGAATACCGGAAAGGGACTGTGTAAAATTAAGGCGTTACCGTTTTATATCTTCCCACAGACATTGGGACGTTTAGGACGATTCAGGGTGTTCCCGAGTCCCCAGGATGTCTTGGGGATTCCTTGAGGGACTTTCAAACGTACCGACACGGGTGAACGCAGGGGAAGAACACTCCCATGTATTGGTGTTGTAGCGATTCTAGCGCCACCGCGGCTTGTACCCGGAAATGATCGAACTAAAATACAATATCGCGGAAGTGGCGAGCTCACGAGTAGTATAAGGAGATACAACGCCACGTGTCGAAATTATCCCCACTTTAGGGGTCCAAGATCTTCAGATTTTTTTCCGATCTAGGGCCGAGAGCGCCTCGATTAAATTTTGCAATTAAAAATTATCGTTCGCCGGTCTTTATCACGTCAAAAACATCACATTCTGGATATCGTGCGCGGATTATCGATTTGCTTTGCGTACCTTAATTGCAAGATTAATAACATTTTGGGTAATTTACGTAGGTAGGAAATGTTTTTGTCCCGTACGATCGGTGTTCATTTTTCGCAAGTAGCGCTCGCATCTAAGATTCTGGGTCCACTTTCCGTGGAACCGACCATAGGCGTTAATTCTTTATACTACTTCATCGTTAAAGCGCGCATGCGGCAACCATATTGGATTTTAGTCCCGAAATTTTTGGGAGTAAGCAACGGTGGCAGGAGCATCGTCATAAGAAACGCTCCTATACGAGTGTCCGCCCTCTGGACGAACGCCAGCACGGCCAGGAGGTGGTTCCCCGTTTAACGATTCCCTCCCGTTCCAGGTGTCCAGGTTGGAGCACGAGTTGAATGCCCTGGAGCGCGCCAGCAACGAGAAGCAGGCCGCTGTCCTGGTGCAGCAGCAACAGCGAGAGCTGGCCGGAGGGAAGCACCTGCAGCAGCCTCATCTGGTGCAACAGCAGCAGCAGCAGCAGCAGCAGAAGCCCCCGGCCTCCCGGAAGAACCGAGAGGGCAGGTCCAGGTCGCAGGAATGGCCGGACGTCCCGGACATCGGGAAGATCCAGGAGAACAACCCGGAGATCCTGGCCAGGAAGATCCTGGAGACGGGCCGGCAGATCGAGGCTGGCAGGATCCCGGTCAGGCAAGGTCCGGCCGCCCCTCGCGCCCGTCTGCCTGGGCCCGGGTTCTCCTCCTCGTCCTCCACCTCCTCCTCCTCGTCCTCCGCATCGGAAAAGGCCCAGGTCGCGGCCAAACCGCAGGAACCTCCCAGGGTAGCCAACTTTGAGGACAGGCTCAAGAGCATCATCACCAGCGTCCTCAACGAGGACCAGCAGAACAGGAACAAACAGCAGCAGCAACAGCAGCAGCAACAGCAGCAGCAGCAGCAGCAGCAGCAGCAGCAACAACAACAGCAGCAACAACAGCAGCAGCAGCAACAACAGCAGCAGCAGCAGATGCAGGCCCAGCAGGCTGAGCCCGAGAGAAAGAGGGTCACGTTGCTGCAGAACTCCGCCACTCCGGATTACACCCAGGTGCGAGATGGTTCGGATGAGGTTTGCGATGCATCGCCTTAAGGGGATGGCAACTCGCGTCGAAGAGGTTTCGTTTATGAAACTTTACTCCGAACGAAAAGGGTACCGAATGGTTTCAAACTTCACTACGTGAATATGAAGGGTATAAGGAAGGCCCTGACACCCACGAAATTTCAATTTTATCTAAATTTGATTATAGATATTATTAAAATTTTGCATAAGAAATTAAATTTCATGGGCGTGAAGAGTTGCTTTAGAGCCTCTATATTCACGTGGTAAAATTTCAGACGATTAAGTACATCCAGTTCGTAGAGAGAGAGAGAGAGGAAAAAAAAAGACAGATTTGGCTCAGGAGACGCCACTTTCTATCCAAGGTGGTACTCGAACCGCGTACATTCGCGCAAAAGGAGTCTCGATCGTGGCCTAACGCAAGGTCGGCGGTGAACCCGCAGGTATCCCCGGCGAAGCTGGCGCTGCGGCGACACCTGTCGCAGGAGCGACTCTCGTCGCATCTGTCGGCCCCGGAGCGGGCGGACCGGGCGGACCGGGCCGACCGGATGGAGCGACAACAGGTCCAGAGCCACGAGGGTGGCCGGCCGCAGACCGGAGTCGGTCTGCTGGGGACTAGGACGATCGGCGACCTCGTCAGCGGGGAGATCGAGCGCACCCTGGAGATCTCGAACCAGTCGCTGACGACCCCCTCGGCGGTGGACATGAGCGCGGCCATGAGGCCGGAGGCGATCTACTCGCCGATCAGCAGGCCGGCCAGCGCGGAGGGCGACGCGGGGTTGGCCACCCTGGCCCACGTGGCTAGCTATGTGCCCACGTCGGCCGCCTCGGGCGCCGCGGGCGCTCCCGCGGGGGGCCCGGGGGCGAATGCCCCTCCGGGCCCCGCCGCGAGGTCCTCCGTTCTGTTCACCCCGGTCACGCAGCCCCAGAGGTAACCCATGACCCGGCTGGATCTCTCGAGGCGCACTTTTTGAGCCGGAACCTGGGGCGAGCTTGCGTTTTTTATTCCTTCGCGAGCCGAGGTCGTTCCCGCAACGGCGTGGCCGGGTTCCGTTCCTGGGGGAATGGTGGACGTGCAACGGTACCGTGATTTTGCCGGGATTGATGCGACCGGTTGACGGAACCTAGCCGGGACGTTGCCGGAACCCGTGCGGCTGGTGGACGGGCGCTTCGAAGCTTTCCTTGGTGGCTAGTGCACGATGCTAAGCATTTGGGAGGGATGCCGAGTTTTTGAGAACTCATGGGAATATCTATACATTTTTTGGAAACCTTGAGAAACTTTGGGAATTTTTTAGAACCCCTGGAAAACTCTGAAAATCTCGTTTCGTTTCCGTCCCCTTTTATCTATTCTTCATCCTCCCTTCATCGAAAATCCGACTTCCGCCGCTTGTCGAGCCCAACGAAAGTTGCCTATTACTTGCTACATCGTAATCGCCTACTTTCCTCCCTCGTTACGTAACGTACCATTTTATCATCGCTTTCGCCGCCCCTTCCCGCGAGCATCTCCACGTCCCTTTGAAATCCTCCCCCAGGGTGCGCCTCGGGAGGTCCGGCTAGAAGAAAAATCGTAAACGCGCAATTCCGCGACCCGGGTAACCGTGGTTCGCCGATTGCCTTGTCAGGGAGTATTACCATTTCCAGAAATGTTAATATCCGCCCGACCTGGGGCGGAAGTCGCTAATCGAGTCCACTTATGGCTAGGTACGTGCCGGTGCAGCTGCCCAGGGCGGACATTAAGCCCTACCACGAGTCCTACTTCTGCGACAGCCCTTCCTCGCAGCCGCACTCCTCGGCGATGGTCTACCACCACCCTACTTCCCAGGCCTCCGCCAACGACGACCTTCTACCCGTAGAGGGCCTGGCCGCCTCTCTGCACGCCAAGATCCTCAACAGCCATGGACCCGGGAAGAGCGAGCCGAGCGCCTCCGGGAAGAGGTGCGACCTGGGACCCTATTCTCCAGTTCATCCCATCCAAGATTAAGGTGATATGAAAGGGTCATTCTATATATCAAAGCGTCAAAATATTTATCAAACTTTTCTCCAAACTGGGTACACCGAATCATTTGAAACGTTAACACGTGATTATGGAGAGAGGAAGGGAGAACGCAATGCTCGTGAAATTTCATTAAAAAAAATTTTTTTTTNTTCATATTTTAAAGAACATCTTTCTTTTATTTAGCCTAAACTAGAACCAAGATCACATTTTCTTGTGAAAAATGAAATTTCACGAACATCGCGTTTTTAGGGTTTCCGTGATTACGTGTTAAAGTTTCAAATTATTCGGTGCAACTAGTTTGGAGAAAAATGTAATAAGTATTATTACGTTATGTATATAATGACCCTTTCATGTCACCTTAAGTCGAGGAGTAAATTCCCGTCGTTTTTAACGTAACGTAACGTAATTAAAACGGCGGGACCTTGTTCCTCAACCTAGTAGTATACGGAGACAACGCCAATGGTCGGTTCCACAGAAAGTGGCCCCAGAATCGGGATCCTGGATCTCAGATTTTCGCTGATCTATCGGAGCGAGTGCCACTTGCGGAAAATGGGGGAACTTCGATCTACGTAATCGAAACATTTCCTACCGCCGTAAATTACCTGAAATGCTTTTAATTTTGCAATTAAGATATAGATTGTAACGACAATCCGCGCAAGATATCCAAAATGTGATGTTTTCAACGCGGTAAAGACTAGCGCACGATAATTTAGTATTTAAAATTTCATCGGGGAAGCCCTAGATGGGAAAAATCTGAAGATCATGGACCCCTAAAGTGGGGACGATTTCAATACATGGCGGGGTATCTCCTTATACCACTTCGTGTTGTCAACGTTGATTCCGTTCAGCAGATACCAGCCTTACCCACGGTACACGAGTTGCAACAGCGGAAGCGGCGCGACCACGCCGACGCAGTCGCAGGCGGTCGTGTCGGTGAAGACGGAGGCGGCGGTAGTTCCGTCGGTGACCACCAGCGGCGCTCCGCTCAGTCCAACGATCGAGCCGCACTCCAACACCTCCACGCCCCTGGTGGACGAACCCAATATGACGGCGCACCGACAACGGAACGCGGCAGGAGACGACGGTAAATTATTCGTCTTTCGTATCATTTAAAAATTGTTAAACCGCAGAACTAAATCGAACCTTGGATGTCGTTCAATTCGCGCGGCATACTTTCACCGATGCCACGACTCAAGATGGCTTGTCCTTATCAAGACGCTTATCGTTACGGTTTTAGACGGCGAGGCGGACTGGCAGGACAGAATCAGCTCGGGGTTCGACCGGCTGGTGGCGTTCGCGTCGACGGAGCTGGACAAGCGCCGACGATCGACGGAGGGCGTGAACACGAGCCCCGACAGCGGCCTGGGCTCGGAGACCGCAGCGACGGGACCGCCGCCGGTCGTCCTGTCCCCGGATGAGGCCCTGGGGCCTCCTCGCACCCCCTCGCCGACCAGCCCCCGGCCCCCGAACCCCCTCGCGGGCGCCTCCGTCCCTTTCAAGTACCAGCGCCAGCCCGACCACGAGCGGCACCACTTCAAGAAGAAGTTCTTCCACCGCGACTGGAGCAACTCCGCGGGCAACGGTGAGCCCGGCCGCCGAGCGGACACCCTGGAGGTCTTGAAACGTCCGAGGCTTGGTTAGCGGACTCTATTCCCTAACGAAAGTGCCGAATTTTTTCTATTTGCCGTGGAAGTACGTCTTTCCGATCGTTTACATGGCTAATGCTTTAGGTAATGCGAAAGTGGCCGTTGATAAAACCTTTGTCCGAACTGGGTGTACTAGATCTTATCAAATTTTATCTCTCATGAATGCGGAGGCCCTAGGGAAGGTCCTGACCCTCGGGGAAATTCATTATTAAATCTTTTTTATGAACAATTTAGTCATTTTTTTTAATGAAAAATGAAATTTCATGGGCGCCGGGACCTGCCTTATGGTATTCGGATTCGCGTTGTGAAGTTTGGAAGGATTCGGTACACTCGGTTCGGAGATAAGTTACATAAACGAGACCTCTTTGACTCCATTTTCACATCATCTTAATTTCTGCAAGTTTCTCCGTCAAATCCAGTGTATTCACCCGGCAGGGAAGACGTAAATGATTATTAAACGGTGGATTAATTATTTCTTATGTTTCAGCTGACCAGCCGCACATCAGGACCAACTACAGTCCTTACAACGCGGAGGGTCGATTCCGGCACGAGGATACCATGAATAATCGCGAATCCATGGTGAATAAACAACGGTAGACCCGAAGACTCGATACAGTTCAAACTGTTTCACGAACCGAAGAGATCGAAGGCCCTCCAAGGGTCGACAACTTCTGAGATTACCTGGGAATGGTTTTCCCAGGACAAACCCTGTTCGATCAACGACTACGAGGATGGAATTAAGGCCCGGTAACCGTGAGCCGGCCATCTTGAATTATGACGTCAAAGGCGAAGAAATCCCATGAAATTCTCTTATCACTATTTTTACAAATTGCATTTTCAAGGAAAAACCAGTGTTGGTAGAAACTAGATGTTCCCGAAATTTGTCAGTGGGTCAGTTTTTTTTTATAAATCATGCATCAGGAAACAAGATATTTTTCGAAAATTGACCAGAGACGGTTTTGGACGATAATCAGGAAATAGACACAATAGAATTATAAACGTGGATTGTCCGACACATTTTATGCGTCCACTGATTTTCTTCACGTGAATAACTTGGAAAAATAGTCTGGAAGAATATCGGAGGGGAATTTCTTACGAATTCTTCGTTTCTGTCGTCAAAATTCAAGATGGCCGACTCAAGGCTACCGAGGCCTTGCATGGGGATTTTATTACTCGGAGAAATAAGCTCGTACGCGTACCTAACTTTTGGCGTTAAAGCGAATCTGTTAGTCGTTTAAAGATTACACATAAAATACGTCTTTTCTTTTAACGCTAAAAGTAAGGATCGTGGTGAATAATCGAGGGCCAAAAGTCGGCAGTTCTGGACGAGGGTGATGTTTCTCGACGAGAAAGAGAATGCTGCGAACTTCACACGAGTCTGAATTGCATATGATTGAACGTGCGACATCTCTTTTGTAACAAATGCACGGAATGTTTGATTTGAATTTAAATATTAAGCGGGAAGAAGGAAGTACACGGTCGTGGATGAAGGTTGACTTGTAGCGTCGCAAGAGTGGCGGCCATTTTGTATTGAAATTCGAACATTCCGGGCATCGGTTACGAAGAGGAATTCCCAAAACCATGTGTCTCGGAAATGAGCGGCGATTTTTCTAAAATTGGATAATCATTTCCATAGTATCCTGCTAGAAATAACTCTGTAGGGAAGTACGAAAGGGATCTGGTTCGGGATTTTCGTGAGCCTAAGAAAGTCGCAACGGAGATGGGCAAAAGAGTCGTGGGTTAGGAAATGCGATTTTCCGGGAAAACGGAGCACGATACGGAGAAACGCCTCGGGTGGAAGAATGTTCCGAATTAGCCGAGGAACAACTTTTGTCTGAATCGTTTCACTATAAAGTGCACGGTTTATGCGGGAGAATGGATTGTTCCGGGAGGGATATCGAAGCGCTTGCTTTCGGACTCGGTTTTCAGAGTTTTCTGCCTCCTACATACGTTGTATGGAAAAATGTCCCATACAAAAGTTGTTCCCGGTAACGTGTTCGTCAACATTTGTCGAAGGAAAATTCCCACCCGAGGCCTCGGAAAAGCGGGAAATTAATGAATAGCGCAGAAAGTGTTACGATCTTTTCGGCGGGGCGCGAGTCGTCGAAACGGAAAACGATTTTTCTTTTTCTTTTTCTTGTCTTATCGAGGACCATATCAAAGGGAAATATTTTTCAAGAACTTGCCAAATGTCAGGTTTCTGCTTTTCCTCCTGCCGGATTTTCTGGGCATCGTTCTTTTAATACTCCGAAACCCGTTAACGTAATCCGTAATTAATTAATTAACTATTAGCTAGGTTTTTTTTTTCCGACAGTAACGCAAATAATGGGAAAGGGTGAATTGCGATTTTCGAGGACTGTAACTGCCTTCGCGAGGAGGATCCACTTTGAGGATAGCTTAGAAGGAAATAGTGGAAGGATAGGAAACGTCCGGTTTTTAGAATTTGATATCGTGCACAGTGTACAATTTGCGAGCGGTCTTTTCTACGAAAAGGATGGAGCTACATTAGCGAATTATTTTCCTTTTTTTTTTTTCCAACTATTAGACGGAGAGAAGGGAATCACTGCCAAACGTGCAGAAGAGGTCGTAAGTCGCGTCCCCTCCCGCCAAAGAAATTCCGTTTTCGGGAAAACGGTGCACGCTATAAAAAAAGGTTTCCAACGAAAGTTTTCCCTGATTCATTGGGGAACAACTTTTGTCTCAAACCTTTTTTTCTAAACTGCACGGTTCGCGCCGCAAGCTGTATTTTTCTAAATAGGGGGGAAGAAAAAGGAGAAACTTAGTGCCCGAATATTTTTCCAGTCCAAGACTAACGAGTAGTGTTTGCCTTAAAGTCGCGCGACAGAAGAAGATAGACTTCTTTCGGTGAACCTTCGGAAGATTGCAGGGAATTAATCTCACGGAGGAGTTGAAAGTTTATGCAAAAAGGGGGAGGGACGAATTCTACGACCTCTTCGCGTAAATCGTAGACCGTTTACCAAACGAATAGGAATCTTTTTTTTTCTTTTTCTTTGTTGAGAGTTAGTTCTTAGGGAATTATTAGTTGGCCAGGTAGGGGAGAAAATGGACGTCCGTTTGTAGAATTTGATAAAGCGGAGAGAATTTCGCGACCGGCCTTTTCTGCGGAGGAAAGATGGCGCCGGCAAATCTTTTTTAAACGATCGGACGCGCTAAGAAAAGGGATCACTACCAAACCTTTGTGTGTTCGTTGCGAATCGCCGTTGTTCGATGGAGAAAAAATAGACAACGGGGCTAGCGATATTTAACGGAGATTTCTTCTCACCGATGTGTTCATCGAGGAGTTTGTAATTCCGCAGAGGCGCTTGTCGAGGCACGGAGGACGGATTGACTTTTAATTCATTATTTATTCATTCATTCGTTCTATCGAGGATTCCCCGTTTTATTTGGAAATCTCGTCCTACCGGTGATAAGCTTGGACTCTAAGTTCCTTTCACGAGGCATTGAAACGTAATTAAGAGTGTTCTACTGTAAATTAATTGTCGTTTTAATTAGGTAATTAGTGGAGACGGGATTTTGTCGTTTTCGTGGAAAGCGCTCGGAAGTACTTGTAATTCGTTGTTGATTCGAAGTTATCGCGAAATTCCTGGGGATGTGAATTTAGAGCGCAATTCGTCGTAATTAAATTGAATATAAATATGAAGAGATCATTAATTGTGCTCCCGAGTGATCGTAAACGGTTTAATTAATCTTTAAGAATGGATTTCGCACCTCGATGAGGTATCATGCTTTTGTAATTTTTTTTTTTTAAACACGCAATCACGCAAATCATTGATTTGAATTTTGCCGCGCGGTCGGCGCTCCAACGGAAAGCGCATTCTGCCGTGTCCTCGGCAAGGCCCTCTGATTACACTGCTGGGCAACCGACATAGTCATTTCACTGCGAGAGAGAGAGAGATAGGGAGATGCCAGGGATAATTTACGCTCATATTATCTGAGAAGTTACGATTTGTAATAAAAAAAAAACGATATAATGGACGGGGGAACTAACGGTGAGCGCAATTTTGCGTTTCGTAAGACCTGCGCGCTTTCAAGATGGCGTCGCGCCAAGATGGCGGAGCGCGCCGCCATCTTGGAATCACGGCCGGCGCGGCTTTGTAACTAAGCGTTTTGTAAAAATTGAATGGGTGATCATTGTTCGATCGGCGAGGGATTCGTGTAAAGAGGGAGAAAACGTAAAAGAACCGCCTGAAATGTGTTACATAATTGTAAGTAGTAACAAGTGTATTATTTAATAACCCCCAGGACGATATACATATATATACTTGAATTATTGTAAGTAAATCTGGCGTGTGTAACCGGCGCGGAGAGGTCTCGAGAACCATCGAGTGATTCATTATATATTATTATATATTATTTTTATTGTTCGCCATTAGTTATTTATTATATTATTGGAGTATTTTAATATTAAGATTTTGTAACAGAAGGATATATCACTGCTCTGCGTTTTCATTCCGTCTTTCACCAAGCTCGGATTTCCCCCGGGAATTCGGTGTTTCACGAGTTTCCGATTTTTCCAGTGGATTCCGCGGGAAAATTCGAGGGGGAAATCTCTTTTCGGGATTTAAATCGCGAGGGTGATAAGCGAGATATTAAACACCGGTCGAGGCGGCCGACTTTCCGTTGGAGCCGCCGCGCCATTGGCGCGGAATGTCTCCAAGGGAAAGCATCGCTCTCGAGAAGATTTCCAAAGGAGCTTTTCGCCTCGTTTTTTTTTTCTTCCTTTTGTTTCCGACTTTCGGAGATTGCGACGGGGAATGGAAATTCGAAAGTTCTTGACGTTTCCTGGTTACGGTGGTTTTAATTAATTTAAGCGAAACTGCATCCGGTGTTACGTTTCTTGGGGAGTTCTCTCAAACGGGTTCGTTATAGTTTCGTCTCGTAATTAGATGCTGGGTCGAGTGCAAGGATTGTAATAATTGTAAAAAAAGAAAAAAAGAATAAAAACATTGGATATCTCGAGGAATTGGGGATCGATTTCGAGTTGGCCCCTGTTTTCTGATAACGATGATTGCTTATCAGGGGCCCACTCAAATTCTTTTTCTTAGGGCATTTAATTGGCAACAATTGTAAAATGTAAATACTTTGATACGTGTGATTGTTTTCAGGGGCCGAGTTAATTCTCTCTTTTTTTTTTAGGGGTATTTAATTGGCGTCAATTGGAAAGTATAAATCATTCTCAATTGCTAATTTAATTCTTTCTTCGCGGAAGTTAATTGGTAACGGTGAAAAATGAAATAATTCTTTTACAAACATCTGAAATTCAGCTAACGATGTCTGTTTTTTTTTATTTATTTATATTTAATCCTGCAATCCTTGATATGGTTATATTCGTTGTTTCAGTGATACGCGATGACGAAAAATTAATTTAAAAAACTTTAGTAAGCATAAGTGCTGCCTAGCAATCGTTGCCTAGCATCCGCTGCTTAGCGACCGTTGCCTAGTAACATAGGGACGCGTAAACATTTCGCGTATATATTCCCATTCCGTCAGTAAGAAAATAGAACCTTGCAATTTTTTATCGGTCACTTGTCGAGCAGCTTTTGTTTAAACATTTAGTGTCATCACGGAAATTAGAGCGCGATATGGACCTCGATCCTCTCGAGGAAAATGATGAAGGTATCAGAAGAAAATATTTGTTTAATAACGCGTTATTGCAAAATGGCGAATATACATTTTGCAGGGGATTTTGAGGGATGCCAGATAAATCTAAGCGAGTTGCGAGTCGATTATCGAGAGGTGTCCGACGAAGTCCAACAATTGCGATTGGAAAGTGCGAAGTCAAATGTTGATGTTGAGATTGAAAATGAACCAGATTTTTCGTGGGAGGAAAATTCTAAATCCGAAAGTCAAGATTTTGAGAACGAAACTAGAGAAGATGGACGAGTTGAAAAGGCGATTTCGAAAATGGAAGATCTCGAGGGGGCCATTCAAGAATTGGACAAGGAAGTTCAGGTAAAAAGAAAGGAAATGCAGATTAAAAAATAAATATGGAACGAAGTTATTTTAGGGGGCGACGAACGAAAGGTTGCAGTGCCAGATTCAGAATCGAGTACACTTGAAAAAACTGTTGGATTCGAATCCACCGGAAGCTGGAAAACTGGCTGCAAATACCGCACAATTTTTCAAGTTATGTTCGGTGAACGTGGACTTGTCTTTAGGTATTAGTAGAAATTAATCTCCTCCAAAGTATTACTTAAAAAAGGATCTTTCTTAATTTTCCTGGGAATTTATTATTGACTCCTGAATGCTTGAACACATTTTTCCTATATACGTAACGATAAACGATGAAATATTTCGGAAATTTAAGTATAATAATCTTTTTTATTATATATATTTTCAGAACCTGATAATTCGATCTCACAAAACGTAAATAAATCTGTGAAAAAAGAGCGTCAATTAGAAAGGCCGAAGACGGTGAATAAAGAGAATGCAAAGAAACTCGAGAAAAAACCTGTCAAGGATAAAAATATGAATTTGATAAATAGCAGAGGTCAAGTAAGAGATTTTAAAAAGGCTCTCTTGATAAATTCTCACTTGATAAATATTTCACGTTGTTACTTAGATTCTGGCTAAAAGAAGCAACAAAAAGAGCGTCGACTACGAAAATGAAAGTACTAATCCCTTCGTCTTCGATAAGGAAACCAGAGAATTGTTGCAAGAGTTGGACCGAAGAACTGCGGTGAGTGATTTAATTTTCTCCCATTGAATTTATAAATAACTAGTATTTTACATTAATTTAATAACATAATTGTACCATTGTTGAAGCTACTCAATTCTCATTTTCTAAGTCGCTCGATGGAGAGCGATAAAAAAGACGATAAAGAAGAGATTTCTAAAAATGTCATTGCATCGGGAACATTAAAGGTGAGCAATTTTCACTTAATACAGATATCGAGAAATTGTGGGAAAAAGAGATGCGTGTCTTTTTCAAATTTATGTTTCATGTGCAAATCGGGAGACTTCAATTTCCGGAACAACAATACGGGAATTAGTGGAGCAATATCGTGAAGAAGTGGCGAGTGTCTTCGAAAACGAATCGTTAAATTCGACAGAGAACTCCAGCCCTTTCTTGAAAGTTCCAGAAGGCATAATGCCTAAGTAGCAATAATTGCTACTTAGAAATTTGCCAACGACGGAATTGCCACGAAATAATATTTAGATCATTCGATTTCACAAATTCAAAGTAAGATAACTGCGAATTGAAGGCGTTTTTTCAAGACGCTATTTTTGATTTCACGTACCACTGTAGTCATCGCATCATAAAAATTAAATGAGGATAATGCTAATATGTAATTATTTCGCTTAATAATATCGTAGCGGTGATAGGAAACAGATCATTTAAATAAATTGAGAGATCGTTGAGGCACTTCCTCAACATTTATTGAAAATGAGGTTTTTGTTAACTTTGAGCAAAAATTACACTTCGAAGCTCTTACGTCTTCAAAAAATATGTTCCAGAACGATAGCTTAATCTTTTCCTAGTTTACTTTTCGAGATAACGCAGAAATGGTGTATTAAACGAAATATTACAACCTTTGTACAAGATCTTCTTGTAACCGTGCACCGTTAAAATGAAAATTTGCATTCACTTTGTTGCAAAGGCTGCGATGTGCACCTAACCTACAAATCTTACATGGAAGAGTAATAGTCAAACAATTTGCGCCCGTTCTTAATGTAAAAAATTCTATGTAACGTCAAACGAGATACAAATTGTGATTTATAACTAATTCTTCTTTCCATGCAAGCATCGAAAAAAATAAAAGAGATCATTTTGCATTGCATGAATGTTTACGCAAAAGAGATTTCTTGAGCCGATAGAATCTATAATATAGTAACAATGAACATAACAAAAATGTATGAAACTTCTAATTAGATTTATCCAAAATTAAATGGAGTAGCATAAGAACGTATGTACTGTAAACAATTTGGTTTCAACTGTAGTACGTAAACTATAAAGCAATTAACATTTTTAGCATATCCTCTCGATTCTTTGGAGTCATCGTATACAAATGCTTATAATTAAAAATACAGAATTGTTAACTGGTATACAATATTCCTTAATTAATAATATAGTAATATTAATTCACAAACTTGCATTTCCTTGAGAACGACCAGTACTTGTTTGGAAAATTTAAAGCTCTACTCATTGAATGAATTTATTTATTTAAATCTTATCCTGACTAATTAAATGGATAAATATTACCAACACATCGAGTTCCTTCTTAATACTTGTTAGTCTTTGTACTTTGCAAAAATTCGTTGTAACTTGTTCTTACAAACTGCTAGAGATTGATAAAAAAATGTGCGTTAATACAGGGAGTTTATAAAAAAAATAGACGTAAGCTTGTATAAACTTACAAAATATTAAGGGTACAGATAGTCCCTCGAGACTCAGCGATCTCATAAAGTTGTATAAACTACTTTTTCATACAAAATTACGTTCCGACACTACACTTATAGTTCCAAACATTCCTGGACACTCTCATTGTTATTGTTTGTATATATATTTATGATAAAAGGTGAAAAATGAAATGTTTCTGGATCATCGATGCAGATACAAAAGTAGAAATAATTATTAGGTGCAAATAAGTGTCCGAAGAGTCATTTTTATACTCCAAAGTGAAATTATTTTCCTGCACGTTGAAGTGCATTTTCCTGCATATATCCGTTTGAAACAAATCTTGGCTGATATTGTCTTTGAGTAAACTGCGAATCACCACGTTGGAATCTATTCGAAACTCGATTTCGAGGATACTGTTGACGGTTTTGCGAGGAATACTTTATGGCATCATTGGAACGGTGGTTCTCATGGAACGCTTCGAAGCAAGATTTTTCTGAGAACGGTGCTTGATTTTTCCCAGTTCTGTGTGCAGAGCTGTAAATAGGACGGCCAGGATAATTGCACAAATATTCTGAGCAAAATTGGCGCTCCTGATTTCGAAAATCGTTTTCAGGTCTTGCTTCGTAACAATTCTGGATACATGCTTTGGGCCCCCTGGACCGAACAAACTGGATCGGATGAGAGTTTTCTGGATAAACTCTCAGTTTCTCAGGTGGTGGATAATGGCCAACTTCGCGTTGTTTATAAATATTAGGTTGAAGTTCACTGTAAACTGGTATCGGTGGATGTGGACACGAATAGGGCACTTGTTTGTTCTGATTCTGACATAACGAAGCATTTAAGTAATGTAGGAAAATATTCTGCAGGTTTTCCGGCATGTTATCAGGGATTAAATTCGATTGTCCAGCCATTGGCTGGAATTCTGGATTTGTGTTCATTGGCTTCGGATCATAAGGTTGAAACGAGTCATCCGAAGCAGTCCATGAGTTCTTCATTGGAGTAACAATATTCGCATAACTGGGGCGTCTTTGACACTGTGAGAGCTTTTTATTTTTCATTTTCTCAATTTCCAAAGCATATAAATAAGGAAAACTGTTCATGTCATTTAACGACTCCACTGGATGTAAAACTGAAGCACCTTGGTTTGTATCGTTTAGAATGGGATTTTTGAACTGTTGAGCAAGTTGCTGGTCGCAGTTAAGCATCTGTTTATTCGTAGCATTGTATGGAAGAGGTAAATTATTAATATTCGTTGATAATGCTGGATTTTGCTGCAGAGTGCCAATATTAGCATAACTGGGTCTTCTCAGATATCGAAGAGTTTGATATTCTAAATTGTTTTCGGGCTCTAAATCATACAAAGTGTCTTCGGTATCGAGCAAATTCACTTCGCTCATGCAGTCACGAACTGTCCGCAACAGGTTAACACTACTCGACTCATCGGAATCTTCGGAATCGATAACCAATAAGTTTTGGACTGAGTTATCATTAGTATCATTAACTACGTTATTTCCATTGAATTGGAAATTAGAGTCTCTTAAATTAGAATCTTTAAAGTTGGCTACATTAACTTCACTTTTATCCCAAAGGTTCTTGGATTCAGGTACTACATTCTTGATAAATTCGTCCTGCGAATTTTTTAAAAGATCCTTGCGACTCGAATGAGATCCATTTTCATTTGATGAAAACTTTTCATCATTTTTGGTGCTTCTATAATTTTCTCTTTTAGGCAATCCTTTTCCCTCAGTGTTTCGAATGTTCATATTATTTGATTCTTCATTTGTGGTGCACTGGGATCTCGATACTTCCATGTTTTTAGATCCACTGACATTGACCGATTCTTCGTTCACTGTTTTCTTCGCATCGGTTGTAATGCTATTTATAGCCAATGCGAAGAGTTTCCCCTTATTCGATTTTGAAGTTTTCGAGTTATCCTTTGAAACGTTCTTTTCAAACGTTTCTTTTTCAAATTTTGAAGCATCCTTTGTCGGATAGAACGAGTTAAGATTTGCACAACTCTCTTGAGCTTTAGGGGCCATACTTGTCGTAAGATGACTATTGATGGATCGTACTAATTTACCTTGAGGAGAAATATTTCTATCTTTTGAATTCTCAATTTTGTTGCATGGAGATTTTTTTATCGCCAGTGAGGCATCTTCAAAATTAGACTCCACTTCTGCAATCTTTGTTAAATTCACCACGTCTCTCTTTAAAGCTAAATTTTCTGGCGATTTTATTATTGTCGCTCCTGCATTGGTTGCCATTCCGTGTTGCTGGATAAACTCCAGCTCCTTCATCCTTCCTCCCTTTCCCATAAAAAGATGCCGTTCGGTGTATCCATCGATTCTCCCGTATTTGTCGACAATATTTAACTCCGTTTTAGGTATTAACTGAGAATTCTCAACTGATTTAACAGCTGTCAGATTTTTAACCGGGTTAAAAGGATTTGTAAAAGCTGATAAAGATTGCGAGTTCTCAGTTGGTATATTTTTTGGGGCACTCTCTACCTTAACGGACTCAGCAGAAGATATCGAGTTCTTTGGAGAATTTGATAAAATACTTATGTCATCGGAAAAGGTCACCGACTTCTTCTTACCATTCGATAAGCTTGATTTGCTTTCAACACCGGCCACAGTTTTTCCTTTCCGTTTGCGATAAAGCTTCAGCTTTTGATTTTCGTTATCGTCATTACCGGATGAATGCAAAGGCGACTTTGTCCTTATCCTAAGTATTATTAATTTGAGATTACACTTTGTTAACGATCTCTCGACTGCTAATTACTAGTAAAAAATATTAAGAACCTATGAATACCGAATAAACACTTACCAATCGTCACTGTCATCAGAATCGATGCAGCTGATGGTCGTCGATCGCCCTTGTATATCTACAGATTCCAATCTGTACTGTTCGGATATAGCAATTGCAATGACCGAGCTGATTTCTTCTTCCTCCACCATTTCTTTAACATTTGTCGATTGCACATTGGATACCTTTACGATATCCATAGCCAAAGTCGTCGGCTCGCTTTCTTGCATGATTGTACGATATTTTCGTAAGTTCTCAACAACATTAAGCTCTGCGTTTTTGAGTTTTATATTTGCATTAAAGCTTGTTAATGCAAAAATTTCTTCTTTATATCTATAAAGCAGAAAGTACTCCTTTAGAGCCATTTAATTCACTGATTCAGTATTCGTCTTCAATTACAGTACGATTCCAAATAAATATTCAGAACTAACTGACGGGGATCAAAAACGTAGAGTAATGAATGTTTATAAACGAAAATTAATAAACGAGTCCGTTACATGTTTCACGTAAAATAATGCGCAGAAGTCAGAATTACGCGTAATCATTGATAACCGGCGTAACCTAAAAGTATGCACAAGCCGGTATGGCCTTGTCCGTACAGTTACACTTAACGTTTCCTTTGAATGGATTTATTTCGAATCAAAAAAGCGCACTTACCTTAAAAACAAGAAATATTAAACTTCTTTGAGGTATTTACAGCGAAAATCGCAATAAACATCCCGCGAGATAAACGCCGAAGCAGTTAAAACTGGCTAAAACGGAGGATGCGGGTTTCACGTTATGATTACGCTTGCGAAATTTGAAAATACGGGACCGGGATTGGATAACGCGTCATTTTCCTTTGTGCTGGTTTCCGGTAGAGCAGAAAACGCAGCGTTCTATTGGGTTAGAATTCACAGCGCCATTGGAAAGTTACCTTACCTGTATGAAAACAAAAGGCAAGTTTTCTCTTGTTTTTTGGGATTTCAAGTGAAGCAGATAATAGAAAAAAAAAATGTGTTCGTAATGAATTTACATCGTAATTACTATAAAAATATACTTTTGTCTATTCATGGTATCAGAGTATCGATAAGTGCATTAGTATGCGCATTAAATGTAGCTATGTAATTTTGGTGTTATTTTAATTAATAATTCTTAATCAGGAAACTCGGGAGAGTTTCGCGCCAAATATACACACTCGCATACGTAATAATTAATCTGTACACTCATAAGTCACTGTATAATCTTGTTAAACTGTTAAATTTGTGGTGGCTCGGTTGGCAGAACCAGAGGCCTGGGTCTTGCTTTCTGATGATCGAGCGATACTTGAGGACGAGCTTGTGGAGGATCCGTTATTAACTTGGACTCTGGTTCGACTGCAGGCTCACGACGAAGACGCTAAAACACAAAGTATTATTAATATTAGTATACAGTTATGCAAAAAATAAATAAGTTCGAGCAACATGGATTTTTATTTAAACATGGTATACTAAATTTGTAATACCGGGTGAGGTCGCGGAGGAGGAACTTGTTGAGGCCTGGGACGAGAGGGCTCGGGCAATGCTTCTCTTTGGAAACGCTGGAAGCAGTTTTGTTAATTAGCCCATATAATAATTTGTGGTGTCGTAGTACTTCGTGTAATTTTTTCAATCCTTTTTACTTAATTAAGTGAGGGTGTGTTTTACTTACAGGAAGAGGTGGCAAAGTGGTAACCTTTTTCATCGTAGGACAAGTAGGATCAGGCAGTGCTTCCCTTCGAAGACGCTGGAAGCAATTTCGGTAATTATCACATAGAATAATTTAATTTAATTAATCGATTGTATATATTTTACTTACTGGGTGAGGCTGCGGAGGAGGAACCTGTTGAGGTCTGGGACGAGAGGGCTCGGGCAGTGCTTCCCTTTGAAGACGCTAGAACAATTTCCTCAGTTAGTACTTAAGACAATGAAATTCCATTGCAAATTCCATCGTCTAATTTTTATTTAAAACCTCAATTTAATAAAATTCACTCACAGGGTACGGCACAAGTGGTTTGTCAAAGTGCTCAGACAAGTTATCTAATTCTGCAGACGCGATGGCCACATAAACTGTGGCAAGCACTGCGATCGCAACGACGGTCTTCATTTTCTTCTGCAAATATAAAAAAATAAAAGCCTTTAAACTTTTCAAAATTAAATAATAGTCCATTTAAAAAACTCGAATTCCAGGGAAGAATCCAAGATGGCGGCGCTCGCGAAGCGCCAGAAATTGTCCTCGCAATTCTATTAAATTATTAGAAATTACAAATCTCATGTTCGTTATTTAATTATCATACATATAAATGGAACTAGATTTAAATATTCTTCAAGGTTTTACCAGAATCATTTGTAAACGACCAACACAATTAAGAACTGAAAGGTTTTAACAAGTGGAGCCTGAATTAGGCGCCAATTTTAAAATCGAAAAACAAGATGGCGTCTTACGTCGTTTCTTACCGAGTTCCGTTCACCTCCAGGAAGAGTCTGCGAATTGCGGTTCTTGCATCGATTCTTCTTCTTAAATACGAGTTTCCCCCTACTGGTTCGGTTTCCTCTCTTCTCGGGGAAGAACCGATCAAAAGGTACGTCGATCGCGCCGACGCGTTGACCTTCATTTATCTAAGCACCGTTTTCCTCAAAGCTGGGGACTCACCGAGCGCAGAATCGTTGACCTGGGACTTCGCATATTTTTGCATAATTATCTTGTCAACAGAATTTATCACTTTCCTCGTTCCTCGAACGAACACATGTGTGCTGTTGCATAGCTTAGTAATTGGTTAGGAACACTTGTTCGATCCAAATTTATGTAAAGAGTGCTACATACTGATAACTATGGGTACAAAACTAACAATAACATACGCTCGCTTTAAGAGTTTGTACATTTTGTATATTTATCTCAATGTGGAAGGAAACAAACACGTAAAGTTTAACGTGAGCCTGTAAAACCTTTTACAGTAAATACTTAACGCGTTGACAATTTTTAAGGCGCCGTAATGCAAAGTCTTTGCTTTTGAACAATGTTGATTAAGAGAGATATTTGGTAATACGTGTTTGATGTGATATCTTGACGAGACATAACACTGTGAGATTTCTGCGAAATTATTTGCAGTGGTTGAGAATCTTTCCTCGTTAATATGGATGAAAGGAAGGTATCTTGTGACTCGACTTTAGACTTCGATGTAATAATTCCATTTTTTACATGATCTATCGATAGAGCAAGTTACATTTCTGTAAATACAGGTTCAGGAATTAAGCGTTTCACATTACTTGAATTCAAGAAGTCCGATGTATTTGTTTTTTCCTTGCAATTATCTACTTACTTTTGTTTCTTAATTCCATTTTGTCATAAAACTCTATTACTCGTTTAGATGCACTTTATGTGTCATGGTTCATTATGACCGTTAATACAACGGTACCTTATCGTATTAACAATGAGTTTAGTTAGTCATCACACTATTCAATTATACAATTGTATATTACATAAACGTAATAAGTTGATTGCAAAACCGTTGCAGCGATAACTGGATCGTTTCGTTACTGTAAAATACATTTCGACATGATCTGTCGTCACAGGAGAGTTTGGAAAGTTTCAATAATTATTAAAAACTTATACACAATTATTTATCAAGCATCCGAGTATCTTAGCAAGGTGAACGAAACGACCCAATTATTTTTGTAATTATTAGAATAATTAACCCGCCGTTTGTTTTCTCTTAGCCTCCGCAGTCGACATAACCTATCGAACTTAATCTATTAGCGAGGATTGTTTTGATTACACGCCTCGCAAGGTAATATATTATAATTGTAAACACAATTGCAGCGTATGTCCTATTCCCTCCCTAAATAGGATTTAAATAGTTGTAGATAATATATATGTACATAAATAAAATAATAAAAAATATATATATCTCGAGTAGAAGGGTTTCAGAGGCGACAAAAATGCAATATCTGAATTGATGCAATTTCATTCGACGAAATAATACTGTTACTCAGAAAATAGCAAATCAGATTCATCACTGAGGATTCCAGAAGTAGAGTTTGGCACGATGGTTCCCATTTAAAAAGGCGAACAGAAGAAATCACTTCTAGTTCTGTATGAAAAATTGAGATTTGCAAAAAATGAATCCGACTGTAAATCACGGAAAATTAGAAAATTCCCCGATCGCGTTGGCACGTTTTTCGTTAGCTTCAAGCTATGAGATTCGTCAATACAATCTTCGTGTCCGGTAAAGAATCCAATAAAAAATGCGAGCTGTCTGCCATTGATGCAAGATCGGCTTCTAACAAAGCCAGTTGCAATTCTCTTCGAGCTTTCTGTACAACGTAGACCATTAAAGAGACTCCCACCATAATCTGCAGAAAAAGGAATAAATAGAGGATATACAAATTAATTAATATATTGCAAGATCTCATAATTTTAAGTGGTGTGGTAAACGTACCTGAAAACAGAACACGATGTAACCAGTGGCTGCGGTTGATCTATCTTCGAGGACATCTTGCATCGATCGAAGACTACTGCCTAAGTATACGTTGATTAGCTGCGCAGGAAGCAGACCTAGAGCACTGGCTATGTGATACCGAATACCACCAATGTTACTGACCTGTCAAAATAGATCGTACCAATAATATGTATTAACCCTTTATGCTTGAGAGGCGACTCTCAGTTGCCACTGGCAACTGGAATGGCAAAGACTTTGAGTGCAAAGGATCATAGAAATATTTCATTATAGATACCGCAAATATGGTGTTTTGCAGTCCAAATGGGATCGGAGTGAGTCTGGCAAAGAGGACCACTTTAAAAGCTTGCGGTCCTGATATGACTCTGAGTATTGCTCTCGCTGTATCACTTTGTAGAAGGGCACCTATAGGCAGTCTCGATGACAAGGCTCCCAGAGTGGCATGTGCGATGGCGATGCCAAGATTTGCAGACAGCACGACCATCGTAATACCCTGAACTATGCCGAAGAGGTAACCACTGGCTACGATGAGGAAGAGGTATCCGATGACTATGGGGAAGGAGACAACGGTGAACAGAGCCACGACGATGATCGTCACGACCCAGGTGTTCTGATGCTCTATCCAGTAGAGCAGAGCCTTGATGTAGTCTCGGCAGAGGAACACTATGGCTCCGAGCAGAGCTAACGTTGCCACCGTTATCACAACGTAGCATATTGAGTTGGAATTGATGCAGCTGCAACGCAGGGCAGAAGAGTTCTTGGACGACCGCACGAAAGCTTCTCCGCTCTCAATGCTTGAAACATCCATGCTGATTACCATCTGACTACCTAAAATTAAAAACGAGGCACTATATCAAAACATTCATTCGTTATTGCAAAACTTCAATATAAAGTACCATTTGTTTATTTTGGGAAGAAATTATTCTAGTGAAGGATTAATAAATTAATGCATAAGTTAAGAAATAAATTAGAAAAATGTGATATCGTTAGCTAATACCACGAAGGGGCACTGTTAATAATAAACAGAAGCGTATGCCTTTTTATATTTCTCGTTCATATAATTTGAGGGAAATATTCTTTGTCGACTACAATTAATGATAAATATTCTATCGAATGTGAATCTGACATGTCATCACCCATGATAATGTTTACATCCTGAAAGACGTCAACTCATTGACGGTGCAGTGTCATGATTAATAAGTGCTCATGATTTCCATTAACGAAGTATCGCATTGAATTACCGTTTCAGACTGGTTCTAGAAATCCGACTTCGAGGTTATTCGCATTCTTCCGTCCTTAATCTCATGGAAAGTCCTGAGACGAAAGCCCATCAGTCGGACGACGACTGTTATTACTGCACGACATAACCTAGAAACTGCTCCTGTATCATCCTCATCGGAAATCCGACAAGTTGGCGGGAGGTAATTGCCAATGAAGTGCAGTAATAAATCAGCGGTCAATTATTACGTACACGAAATCGTCAGTGGAGCTCAGCCAATTCCTCGTCATCGTAGTGCGACTTAACCTCAAACTTTTAGTGCGCACAAAAATCCAGAAAGTGCTCCGCGTCTCTGTCGAAGAATTGAAAAGTCGAATGCTCGATAATTAATACGCTCTCTAGCCGATGACGGCGCTCAATCACGCTCCATCTCTCTTAATCTTATGGAGATCTATGGCGGATTGCACGCGTTCTTTATCTCACTCACAGTACCAATGTAAATTGTTAGTTCGTCTTTGAATCGCAAGATGGCGGCACTATCGATCTTGGCGCTGGCACCGCAAATGGCGCGCGCATTCCTGTGAATTCGTATAAAATTCCGCGAGATTACCACGTGGGTACGTGTTCTTTTGACTTTTCAAATTATTTTCACGAAAAATGGACGCGGAGAAGAAGAATTTCGACGTGTCGTTGGGAGGCGCGAGTGAGCTCCCGTACGAGGCGAGAATGATGCTGATGGCCTCTGCGAGAAGCAACGAAATCGCCGCGATGTCATACTCCGTAGGTAAGGTTAGGAGTGTATTGCTCACTTAAGATCATTTTAACTGTTACTGCTATATTTTTATGTGTCAACGGTGCCACAATTACGTGATTATTGTTTATTATTGGATCTTTGTAAATATTAACTTATCCCGTATTTTCAGATAACCCGCAGCAGACAAAGCTGGTGTTTCAAAAGCTTCCGATTCACATGCGTCGGAGAGTCATGTCTCACAATGCGAAACGCCTTCCACGACACCTGCGAGAAGCTCACATACGACAGATGAGTAAGTCCGGTTTACCTCCAAAGACTAAAAGGCCATCCAGAAAGCATCGGAGAAGACCTCGCAGACTCGCCTTAGAATATAAAAGGCGGAGGGCCAATAAACGTTGGCTGGAAACTCATCTTTGGCACGCAAAGAGGTTTCATATGGTCGAAAAATGGGGTTACGTGGTCCCTAACCATTCCAACGATAAATGTTTTAGAGCGTCTTTCAGAGCAATGACGAGAAATTGCTTGATTCAGGATATTTCTTATTACACTTGCTTAGAAATAAGAGGCCCCGAAGAAGCGATCAAAAGTACTCTAAAAGCTCATTGCAATCCTTACGAGCTTTCGTTTTCTGCTAAAGCATATTTAACGGGTAAAAGAGAAGGCACTGTTATGTTTTATGCTAAAAACGAATATCCCAAGTCATCGATTGGGTACGTACACTTTTTATGGAAGTGTAACGATTCTTTGTCTAAAGTTATATGGATCTGGGTGCATCCTTCATTTTATAACGAGTTTCTGAAAGAAATTGTGAAGAGCTTCGAGTTTACGATGGAAGAAGCTTCGCAGCGTTGCGATGCAGAGGTTTTGGAAGAACGTGTGACTGCGGAAAGCATTTATCGGAATAACAGTAGTTGCGAAATGAGTATATTAAAAGATTCCCTGAGCAGGTTTCGTCTTATCGGTCCGAATGCACTGTGCGCACTGAGAAAAGTGTTGAAAATGCCAAATTTGAAGGCTAAATTGGGAACGGAGAAGCTCATGGGAAACGATTTGCAAGATACTGCTGAAAAGATGGATATCGATGTCCAGAATTCAGGCAAACAATTGGGTAATGGTTTAAAATGTCAAAGCCGAGTAGAGGATGATTCATTGGACAATGATATTCGTTGCAAATCGTGGTACGATGATTACTATCATATTGAGGATAACAGAGAAGCTTTCAAAGCACAGAAAACTTGGTTCGATACGTTGAAAGACTTAACGTCTCCTGATCAACTGCCTTCTGGAATTGCGGTTGCTCTAACTGTCATCGATCCGAGATTTTTCTCACATCCTGTTAAAGGAAGATGCCTAGCTGATTCGATTTTACGTGACAAAGCTTCGGTGCCTTCGCATCCTGTGAGTCATGGTCCGATTTGGGATTCCAGTTTGAGAGAGGCCTCGGCTAATACGGTGCAAACATTCGATGCCTATAAGCTAAGAGGTGAAAATCTTATTCCTGGCGTGAGCAACGACGACAAGTATCACGAAGACGTTGCCAGTAAAGTTCCTATATTGATTGTGCAGAGGCCAGGACGATTCACCGATAATAAAAGTATCGGTAAGTTATGTATACTAAGTATCTGTAATATTTTGAAAATGGATTCGAGAAAGCAAGATGTTTTTATTTTATGTGTACGCAACAAAGAGCTTTTCATGCTATGGCTTTGTTGAATTTTTCTAACAATTCAACTATTTTTTTCCAGGTTTCGGGTCAGGAGTGGACGTGATCCTGCCAAGTTCCTGGGCGATTCCGTTTTGGATGTCCTTCATTCTGCACGGCTGCAAACCTGGAGGATTACGAGAGTCGAGCACACTGCTCTTCGAGGGCGGGAACTTGAATTCCCCGGAAATGAACAGCCCCGACACCTCGATTTACACGAGCGAGGCCTTGGACACCAAATCCAGATTGTTGAAGAAATATTTCAGATACCCGCCCGATCGCCGAGTCAACTTTTCCAAGTTTCGAGTCCGCAGTCCATTTTTCTGCCAGTGGGACGTCCTGGCGAAGGAGTGGTCCAAGTCGCAGGACTTTTACGTCCTCAGGAACTTTGCGCTGCTGTCGACCTTGAAGGAGCTCGTCTCGGCGTTGAAGAAGACCTCGAGGAGCTCTAAAAAATCGAAAACGGGGAATTCGGAAGACATTGCCGCAGAGCTGGACGGCTTCTTCAACAAGTTCCCGCTAGATGACACTTCGTGCTTGGTTCCTGTGAAATTGACGACCACGAGGAGAGGGCAACCGAAGAACTTCGGCATGATCTGCTTGCCGACCGAAGAAGACTTGACTCGACTTTCTGGCGACTTCAAGTGGTCGGGACCTGTCCAGAAATTGACCTCTGACCCGAACGAGAAGAAGAGGAGGACCTTGAGGAGGATTCGACTGGCGGAGTTGAAGCGCGTCAAGAGAGCCAAGGCGAGGAAGAGAAGGAGCGAAGAGGATTCCGAACTCATTCCGGAGAAGAAGAGCCTGAAGAGGAAGCTGGTGGAGTCCTCGAGGGACGCGGAAGAGGAAAGACTGAGGAAAATGGAGGAAATGTATTTTCCGAGTGACGATACCGTGCGGTATTCATGTGATAGGGAAATTATGGGATTTGTCACTCGGGGAGGGTTTTCCTTTATGGAAGCTAAAGGAGTTGGGCTGGGATATGTTACGCTCTCCTCTTTGCTGAGGGTAATTAGGCTTAATTGTAACTTTGTCTTGTTCAGAAATGTACAAACAAGGCAGTTCAGGGTCGCCGAGGTGGAAGTGGTGAACAGGTGATCTCGTAATTTTCTGGACTTTGAGATTTTTGGCATCCGTGGATGATAGGAAGAACTCTTTTTACTCGAGCTTGGATCTCCGTGTATATAATAGACAATTTTACATAGAGTACTTATCTAATGGCACCGTAATTTGTACATAAAACTGTTTGGAAAAAATGGGATACACTTCGTTTTTAATTTTAGTTCGATCTTGCGTATCCCAATTTTTCTTAATAGCGAGGAACCCAATAAAAAAAGGCGTGCCCGAGAATATGAAATTTCATCCTTAACCAAAAAATGAAGAAAAGATTTGATGAAAAAGGTGTGCCGGGGAACAATGGCTTTTCTTTGGGGATGTGGCGCGCGGAATTCGACTTTCTTTTTATCTTTCCTTCGTTTTCCGAATTCCTCCTCGAGTTCCACCTCGATCGGGGAGAGACGCTCCCTCGTTCGGCGGATCTCGGGATGATAACGATATTCCCTCTCGGAGTTGGAGCCTCCATTATCCTCCCCCGAGTAACTCAATAGTCGAGAAAATAGCCGGGACGCTCCGAGAGGGAGAGAAGGAGCGAAATGAGAGGAGAAGACGTCGAGACATTTTCATTCTGGGATTTTTTTTCCCCCCGACGTCCGCCGGCTTGTCGGCGGTGTAAGATGAGAAGCCCCGCGCCGTTGCAATAACTGCGGCTTTTCCGCGCCGGAATACACGCCTCGGCTGCTTTCTTCTTCCTAAGAGCCACGGCCTCGATTCGGGAATATTAATATTCATTGGGAGAAATTGCCGGGATTGTAAGGAGGGTTATTACCTCCGGTGGAGTCGGGGATCTCGACAATTTGGGATTAGGGTCGTTACCGATAGTATTATCGCTCTTTTTATTTTCATGTCCTTGTTCATCTCGCGGAACGTCATTTTGGGGTGTTTCGCCCTTTTCTTGCCGTTTGGTCGATTTTATGTCTTCGACAGTGGAAAAAGCATTTATAAAACGGTGGGATATTAATTTATAAATGGTAGCGATCGAATATGTCCAGAGTAATGTCAGCTTGAGTAAACAAAATTATATTTGAACCGACATCGAGTATTTTTTGCAAAATAGAAAATGGCATCTCACATTTTGGATACCTATTTCAAATGAATTCAATTGAAATCCAGCTCCGATACGGTATCTTGACCTTGTCAATATAATCAATAAATTAGTGAATAAATAGGCCGACAAATATTAAAAAATGGTGGAGCTTGTTATTGCCTTATGAGACCAATAAATTAGGGAGTAAATAAATGGAATATTAATAACGTGTACTTAATACGTTCTCGGAATATGTGAGCGGCATTACTTTGGAAAGAAAATGGAACGAGACGGTTCGCTTTTAACTTTCGGACGGAGAGGAGACTTTCCAACCGTTTCTTTTCGTTTTTTAAAGGAGGGGTCTCTTTGATCTCTTCGACTCTTCCTCCCCCTTTCCAACTTTCCGTTAAATTTCCGAGTCGCGGCGAATTGATCGGGAGGCAAGTAAAATAAATTCCCTTCGAGAAGTCGCAAGGATCGAGACTTTCTCGGGAACTCCAATTTCGTCCCGAGATACGATCCGCCGATCCGGAAACGAGCCGGAAGCTCTGAATTCTGGCTCCGGAAATCCCGGAGCGAGTTCACCTTCGATCTATTTTACCTTTGCTGGGAACTTGGCCGAGTTTTCATCGCAGCAAGGCCATCGGTTAATTAGCAAAGTGGCTGAGAATGCCGCAATAACGACCGATTGACTTCCTCGATAAACAATGCTGCCGTGATGAGGCAAAGGTCGCGGTTCGGATTGGGGCGCGCTCGGTGCCACCTGGGAAAATGCAGTTTTCGGCGATAACGATACGTGCCGGAAGAAAGGGTTACCGACGAAAGTTGTTGGGTACGTCGTGCCGGAGAAGTTTTGTGAATGGGGTTTCTGCACATCTCGCCACCATCTTGAGATATGGCGCGGCGAAGCAGGGGCTTGGGGGTGCACTGGGTACCTCGGCTCGGAGTAACTACAGTTTTTTTAGCTTTATTGCCGCACTGTGGAAAAAAATGCCCTAAGCAAAAGTTGTCGAGTGTATTATGGTGGGTAACTTTTGTAAGAGGCATTTATGCATTGCGTCTTAGGAAGTTGGAGGAAAACGAGAAAAACTTGACAAGTTGGCGTCCACAGGAGGGGGAGGGGTTAGGTGGATGCCATTTTCGGCTCTAAAATCACGTGATATAGAAAAATGTTTATTACAAAACTTGTTACACGCATTAAGATGGACAGCTTTTGTGAGAAGCACTTTTACGTAAAGTTTCCCTGCGTCGAGGAAAAACGCGGAAATGAACAAGAGTGACGCGAGTCTTGCTGCGAGCTGTCGGATATTAATGCAGTTTTTATCCAGAAGGACGCGTCGTACGAGAAAACGTTTATCACGAACGTTGTTACTTGAATCGTAATGAACATCTTTTGTAAGAGACAAATTTGCGTAAATCGACGATGGAGCCGTCCTCAGTAGTTCGAATCGGTTCACGGTCCGCCAAGTAGTACGTGCTTCGTCACAGTCGGCCGGGCAGCCAAGTAGTGCAAGCGCGCAATTACGCCGACGACGAGCAAGTAGTAAAGTGCGTTCTACGATCGGACAAATCGCGACCAGTCGACCATGGAAACTTCGTATTAGCTGACTGATATGAATTTCATGACCCGGACAATGATAACGACGTCTGCATTATCACCCTCGTCTCGTCAAATCGTACCAAAACGATTAAATAATTCTATTGTATATTCAATGGCATAACGAAGTGACGGAAAAATGATTTTCCTTCGTTGGTTCTCGGATCGATATGAAATTTCAATTTCGCCAGTTCTCAATAATTCCTGTATTGAAAGTCCCGTCTCGGCACGTAGAATTCCGAGGAATCTGATTTGCTTGACGTTTTCCCGACTCGGATTTTCCTTTTCCTTCGGAGACGTTCCTTTTAGGAACGTAAAATCCGATTCTCGAAAATCCGCATTTCATGGAAATGCAGATTTACGGCGAGACGAATTCGTTAAATGTAACCGAGGAAAAACTCGATTGAAAACCCATTATTATTGAGTTCTTTCTCAGTTTTATAGTTTACCGTAGAACTGCAAGGATTTAATATTGTAATTAAATTGTTGGAAAATTCTGCGGTGTACTAAGGAATTGCAGGGAATTAATTTTGCGATTAAACGAACATTTGATCTCGTTAGTTCGCGTTGAGGCCGCGCGGCGCTACCGTCGTTGGCATTCCGTCGATGACGTAATCCGAGCTTAGCCAATAACGATCAAGGGAAGATAAATCGCTCTTCTAAAGCGCAGCTGCGAGGTTTCGCTTAATTTTCCGGCGTCGACGTTGCAACTGCAATCCGCAGGAATTGGAGGGAATTCGAGCGAATTCGAGCTGCGAGATCGATGAGGTTAGGTCACCTTAAATCCCCTTCGAGAGACACGCGGGAGGAATTCAAACGAGCCATTTAGAAATCCCATCAGTCACGGCGCACTAACGATTTCGCACACTTTTTTTTTCCCCCCTTTCCTGTAAAACGCATCGGTATATTCGGGTCCTAACCAAATCGGCTAAGGAGCTTAAAGGGTTATGGGATCTGAAAAAAATTCCAATTTTCCGCCATTTTGAAACCGTCAAGGGATTTTTTTTATTCCTATCGGGCGTTTTGAAATTCCGGTGTACGGTTTTTTTTCCTTTCTTTTCTTGAACTTTGGCAATCATTTTGAATTTTGTTTGAAAAAATACTTTATTTCTCGGAGCAATTTTCAGAATAAATCGCATTTTCGACATTTTTTTCACGTTTCTTCAAAATGTTGCAGTGCATCCAATTCGCTGCCATTCTTTTATAAATGTAACTTCGGACCTATTTTATCCCTGACCGTAAAGAAGTCTAAAAATTCCATTTTAACCTCAATTTCATCGATCCATTGACTCCGTATCTTTGTTTAGCCGCGTATTTTTATTTCTACACACATCCTTCGCCTTCCAATTACGAGGAACGATGAATTTTTATTGCCGCTCGAAATCGAAGCGTCCGCCATTTTCTGATTTGCCTCGACCGTCGACTTTTTCTGTCCCCTTAAATATGTCTGGCTTTCTTTTTTACAGCCCGACGAGCTGGTCGGGTTCACTTACGGGATTAAAGGAAACGAAATATCGGTCCAGGTTTTTTTCTTAGGTCATTTGTTTACCGCAGGAAGAAGCCATTAATCTGGAATATACGCTTCATGATGTCTCCTAACCTTAGTTTATCATTCTCGGGCGATTCGATGCTCCGATATCGAGACTTCTCCACGAGACGCAAGAAAAGCAAATGGAAAAAAAAACCCACATTCATTTCCAACAAAGGAGAAAGGAAGCGTGTTTTTTTTTTGTGAAACACAGTGGCGTGTCTTGTGCAAATTTTATGAGTTCATGAACCGGGTGAGTCATTTAAATTGACGCTTACATTGAAACACATCTAACGATTACAAGAATTCAAAATGGCGTCCGAGGTGGATCTATATAGTCCAAGTTTCTTCATTTAAATCGTCTGTCTAACCGTTATATCTTGGATACCGCGAATAAAATAGAAAAAGTCCAAGGATGAAACTCGGCGTCCATCTTTTTCCGTATTTTTCGGACACCAGGGTGGGTCTAGGTAGTCTAGGTAACCTATATTATCCAGGGTTCTTCATTTAAATCGTATGTCTAACCGCCAGATCCCAAGTAAAGTGGATATATAAAAAAGCGACGTATTTTTTCCTTATTTTTTGGACACTAGGGTGGGTCTAGGTAGTCTAGGTAGTTCTAGGCTGTCCAGGTTCTCTAGATTATCCAGGTTCCCCTTGTAGATCGATTGGTCGTCCGCGGTCGCCCCCGGGTTAGGGGCGACGAAGAGGTCGCGCGCTCGGCGCCGGGCGGGGCGGCGCTCAGTCGGTGGCCGGACGTCGCGAGGGCCGCATCGCGCTCGCCTGCGACGGCTCGCCGTCTCGCCCCGCCCACCCGCGACGCGCGGCACGCGACACCCGACACCCGAGCCTCTCTCTCTCTCTCCGACGCTCTCGCAGACCGACGCCTCCTCGAGACCAGTGCGCGACATGACGACCTTGCCCACGAGCCGGCGACCCTGATGGTGTGTGTTTTTACCCCTCTTTATCATTTTATTCTTGACTTAAGGGGACGCGAAAGTGGCTCAATCGCTCGCGACACTTTTCTCCGAAGTGGGTGTGTCGAATCTTTTCAAAATTTACAACGTGAATGTGGAGGCTGT